ATGTTATAGGAGAAATGGTTGAAGCTATGGGAAAAAGGGTTGAAACTATAGGAGAAATGGCTGATGCTATAGGAGAAAGGGTTAACACTATAGGAGAAATGGCTGATACTATAAGAGATAGGGCTGAAGCTATCGGAGAAATAGTTTAGTAGTTGAATCTATGGGAGGAATCGTCGATTCTATAAGAGAAATTGTCAAACCTATAGTAGAAATAGTCAAAGCTATAGTAGAAATAGCTATTACTATAGGAGAAAGGGTTGATTCTATAAGAGAAAGGGTTGAAGCTATAGGAGAAATAGCTAATACTATAGGAGGAATACCTTAGGAGTTGATTCTATAAGAGAAACGCCTGAAGCTAAGAGAGAAATAGCTGATGCTATAGGAGAAATAGCTTAGTAGTTAAATCTATAGGAGAAATAGCTGACTTTATAGGAGAAGTAGTCGATGCTATAGGAGAAAGGGTCGATTCTATAGTAGATGTAGCTTATACTATAGTAGAAGTGGTCGAAGCTATAGGAGAAATGGTCAAAGCTATGGTAGAAGTGGTCGAAATGATGGCGGTAGCTTGAAGTTATAGCAGAAATAGCCTATACTATAGGAGAAGTGGCTGATACTATAGGAGAAATGGTTGAAGCGATGGTCGCAGCTTGAAGTTATAGTAGAAATATCTGATACTATAGGAGTAATAGCTAATGCTATAGGAGAAGTAGCTGATACTATAGTAGAAATAGTTGAAGTGATAGTTATAGCTTAAAGTTATAGTAGAAATAGTTGAAGCTATAGTAGAAATACTTGATACTATAGGAGAAATACCTTAGTAGTTAAATCTATAGTAGAAGTGGCTAATACTATATGAGAAATGCTTGACGTTATAGTAGAATTAGCTGATACTATAGTAGAAATAGTTGAACCTATAGTAGAAGTAGCTGATAGTATAGGAGAAATAGCTAAAGCTATAGGAGAAATAGTAAAATATATATAGTAAGAAATTATATATTATAGTGATCCCTAATTTACTACTATTATTATAATATTATTCTAATCCTAGCTATTATACTATTATACTAATATCCTTATAGTATCCTTATAGTATTATATAGTATCATCATAGCATTATGCCGGCATCGTCACAGCATTGTGCCGGCATCGTCACGGCATTGTGCCGGCATCGTCATGGCATCGTGCCGGCATCGTCACGGCATCGTGCCGGCATCGTCACGGCATCGTGCCGGCATCGTCACGGCATCATGCCGGCATCGTCACGGCATCGTGCCGGCATCGTCACGGCATCGTGCCGGCATCGTCACGGCATTGTTATGGTATCATTATAGTATCATCATAGTATTATGCTTATGTTGTCATGATCCTAGCTATCATAATATCTTCCTGATAATAGTGATGGCGGCGATGGCTAAATCAATTAATATAGCCATGGGCGATGGCGGCGATGGCGATGGGTGATGGCGGCGATGGCGATGGGCGATGGGCGATGCCCAAATCAATTGATGGAGTGATGGGCGATGGCTATTTAATTGATGTAGCGATGGGTGATGGCTGCGATGGCGATGGGCGATGGGCGATGGCTAAATCAATTGATGTAGCGATGGGCGATGGCGGCGATGGCGATGGGTGATGGGCGATGCCCAAATCAATTGATGGAGTGATGGGCGATGGCTATTTAATTGATGTAGCGATGGGTGATGGCTGTGATGGCGATGGGCGATGGGCGATGGGTGATGGGCGATGCCCAAATGAATTGATAGAGTGATGGGCGATGGCGACGATGGCGGCGATGGCCATAATAATTGATGGAGCGATGGGCGATGGCGGCGATGGCCAAATCAATTGACACAGTGATGGGCGATGGCGGCGATGGCGGCGATGGCGGCGATGCGATGGGTGATGGGTGATGCCCAAATCAATTGATGCAGCGATGGGCGATGGTGGCGATGGCGGCGATGGCGGCGATGCGATGGGTGATGGGTGATGCCCAAATCAATTGATGGAGCGATGGGCGATGGCGGCGATGGCTAAATCAATTGACATTTGCCATGGCGCGCACCAGAGCTCTTATGGCCGATGACCATGAGAGAGGAAAACGGTATTCGCACTATGAAGCGGAGCATTGTGGAGCACTGTGGAGCCGCGCGCAGCCAATGGCGCTGCGCAAACCATGGGCCCCATGGCTCATGGCAGGGATTGCAATGCTATCAGGGGTTAGCTATAGCTAATCAGAACCTCCTATTAGAGGCGAAAACCCTATATGTTTAGGTCGAAAAACCCACTTCGGTACCTCGATTTCACACCTTAAGATGTATAGGTTTGAGTCCAAAATCGCATACATAGTGGTGAGGTGTAAATCTAGTAGGGTTGAAGTGTGGGGTCCAAATGCCTTCCGTGTCCGAGCCACTCATTAGCCCGTGTTTCCGGCAGAGAACTGGGCGCTCGAAGAGCCAGTCCTAGCTCCTAATGATGTGTCTATTGAGGCGGGCGAAATAAAGAATGCTGAAATAAATATTAGACAGCTACACTCCGCTTTCGGCCTCTATGCATTAGGCAGCAAGCTCTTTGCTTCTCTGATATCAGTTGACCACTGTATTACGCTCCTAGTATGATTTCCGGTTACTCCGCCGTAGATCATATTGTATAACACAGCTATCCAGTTATTAGCGGCCTCGCCCTTCACGACCCAAGCCACTAAGCTGCTAGACCTATAGTAGCGGGACACGATATCGTTAGCGACATACAGTGATAATGCTGGCAGCTCTTTTGGGATCAGTCGAAGAGTTGCTGTCTAGCTGCTGTGTTGGGGGATCTACTCTATCACGTACTCCCAACCAACGCCATTCGGCGTGGCGATAACTAACTTTGATTGGCCGAGCTGTACCTATTAGTATTTGTGGGAACAAATCATTAGTAGACAGATGAGCCGGTTCAAGGAGGATTCGCTCCGAGGTTTTGTAATTCGCGATAGAATATGTTGACAGCCGCGCTGATCATGGGGGTGCTTGCATATTGTGGAGAATGTGGAGTTTAGTGCCTTGGTCTAGAACTGGGTCTGGACTCGCCCGGGCACATATGAACCTCGGCTACACTACTGCATCGCTCCCGCTGTGGCTTCTCACATTGCCGGATTGAGATGGCACGCGCGCATTGCCGGATTGAAATGGCGCGCATGGCTGGACAAGGTGCATGCTTGTGAGGCGCATATTGACTTGTCAAATGGCCAGACATCTATCATGATGATGATCGCACACAATCACGGTAGCTCACTATTATTTCTGCATGTTGTCGAGCCGTAGGCTGCCCTATTCGTTTACCTGAACACGTGTAGGTCTATCTCGCTAGTATCACACGTATGAGGGCGGTTAGCTGAGAAGAGGAAGCCGCGAGACAATCGGAACGTACGTTAAGCGTTGCGATATCGGTGTATCTGGTTGGAGATTGACTACATGGCAGTGCTTCGATCTCAAGGGATTTAGGACGGTAATGATATATGTATTCGGCGTTCGCTCTATAAAAGAAGGAGGATCCGGGGCCTCGAGTTATGAAATGGGAATATCTATAACCATAGAAACCCATCTATTCCATTAACAATACGCCTCAAGACTAGCAAAATCGCAAGAATGCCAACTCTAGGAGATTCAACTGGCAATATGGAAGCTGAGTATGAACCCATTGCAATCATAGGTTGTTCATTGCGCTTGCCAGGGAACGTGAATAATTGTGGCGACTTTTGGGACATGCTTGTCAATAAGCGGGATGGTCGATGTCGAGTCCCAGCAAATCGATACAATATTGAGGCGTACTATCATAGTCAGCCGAGAAAACGTGGGTTTGTCGCAACAGAATACGGGTAAGTATATCGCATTTTTGGATCGGCTCCCCACAGCTCGGTCTGCGATAGGGACTGGACTTGTCTCACAGAGCGATTAGGTATTTCCTCAGCGGTATTGATCTCCACGAAGTAGATACGTCGTTCTGGTCTATGACGGCTGCAGAACTTGGAGAGGTTGATCCTCAACAAAAGATTCTACTAGAGATTGTGCACGAGTGTCTCGAAAGCTCCGGGACCACTAACTGGAGAGGAAAAGAGATAGGGGTTTACGCCGGCGCTTTTGGTGGGGTTCGTGCTCCCAAAGAGTCGTCGGGTTATTGAAACCTGACCATTCAAAGCTACGCAAGAGTTCAAGCTAACTAAGAAGCAGGACTGGGAAAGCCAACGAGCAAAGGACCCCATGAATATAGGGCTTTACCCAATCCATGGATCTGGGGACTGGGTCCTAGCGAATAGGATATCGTACGAATACGGATTCGTGGGCCCATCGTGAGTTTCGAATAACTACACATGCTATAGTGATGGAGCTAAAGTTCCGGGGTGTAGTATGACGGTTCGAACGGCCTGTGCCTCTTCACTGACCGCCCTACATAATGCTTGTCTAGCAATTCAGAAGGGTGAATGTGCAGGGGCTATCGTCGTGGGTTCCAGCCTAATACTCGACCCACAGATGACATTAGTCTTGTCGAGCCAAGGCGTGTTGGCTCCAGACGGTCGATGTAAAGCTTTGATGCTGGCGCGGACGGATATGCACGTGGTGAAGGTATCGTGGCTCTCCATGTAAAGAGGCTAACAGATGCTATGAACGACAATGATCCTATTAGGGCCGTGATTCGCTCTTCATGCGTAAACTCAAGCGGCCGTAGCACGGGGCTCGCACAGCCTAGCGCGAAGAGTCAAGAGACTCTTATCAGACGGTCCCATACTCTAGCCGGAATCACAGACGTATCGAAAACAGCCATGGTTGAATGTCATGGAACGGGCACGCCAGTTGGTGACCCAGTCGAGGCGCGCGCTGTTGCCAGTGTGTTTGGAGAGCACGGCATATATATTGGCTCGGTAAGAGCCCTCTCAAAAAGGTCATGAAAGTTACTAATTTCCATAGGTTAAACCAAACCTAGGTCACTCAGAGGGAGCATCCGGTATCACTTCAATAATCAAAATGATCCTCGCGCTAGAGAAAAAGCAAATCCCTCCGAATATCAATTTCAAAGATGGCCATCCGGATAGTAAGACCCTATCTCTAGTTCGTAGGAATACCTTTTAGCCAGCTAACGGATTTTATAGTTCCCTGGAAATCGGCGCTCCTCAAGGTACCAGTCGAAGTAACCCCTGGCCTAAAGATCGTGCAGAGCGTGTATGTGTCAACAACTTTGGAGTCGGTGGGGCAAATGCAAACGTGAGTATTCATCAGGCAGGCTCCGCGGTGATTAGCTAATGGTTAGACTAGATTTTGCTCGAGTCCGCTGCGACAGTTCTCTCCGAGGGGTGCGAGAAACTAGTACCGAGGCCTTATATAACAGCCCGGACCAGCCGTACCTACTGGTTCTATCAGCAAATAGTGCCGAGGCGCTAGTTGAAATGGATAAAAACTTCAATTCTTATTTGAACGCCCACCCGGAGCGATTATTGGATCTCAGCTATACGCTCGCTGTCCGACGAAACCATCTTCCCTATCGAGGATATGGCGTTGCCAAGTTAAGTGGAGCCTTGGACAGCATCATCTTCTCATCGGGAAAAGCAACGGCACAGAGGGACCTGGCATTCGTTTTCACCGGCCAAGGTGCACAGTGGGCCTCTATGGGGGCCCGCCTCTTCGACATAAACGAGATCTTTAAAGAGACTATCGAGAGTCTTGACGCGCACTTGCGCAGCTACAATCCACCACCGCTCTGGTCATTAGCAGGTAAGAGAGAGTTTAAAGATCCATAGTGTACAATACTAAGTTTAGTAGATGAATTGTTCATGTCCAAGGATAAATCCCGACTTGGCTTAGCTGAGTTTTCGCAGCCATGTACCACTGCTATTCAAATCGCTCTGGTTAACACCCTAAGGAGCTGGAAAATTCTGCCTTCAATTGTCATAGGCCACTCAAGCGGCGAGATAGCCGCCGCGTATGCTAGCGGTGCTCTAACCGCGGCAGCTGCCATCCGGGTAGCATACTATCGAGGATTAGCAACAACACAGTCAGAATTTCGAAATACACACAAGGGGGCCATGGCTGCCATCGGCCTAGGTCATGATGATGTTCTATCCCTTCTCCGAGAGGGGGTCGTTGTTGCGTGCCAGAATAGCCCAAGTTCGGTAACGTTAAGTGGCGATGAGGCTGCTTTATTTGAAGTGATTGCCGATATCAAGACATTATATCCAGACATCCTAGTGAGACCACTTAGGGTTGATTGCGCTTATCACTCGCATCACATGAAAGCCATCGCTTCAGACTATCTAACTATGCTCGACGACCTCAAGCCTACACTGCCGGAAATCCCGTTCTATTCGACCGTGGTGGGACGCTGTCTTGACAGCAGCACTCCACTCAACGCAGCGTACTGGGCGGAAAATCTCAGCTCATCCGTTCTTTTCTCCCCGCAGTGACTCGGATATTGCAAGAGAGAGCACCCCAATTGTTCCTTGAAATTGGGCCACACTCTGCCCTGGCCGGGCCACTTAGAGAAATCTCTCGTTCACGTGGTATAAACGCAGCGGACTATAAATACACCCCAACTCTTGTGCGTAATGTGGACGCCGTTGCTTCTATGCTGAACACAGTCGGATACCTTTTCCAAGAAGGGTTCAATATCGACTTCTCGAACATAGTCCCGGTCGGCCGCGTCCTCGCAGACTTGCCAGTATATCCTTGGCAGCGATCGGGAAATTTTAGAGATGAGAGCCGCGTGGTTGCGGAATGGCGTCTCCGTGAGTATCCTCATCACGACCTCCTTGGTTCAAGAATTAGCCTCACGTCAAACTCCACCCCAACCTGGAGAAACTTGTTGGATGTATCCGACGTACCTTGGGTGGCCGAACACAGGGTAAATCAAGAGATTGTGTTCCCAGCTGCTGGCTATCTATCGATGGCCGGCGAAGCAATAAGGCAACTTACGGGCGGGCTGCATTTTTCGGCACGAGCAGTCAACTTTGTGAGCCCATTACTGATCCATGAAGGCGAAGATACGGAGCTTATAACAGTTTTAAAACCCGTCCGGCTTACGAATACCACGTATTCAGAATGGTATGAGTTCGAGATTTCCTCTGTTCGGAAAGGCATATGGATCAGGCATGTGTTTGGCCAGGCTCGGAAGGACATAGCCCTCAGCGATGACGCCACTCTAGCACACCCCGACCCAGGCCTCCGTGTGACAGATGGCGCATCGTGGTATTCGGCTATTGATAGAGTTCAGCTCAGTTATGGGACAAGATTCCGGGGTTTGAAGAATATCAGGGCCGATGTTATCCGCCACCGAGCAGTCGCCGACATCAGAAACGACATAGCCATTAGCGATTCTCACTATTGCCAGCATCCATGCACGCTCGACTTTGTCTTACAGCTAGCATATATTGCTAATTGCAAAGGCTTACCGCGGTTAATGACTACGCTAGCCGTGCCCTCCTATATTGAAGAGGTCTCTGTTCGGGCCCTTCCCCACGGAGCCCACATTGCCATAGAAGCAACGACTGATCCATGCGGTACACGTGGCGCCTACAGTGCAGATATCTTAGGGATATCGAGTGGAAAAGCCGCCATCAAGATGAAGGGTCTCCGCATCAGTCCCTTGGGTGGGCTAGATAGCACCACGGGGACAACCCACACGGCGCCGCAGAACTCGTGTGGAAGCCCGACATCTATCTAATCGATCTTGCCAAACTAATCAGAACGAAGAAGGACTTTCATGCCTCAAATATACTGCTAAACCGATTGGCTCTAGCCTGCACTATTGAGTCATACGCGCTGCTCAAAGGATTGTCGCCTGCGTCCGAATTCATGTGCAAATTCCGGACAATGCTCCGTGAGAGGCGAGATCAAGCAGAAAACGGATATTCCTCCACACTCCCAGACGCTAAAGATATTACTGCCATGTCTTCACCAGAACGCACTGACCTGATCGAGAAGCTGCATGGTGAGGCGAACAAGGCGGACTGCTGGGCCTCGGCTGCTGCAATCCGCCGTGTATATGAGTCCTGCCGGGGAATTTTTACAGGGGAGGTGGACGTGCTCTCTATTTTACTCGAAGATGATGTCCTCAGTCGCATCTATAATGAGATGATGATGACGGATTACAGCGACTTCTTCACACTCGCGGCGCATTACAAGCCCAACCTAAAGATCCTCGAAATCGGTGCCGGAACGGGAGGAACGACAAACACAATTCTTCCCCTCCTCAAAAACAAACATAATGATAGAATGTACTATTCTTATACATTTACTGATATATCTCCTGGTTTCTTCAATGCGGCTAAGGATCGGTTCAACGAGTTCCCTGGGATAGAGTACAAGGTCCTTGACGTGGAGAAAGACCCCGTTCAACAGGGTTTCTCAGAGCACAGCTTCGATATTATTGTCGCCGCTAACGTGAGTTTTGTCGAGTTTTGTCGAGTTATGAGAACATATCTAATGGCGTAACAGGTACTTCATGCTACGACTGATCTGACTCGAACATTACGGCATGTGCGAACTTTACTCGCACCAAAAGGGAGACTCCTGCTCTGCGAGCTCTGCCCGGAAACAAAATGGGTTAACTACATCATGGGGACTCTGCCCGGCTGGTGGCTCGGCGAGCATGATGACAGAGCCGTTGAGCCGTATGTCTCGCCGCAGCGCTGGAGTCGTCACATGTATGAAGCCGGCCTAGAACTACTCCCGGGGTCCCATTTTGATGGGGAGTTGAACTGGAGCATGGTGGCGGCACACCGATCAGACCCGCCAGCTCGTATGGTGACTATATTACACTCTGGGTCACAAAGATCCACCCTTAAAGCAGTCCATGATGCATTTTGCAAAAAGGCTACACTGCAACCGACTGCCCTCTAGGTATCGCGCCGCCGCAAGGGGTCGACATCTTCTCAATCATCGACATTGAGCAGCCATTCTTCTATAACATTAGCGATGAAAACTTTGAGAAGTTCAAAGATCTACTAACCGAGGTCAGCCCGAGCGCTGGGGTCCTCTGGGTAACGGGCGCTTCTCAAATTGACTGCCATGACCCCCGCTACGCACTAGCCCTTGGCATGGCCCGAACTATACGAGTGGAGCAAAATATCGATTTTGGAACACTCGAGCTCGACCGGCTTGACAACTCAGTGTGGGATACTACAGTCAGCGTTTTTGAAGAATTTCAGTCTCGAACCCGTGACGGCGAACTTGACGCAACAATGGAGTGGGTGCTGTCGGATGGCGTAGTCAAGGTTGGACGCTTCGCCTGGGTAAATCTAGACGATGAGCTCAAGGAACAGTCCTCCACAGTTTCTCAACGCACACTTGAAATCGACTTGGCTAATTTCAATGATTCGCTTAAATGGAGAACGTCTGACTTGGGCGAGCCGACTTCTGATCTCATAAGCATCCGGGTCTGTGCTATAGGTCTTAGCTTCAAAGACAAGTTGATCACTACAGGCATCCTCGACGTAAAGAAATTGGGATTCCAATGCGCCGGTATTGTGGAAAAAGTAGGACCTGGTGTAGCTACCCTTATCCCAGGCGACCGTGTTGTGGCGATAGTATCGGGGGCGGTCGCGACTGCTATAATAACGCCGGAGAAGCTGTGTACGAAAATCCCTGCTGGCTTACCCTTTGACCTTGCGGCATCTATGCCTTTAGCATACGGAACGGCCATATATGGTCTAATGGACAAGGCCAATCTACGGAAAGGGCAAAGTGTTTTGATACACGATGCATGCAGTGACATCGGCCTGGCTGCTCTACAAATTGCAAGCATGATCCAGGCACAGGTAAGGATATCATGATGGTATTGCTAAATCAGCTGAATCTTACGAACTCTTCTAGATCTTCTGCACCGTTGATAGTGAAGAAAAAGCACAACACCTGGTGGACCGATTCAATATCCCACGGCATTATATTTTTGATTCTCGGGATACTGCCTTCCAAGAGGACATTCAGCGCGAGACGAACGGATATGGTGTGAATGTGGTACTGAACTCACTCACTGGCGAGCTTCTCCAGGCCAGCTGGAGATGCGTGGCCAAGTTTGGCTATCTTCTTGAGACCGGCATAACAGATCTCGTCGGAAATGGTGTGCTCTCGCTGGAACGGTTTCAGGAGGGCCGATCGTTTATAGGGATCGACTTTTATCTTTTCTCCGTAGAGAGACCAGATGAGTCTAGAAGGTAGGTTCCTTAACTTACTTTGCCACTATATAGCTGACATTGCAACGGTAGGATCCTAAAATCGATGATAGAGCTCTATACCTGGGGCTTCATTCAGGCTATTGAGCCATGCATCCAGGTGCCAGCGACCAAAATTGAGCAAGCTATCCATATCCTACAAAGAAAGGACAGTCAGATTGGAGCTATCACTGTAACGATACCGGAAGCCCCAACCGAACTTATCATCCATGAGAAGAAACGTCGTTTAAAATTAGAAGGCGGCTCATACTTGCTCGCAGGTGGCCTTGGAGGACTGGGTCAAGCAGTCGCTCGATGGCTAGCCGAAGCAGGAGCGAAAGAAAGTGAGAGTGCAGAACTTACGATCTGAAGATGATTTAGAAGGATTGATACTAATTAATTCTTAGTTGTGTTTCTCTCTCCTTCTGCGGGGACCTTGGGGCAGCACGGGGATCTTGCGCGAGAGCTCGAAGCCCTCGGCTCCACCTCAATCTTCATTGCAGGATGCGCGGATAAAGTCCAAGACGTCGAGCGAGCAGTTTGTGCAGCAACAAAGCCGATACAGGGTGTCATACAAGCATCCATGGTTCTCAAGGTAACGTCTAGGCTACTTCTATCACTATTTATCTCGTTAACCAGTCGAGCAGGACTCCGAAGTTGCATCCATGACATGTACCGACTGGGACACGGTAATAAGGCCGCGAGTGAGAGGAACCTGGAATATCCACCAGGTCCTGTCGCGGACACAACATATGACCGAGTTCTTTGTGTTATTCAGCAGCATTTTAGGCATATCTTGCCAACCCGGACAAGCTAACTACGCTGCGGCCAACACATTTTTAGACGCATTTAGCCAATACTGTACTCGACAGGGCCGCCCATGTCAGACGGTAGATATCGGTGCTGTCGATGGTGTGGGGTACCTCGTCCGCGACACCCGAGCGCGTGATAGATTCCGTGCAACTGCAGTGCATCTTCTAACAGAACAGGATATCCTTGACACTGTCCAATTCGCCATTCAGAGATGTGTAGCGAGTAGTACCAGACGACGAGAAGGGGCTTCGCTACAACACGAGAGGCTTGGACAGTGGGAGTACCAAAGCCATACCCAGATAGCGATCGGCCTCCGCTCCACAATGCCGATCAAGTCTGAGCAAAGCCGTGTCTCGTGGAGAAGCGACCCTAGGATGGCACTCTATCATAATATTGAAGACTGCCAAGAGGTTTCTAGCCAAAGCTCTGAGAAAGATGAACTGAAGGAGTTCCTCAACACTATAGCTTATAGTCCAGAATTTCTCGACACTGCGGATGTGCCTGCCTTCCTAGCGCAGCAGATTGGTAAAACCCTCTTCTCATTTCTCCTTCGACGCCCGGACGAGGTGCCTGATATTGACCAATCGCCCTCGTCTATTGGTATGGACTCACTTGTCGCCATAGAAATTCGAAATTGGATTTCTCGGCGATTACAACTGAGCCTCAAGGTGCAGGAAATTATAGGGATTTCCAGCCTTCGGCAGCTAGGAGCGAATATACGGGATAAAATGAAGGAAACCTCGCGAATTGTTTTAGATATCTGAAGAGTAGTAAGGAGGTCTCTTAATATCATTTGCCAGAATTGCTTAATATTGGAGTATATTTTCAGGCCTAAAAGAAATAATTACTAGCGTTCGGCTTGATTTTCGTGTTACATGTCGTTCTCGAGATCGCCACTGCCGCCCAAGTTAGTATGATAGAGATTAGTCGAACCGATCTATTTTAATAGTATTCAAAGATGGCGCGTCGCTGATGTGCTGCCCTAGCTCTCATTTGGGGGTGCTTAGAGGTCCCTTCAAAACCCTCGCTTAGGTCTTCGAGCTCTCGCACCTAATATTCAGGGTTTTAGGCAGATCAAGTATGACCTCCAGATTACATGAGTATGTTTAGATGTTAATGGCAAGTTCCATTTACTATTAAACTTGTTTTCGTTGGCTTACTACTCACCAATATGCAGTTATAGATGAATCACCTTAGGGTTATAAAGCATAGTAGGATTGAAGACCTCGTCGAGGTTCTCCCTTAAGCGCGAAATATGCTAAGTGACTGCCATATATCATAATAGAAACTCGTGAGATAGATCTTCCAATCTAGGAGGGGTTAAAATTTACGTCACAGGTGTCTAGAGGAGCTCCTATGAAGTATAAATGAAACTAGTAGTCGGAATAGTATCTTCTTAGCGATCTGCTTGACGATGCTCCGGAACTTCACCGGGGACTCTATAATTGCTAGCGGCCTCGGAGAGGCGCATAGATTCAGGTCATTACAATACCCCTTATAAAGTTCCGGTCTTTAGATTATGTGGCACCTCGACCTCGCTTCTTGTGAGCGGCTTTTTCGGCCTCATAAAGATGGCGATAAACTGCGCAGCCATTATCTAGGCCTTTAATACCATCGGTAGATGCCGGATATCCTACTCCAACCTATTAACGCGGCTATACCCATTAGAGCTCTTGGTATGATGCTGTCCATGAGTACCATGTGGATCGTGTAGCTTGCCATTGTCCATGCGACACCGTATATGATCACTTCTAACGAGTTGTGCTGTTCTCCTTTGGAAACTTTCTTGTTCAGGTCGGGCTTACGTCTGTTCATTCCTGAAATAAAACGCACTACTATAGAGCAATCTAAGGTTCCTGTCTAGTGGAGGCATTTGGGCGGTTAAGGCTCGGAAGGATGTTAGCAAGTCAATTGAAAAGCACTAGAACGCATCTACTTTCGATAAATGGTGAAGAAAGCCGGTGGAGTAATTTGAAGGACTCAGGTTAAGTTGATAGCTAGAAGACTACTAGCTCTGAGAAGCTAAAAAGAAAAAAAGAATAGATGGAATTATCCCTAGAGACGAAGAGATCAGAGCTCGAGGCCTAGTGTATAGTAAATACGAAGGGGATAATATCTTTACACCTAACCGCCTTCACTGGTCCATAGCTCGAATATATCAAATCCCAGATAGAAATTAACCTACGCCGAGTGCAGACTCAGGCTAACTAGCAAGAAGTGACATGAACCCCTTAGTGTCCATTCATTATGTGCTAACTCTATATCCCAGATCGCACTACTACTACCTCTGGTAGCTTTGCATCGCCACCAGTCAACATGGACCTAACCTTACCATGTGTCGCCAGATCCACAACCGCTTGCACAATCTCGGCCATGATTGGGGCAGCTTTAGAGAATAAAAGGCTACCAAAGACAGTCTTCAAATCAGGTATTGCTTCAGAAGGAAGGGCGTCGCCTAAAGCCCCCAGCAAGGTTGGAATGTCTGTGAACGTTGAATGTGTTGCTCCAGTGATAGCGAGGAGCGCTTTAGACCCTCGAAGGTTATCATAGAAGATGTTCCATGTAGCATCAGTGTCTTCGTGCTCCTGCCTTCCGGCAAGAAAAATGGCTGGTCCAGGCCACTATCGAGGGCAGGGTTAGCGATTAGGCCATCAAAATTGACGCCGCCGATGATACGTTTGTCTGAAGCCATAGCTACGGCTGCTGTAGCACCTCCAAGAGAATGGCCAGTCCCGAATACGTGGTTGAGATTGATGCCAGGAACAGGGTTCTGGATAAAGTGGGAGAGAACAAAGGAGTAGTCCTTGGCGCGGAGTCGAGTGACCGTCTCAATCACAGTTGAATTGTCGGCATCTATCTCGACAGCTTTATAGACCGTTCCATCGGGAAGTTCCACGACGGGACCTTCATAAGAGTGATCGATTGTCACAACAACGTAACCGTGGCTTGCAATCTCCCTAGCAATAGCACTATAGAGAAGACGTGAGCTGCCTAGACCGGGAGAAAATAAGATGAGAGGATGCGATAAGAGATTATGAGGTTTGCAACGGTGACGTGAAGTCACACAGAATTCCATCTCCAGCGACGAAAATAAGCCATCGGAGAGTCCGAGCTCAGCTGCCATGCCATCATAGTATGAAGCAGTCGCCGGGGTCATATAAGGAACTAAGCTGGTGTTTTGGCATGGCGTATTACTTATGTCGACGGGCGTGAAAGTAGAGAATATGACCCTACGGTCGTGAGGATTGCTGGGGGCGCATATGGGTCGAGATAGCCGTGGTTGGTGATATCCTTTGTTGACAGGGACACGGTGTAAGGTCCCGATGGCGCTGGGATAGTCAATGCCAATGTCGCTCTAATTAGAAGAGAAATGAAGATTGGTTGAAACATTATGTTGGAGTAGAGATTGGAATCGTGATCGAATAATGTTGGAGTATATGTCAAGAGGAACATAGATCTGATGAACCTCTTTTTATATAACTTCTCTCTCTCCCTTAACTCTCACGGTCTTGCTCTAAGCGGCCTGATGTGACGTGAGGTCGTCGCCAGCTCCGAACAGGGCCCCACACAGTAATTAAATTTCATCACGACACTAGGATGACAGCACTTGCGTCGCGAGACCACTTCCTTTTCCGGTTTAGCGTATTCCCACAGATTGTCTCGTCCCACACCACGCCTTCGCCGTGGGGATTTTAAGGCTTCTTAGGTCTCATCTTCCTTCTTCTCATCTTTCCCTCTTTAGGAACTGTTCTCGCGACGATGTTAGGGCCCTTTGACCGTCGGACCAAGCGGTCCCGCTGCATAGCATGCGCCGCTCATCACTTAAAGGTGCGTCCTGGATAGCCGACGAATAGCCGCCCTCCAGCGAGTGGAATTGAGAACCCGGGGCTCGGGCTGATTGTTGAACAGTGCTCGGGTGAAGCTCCATGTCATCAATGCCAGCGACGGAAAATAGCTTGCGCGTTCTCAAACCCGCGACCGTGGAAGGCTAAGCAAGCTGTCATATCGATTGACCAAGGCAAGCATTTGACTGCAACTAGCTTCAAGGCGGCCCCCACGCTCACAGCACCATTGTTGGAGTCGAATTACTCGTTAACAATGTGCTTACGAGGGTTTGATACGTTTATCAGTAGGAACAACTTTACAGGCCATAAAATCGTCTTCCTCAACGACATTAAAAATTTCATCAAAACGTCGGGCCAACAAGGAGAGCCCGCGTCGCACTTATTGAGCGCGGCATTGGCTCTAGGTGCTATGGAAGTTCGCAAAACACTTACCATGAGCTATGAAACAAGATATGCTCTGCGTTGTGCGCTGAGCTATTATACCAGCTCAATCAAGAGTCTCCGAGAGACCATGGCGTCTGATTTTACGGGAAAACTGATACAGAGAACGAATATTTTGTGGACTACTTTCTTTCTTGGAATATTTGAGGTTTGGCTGGCTATATGCTATACTATTAACTCCTTATACCTATCTAATTATACGCTACTACTAGCTTATGCACGACCCGTCAGGAGCTGGATGGCTCCAACATGCAGTCTATGGCACCTCCAGGGCCCTCGTTGCCAGTGGACCCTCGCATTGTCTCAATGGACCGAGCCGCAACTTCTTCATCCAGGCCCGCACATTTGAAATTTGTCGATCTGTCATTTTTAACGAGCCGAGCTTTCTCACGGAGCCCGAGTGGATGGACTTAACACTGCGCTTACGCAATTCTAATGGGTCCCTCCAGCAACCCTCTCAATCCGCCCTTTTAGACTTAGTAGTCAAGGCGTCAAAATTACGCGTGAGGTAAGGGACTATATATAGTCTTTGTGCCACAGTACAACCTGACTAAAAGATTCATAGGGTCGGAAACCTTTTCCAGCAATCCGCTCAGTGTCCAACGGATCCAAGTTTGCAGCAGTTAGCTAAAGAGACGGCTACTGAGGCCTTCCAACTTCATGATAATCTTGCAATCTGGGATCTAGAGGATTCAGCAATGTCTTTTGGGCATGACAAGGATTTTGACGACGAGCAGGTACTTACAAGAATTTTCTTTGCAGCTACAAGTATATACCTCTCGGGTAATTTTGATTACAGGCTAGACCTATGGCGGGGATACAACATCTCGGTGCCGGTTCTCTCGAAGTCTGAAATTTTACAGCACTTTGATACTATAACCAAGTCTGTAAAGAAAGCACTAACCGAAGCACGGCTATCACCGCTTTTGTTCTTGTACCCATTGCGGGTTGCTGGCTCTCGTTCGCAAGAGGTTTGGCAGCAAGCTATCGTCCGAGACTTGCTGTGTAAAGTTCGGTTAGAATTCGTAGTTGCAGAGACTTTTTAGGTGAACTAGAAGAGCTCTGGCGCCAGCGAGATCAGTTACTGACGTAAGCCTCTATTGTCCGTCAGCGACCCTGACGTCATAGCATCAACAGCGCTAACTCGCATTCAGAAGGCCGGTGCCCTATTGGGCAATCGGACAGGAGGCTAACGATCGCTAGACGGGTGGTCGTTGCTGGGCAAATAAATAGAAACCAGCGTTCAGCTTTCCTCTTAGCTAGCCCATAGAAGAACTGGTTAGCTAGTAGCATCGTTGATCATCGGCCTCGGTTTATTATTACCTAGGTACCTCGGCCATCGCAATTTGGACACTTCATCTGACCCCTCAGCTTTGTCGTCGCGACCTGATAAATCCCCGATGATAAACCCCTCTTCTACAATGTCTCTACGATAACCAATTCTCACCTTTGTATCCCATCTTCCTCTCACCTCTAATTATACGGCCGTACTGACGCCCTCGCTAGATATGACTTCATACGACGGCCACTGCAACTGTGGGGGCATTGAGGTTTCCTTACCCCAGGCACCGTCAACGGTTATAGCTTGCCACTGGTATGTGGTCGCTAATTTATCCTATATTTTCGAAGCCACTCGAAATTAACGAATTTATTCAGCTTGAATTGCCGCCGCACCGGAGGCCGTACGTATCAGGCCATTCATTAGTTATATAACTTATGAGCTAACAAATTTTGCCAACTATATAGCTTATTCAATCAACTACATCGTTGAAGAATCCGATGCATCGATTAAGGAGATCACGAGTGTCCTAACCTTATACTCGGACAAGAACACCTTTTCGGGAAATGAGATAGTAGTATGTTGCCTCTGTCATCCTAAGAATAGATTATAAGCAGGTTACTCATGGATCCTCTGTTATAGCGCCAGTTCTGCAATAATTGCGGAAGGTAAGCCTCTAACCTTGTCGCTTCAACTCGACCTCTCAACTTATGTGATTCTCTTAACTCATCTGCATAGCTCTGTTTTGACACGTAGCCCGGCTTTCCCGGGAAAACTGATTGTGAAGGCATCGTTATTTGATCATATACCCTCCGAAAAGAAAGAGCTTTTCGCCGAAGAAAGGGCCATACATTGGGGTTAGGGATGGTCAACATGTAGGACGCAGAACGCATCAACTGAATTTCCACATGATTAGTTATCTTAGGATAGTAAAGAATGATGGAGGTGTAGAAATATCCTTCCAGCTACGACTATGGATAGTGGTTGGAAATTGCACCTTTACCCTATCTCTCTTTGCAGCCTGCGGAGCCTATATCTCCAACTTAATAGTATTCGTCTAATACCGCCTATACCCGAATGTGTATCTCGGCCTTAAATACGTGCATCTCTATAAATATTACGACACTGATATAATACTGTACTTATAAGTATAAATGACCTTTAGAGGGCATAAATATTCATCTATTCTCTATACCCATCGACTAGTCATTTGAAGCATTGTTTATACCTTTAAGCTTGCCACCTAGATGTGAAGTAATTCCTTCATCTACTCTTGTATATTGAATTATCACGGTCTGATGCCCTCATACAAAACCTTTAAGCTTTGAATAGAATCAAGCAACAAGGGGACTTCTCAAGTGCTGTTTATAGGCCCTTGCAAACCGTATTTGCTTGTCATAAATCTAAAGAAGGATTGACATTAAGAAAAGGTGCCCAGAAGCATTCCGAATATGCCAAAAGGTTCCGCGGAGCCTTTTATTAGTAGTCCGTCCTGACACGGAACGGATCTAGACAAGGGAGATAAACGAACGAAGGATAATGCCAATATTGAACAGTCAACATCAAGATCACCGAAGCTTTTGATAAGAGATAGGGTACAGAAAATGTCGATTCGCCTTTAACTTATTGATCTTCCCGGTGAGCAAGCGGAGAAGGGGCTTCAGAATACAGTAATAGACAGAGGAGATGATTAATAGAGTCGTCTTCTACCCAACAGCCTAGTTAAGAGGACTGACTGAATCAGCGAAAGGGGAGGCAACGTTGACAATAGCATCATGAGCTTAACGTGGGTCGGAACGTGGGCTTCCAAGTCAGGAAAATGTCAGGTTAAAATAAATGGATAAATAAGCGTATCAAATATAGGAGGGAATCCTAGTGATAATACAGCAGAAGATCTAGTAGCTCTATTAAAAGAGAAGAGGTAAGTAATGAACGTACCTACTAAAAAGAAAAGTCCAAGGAGGGTTGGGGGGTTATCTTTGCCTTGGTCCTCTGATAATGAGAAGGTCAAGCCAGATGACACGAGAGGCTAAGTAATAGTGTGACCGTCCCCTCGAGTCGGTATTATCCCGAGTGCCGAAGGGTCAGTCACGGGTGCTTACTCTTTCCTTCTTGGGTTTCTATTCTCTAATGTCGACGATTCAATCCTTATAAAGCGTGTTTAGACATGGTATGGGTAAGCGCCTGAGGTCGCGATAGCCTGTAGGGTAGCTTCTGGGACTATAGAGTACACATAGAGATGTAGCTTAAACCCCTTCGAATTAATCAATCTGGCGATTTTCCTAGGATTGGATGGAAATAGTAAAGGATGCTCAACATGATAATCTAGGGCTTGATAGAGTTGGCTGATAGCTAATTCTATAACACTTAGAATGCCTCCCTGTCCTAAAATCGCCTAGCTGTTGGCCACACCTTGATCTAAATAACCTCAAAGACAGGTGTGTATGCTAGTGGGCACGGTACCGTTACATAACTTCCTCCTTGCAACGCGTCCCCGTGGCCTCGCCCTGGGCGGAAACTAGTCGCCACTGTTTCCCCTTAGGAAGATAGACCGTAGACTGCATCTGACCAGCTTTGAGCACAGGTGCTACTAAGTACTTCCAACCGAACATATACTCGTCCTCGATTCTCCACGCTTTCTCGTCCTGTGGAAAGTCGTAAAACAAGGGACGCATGAGGGGGTCGCCGTGAATATGAGCAGCTTTCATCAGCTCCCGAATATAATCTTTCATCTTCTCCCGTAGAGCTAAATATGTCTTGCAGATTTGATAGACTTCCTCGCCATATGACCAAACCTCATTAGCGGCACCTGATCGACAGTGGCTACCTCCCGAGTTCCCTAGCTGAGGCTGGCGAGGTTCGCGGTCACCGTGGAGGCGCATCACAGGGCAGAAAGCAGCCCATTGGAACCAGCGTATAAAAGTTCTCGGAAGTTCGGGTCATCTGGATTGCCGCCGTGGAAACCACCGATATCAGTCGTCCACCATGATATCCCGGCCAGACCTGCGTTTAAGCCGGCGGAGAGTTGGTCACGAAAGCTACCCCACGAGCTAGCAATGTCTCCAGACCAGAGGAGAGCACCGTACCTTTGGCTTCCGGCCCACGCGCAACGGACCAAATTCACAACTTTATCCTGTCCGGAAGCCTTCATCCCTTCGTAGAAGCCTCGAGAGTAATCCCGAGGGTACCAGTTACCGATCATCAGGTTGGGACCTCTATAATACCGGTAGATGTCGAAATCATATACCGTATATTCGGGCTCTGCCTCGTCTAGCCAAAAAGCCGGATCCCTTTATCGTAGTAGTTGCTTTTCACCTTTTGCCATACGTACTCTCTAGCTTCTGGATTTGTTGCGTCAAAATGGACTGTGTTGCCTGGACCCTCCATAGATATCCTCCAGCCTCTATCCTGGTGGATCAAAAGGCCCTGAGAGAGCATGTCGGAGTAATTCTCTGACTGACGGTCGACAGTGGGCCAAACAGAAACCATGCATTCGATGTCTAAAGACTTGAGCTCCTTAATCATTGTTTCTGATAGTTACACGAGTATGTTGTTAGTCTCCTGATATGTTAATCTTCCTCATTAACCTGAAGGTCACTCACCAGGGTCAGGCCAGAATGTAGGATCAAATTTCCATTCGCCTTCTTTAGGCCAGTGGAAGAAGTCAACGACAATGACATCTATCGGTAGCCCACGTGACTTATGTTCTCGGGCAACCTGGAGTATCTCGTCCTGCGTTTGATACCTTAGCTTACATTGCCAGAACCCGAGGCCGTACTCGGGCATCTCTGGGACTTTCCTGTCACATCTGTATATGCCCTAACAATGTCAGAAGGCGAGTCTCCGGTAACAATCCAGTAGTCCATAATGTTGGTGGACGACGCTTCGAATGTCGTTACATTTGTACCAAACACAGCCCGACCAATTGAAGGGTTGTTCCAGAGAAAGCCATAGCCAAGGCTAGAGACTGCGAAAGGAACGCTAGCTTGGCTATTTCGCTGGGCAAGTTCCAGCTGTGCACCCTTGAGATTCATGAATGGTTGTTGGTATTGGCCCATACCATAAATCCGCTCCTCGGCATCAAGTGACTCGAATCGTGCTGTCAGCTTCCAAGATTCACTACCTAGCCGGGGATAAATTCCCGAGCTTGGATTGTTAGGGCGCTACATTTTGGGTCCATAAGATCGAGTCGATGGCGCGAGAATTCCTCTAATATGGGCTTGCCGGTTTTATTGTTGAAGATAAGAAGCTTTCCACGTGCTGAAATGGTAGCGGTGATATTCCCGTTTTTTATACTTGCTGTTTCGCCCGCCTCAATAGACACATCGTTAGGGGCTATGACTGGCTCTTCGAGCGCCCAGTTCTCCGCCGGAAACACGGGCTGATGAGTGGCTCGGACACGGAAGGCATTTGGACCCCATGATTCAACCCTCAGGGTCTCAGAATCGTACTTGAAAGATATGGCGCTTGATTCTTTAATGAAAGCCATTTCTGATCGAAGTAGGTGATTGGTGCTCTTAAAGTTTTGCTATAGATGTATGGGAGAATTGGAAATTGTCTAGAGTACCTGAGGAGCGGATAGGTTATAAGGGACGCAAAGTCTACGGATGGCTCATTGGACTCATTGGACTCATTGGACTCATTGGACTCTTTGCTTATAGCAACTTCAAGTCGGGGAAGATAGGACCGAATCCTGATCCTGAGAACGGTTAATTAATAATAGTGGTTCCGTTAGAGACACTGGATCGTATAGACTAGGGTGGTGATCCTGCACCCCACACCCCCTCGTATTCTCGAACTAAGCCTATAGTTCTAGAGGCGGCTAGCGACAACGCAGCCTGCCTTCCGATTTACTTTGCCCCCTTTCCTAGTGCCGCCATAGAACTCGAATTCGGGAAAGTTAGCCGATAGAAGCGAACTAAGAGGAAGAGGTGCTCATAGAAGATATAACCCGACATAGACTACCTATCGACATATCCGCACATGATTTACGAGGTGGAGGACGATAAGGGGTGCACTTACTTAGTATAGTTATACTTGACATCACGAAAAGATAGCGAGAGATTTATCGCTAGGAAATAGAAGGGATTAGGTTGTTATATATTCAGGCGAATCCACGATAAGAATGTTTAGATAATAAGGCTTATGATAGAGTAAATTACGAGAGAATAGTAGCTAGCTTAGATTTCTATACCATTCGGCTTTCTAGCCATAGACCCGCGTTTTTATAAAACGAAATCTTTGAGCCCTATGTCTACGACGTAGAGATTTACTGCTGGGGCAGCTTTACCTGCTCATCGTCCCTTGCATACGGATCAACGACTGCTTCTTTAAACTTCCGAGCAGGAACTTTGTTAGCGAACAGGAGATCTAGTTCCTCATAAGTCCGGCCCTATGAAACGATGGATAAATCTATCAGTATTCGTTCTAATAGTACTTTATAAAGTTATAAGGATAGAAATAAACTGATGTCAGTACTCACCCCACACTCTGGTAGTCTGAAAAAGCCCCAAATAGTCATCAGTACACTTGTTCCGCACCAGAAAATGCGGTCTTGCCCTTCCAGTCCCATTCTTTTGGATGGATCATGTAAGGTTCGAGTACGGCGGCCCAGACTGTGGTAATGTTATATGTATTACGGGCTAGGACGACAGACTTGGCCCGAAGCCGAACTGCGGAGGTCTCGGAGATGATAACATAAGCTATAGGCCCAAGTGTGAGCGAGTAGACTAGCTGCCAAATCAAGCATAGCGATGCCTGGGCCCAAAGGGCGCTATCATTGTTAGCGCTGGTGGTAGCGGAAATCATGCCAATAGTGAATAGTAGGATGGCCAAGGTAGAGATGCCCCCGAGAAAGATGGTCCGACGGCCGAAGTAGGTCAGTAGTAACCACGACAGGACGGTGCCGAGAAAGGCGAGAGCAGGGCTGCCAACTGCAAGCTTGTAGGCATCTTCCGTGTCCATGCCGGCCTGGAGGAAAAAGTAGGATGGCCCGTAAGCAAATTGGGCTCCTGAGAGCATTTGAGTTGCAAAGGTAAGACAGCAAATCTCGGTTCGGCGAAGATCAATACCTTTGAAGCAGTGCCAATAGGAAGACCCTGATTCAATCTCTCGCTCAATCTCAATAGTGTGAACCATTTGTGAGATCGTGGCGTTGAGTCTGTCGCTGTCACTGTCAGTAAGACGCGCCAGCGTCTTTTGGCATCTGCAAGTCGATTTTGCTTAACTAGCCACCAGGGCGACTCTGGAGCGAAGATGCAGCCAACAATAAGGACAGGAGGCCAGACCCATTGAATGGCCCAGGAATGCGGTAGCCCCACTTTGTTGTATTTGTCACAAGGCCTTGAAGGATACCATTGGCGATGAGCTGGCCAATGGCCCAGCACAGATTGCAATATACCTAGACGGTTGATATATTAGCAGATGTAAGGGGAGCACTCCGCCTGGAATTGATAATATGACGAGGGCGTTGAACAAAAAGTCGTGATACCGGAATCGAAAGAAGCCGTACTAAATATAGAAAATAAACCTACCGTCAGATATGCTCGAAGTGCTAAAGGGCAGACCTCAGACGCGTAGGCAGGGCCGGTTGTCGCAAAAACACCCCAGGGGATTCCACAGAGAATTTCCCCAACGAGGAGGACCTTCACATTAGAGAGAAGAAGACAACGAAAAGAGCTGCAGCCATGAACACCAAGGCTAAATTCATGGTCTTCTTATACCCGAAACGACTGACAGCCCATCCGTTGAGAAAACCGCCAAAGATGACACCAACATTGGCCCCGTTGCTGAGTCCCGCCTGCCATGGTCCTGAAAGCTGGTAGCCGTCAATATCCGGATAATAGTCGCCGTAATGTTTCTGGAAGGACGGGTAACCATAGAAGGACGGGAGAAGAGACGTATCGTAACCTTCCATGATGATGGCCGTGGAAAGCATCAGAGACCAGAGTACTGCCCGCTTATTTTTCTTAATCGAATCTGCGAAAGTCTCATCACGCTCTGCTGTGAAGGCGGTTTGGGCACCAGCGGTGTCGACCCATTTCTCGCTGGGCGGCTCATGATGAGCGTGCTTGGAGTCATCATAACCCATGGTTAGATGTTAGTTTGTTGAGTATAGTCGGACGATCAGAACATAGAACAAGATGCCAGTGACAGCGTCGCTGAATAGAGATGGTTTACAAAGAATTGGGATAACCAAATTTATATGTGTTTATGATGTAGCGTAGCTTAAAAGGTCGTTCTCCTGCGGTGCTATGAGACCTTCGACCGCCTCGGATGATACCCTCCGCCCTAAGGAATATATGCGGACCACGCTAATCCGAGAAAAGCATCGTGAACAAGAATCCCTCTGCCGTTTACTCTCCCTCCCCATGGGGAATAAGGGTGGAGCGTGGAGAAGGTTGGAGGATCACCTGGCGCTAAACAGATCTTGGCAAGGCTTGTTTCCAGAATAGGAAGGCATAGGCACTGTCGGCGTGGCTGGATCCCAGGAGTTTGGAAGGAACGAAGGAGTTAGCGGCGGGGTAGGTCGGACCATCTTGCGCCGAGTCCATGGGTTCTTCCTTGCCAGTCTCGGCATTCTTTCGCTAGGTGAAAGAAGATGTTACTTGATGCTTTATGATAATGGGGAAAGCTAGCGCTTCTCATAGAAATTCCCACGAAAAGGCTAACGAAGGAAATAAAGTAAATCGACTACAAGAACCCTTCCTTTGCCCCTATTACCTGTCTGACAGACCGGGAAATCACGGCGCAAGGGTATTACGGAAAAACCAGAAAACAAACAAATGCAAAGATGAGCCTTCGCGTTAGCAACCTCCGATTTGATCACCACGAGTCAGGTCTAGGTGTTGCCAGCGCTTCGCCATGCCTGTCGTGGAAGCTTGTCCCCGCCGCCGGAGCAAGTGATATCCCGAAGGATTGGCTACAGACATCGTATGAGGTGGAGGTGAAGCGCGCCTCCGGCATCAAGAACTTTCCAAACATACGAGGCAACACCACCACCCTCGTACCATGGCCAGATGATCCTCTAGTGTCTCGCGAGGTTGTCGAGGTCCGTGTCAAGTCAACTGGGACGGATGGAATATCTACAGAGTGGTCGGCCTGGAGAAAGGCCGAAGCAGCCTTGTTCAATCCAGAAGACTGGCAAGCCGACTTTATAACCGCGCCGAAACGAAATGACGAGAAACACCCCGACGAGAACGGTATCCGCCCTTTGCGATTCCGTAAAGCTTTCAAGTTGGCCGAATCGCTTGAAGGTGCAAGGTTATATATAACAGCTCTGGGGATCTACGAGGCGTATCTTAATGGGAAACGCATCGGTGATGAATGTCTAGCCCCCGGCTGGACTGCATATCAATCAAGAGTCCAGTACCAGGTATTCGACATTAGTCACCTCCTGACGCCTAATGAGCTTAACCTTTTATGCGTAGAGGTTGGCGAAGGTTGGTATGCCGGCCGGCTACTCTGGGGAAGGGGAATTTCCTGTTTATACGGTGACCGGTTAGCTGTCCTCGCTCAACTTCATCTTCCCGACAGGTCCTATGTGGTGACGGACAGCACCTGGGAATGCAGCCAATCCGCAATCGTCGCCAGTAGCATATATGACGGAGAAACATACGACCTCAGTCTTGAAACGGATTGGCTCAGAGAGAGCCTAGCTAGCCACGAAACTACGCTGCTTCAGTGGCATCAGGTAGAGGTTCTCCCTTTGCGAAGGCAAGACTAGTACCCTCTTCGTGTTCCCCGGTTAGGGTCACACAGGAAATCAAGCCTATAGACATGTTTATGGACGCGGATGGCAAGACACTCGTGGATTTTGGACAGAACTTGGTTGGTAAAGTGCGCATCTCGAAGCTCGCTCGGCCAGAGGAACACGCGTTACAATCCGTTACGCTGAAGTCCTTGAGAATGGGAAACTGGGCACCCGGCCGCTCCGAGCAGCTAAGGCGACGAACAGCATTATTTTTGGCGACAGGGGTAGGCCACTCACAAACTGGACGCCCCATTTCACCTACCACGGGTTCCGGTACATCGAAATTTCAGGTTGGAGCTCCGAGGACGTCCTTGACCCGCTCTCGCTGGACTCGCTCACTGCGCTTGTCGTGCATACGGACATGCGACGGACTGGCTTTTTCAGTGCTCTAATGCCGACGTGAACCAACTACACAGGAATGCATGTTGGAGTATGCGTGGCAATTTTGTATCCATTCCTTCAGACTGTCCGCAGCGGGATGAGCGGCTAGGATGGACCGGCGATATTCAAGCATTTTCCCCAACCGCGAGCTTCTTGTTCAATTCGGCCGGCATGCTACGCAATTGGATGCGAGACCTACTTGTTGAGCAGAAAGAGGCTGGCGGGATTGTGCCCTTAGTCGTCCCAAATGCTATGAAGCATGGGCCTTGGCCTAGCGTGCCTCAAGCTGTGTGGGACGATGTCGTGATAATCCTTCCCTGGAACTTGTATAAGTACTATGGAGATTCAGAAGCACTGAAAGAAGCCTACCCGGGTATGCAAGACTATCTTTCTAGCATCCAGCGCTCTCCTGATGGTCTTTGGACGGAGGATGGGTTGTGGCAGCTGGGAGATTGGTTGGATCCAAATCCGCAGGAGCCAGGCCTTGCCCGTACCGACGGGGTGCTTGTGGCTGATGCATTCCTTGTCCACGTCACTGGACTAATGGCCAAGATTGCTGCCGTTCTACATAAGGAGGCCGATGTTATCCGTTACGAAGCCGACATGAGAAGACTTCGTGAGTGCTTTCAGGATAAATATATAACTCCAAAGGGCCTTGTTGCCGGTGACTCACAAACAGCATTGGCCCTTGCCCTAGTTTTGGCCTGCACGGCGAGGGTGCTGCCCAGAGGAAAGTAGCAGCTGCTCGCCTCGGTCGTCTGGTCCGCTATGCCAAATTCAAGGTTTCTACCGGGTTCGCAGGAACCCCAACATCCTTCACGCACTTTCAGATTCCGGAAATATTGACCTTGCATATGCAATGCTTCTTGAGAAAGAGTGTCCATCATGGATGTACCCTATCTCTATGAATGCAACGACTATCTGGGAACGATGGGACAGCATGCTCCCAGATGGTACGATCAACCCTGGGCAAATGACGAGCTTCAATCACTACGCTCTCGGAAGCGTGTGTGACTGGATACATGCCAATGTGGGTGGTATCTCGCCCATCGACAGCGACGGTGGAGGGTGGAGAAATTTCTTAGTAAAGCCGCGGCCTTGCGTCGGTGGAGGAATCACGAGCGCTAAGACGGAGCTGAAGAGCGTGAACGGAGACATCTACTGCGAGTGGCACGTGGGTGACCAGGGGAGAACCTTTCATCTAGCCGTGGGTGTGCCACCAAACACATCAGCACGTGTGATTCTGCCAGACGGAAGCGAACGGATGGCAGGTTCCGGTAGGTATGAATTCTCCTCTATCCTACCGTCTCCATCCGAGCCATGGCCCCCAAAGCCTTTAGAAACCGAGTTCCGATAGATCTCACGATTTAGTCTACATTTTATAAGCATAAAGGTGCGAGCTTCCAATAATATAACAATGTCATTATAAGATTCTAATACCCCTTTATTATATTCTATTCTATCTTCGCCTCTAACCACTTATCAGGGCACATTTTAAAATAAGATAGTTATCAATGTTTATTACCTAAGAGAAGTTTATATTGTAATAGGTGTTAGTAGCATATAACTTCGGAAGAGATTTTTGCTTCAGTGAAGCTTAATTCTATGTCACAGATCCCGATCATCGCTTTGCTTCTCTATATCCTGTATATAGGAAGCTCTCTAGGTATTCCATGGTTTACCGAGGCTCCAAACCTTTTAAGTTCGAGCCAACCCTTCTGATCATCGACGCAAGTCTAAAGAATGTGATCTAGACTATGAAGGCCCTTAGTGGTGTTAATAGATTTATAACCCTATGATCAATATCAAGCGTTCTATGAATTAATTATGCAAACTTATCAAGACTTCATCTAACGTACTAGAAGCTAAAAGATTGTTCCCAAAATGATCCTGACCACTGTCTCGGGCTTGTCTACTCGTTTTGCTCCCAAATTCTTGTTTCAGCGTGCCCTCAGCTTAATAATCTTCATTATGCCCTATAGGAACTTGGGTGGCTAGCCCTGGTACCTTGCCAAGACAAGAGAGCGCATTTAAAATCTGCTCAAATGTACTCAGCAGAGGGTAGTAATAAAAGACGAAGGATTGGACTGGTGGGATCTGGGCAGCTGCATCTCTTGTAACCATACAAATACTACAATTAGTATGGGCCGTGTGGGCAGAACGAAGTACATCTCAGGTATCCTATCTGTAGTTCCTTCGAAAAGGCTTCGAGTGGGATTGTGCTCCCGCGCGCGCCCTGCGCATACACTCCACTTTCAACAGACCGACGCGGGTCTTCAAAGACTGGATAAGAGCGCCAAGCGCCAAGCATACCTTTTAAGGCTCCTCCTCATCTAAACGCATACCTGCGAGCTACGAACATCTACTTCTTGGCTAAAGCTAGCTATTAGCCCTTACGACCCCATTCAACCTGACAATTGTGGCCACACCTATTGGCTAGTGAGCTCCTAGATCGTGAAGAAACTTGCTCTCGGGAAGCGTTTTTATGTAACACACTGGGATCCGACACCACGGTTCGCTTAACTGTTTGATAAATGGCCCCATATCAGAGTGCAGAAAAGACCAGGACATCCGTGAAGGAGGTGGTGCTGGCCGTCGTGCTTCCGACACCAACAACTCCCTATTAAGGTGCCCCTCCTCCCTCTGCCACATATCCTCCTCGTAATGTCTCAAAATCATCTTCGAGTCACACCACATAAGTTTGCAAACGACGACGTGCCACAATGTCAAGCAATGCAATTGTCACATTCGCAGCGCTTCTCGCCCTTTATATATATGGGGTGAGGGCGGATGGCACAGGCCTCATAGGTTTCGGCAAGACCCTCTATAACCCGACATGCTCCTTTGCGTGCCGAAATGTTATACGGAAGCAGCCGCTTGGCTGTACACCTGAGGTCCCCTCGGTGAATCACGGCACAGCGCATAACCCGGTTGCAACGCCACCAGACTGCTTTGTCAAGGACCTTGCTTTCCTCAAGACCATGGCTCTCTGTATCGATACTTACTGCCCACTGAGTGACCAGCCACACTTGAGTCTGGTGGAAGACTATTGGGCGACACACTTGGGGACAGGAACATTAGGAAGCAACCTCTACGAACCCGTCATGTCATACCATGACGCCTTGAGTTCTGCGCGCGAGGATGAGGTTCATGCTCGCCAAAGCATAAATTCAACGACTGAAGATACTGACGGTGCCGGCTCTAGAAGCCATAATGAACATCACTTAGCGGAGGAAAAAGACACAGACGAGCCGGAGATTGTCGCCTACAACGTTTCCAGTCCTCTTCCTATTGCCGCAGGTGGGAACACTGTGCCTTTGAATGTCACCAGCTTTATACGCCCGGAAGACTGGCAAATGCAATACAATTACATGTCGGACTTCGAGATTAACGAAAAAGGTCACTCTACTATGACGTGAGTAGCTCAGCGTGGCACAGCCCACTCTAAAACCATCTATAGGTGCATATACTCACAACATCTCTACATATAGTATCACTATCGCGGTAATCGCTATTTTCTTGCCAGTATTCCTCTCAGTATTCCGTCATATCCCCGGTGTTTCAAACAGTCGTGGGTGGAGCTATGTCAAATCAATGCTCATTTACCCATCCTTATGGGGTCAGAGACACCGCGAGCCTATTAAGGGCATCATCATACCAACACGAGGTCAGGCCACATATATTGCCCTCATTAGCCTGCTTAATATTATTCTTCTACTCGCCCCCTTCACTATAACAAGACCGCAAGCGAGTTTTACAACGAGAGACATGCAGACTCTGAGCATCATAGGAAACCGTGCCGGGGTTATGGCAATGGGCAACGTCGTCGCCTTGTTCCTCTTCGCTGCTCGTAACAATATACTCCTATATATTACTGATTGGAGTTATGGGACTTACCTTCTACTCCATCGATGGCTAGGTTATTGGGCTATTTTTCATACCGCGCTGCACTCTCTTATGCTCTTGGCCTATTATATCAAGTCAGGCACGTATGAGAGTGAATTAGCCCGCGACTATTGGATCTGGGGAATTGTCGGCACCGTAGCTGCTTGTGCGCTAGTGCCATTCTCCCAGCTCTGGGTACGGCAAAAGGTCTATGAGATCTTCCTCGCGTCGCACATTATTCTAGCTCTATTGTTCATTGTCGGTTACTACTACCACATATGGTACGTATACACCTATAACTGGGGCTATGAGATATGGATTTTTGTCGCCGGTGGCATCTGGGGCCTTGACCGTGTCCTGCGAATCGCCCGTATGGTCCTCAATGGCAACCATACCGCTGTCATCACCACACTTGATGGCACAGATGGGGAGTACTTCCGCATTGATATTGAGGGGAAGTCGTTAGAGGAAGGTGTTGCCTATCTTTGCTTCCCAACTTTGAGCTGGCGTTTCTGGGAAACACATCCCTTCTCTGTGGCGTTCTCGGGGATTGAAAGGGCCGATGGCAATCAGACGGACCCGGAACACGTATCCGAGGGCGAGAAGTCTGTGGCCGTCTCGCGGGTCACCGAAGCCAAGAGAGCAGCTGAGGTTGGTAGCGGACGCTTTACCACAACCTTTCTCGCCCGCAGTCGGTCCGGCATTACGGAAAAGCTTACAGCACGTATAAGACGTGAAAGCGCTGTCAATTCGCCTGTCCGTCTCCGAGTCCTCATCGAAGGCCCGTATCACCATTCTGGCGGCCGCATAGCCTCCCAGCTAAAGCCGTGTACCAGCCTGGTTTGTATTGCTGGCGGCGTCGGTATCACTACTTGTCTTCCATATATGAAACAGGCTGGAAGCCTTAAGAGCAACAAGCTATTCTGGTCAACACGGGCGCCAGGGTTGGAAAGATCGTTGGCATATGTTATTCGGGACCTACCAACAAACGCGCAAGTTGCAACGGTGATTAGCCAGCGTCTAGATTTAGATACAATATTGGCTAGGGAGATGGACGGTAGGACTAGTGATGGGCCCATCGCTATTCTTGTCTGTGGACCTCCTAGTATGGCGGACGCGGTCCGCCAGCGAGTCGTAGGAATGGCGCGTCAGAGTGCCCAGTGTCGGCCATATATATTCATCGACGAGGCATTTAGTTGGTAAACGGGTTGGGCTGCCTCTGGAATGTTTGCTACGAAGCATTCAATCTGCTGTCTATACTTCAATTCGAAAATATAGGAATCTACTGGATATTAATTGCACCTAGCCTACAAATTTGGATCAGAATAACCATTATTTATCTATACATTGACTAAGACTATGCTAGCCTTTGGAAGCCTCTCAATGACGTACACGATAATATTACCTGCCACTTAGCCTTAATATCACCTACGACAAGACCCTTCAGATTTAAGGTCTAGTCATAAACTAGGCGAGGCCATTATTAACATATGATAGTGTAGAGGCGCCGGCGTCGAAGGGTGCTATCCTTGAATCAGGGTAGCCCTCGGTGGGCTCATACACTGATATACCACTCATCTAGTAATCTAAGTTGTATGAAATTCATGGACAGTTCCTTCTCACCTTCAAAGCCTTTTGTAAAGCGATGATTCGGCCATATCTTGAGCCAGGAAAGCTAGCACCTGATAAGCTTAAACACTTAGTACTGGTCAAGCGACGAAAGTCGCGATCAACGATTTGTGCCAGACGTGGCGCCCTGGTCCTCGAAATGGGTATTTTCCGACCCACGCTTGCTGTTCACTAGGAAAGCCGGCGATGAAATTACTAAATAAGAGCATTGAGTTGCTATACAATTATTTCGAGTAGCTTGTCACCTTGCTCAGGGTCTTAACTACGTCGGGTTAGTCGAGGAAGGTTCGATTTTAATTGAAGGGATGGGACAAAGACTTGCCACATCATTAGCAAGAACCAGGGTAGCATTGGGTGAGACATCAACCAGAGACAAGGCATAGAGTGCATCGACACCGTAGAATAAGGACTCCGTTTAACCATAATCATCAATCGGTGCGTATGAGCACCACCCCCACAGTTAGCGTACTTCGAGCGGGTACATTTTAAACGTGCGCCTCGACAGCCATTGGAGTTGACGTGGCGGCGGAGGCTTACTAAAATGAAGAACAAACCGACATCAACGATTTCATAGGTTTCGTTGCCACATCATGTCGCAGTCGTTGGACAAGCATGACTTGCGAAGGATGCTCATAGGTGACGAGGATGTGATAAATGAATCCTTCGTAGGGGTCTATGCGGCTCTTTGCAACATTGGGTCTATTTTTCATTTCACAACCTTGAATATGTTATGTAGAGCTCCGCATTCGGTGGATGAGGCTTGTCGAAGGAAGCGAGGGCCGGTTAGCGATGGTGTTCGGATCCGGGTGGGGAGCATCGGGGCTCACCTCAAGCGCTGTGTTGAGTTGCCGCAGAAGCTTCACTAGCGTTGCTTCGGAGGAGCGGGAAGTGGGCGTACCACGTTGAACAAGGCACCCCACTCTAAGTGCCGGTGCTACGGCATATCGATTAGCAGTTCCATCTACTCGGCAGCAAATTCCTCCGAGTCACTTGAGGCACGGACGGATTGTGGTTGAGAATCAACAAGGAAACGAGAAGAATCTATCATGCGAAGGCTTCAACCCTAAGGAAGACTCGCCTCTTCAGTAAACGGACGATGGGCAGAATCCGGGTATCCAGTGTAGTGCTTACCTTTGTTCTGTAGATATTTACCCCCACATAAACTCGCTCGTAAGCCAGTCCCCGCGTTACAAAAGGGCCTGGGTGCCCGAGGTAACTCCTGAACGACCAAGGTGCTCCGATTGATAAGATTGATTAGATCAATAGGAGCCGGCCTTGGTGTCCACCATCTCCATCGAGTGGGGGTACTTCGCTGAGAGTAAGAGGAGTGATCATCCAAATTTTAACGCAAAATTTTATCCAGATCCGAGGAGGGTCTCATCCTTGACCCGTCAGGATGGAGGATGTCACGACGAATACGTAATCTCCGCTATGTGCCGACTCCAATCGCTGGCCAGGAAGGGTCCACCGGCCGGGATCTCCAGTCGTTTTAGGTTATGATGGTCATAGATTTCCGTTACTCAATGCTGGATTAGGCAGATGACCCGTGGCGATGTGCAACTCGCGCTGCGCGATTTTTGTATCATCTCCGGTTGAAAATTCACTTGCTGCTTACTGCAACTCGACTCACCCGCCGACCAGTTTACGAAAGACCCGAGACTGTACCGACTCAACCTATAGTGATGCACTTTGAATTACCAGATTAGGCGTTTAAAATGGGGTGTCGAAATCACAATGAAGATGGAAAGCAAGACGCCAGGTGCAAAGAAACCATGACGTTCTAAGCGTTGGGTTGCCGGCGTGGAGACATCTAGAGAGCAAATGGGTATATAATAGATGGCGATCACCATGCTTTCCTGTCACACCGTCAACCTTCTTTTTGCAGTTACCCAAGACTCTGTCACTTCTTTGATAGCATAGCTCTCTACTGCCATGATGTCCACAAGACCAGTTTCTCTCACCACTTGGCTTGCTCTGGGAGCCTGTGCATTTTCTAAATGTGTCGCCCAACCCATTGACAGTACCGAGCCTGAGGTCTACGACTATATAGTCGTGGGCTCTGGGCCAGGTGGTGGCCCTCTGGCCGTCAATTTAGCTACAGCCGGTTATACTGTGCTGCTCCTCGAGGCTGGACAGAACTACACAGATGGTGTCAACCAGCAGATCCCCGCCTTTTTGGCGAGGCACAAAACGACGAAGAACAAGGGTGGTGGTTCTATACGAAGAACTACGGCGACCAGTCCAAAAGTTCGCGAAGCAGCAAGATGGTTTGGGAGAAGCCCGAGGGCGGATACTGGATTGGCCCGGATGCTCCAGAGGGGTCGTCCCAGCTGGGCATCTGGTATCCCCGTGCCGGCACACTCGGAGGCTGTGATACTCACAATGGAGGGCTGACGGTTCGTCCCTCCGACTGGGACTGGGATAATCTTGCCGACATCACCGGCGACAATAGCTGGGGGCACGACAAGATGCTTGAGTATTTTAAGAGACTCGAGCGTAATTTGTACCTCCCTGAGGACACTCCCGGTCACGGCTTTTCCGGATACCAGCCCATCGGCGTCGGCAACAAGACCCTCATAGAGGCTGACGAAATGATCATGGCCGTTGCGCAGGGCTCCGCAGCTGCCCTTGGCTTTGAGCAGAGAAGTTCTAGTACCGACTTCGACACGGTCGCGAACCGTGATATCAACCGTGACGATATCAACAGGGACTTTCAGAATGATATCTACCAGATTCCCTTCAAAAGGATGAGCAGGCCAAGCGTTTCAGTGCCGGCAGCCGTGTTAACCAGGGGGTTGCCGCTGGCATCCCTCTCACCGTCAGCTTCGACAGCTTCGTTACAAAGGTGACGATTGACGAGGACCTACGGGCCACTGGCGTCGACTTTCTCAAGGGCGTTTCGCTATATCGTGCCGACCCCGCGCTTCTAGTCGCAACAATACAGGCAGTCCCCGCCACGCCGCCGCCAGGCGGAAGTAATTGTTGCCGGCGGGGCCTTCAACACCCCTCAGATCCTCATGCATAGCGGCATCGGCCCAGCCGAGCATCTGCAGGAACTAGGCATCCCCGTCCTTCTTGACCTTCCTGGTGTCGGCCGGAACCTTGTCGACCACTATGAAGTCCCTGTCGTACAAGAGCTCGCCAAGAATTTCACGTTTTGGGACGACTGCGCCAACGATCTCCCGATTGAGCAGAACCCCTGCTACGAACAATGGCTCAACGGCCAAGGGCCCTGGTCTACCCTTGGATTCTACGAATTCGTACTCTATACATCCAGCGTAGCTCCACGTGGCGAGCGCGACTTGATCCTCTACGGTGCTAGTGCAACCATCCTTGGCCATCTCCCCCTTACTATAACTGGACTGATATCGAGTTGACCAACAACCATTACACCTATACCATCTCGGAATCTCACTCACGCAACCGCGCTGGTAGAGTTACTTTGAGAACCTCAGACCCCCTGGACGTCCCGGAGATCAACTTTGAGTACTTTGCGGACGGTGGCGACGAGGATGTCCAAGGTCTCATTGACGGAATCGAGTTTACTCGTAAGGTTTTTGATTCTATCCCTGGAGGTTCCAATATATCAATCAAGGAGGCCGTTCCTGGGCGCCACCTCAATACTACACAGGATCTAGCGCAATGGATTCGCGATGAGGCGTACGGCCATCACGCCGCCGGCACGGCTGCCATTGGTGGTGATGACGACCCTCTCGCTGTCTTAGACTCCCAATTTCGCGTTCGGGGCGTCGAAGGACTCCGTGTTGTGGATATGTCTGTCTTCCCTAACGTCCCTGGAACCTTTCCCCTAATTTCCATCTTCATGATCAGTGAGAAGGCGAGTGATGACATTCTTCATGACGCAGCCGCTTAGTGGGGTGATTAGGACCACCTCGATCTATAGTACTAAAGTATCAACTCAAGCGCACGGTCGAACAATACAAATTGTGTAATATTATTCCTACGTCTATCAGCGGCCGGCTTCGTGCGCAACGTGAGACGTAAGGCGAGGGAGAGGCAGCTACTAGAAACCTAGCGTAAGAGCAGTGGCGGACGGAGAAAGTAATATACGACATAAAATGGAAGCGGCCCTGGGACTTGGAGTTGTTATCACTAGCATCCGATATATGTACAGTGCTTATACGATCCTTTCCTCTAAAGGAGTATCTTAAGAGCTCGGGGTGTGTCAAGCTATAGACAAAGAGGCAAGTTAGGGAGGGGGAAAGAAGCGCATTGAGGGCCAACGAGGACTGCGGAAGTATAACTAGGCTTATGTACTATTTAAAATATGCCAAGATAATTGATATTTTCGGTTGAAGTCTCGCGGGCTCATCGAATATGGGAATAAGTCCACTTTTCTTTAATTATCATTCTTCACGGGCTCTCAACAGGGTCTTCCGCAGGGGATTCCTCCGGAGCCTCCTCGGGGCTTTCAGCAACCGGGCGCAACACAAATGTCACCATGCTTCGCGCAGGGACATTACCAGATACACTCTTGCCGTCCGTGCCGAGGGTAGCTGTGATCTCATCGCAGTCCCTCGTATTGTCGGTGACCCAAGCTGTCGCGATAACATATGCGTCGTCGCCAGAAACGTTGATTGTCACAGATTGGTCGTTACCACCGTTGATGACTTGCACCGCCAGTGCCCCATCGACATTCACAAACGCCGATGTCCGAACTCCTGCCCACCTTGAGCACCAACGCGAACGGCCCCTGGGCGGACGAAGCGGCTCCAGTTCGCGAAAGCCCAAAGTCTCTTCGACGGCTCGACCTTGCCATTATTGACTCGGATCAACTTGCTGTTCGTGTTGCTCGGCCTGTCTTGGGCACCGATCCAGTACAGGTATGCAGACACATTTCCGTTGGTGATAGCGGAATGGATATTGTTCGCCCACGTTAGGCCCTCTCCCGGGCCACCACCCTGAGACCAAGCCGCAGTCCAGCCTCCTTCATTGTCTCCGGCCTCGGTCATCCACGACTTCAGTTGCGTCGAAAGCGGCGATGAAGGTCCCGAGGTGTAGCTATGGCCGGTAACAACGCCCATCATAGATTCGACGCTGCGCAACGACCCCAAAAGTTGTTCATTACTTGGTAGCCCATTGTATCGCAGCAATTGATAAGGACATGGGAGAGGTCATTTTTGTCGAGCGTGGGTCGTAGGATTTTGATGAAATCGGCCGCTTGGCCTCCGTTGGAGAGCATGGAGGCGTACGAGGTCCTGCACATACAGCGTAAGCCATATACTTCTACACATTTAGAAGATCCCAGTGATAGAGGGTACGTACGACAAGTCGGGCTCATTCAGAAACCCTACGTGGGTAATGGTGATGTCTTCGGCTTGATAGAATTTGATGTACTGTGCCAAATAATCCGCATACGCCTGCGACCATTCACCCTTCAGATTTCCGCCGCCAGCATCATTGCCATTCGTCTTCATGTACCCCGGCGCGCTCCAAGCATTAGCGTAGATTGTCTTCACGCCGTAGGTGTTGACTGCTTCTTTCGTCACCCACAGCTGTCCGTTATCCGATCCATCCCAAACATACTGTGGCTCTGCAGTAGGGCTTCCCGGGTTCTTCGGCTGGATTGACACCATATGGTCGTCGGTCATATCCGGGAGGACCCGATGCCGTTACGCAGAATGCTTAGTCCAGCCCCTTATCCATGCTGAACATGAGGTCCAAGAACTTGCGCTGCTCGGTCTCCGCGAGTCGCTGCATAGTCACAGCACGCTGAAAGGCCTCGGAAGCACCAAAGCCGTCCATGGTCTGGTAGGTTTGCCCTAGGTTAACGTTGATAGCGGTCCCTTGTCGACGATCCAACGCGCCAGCCAACGCCGCTGGCGCGGCGCCGATAACGAAAAGCGTAGTCAATAGATGCATTGTGATGGCCTGCCGAGAATGAACGTGGTCTTGGGATACAGTCCACTACCATCAATAGAAGGGGAGATGAGCGAACTAAAATACAGAGAAAGAACCGCTATCATTTTACCCCATTAGCCCCCGCAACATACCTGCCTTCAAACAACAGAGCCGGACCAGGAAATTGAGTCTTGCTGAACTTTACACCGCGGCACGACATTGGTTGATTCCATATCCCCGCTGGAGCATTCTCCGCTTGGCAATATATTCCTTGGTCGTTTACCGAGGAGTTCCCCACACCCCTCATATTCAATATGAACAGTTCATGCTCCTGGCCATACGAGCGGCTTTATGAAATGCCTAAATAAGCCAGCCATGTTGCATTCGAATTGAGGGTCGTATCCAGCCTAAATGTTAGGCGGCGCTGGAACTTTATACCACATCGGACTAAGATGGGGTATTAATGATTGCTAGTATGGGGCTGCGAGACTGAGAATGTTTAATAGGTCAAATACCACGCAAGTTTAGTGGGCAGGCTGCTTTCCATATGCAATTAAAGAAGATGATGTATATCGACCTCGAGCATTAACCAAGCAGCTTCTCCAATTGCGCGAACAAAACAAACGCAATAAAGCATTATCACTATTCTTAAAAGTTAACCAAGACTATCGTTAGGCTAAAGGATATATAATCGTGTGTGGGCGAGCGCTTCGATCGAAAGAACGTACGAGATGGGGATGTGACATATAGGCTATCCCTAACCACCGACAGTGAGTTTACTAGTTGTAGGGTGTCAGGGGTCTATATGGTCAAGCGCAAGAAGAGGTCGTCAAGTAGGTCGGCGTAAAGTCAGGACTCGAAGCGGCGATCTAGGCTAGGCGAAGGTTGACTTATACTACCACTGTTAATGCTATGGAATCCATCAGATGGATCCAAATCTCGTGACAATGCCGTCTAACAAAGCCCGTCTCTACATTACCCTCTACACTAGTGGTGTCAGAGCTAAATGCTAGGAAGTGAAGGTAAGATAACTAATCTCCTGCCCACGCTCTAATGATTGCGGCTAATGCAAAAAGATATAATGAGGGCGCTGGTCCTGAAGCCACAGTAGATGGCGATTTGATTAATTTGGGGGCTCGGATGGCGAGGTACACGAGAAAGACGCCGGACAAGAGAATGGATTCGATGGTCTGGTCAAATGAGGGAGTGAAGTTGACCCTATTACGACAGTCTAATCTGGCCCAGCCCAGGGACCCAACGAGGTATCGTGGTAGCCAACTGTGTCTCGTCCGGTGTTAGTGGACCTATTACTACATATTTCTCGATTGGTTCGTTGGCTTGTGCCTTCCCAACGGAGTAAGTGCTTTGCACATTTCGAAGTTTGAACCTCGGATTGTTGGCGTTATCTAAGCGGTCCTTGATAGCCTCGGCTGCAAATGTCTGTTAAACCAGTCGATACACTGATCTTCTGCCTCTCCGGCACGTTTCGCGCTCTCCGACTCGCCCGCCGTGATATCCGCACGCACACAGAACCCATGTCCCGTATCACCGTAGATGCGTAGCTCAGAGGCCTGACTCTCGGGAAATTGGGCAAGCAGCGCCTCCACTTCCCGTGCCTTTTCCAGCGTTATTTGCGTATCCCTGTCGCCAATGGCAAAAGAAACCGGCTGCTTCAGGTTAACAACGTCGTCTGGAAGCTTGACCATACTAGGGTGCCCCGTGAAGGCCGCATCAATCAGAGTTAACCCGTCAAACTTGGCACCCTGCGCGAGAAGCAAGGCATGCTTGCCGCCCCAACAGAATCCGGCAACGCCGATAGGTAACGTAGCACCCTCTGCCTTGCGTAACTCGCCAAAGAATCTCTCGACTATAGGGTACGAACGGCCAATACGATTCCTCAAGATCCAAGGGACCACGCCATATATGGCCCATAAGATGTGTAATCTGAGCGAGTTAGCCTGAGTAACTTCTGCAAACTGGAGACATCGTTAGATACTCACGGCTTGGTGAGGATATTTTTGCCCGTATGAAGCTCCTTCATTGTGTCAAGCAGCCATACAGGCGCCGAGTAGCCTTGGGAGCGTTAGCGTGTAATAACATTAGACCAAAATGAATGGTAATACCAACCAAGCATGAAGTCTGGAAGGTATACTCTATAGTCTCCTTTTTCGGCGTAGTGGTCGGCGAGAACGTGGTTGTTTACAAAATCAAAGCCAAACGCATCGGGGATTATGACGATGATGCCACGAATAGGTCGGCCGCTTGTTGGTTCGCTGATATATGCCTTGAGGCCGTGAATGGTCGACACCGTCCCTCGGAGGGCCACACTCTCACGAGTAGAGCCGCTGAAACAGTCTGGGCAAGACATCTTTTGCAATTTTTGCGAGGTTAAGATGGTGAAAAGAAAATCCGTCTAGCCCGTCAAAGAGGGAGACTTTGGCACTTCCAAGCTATAAAGCGGGCGAGGAAGACTGTATAAAGAAATGATCCGTCGGGCGGGTAAGCGGCACACCAGTAGACTTACTCCCACTCGGTGAACGACAGGGTGCGCCTGAGACCGGAATTAAGCCACTACAACTTCCCTATTTCCGAGATCGCTTGTGGACCACCCACACAATCAGGGCGAAACGTGGTTTCCTTTTCGATACTATCACAGCGACATAGAACAGCGGATAGCGAGAATACGCGAATCTATGTGATAAGAAAACGAAAATATAATTGGAATCCGAGGAGCTAAAGAAAAGCAAAAAGCACCAACAAAAAACAAGAGGTTGCTAACTATATCACGTAACCAGTGCCTAGTCTAATACCCGACGCCACGCTAAATCCAAGCTGCAAAAGAAGAAAATCCCGACCGAAAACCAATCTCGCCCAAGGTCTAAGAGTCCGCTTTTTCTTACGAAACAGGGGTCGACTTGAGGTAGCTGCACTTCTCATCGTCGAAGGGGCTACCGCAACCGACCTCGTTGTCGGGATCAATGAAGACAGTGGGCAGGTTAAAGTAGCAGGTAGGAATCTGTCCGAAAACAGTGTTAGACAAGTCAATAGTATCCTTGTTCTCTGGTCCGTGCAGGGCGCAGTTGATGCTGGCACTGTAGTAAGGCTCGCGGTCTCCGAGACCATAAGAAGCCATCTTTTCGTAGATACCGGGCTCCGCTTCAACCCACTCGTTCTCACGGTTGGGGTTGTTGTTGTGGCGCATGAGGTAGAAGCAGTATTCCTCGCCATCCTTGAGGGAAGCCATTGGCGGCCGGTAGAAAAGCCACACGACTCGCGGGTTCGCACATTCTCGCGCCTGTCGGCGACAAGGTGGAACCGGGCGGCCTTGATGACGTCATTGGCGACCTTCTTCTGGATGTTGTTGCGGATTGAGCTAACGGTATCACGCACGATAGACTCGTCATCGTCAATAAGGAACCAACCGCCATTGAAGAACTTGGCAATCTTGGTTTCATAGGTATCCCACTTAGGCGCGGGAAGGAGTTGTACTCGTCTGCGTTGAGACCGCCGCCGACGGCAATCCTCAAAGTGCTGTCAATTTGGCGGTGGCTTGCTGGAAGCCATTAGCAAGCGCGGCCGAGATAGTACCCTGGTCTACCGGTTGGTCTCTGGTCAGGGTGGCAAGGCCGGTGAAGAGGCCACCAATAACACCCATAGCGGCAGCAATACCACCACCCTAAACATGCCGTTCTGTTAGCCGCAAGAAAGAAGAAGAGTAAAAGGGAGCGAACTTACAACTCCTGGAATCATGCCACCAATAGCGTTTCCCATGGTCGCCGCACCAGCGATCCAACCCATGGCCTGTCCTGGGCTCCCTTCTGAGCCGTCAAAATCGGACACCATCTGGCCAATGCGCAGGCCATTAATGAGGGTTTCCTGAGTCAGTTGGCGACTGAGCTCGGAGAATTTAGAGTGCATGCCGCGAACGGCCTGGAAGATCCAGTACGAGCTCTTATTGAGCGGGGTGGTTCCATATCGATCAAACTGATCGGCGCAGCTAAGGCCGTTCATGGGGTTACACTCGTTGCCAAGGGCTGCGCAGCCGGCGGCGCCGGACTTGCCTGAAGTGCCACCTTGTACAAGGTCTTCCATGTTCTTGAGCCAATTGTGCTCATGTTCTATAGCCATGTTAGTACAATTGTCCGTGTCACTTGAATTGGAGTCAAATAGAAAGCCATACCCCAGTGGGACTTGATGAACAGCTCAATCGAGACACTGGCACCAGTATCCTCCCATAGCTTATCGACACCCGCTGCGGACCGCATATCCCACCCCTTGCAAAGAGTGTCCTTGTTGTTGAGGACACCTTGGCGTTTGCTAATGAGGGTGCATCCTGTGACAAAGGGTGGCCAGAAACGGAGGCAGCGAGTGCCACGAGTGCGATGGTCGACCGCATGATGGAGAATGGTTATTTCGTGCTAAGGAAAGGACTAAGACGGAAAAGAAAGAAAGTTGAAAAGGAAAGGCAGGTTGCTATTGAGTAGGACTGAGAGGCTTGATGTTTGTGTGAATGACAAGACATAAAAGGAATAGCAGTGGATGGCCCAGACAAGCTTTTATACTCAATCGCGTCGCAGGTGAAGCCTTGGTGGTTTCGTCAACGGCAAGGATATGCCTCAAAGCCACCGATAACCCTATTTTCATTACACCATACGATGGTTGGTATGCCTGCGCTTAAACCGGACCCCGCCAAAAAGCGCCGTTCCGCTCAAGAGGATTCACCAGGATCGGGGAAAGCCCCCAGCTAAACCCGTCCGCCCCAGCATCCGAACGCCACACATTAGGCGCCCCGACCCCAGAGACATCAATTCATGTCAGCATCTAAATCCAGACTCACCCGTCGCCCACCCACCGTGGCAGGTTAGTGGAGGGGACCGGCCATTCTACATGCACAAATCCTCCAAGTTGCAACCTTGGGACGGCAATGCAATGCATCCTTCCTACTAACTAGGCCAAAATTCAGTCTGGGGTAGTGCTGCGACACTTGGCGGGAATACCCTTTCCTGTTCCTGACGGCGGTAGAGGCGGTGTGCCTCAATTGTGGAGGGGAGGTTCGTACGTAGGGTGCTAGTAGCATGATACCCGGGCCTCTACCGAAGCAGTTGCACTTAATACAACACTGAACCTTAGAAGGCGATCTACTCCTCCACTTCAACAAATTAACCGTTTCTCAATAAAACTATCATAGCCTAGGAAGCGGAGTGTTCGTAATTCCTCCAAAGCATCCTACTCCTCCACTTCAACAAATTAACCGTTTCTCAATAAAACTATCATAGCCTAGGAAGCGGAGTGTTCGTAATTCCTCCAAAGCATCCTTCATGCCACGATAGAAAAACGTGAAATAATCATGGAGCTGAGTTCACAATATTAATGAATTAGCACCAGCCCTTTGGAGGTGACCGTTACTCATTTTGTTGAAATTCGTAGCTCAAGACAGCGCCAAAAACCTTATCCCAACCGCCGGCCGCCCCGGTTCAGCTCCTTCGCCTCGATTTTAGGTGCGACCCTGGCGCAGAGGTTCCGGACTGTAAGGCTGGCGCCTATTATAACCGTTTTTGTTCCCAAAGGCGGTGGTGTGGTGATGCTGTGCAACGGATGATAAGCTAGCCAGCATGGGAGCATTAACTCTGCTCAGCCGAGCCACCGCGCCCCCGATCCAGTTGGATCCGAAGCGCGTTTCAAAAACAAGCGATCACAAAACAATCCGTGATGGGTGATCTGAAGCACCAGGTGGATATAGCCTGAAAACGTGCGGTCGAGCTGGGGCTGTAACCCTGGGATGAACAGCAGCAGAAGCATCCATCCATGGATCAATTGATGTGGCTCGTAACACTGCCCGCTCACCTTTCCAGTCGGTGCACGCTGAGGCGGAGTTGGGCAAATTGCACCCTGCAAGTGCTTGGCTGACTCTACAAAAATTTGAGCTTAAATAATACCCCAGCCATAGCCTCAAGCTGCGCAGCATCACGGCGGAAGTTGGCGGCCGACAGATGCGGAGAATGCAACAACAACGGCCGAAAAGGGTAATATTGACAGAGAAAATTAGGTCTCTCCCCGCCTTCCTATCCTCGATGGGCACATTCGAAGAATTACCAGCTCATCAAAGCAAAGGTTTTCATCTTCACTGGCGAGGCCCTCACCATAGAAGCAATGGATGTATCTAGGGCCAGAGAGCTGGTCGACCCTGCTTAGTAAAGCTATTTTTGACAGGATATAAGCCTCTTTAGACCTCAAATAGATAGGGAGCGTTCCCGTGTTCTTTTTGGTCTAACACTATTCACTGTCTGTTAATATGTGGGATTAGACGTGGTATATGCCAATACTTATGTTTGAGGAAACGGGTTACTTCGGGCTTAAAATGGGTCATGGCCGGGTCGCATACCCTAGCATGAGGTCCCTCGGGTTTATATAGCGATCATAGATCAATTGATGGAAGGTTAATACTAGGCAAGCATGGTGCTTTCATTCATGTCGCGGGACGCTAGCGAGGAAGCTGCCAGCGGGGATCTTGAGAGAAGTCCCTCGCTCTCAACAGAGAATGCCTGCTAACTGGCTAGGCTGACTGCGATAGTATGACCCGCTGAGGAATTGGTGCGCGTGACCACCAACCAACAACCAAGCCATGGGCCCGTTTCCTCTGCGTTCCTGCATCTATTTGCACCGGGATTGCGGCGGTATGGTTGAGCTGAGGAGTCGTGCTACGGGCCATGGCGACATGGCTAAAGCAGCTTTCTAGAGCAGCAGGCCCCTGATCCTAGACACCTTGACGCCTTGCTAAAAGAATTGTGACAAATAAGATAAAATAAAAAGGGTCTAGGTGTGCTGGTGTATTACGGAGTTAGAGGTTCTCTAGTTTACTATGGCGTTATTCATCGTGGAGTCTTGCCAGGGGAGTTAGTAACGGCTAGAACAATGTCAAGGGACCGTTTTGATAATTGATTTCAACCCTCTCTGCTACCTCGAGCGTGTCCGCTATTGCTGAACCAAGGACATGGGAGAATGGTCTCGAGGTAGAACCATACAGCTCGCCGTGAGAGGCGACGAGAGGAAGCTTTTCTTCACCGCCAAGAGATCCTCGGCACTGGACAAATCTGCCGGGGTAATTGCTCCGCTTCGTTCGCTCCCTCATAAAAACATGTAACTCAAGGTTCCTTCGCTCCCGGGGCGGCTTTGGGTTTTACTACCACCTACCATTCTATTGGATCTTTGTTTAGATAAGGTTCGTTCGGCCCCTTCGCGACACGTGCGTGATGAGGTCACGCGATAGACGACCTGGTGATTCTATAAATCTTTGCAGTGCCTGCGCCATCTTTGTGGCTTATTTGCGACGTGCTCAAAGGCGACTGCGGAGGTAGCTGAATAGCCCGGGGATAGTGTCCTAGGCATATACCGAGGTACGTTATTCTAATCATTCCCCTCTGGAATCCATCTCTATCTCGTCTTAAATACAGTTGAGCAACCTACGACGGCAGAGTTCGCCTCTGTAGTGATTATTTGGCGTACAGTATCAGCCAGTACTACCATTCCGGGCTCGTTACCTTACTATGAGACCACTCTCATGCCGGCTCCGAGCGCTCGGCAATAGTCCTTCAGGGTCCAACTGGCCAAATGTGTGGACGGGAGGTATGACCGCGCCAAGATTGTCCGTCGAAACTTCTACCAAACCTAACAGCGTAAATGGTAAAGGAATGGGGTGGAAAAGCCCGACGGTATCCACTCTCTGGCGGTAGAAACTGCGGATTCGGAAGGGCGATCGGCGCGACTAATATTTAGCGCGAGGGCAACCGGACACAATCCCCACTTGCGGGTACGATGATGGCATGCAAAGTTATCTTGCCCTGCCGAGGTACTGCAGTGTCGAATGTTTTTTCTCTATTTCCGCCGCCTGCCTGTCTACGAACTTTCTTCGTGAGCTATGGCCCAGTGCGCACTATTTAAAGGCAGGCGTGGTTGACCTTTCCCACAATGCAAGTAGCATAGAGCGCAAAGCTGTCCTCCCTCTTTCCTCCTGTTTCTTTTCTTTTTGGGCGCCATATCGTGAGATTCCGGAACCTTTACGAGCCTGTACAATCGGCCACAAATATGGGGCAGCCCCCACGTACCTGGAGTTAAAACAAGCCTTTGCCAATACCACCCACTCCTTCCGGAGTTAGGCTTGCGTTGTCCCCGCCCTCGCCTACCGACTAAAACACGCTACAAGAGACCCTTCCTTGGTGCCGTGGTGCCGAGCTCTACGTCATATCCCGCGGTTTTCGAGATCGCACAAACACTGCTTGCATGGCGCAATTTCTTGCTACCATCTTGCTGATTACTGATAGGTCGCTGCACTTGGAAAGGATTTCATCGCGTCACAGAGCACCGGAAAGAAGCACCCTTTCCACATCAGACTGATCCGCTATCCTTCCAACCCCCTTCTCCTCCCGGTTGCTTGCTGCTGGCGCCAGGTCAACACCTTCTTTTGTGTCGCAGCGTCGCGCCATTTTAACCCGCGCCCTTTCCTTCTTCCCCCAACATCACCATTCACGCTTTCTCGTGCGCAGTGCCCAAACCAACAGTCGCGATGGGTTTTCTCAGCGAGAAGAAGGCAGACGGAGGCGATATCCCGTCGAATGACCCCGAGGCGCAGACCACGGCCGAAACGTGGGAATCGCGGAAAATGGCGCGCATTGATCGACCCATAACTCGGTCGATATCGGCGGTTGGTGGCGGCGTTTCGGGCGACACCACCTCGGAGCAGAGCATCTCCATCGACAAGCAAATGGAGCTTGAGGCTGACAATGCAATCAAATATCGAACTTGCAGCTGGAAGAAAACGGCAGCGCTCCTATTTTCCGAGTACATCTGTCTAGCCATCATGTCCTTTCCCTACTCCTATGCGACGCTCGGCCTTGTTCCTGGTCTTATCTTGACTGTGGTCGTCGCTGCCCTCGTCCTCTACACCTCGTTGATCGTCTGGTAAGTCCCTGCTGTGTTTATTAATCCTTGTTCACCTCCCGTCTTGGCGATACTAGCGAGACTTGGCGATGCGCTAATCAACGAATCACCATGCAGGGAATTTTGCATGCGCCATCCTGAAGTCAAGGACGTTTGCGATATTGGCCAGATGCTCTTCTGGAACCACCGATGGGCCTGGTATTTTACGGCTGTCATGTTTTTGCTGAACAATACGTTCATTCAAGGGTTTCACTGCTTGACTGGCGCAAAGTACCTCAACACCATGACAGAAGGCAACAGCGGTGTCTGCACGGTCGGATTCAGCGCCATCGTCGCGGTAATCTCCTGGATATGTTCGTTGCCTCGCACGTTCAGCACCTTAGCGAACATTGCCACTTTCTCGGCCTTGTTCACATTTATTTCGGTACTGCTTGCCACAATATTCGCGGGCATCGAAGATCATCCGGGGCAGGGTGGCCGTCTCTGGGTGACCCTACCGTGTACGCTCTGCCGCCACCGGGCACCACATTCGTCATGGGCATGAATGCGTTTATGAACATAAGCTACACATTTATCGGGCAGATCACCCTCCCCTCTTTCATCGCCGAGATGAAGGACCCTAAGGATTTCCCCAAGGCTCTCTGGGCCGTCACCATTGCCGAAATTATAGTCTTCTCCCTTGTCGGCTCCATTATCTACGCCTACACTGGTACCAACTACAACACGGCTCCCGCTTTTGGCTCTCTCGGCAATGTGTTGTACCTGAAGGTCAGCTTCAGCTTCATGATTCCAACCATTATATTCTTGGGGGTTCTATACGCCTCCGTGTCCGCTCGATTTCTCTTCTTCCGCTTCTTCGCCGGCACCCGCCACATGGGCGAGAACACGGTTGTGGGATGGTTAGCCTGGGCCGGCATCTTGGGAGTGACCTGGATCTTGGCTTTCATCATCTCCGAGGTCATCCCATTCTTCGCCGATCTTCTTTCTCTCATGAGCTCCTTGTTTGACAGCTTCTTCGGCTTCATCTTTTGGGGCGTCGCCTACATCCGAATGCGCCGCGCCACCTACGGTGCCAAGTTTTGGGCTACTCGTGGGTTCCGTAGTTGGTTTGGGTTCATCTTCAACATCATATTAATTATCATTGGATTCTTCTTTCTTACAGCTGGGACCTACGCCTCGGTGGCGAGCATTATCCACGGGTATGAAGGGGAAGGGTTCGGAGGACCGTTCGGGTGTGGCAACAACGGGTTACTATGATTTCGTATTATATCAAAGGCGTTATTATTCTCGTTCATGAGCGGAGGAATAGCGGTCCTTATCATTTTAAGTGTCGGTTTACATATCAATGAATCACAGCTAGAGTAGCCATAAGGGAACGCTTCATATTTGTATTTTCTTTCGTTTTGGTGGGTTGAACGGCAGAAGAGATGCTCCAATGGATCACTTGGAGCTACGCCCTAGAATAATTGTGTCGCACTCAAGTCGCTACCATTGGGGATGAGCAAGTAAACACCAGCGACGAGAGGAGGGTCGCCAAACGATGTCTGCTAGTTCCGCTGTTTAGCCCGTTTAAGCCGGACCATCGGTGGTATCAAAAGAACAAGACGATAAAACTCGCGGGTTTCAGGATACAGGGTATTAGTATTTGTTCTCGAACTCCTAAGAGCATTATACATCAATGGATCAGTCGGTGGGAAATCTATATAACGAACAGAGGGTGGGAAGCGGACAACCAAGGCTAACTAGAGGGCCTCAGATACTAGCCCTCTGGAGCTTCCCGGCATTTTTAAACTTTTTAGCAGCCTGCGCAGCCTGACTTGGAACGCGTACAAGAACAGCACCGCCACGATGGCGAATCCAGCAAGGCCACATGACAACCAGAAGTACTTCTCGTCGCGCTCGGCTTCTGCTATGCCTTGCAAGTTCATGCCAAAATATGAAGTAAAAAATGAGAGAGGAAGGAATATGATGGTAACGATGGTGAAAAGCATAACCGCCTTGTTTTGGTGGTCTGCCACGATGGCAAGCTCATTTTGCTCGACCGTCCCTAATAAAAAGAACTAAAATTGAGGTGTTTTCGTTTAGTATCCAAATGTAGACCGTTTCTCCTATTCTTACACGCGGCGTGAAGAAGGGCGCGGACATACCTCGTTAAGCGCTGTCTCGTAATGCTCCAGGAGGGATTTGAAACTCGAGTCGGCTTCGGTAAGTTGGGCAATGGCCCAAACCACGCGATCCGACATGGGCTCCGATTCGGGATCTTCGTTGGCATACGCCCCGGAATCATTATATTCTTGTTCAATTCTCTCGCAGTCCTTCAGGAGATTCCCCATCAAGTCGAGCTTGCGTGCCGTGATACCGCCTATCGCACGTAGCTCTTCGATGCTGCGGAGGTACTGACGCACCATATTGACAGCCTCGCCCCGCTGCCAAGTCTTCTTTTGCTCGCTTTTCTAGTCGTTGATGTCGGGTTAAAGTCACGTCGCCATTATCAGTCAGTGTGGGCTCGTGGGATTGTACTTACCAGCTGGACGGCCAACCCCGGAAGGCACTCTCTATGTCTGGACATCCGCCTGCGGCTCTAAGGCTATTGGGTGTTGTGGCGATTTCTGTCACGAAGAAGACGGCAAGCCACTCCACAGTCTTCCTGTGCCATTGAGATGTCCCAGAGTCCAAGAACGTACCCGATAGATAAGCTAATGCAGATGCATACGGGTTTTCTGTAACGTTCTCTGCATCCGCTATCCATTGCGGGAAATCGTTGCTGTTGTAGTTGATGCCCGGCTGGGAGGAAAGGTAAGAAGAAAGCCTATGTTTTTCGCCCGCGCAAAGATGGTCAGCATGTCTAACTAAACGTAGACACTCGCCAGGTTGGACGTCTGTCTAATAGAATGCGCGACGTACCATCGTCCCTATGGAATGCGCGAAAATGTGAGATCATCAGCAAGGCATCTTTGAAAGTCGGATGCCGAGAGATCGACTGGTCGAGGACAGACATATCCTGCGGAAGCTTTCGATTCCTCAAGTCTATATCTCCCAGGACCCTGTCGAACATAGAGTAGGGCATATCCGCCTTCGCCAGTGTCCAAAAGTCGAGATCCTGTTGCGCTACTCCACCTCGCCATTCCAAGTCACCAGCGACGATTTCGCTGAAACCTTTCAACATGTCTTCCGTAGGGCCGTTCTTCAACGAGTCCACCTGAGACAGGAAATTCCATGCCTTGACCTGGTCTTCATATAGATGGCGGTTATAAAAAGCCATAACTTGCAAGTTATCCAAGTACGGCCATATTTGACTACCCGCTTCCAAAAACGGTTTCCCGTGTTGAGCACACCCACTGTAATGGAATATGTCCTCAATGGACTATGAGACAGCCAGCCATTAGCGCATCAGTCAGTGTGAGCGGGTAACTAAATGCAGAGGGAGGTTCTATCATACAGACTGCAAAATGCCAGCGCCGATATTGATATGAATCCAACGGACAGCAACGTCGTCGGGCTTTGAATGGAATATACTCTCAATCTCGGATAGAGGGCGCGTGTAGCGCGTACCCCTATCCTCGTAATAATCAATCACCTGGACTGGTAGGGATGGCAGAGGAGGGAAGAAGAAGCGGCACGCATCGCGAGTGTCTAGCACAGACTTTGCTGTAAAGCGATTCATTGGTAGTTGAGGTGAGATGAATTTCCGTTCGAAGATATTTCGAATTCGGGTACCAATGGATGGTTGTTGAACCTGCCTCAGCAACTCACGAACATGCTTTCGAACCCTGTCCCTCTCAGCGCGTGCTGCCTTCTTGGCCTCGGAATCTTGAAGAGGCTCGGGTGGGACAAAATTGATGAGCATCTGCCTCGTGCTCATGCTCACATGAGGGCGAGCGCGGGTGCTCTTTTCCGGTTCTTGAGCCTGGCGCCGTGCAACGCAAGATGGCAAGTTACTAAGGTTTCTGCTGGGACGTCTCCTGCCATTTTCTACACTAGAAACCTCCGAGGGTCTATCTGATGATGGGCCCTCGTACCCCGTAGCTGAAGATTCGGAAGACATCGCAAAGTTGATACGGGTAATTTGTGAGCGAATTTTTCCTTTGGTTCATACGGCCAAACAGAAAAGGGCAAAGAAAACACGAAAGACAGGACAAGCGCGCTTCGAGACTCTGAGGATGCATGAGCATTAAATAGCGAGTGTAATACAGCAAAAGAGTGAGGATGGCCCAAAGCGGATAAACCCCCTGTCTTCAGGAGCAAGGGTTGAGTGACAGGTCATAAAGTCTGGCTCCTGCCGCCTGGTTGTAACCAATGGCAACTTCGCCTTCCTAGTAAGTGTAACCTGACGCTGACGGGCTTTGATGTTGGGGGCGTCGTTGACCAATGGGAGCATGTTGGGGTTTCGACGTTTCGTGAGATTTTATGCAAATTTCATCAAAAACCTGCAGTCGTACACGGCAGGATGAGGCGAAGTTTGACGCGCCGCATGGAGAAAATGTGTGATTGCAGAAAGGCAATACATTGAATGTCTTGGCTGACACGAAGGAGCCATTCGCCAATTTCGTTCAAACAAGCCCTCCCGCTTCGCACCCACACACCATCGCAGGCAATAGTAGGTGATGTACCATCGACGCACGACTGGACGACACTATCCATTTCACAGCCCCCAACACTAAGGCTTGCGCCTACTACGCTACCCTGCCAAAAGTTTAGATATAGATATCCCTTCTACTGAGTCAAGACGATAAGAAGAAGACCAATTCCCAAGAAAACTGCGAATTGACATCTATAGCGCTTTCCTCTCACTGGACACGCCTTGCCCTGGATGTTATGGTCAAACCTGACCGCATTCATACTCACGAGCCCAGCCATTGCAGCGCGCGCCATCATGTTGATCCAAGTTAGCTTAGCTATACGAAGATGAATCCAGTTAGGAAATCATACTCTACCTTTTGTAGTTTTCCTATGTGTTCTTATCTTGCTCGAAATTGTTCTTATAACTATGAACTACGCCCTTATTCTCCAAGACCTCTGCGGCGGTGAGTCCCTATTCTAAGCATACAAGCGCCAGCCCAGCCTGTATCGCTGGTTCACCAGCATTGTTATGTTTATATCTTAGATCGCACGATTAGCAATGAAGGTGTGGCCGACTGTGAGACACTGGTGACCATACTTATGGACCGCAATCGCTCCCAGTTCCATTACCATCGGCGTTGATGCATCAACAGCGTAGCCAAGCCACCTTTTGAGAAATACACGCAAAATCAGTCCATGGCCGGCCTAACAAGAGCACGAGTGTTTATTATTAGCGTCGCTTTTCTTTTTAATCTCCTGGGAATATATTGGCCCAACTATACCAAGATGATATCTGTAGGCTTTTCCCCGTTGATGAACTATCTCTACATGCCCCTAATTCTCTTCACCAGTTCGTCGAACCGCTCGCTCGGTGATGTCTTCCGGAGACCTTCAACCACACTCATTTCGTCACGAGCCAATCGAGGAAGTTCTTAATGTACATTGGTACACAAGGAAAGATGGACATAAGATATTTACTATTCACCCTCGCACCCGTCGCTCCATACGCTCTAGTTCCTCTGTGCATCGAGTCCCTTTGCTTTCCGCCCGCAACGCTTCATTTTCGGGCGCCTTCATGCCCTCATAGTTTCCATAGTCCCACTCGGCAATCTGTTCAATCATGGTGACTTTTTCGGCCGGGATCGGGGAGCTGGCACTGTTCCCCGTGCCTAAAAGATAATCGAAAGTCTGCCTAGCTCGCTTTCGCGGACTCACAAAGGCGTGCATAAGCCGCGCCGGGTTCAGGAGCTTGCCGGGCCGACCGTCTCGTTCGCGGTAGCAACAATTTGTTGGATGCCGAGAGGCGTGAGCTCCACTTCCGTCCTCCCCGTATGGCGGCCGCGCTTGGCCTATTCGGTCTCGCTTTTGTTTTTCAGGTGGACTGCGCTGGGGAACCTTTGACGCTAGGGTATATTGGTTCGGAGACGCGACTTGCCGCGCCGAACGATGAAGATTTTAGGCGTCATGGCCTCAGCATCCCACATTATGTGCACCTGGGAGAAAGATGAATGAGATGTAGTGTTGGTAGTAAGGCGGATACCTTGAGAGCGCTAATCCGGAGGTGTCTCTGCTTCGGTTTCAATACTAATTGGCTCAAAACACGATCGCATGTGCCAGGTCTGGCCAACCTCAAATTCCTATCAGGTGGCCACGGCTCAGTATTATGTATGCATGGAGGTTGCCCTTATGCCCCCCGTCTTCAATGATTGCCCTAGTACGTTGAAGTGTCTGGGCGCCTCGTTTCATTTCCAGGCAGATATCAATAAATAGTGATATCGATATTCATCGTACCTTTCGTATAGTTTACTTTAGTCTACGGCGCCCTGAGGTTACCTCACTCCAAATCACCAACAGATTACAACAAATCAAGACTCCACATATAAGCCTGCTCTTATAACCCCTTCCTGGCCGCTTCCCGTTGCATCAGGGTATCCCTTTACCTTCATAATCTCGCACTGCTTTCTGTACTTGGGGTCGGTTGTAAACGCCGTGGGAAGAAGTCCATAGACAGGCCCCCGACTTGCGATGGCGAGCGGGCTGTAGCCTAACACGTCCTCATCGGATCCCACCATCCACCGGCCCCAAGTTCCCGCTACGGTCGCGATCAGAGGCACTAGGAGAATGAGCAAGACGAGTTTGTTATAGACGTACATCCTAGTATCCGACTGTAGGGTTATGACCATATCACTCGCGCTAGGCGTTCGCGCAAAGGCACCCAAGGTCGCAAAGTCAAAAGCACCCTCGATGCGACGGGCCGTAGATTCAGCGCTGTTCGCTGCGTCGTAGCCGAGCAGACCGTAGGCAATGGTATTCAAATAAATATCATTCCAACCAGTGCCGACGACGCGGAGGGTGAAGCTGAAGGCGTTGTTCCCGACATTATCCGCCCAGGTGAAGGTGCGAACATTACTTATAGGCTCGGTATAGTCGCTAAGGAGATACTCGGACCTCTCGAAACTGTCGCGGTCAAGGAGAGGGACTGGGACCCGGTTTGTGTGATTGTCACGTTGCCGTAGAGAATTTCACAGTCAACGGTATTAACGATACTCGTGTCCCCCAAGCCAAGGTCAGCGCCGCCGACCCAAACCCCGAAGACTGTGCCCCAAGCCCCCGCCACGGTACCGCATCCGCTGGGTACGGAACCGCCTTCAGCGGCAAAGCAAGATTTGTCTCTGGAGGCAACGAAATTCGCAAATACTGAAGGCGCACCGCACGTGAGGTTGGCGCACAAAGAGGGAACGAGCTCGCTGCAGTAATCGGCGGCGCCGACAGACCGGCGATCGCTGCAGACGGTGAGTCCCATTCCTCGAGGGTTGTCAATTGTTCGCGGCGTACACGTGGCGAACAGCGCGGCGGATCTGGTCGTCACGCGACACGCTTCTTGATCACACACGGGCGCAACCGGGGCGGTGAAATTGTTGAGAGACGCTTCAAGGGCGATGTTGAACACAAGGTCCTTGGCGCTCCCACCTCGGGAAACCCTATTGGCGAGGTTGATATATGGTGTCCAGACACCCTCGGTGTGAGGCTCGGTGGACCGCACGACGTCGACTAGGGATGTCTGCGAGACGCCTGCAAGGAGAATGGGGGCGGTAATTGCTGTAGCCAGGAGGAGAGGTCCGCTGAGTTTCAAGAGCCAGGACTGGCCGGAGAGGATATACTTGACCCTTTCAAGCGGTGACACGGTCCATTGTGCGAGTCGGTTCGTCTCGCCTACCGTGAGAGGCTTTTTGACATCGCGGGGAACGAGCCGCAACCAGAGCGACTGCTCAACGCATCGAGTGGTGAAGGCGGAGGTAGCGCCCGCGAGCAGTGCGGCAATGAGACCGATGGCCACAGCGGGCGTGATCTTCGAAGGGCGGTCAACGTAGATGAGTGATTCGAGGTGGTAAAGCGAGGGCTTGAGAAAAGAAGTAAAAGTAGTGTATAGGATACGATGCAAAGGGCTATCAAGCAAATAGAGAATACCCCGTTTCGGATCGAGGATCCGTTCGAAGCTGAGGTAGGAACTGCTGCTACCATTTTGGCCTAGAAGGGGAAGTGCCGCTTAGGACAAGTAGAAGTTATCTCGCTCTCTTTCCCACGATAGAAAAAGACGCGAGAATTCGAGCAGAATTAGGCGGATTGGGCATCTTTTGAGATCCCCGACGGTGGCAAGGCTGTACTCATCACGCAAGGACATGCCTGTCCGGCAATTTGCGCTTTGGGTTTTTCTAGTTCTCTAATGGCACTAGGGATGGATTTGGCAGCCCGCATCAATAGTCTCGTCGAAGAGGGGCGTGCAGGGGTCAAGGAGAGAGATGTGGCGCATGGCGGCCAGCCAAGTGCGAGACTTGAGGCCAATAACAACATCGCAGCTTAATCTCTGAACCAAACGCTTGCTTGTTGTTTCTTCGATGTGGATCGGGTAATTTGAACGAGAATCTTAATTAATCGACATGCACTGCCCCACGCCCAGCAGTGGCGAGTCCCCACGCGGAGGAGGACCGCCGCTCCCGCTCTCGCATGGCTGCCGGTTTCCGATTTCGAGATCGGGTATCACGTTGTAACGGGTTGCTCAAGTTCCCGGAGCTTGGAAGATTCAATTTGTTGTCCCACTTGTTTGGCTTTCACACCTCTGAAGGTGTGCATGATGCCCACCTTCGTGATCGAATTTTCCCAGATAAATAAGGCGTATATTGCGATGACCATCTCCAAATACTCGGCATATTGCTACACACTTGTGTTCATGGAGGTTTCCATCTTGTTGCCGCTTCGTTTCCCGATCTGATGTGATAAACGTGGGTGTGTCTAGGGTCCTCCACGGTGGCACATTCGGCCCGAAACACCTTTGTCAAAAAGCTATCAATGAGATCTAGTCCTGTTTCAATGGTGAGAACTACCCCTTTGAGTACGATCTGCTGGCCCTCAAAGTTCGTGAGAGAGGGGAAGACCAAGTGTTAATAGAACTATTTCTGACGATGTCCGTCCTGATCCAGGGTCCGAGATCTACGACTAACCAGTATGCTGTCGTCGACAAATCCATGCTGCACTAGTGAGATATATGATATCAGTCTTTTTACTAGACGCAAGAAGGCTATTTATCGATCGAAGAGTTCCCAGGCTTTGGCTGGGAAGCGGGTTGTACTCATTATAGTTGGTCGCAGATGCAACGACCGCTCTTTGCTGCGGCCCTGATCCTCGATCAACACAACATTCGTCTTTCGAAGGAGTTCGGATTCGCTCAGCACCACCAGGATACTGTCAAGAGTGTGGCTCATAGTATCATTTGATATACTATTTTCACAACCGTCCCCCTTATCTTCCGAAACTCCCAACTTTAAGAAATGGGGAAACTTGCGTAACCTTAAAATGGATGACCAAGCCGAGCGATCTGTGCATGTACACCACAACCTAGAAAGAAAGCCTAATGACGAACGAAGACCTCTAATACCGTATCGCTATGCTGATAGATAAGGCTTCTGGTGTAGAGCTGAAGCCTTTAGTCGTGAAATAGATCAAAGATGACCTACTGAGTCGGGAAGCGCAGCAACTCATATAAATATGCAGTATCTCACCACATGCCTAAGTTTCGAAGTGTAGAAGGCGACTATTGTAGACTCCTTGAATAAGTCCGAGTAAGAATACACGTGCTGACTGATTCAACTTCGAATTAAGAAACACCAAACTTTAGTTTCACCTGGCCTATCCTCATAAGAAAGACAAACAAGTTATTAGAGATGCATGATTTAGAATATGCGGAATATCTCTTCGTTTATCTATTCATCTCAGTTTGTCGCAGTCCTTCTTGTTGAACGGCTTACAATCTATCTTGATCCTCATAGAACGGCCCTCGGGTCACCTTCCGATTTTGGACTCAAGGAATATAGATGAGAGAATGCCAGAAAATAGAAGAGGTTACGGGTTTACAATTTAAAAAGATATGCCGTGTTGGGAAAAGGCCTTGGAATAGCACGTTACTTCCTTGTCCAACACGGTCAAATTATTGCCATCTTCCCCCGGTGGTGATAGAGAACAGGGCAAGTAAGGTTGATTTTTTCTCCCTTGCTTTGGCTAGTCCTGTAACCGTATTTAGCTTATGCTACGTAGCTGCCTTTCAAATGCGAGGTGGGGAAAACACGATCCTACCTTCTTGCTCCCTTGCGTTGGCCAACTTTCCAGATCATGCGGTCTCTCCGCCATGCATGTTTGCTTTGCCTGAACAAATGGAGAAAGGTCTGATGCGATGAAGCAAACAAGCGATGAGCGGAGGAAATATGTGCGAATGGTTCATCACCTAACCTGCTAGTCCGCGAATCTTATATCTATCCATGGATGGCTACACCCTTCTCAACAATATCAATATCGTCGCCCCTACTCTTTCTAAGCTCGAATCTGCCGTTCTATAAACTTAGGAGTGAAATAGAAGGCTAGTAAAATGTCATTCCGCACAATTGGGCTTTTAGTTTCGCTTGTCGCAGCTACCTCTTACTCGTCGTCGCACCAGACTATTATACGCCACGGATCAGAGCTTCATAGATCCTACGACTTTGTTATAGCTGGTGGTGGAACGGCCGGTTTGACCATTGCAGACCGCCTCAGTGAGGCCTTTCCAGATAGTATGTTCCTGTCAGCCATTATCCTGACTCAGGCTGGTCCACTTTAATACCATGTAAACTCAACCGAACCTAACCTTTAATACCTTTGAACGCTAGATAATGTACTCGTGATCGAGTATGGCGACAATGTGCATACGTCCGGTGTTTTCGACCCACCTGAGTCCACCTGGCAGCGTGGTCAAGGAGGCGATAGTGGCCCGACCTGGACCTTCAACTCGTTGCCAAATCCCGAAGTCCTAAATCGGACCGCCTTTGCTAGGGTGGGCCAGTTGCTAGGTGGAACGAGTGCTGTCAACGGCCAGTTTTTGATAGGCCGAGTAGGTGGGACTTCGAGGCTTGGAACGAGCTCCAAAAACCGGAAAATGACGCGAGAGCCCCCAGTGGGACTGGGATGGCATCTACGAGTATTTCAAAAGGCAAGTTACTAGATCTATGCTTCAGGAGACAATTCGACTGAATACGGCGAAGATAAGCGGCCGAAAGGGAAATTGCCCACGTACTAATATGTCTCTATAATCTCAAAGAGCGCCACATTCACAGAACCATCCGCTGAAGTTGTCGACAAATACGGCTATACTTGGGATTCGAGTGTATATCATAACTCCACTCCGATCTATGCGAGCTATCCCCCTTCCAATGGGGTGACCACCATATTCTAAGGGATGGATTCCTTGAGCTTGGGGCTCCTGAGGTGAGCGAATGTTCAGACGGTAATAAGAACGGCGTTTGCTGGGTCCCTACCTCGGCCGACCCTATTACATTTCGCCGGTCTCACTCCGGGATCGGGCACTATGCAGAAGTCGAGGGTAAAGGCCAAATTATCACCTTCTTCTTAAACACCAAGCTATAAGGGTAATTTATGAGGACGATTGTTCAGAAAATTATAGGCCGCCCTCTATCGAGGTTCGCGATCTGAGTGATGACAGCACGTTTATTGTGACGGCTCGTCGAGAAGTCATAATCTCTGCTGGCGTATTTCATACCCCCACTATCCTCCAAAGAAGTGGCATTGGCCCTTCGGGTATTTTAAATAAACTAGGTATCGAAACCATAGTTGATTTGCCAGGAGTGGGCTCTAATCTCCAAGACCACTCGGGGCCAGGCCTGGAGTGGTATTGTAAGTTATCCTAACAAGGTCTCCGGAGCTTCGCCCTTTGAAACACGATGAACATCAGTCGCATATTGTTAACGAGTACTTTGCCCACCACTAATGCTATTTACCATAGATACCAAAACCGATGGCTTATTTCCACTCCCAGAGGACATGTCGAATGAAACGTTCCTCGCCGACACCATCACTGGATTTAACGAGATACCTGCTCGCGGTCCTTACACCCTTGCCCTGGCTAATATGGCTCTCTATTCATCTCTCGCGGATATAACCCCGGGATATCAATCGATCGTAGCGGATATCCGGAATCAAGTAGCTAATGATGTCGCAGCATCATACCTCCCGCCAAGCTACCGCGACGATCCGACAATGATAGCTGGCTATAAGCACCAACTTTTAGCGCTAGCAGATTTCCTAGAGAACCCCGAGGCACCGAGTCTAGAGGGCCCTTACGTCACAGGCGGTGACACCTTCCTTCCTATCATGCTTCACCCACTGAGCCGCGGTACTGTGCGGCTCAACGCTGCTGACATCCTTGACCAGCCTGAGTTGGACTACCGGTCGATTTCGAACCCTATTGACCTTGATATCCACCTCGCCCATACCAAGTACCTCCGCCGGGTTTTCGAGACGCCTACAGTACAAAAGTACGGACCTATAGTGACCGAGCCCCGAATCATGTTCAGTCAGATGAGGACCTTGTCCAATGGATCAAGGAGAAGATGTTGATATCTATGCTACATCCATGCTGCACAGCGGCGATGATGCCTCGAGAGAAGGGTGGCGTTGTCGGGACTGATCTTAGGGTGCATGGTGTAGAGGGTCTTAGGGTGGCGGATGCTAGCGTCATGCCACTCACCCCAAGTTCACATACCTGTTCTTCAGCGTACGCCATTGGCGAAAAGGCGAGCCATTCTCTCCTCCCATACGTATAAATCCTGAACCGAAACACATAGTGTGGCCTAGAAAAGCTAATCTAATGCTGCTTATATAGACTGCTGACCTCATCATTCAAGAATGGTCCTATAAGTTTGATAGCGAGAATTTAGGGGACAGGGGTTTTCTTTTGAATTCGGTGTAGAGAAAGGTGGCGGGTTACAAAGGGCTTTAAAGAGATTAAGGGCGTTTGAAGCTTTACGAGATATGTCTAGACAATGCGGGGGCTGGGTTGAGATATTACTAAATGGTTGATTATCACCCCTCCACCTTCCAGACGTTGCGGTAATTTATCCATCCTAGAAAAGCCCCTTACGTGTGTAACCTGTAGCTCCCAGTCTCATACACCTGGCTGAGAAAGTTCTACTCCTCTCTAGACGTAGCTCTTCCCGACTAGAGGGGATATAGTGTGAGCTTTCCTCCGCGTTATTTTGTCTTTCTCGGACTCAACTTGACATTCACGGGACCCTTTTCCCAAAGGATGTATACCTTTTGGTCCAGCCACCCGTCGGCCGTACAGTTCACCAAGTCATAGCGCCAAATGATGTTCGCTAAGACAAGTTTCATTTCAACGTATGCCAGATTTCGACCAATGCAATTTCTGGGGCCATACGAAAAGGGCTGTACCGCGTCCTTTCGGTCTCTAGCGTAGGTGGGGTCATCCCCAATCCAGCGTTCTGGGATGAAGCTGTCGGGGCTTGTGAAATTGATTGCGCTGCGAGATGCGGCCAATATCGTCACTCCAACGACCATGCCCTCGGGGACGTATTTACCATCGACTGTAGCCCCGCCTGGAGGTATATACCGAGGATGCGTGGCCGGAGATGGAGGATAAAAACGTAACCCTTCCTCAATACAAGCCAACAGATACCTACAATTGTTGACACGAGCCATTGTTATCTCGTCGGGGCTGGAAAATTCAGCCCGAACTTCCGCTGTTAACTTATCAAGAGCTCCTTGATTTTTCATCAGCAGATAGGTGAGTCCTAGATATACAATGTTAGAAAGCCATTTGCTTTAGTGCCCGATTCGACGAGTACGTGTGGTTAGACACGAACCTGAGAGCTCTGTAGCGGTCGTCTCACTGCCCGCAAGAATAACAAGTTCCGAATTTCCCACCAGCTGGTTGAATGACATTTTCCCTGATTTATAATACTCAACTAGTTTCCCCATGATGTCCGGAACCTCGGAAGGCGTTTCAAGACGATAGTTTACTTTGGCCTATAGTAGAAGGGTGAAGAGTGCATTAATATGATGAGGAGCTGGAAGGAAAGCTATATGGGCGGAGACTTATTACCTTGCTGAACTCGTCCTTCCTTTTCATATCTTCCATTATGTTCCCCGGATGAAGAATTTGGCAAAAGGAAGCCTTAGGAACGTTGGGAATCTCATCATGGCTTGCTTAAGACTAAGGAACCTCACAAAGGAAAGTGAGATTTTGATAAAGGGGTGAAGTTTTCCAGCCTCCATGCAATAGTAGGACTGGCCATTAGCTAGAAGTCGATTAGTGTGGAACCACAGCTTTGCAACTCTTCTTGGACATGTCGGCACATACTTAAATGTCCGATCACGTCAAAGGTGAAAAATTGATACCAATGCTCAAGATTGATCGTGTTTTGGCCACTCGCCGAGTACTTCTTTAGTTGCTCCATGAATTGCTTCAGGTATCTTTGGATGATATCTTCCTGTGCTCTCAAAGCGCTGTCGGCGAAGCCGTGCGAGAGTAGCCTCCTGAGTGAAGAGTGATATTCCCGATCGGCGTTAAGGAGGATCGGTTCGCTAAGCCCTGCATGGTACTTTTTATCTTTGCTCATCTCTGACTGGCCAGACCTTTTATATCCGTAGATGTCTTTCCAGGCCGCCGGGCTCGAGAAGGAGAGCTCATCAGGAGCAACTCTGACTACTGGGCCGTATCTCTCGTGCAACTTTTTCATTTGATGGGGCGCTATGCCCTTGGTAAGAATGCACCCGTACCAGATATGGCTTGCAGCGGCGATCTTGGGACCCGGAAATAGGGTGAGAGGGTGGAAGAAGAGGTTGTAAATGACGACCGAGATGGAATATATAATGGGCTACCCACACATTATTAGTACGATCAAATATCAGCTTATGTACTCTTCTGACCTCCCCAGGCGACTCACGACCGCTAATATCAATCCAGCAAGCTCGAGAGGGCTTAGGGCCGATGAAATACTCGATAGCGATGCCATCTTTTCGTATCGTGAAATATCTCGAGTCAGGGTGTTGTTAAGAACGTAAGAACACCTTCAATATACTTCTAAGATATAATACAGTGGGAACGCAACTCTATATAGAGATTCCCATTGTCGCCGACTAATACGAGTTGTCCTCTCCGGCTGTGGGGGAAAAGAAGGACATGAGTAGATAGCACCGGAGTTGGCAACATCACAATCCCGCTCCGCTAATTTCACCGTAGGAATATTTTAAAAATCGCGCTCATTTCAAAGCGCGCATACTCTTTCATCTAAGTGACTGGCATCGTGTCGATCTTGGCGGTGGGCGCGCGGCGACATGAGCTGTGTCGCCAGCCACCGAATGGACGACTCCTACCTCATTTTCCACCCTCTTCTTGGCGGATACATTCCAGATGTAATGTAATACTGCATCTCGGCTTACTACCATGGAGTACGCTTTTAGATTGGGAAAGTAGGCAGCTGATCATTTCTTTGGCTCTTGGAATGCACAAAGACAGCTGCGCCAATCTGTTAAGATCAGCACGGCCGGAATTCGGGCTCTTTTAAGCCCAACCCCACTGCCACCAGGGATATATTCCCATTATTATGGCCTCCAGCGGGAAAACTTTCTGGGAGCTGGCTTAACTAGTGGCTTGGAGAAAGGAGCGAAGACTGGCCGGAGATATCTTGACGGACCGCGGGAAATGACGAGTTCGCTGTAGGGAGTCACGATCCTACATCAAGTGTGGAGTGGGTCTTAAGGCCCAAACTGAATGTGTACGCCAAGCCTATAACTTGAACGAATCCGAACTCAATCGATAGAGAATGTGATAGGCGAGGATGTGATAGGCGTTCAGTATCCTGGTAGTCCTCTAACTTGCGATCTGGGATGATGAGATACAAGTAATACCCCAGCCATCGATATCATCTCAGGTGCCAATACATACCATGAAGTAGGGAGTACTGTACAAAACGAGTCCATCTCCCCTCAGCTGACGTTGCCATTGCAAGTTATCTCGTGATAAGCGACGGAGTTGACGCAGACACGAAACCCGGCTCGGACCCCGAGGCGGAAATATGAAAATCAAAGGCCCTCATCGTTGAGAGCTGGTCCGCACATCCATTTTAACAACTTGTCGTCCGTCCCCATAATCCTGCAACGCGCTTTGAACTATGGAAAAAGGTCGACAACGAGCTCAAAAGCCTAAAAACAAACCTTGCAATCGCTCTCCACCTTTCTCTTAGGATAGCGTCTTGTGAAAATATTATGTCGAGGCTAAGAAAGGTCAAGGGTGGGTCCACCGCCGCGAAGTGGGAGTGGGGCCGGAAGCGCTCGCTCACCGTTGGACCGACAGGGGCTTCCCGCAAGAGAGTAGATTCTAAAATAAGCCTTCTCATGAGGACGGAAGTGAATAAACACATGTTCAACAACGCACGGTGAAGAATGAGCAAATAACTCTACATCTTTTAGAAAAGTTGAATAAAAAGCGTAGAGGCTGGCTGAAGCCATTGATTCCTTTCCGGACGCTTTGATCTAGGTTTGAGCCTTACTAGGTGGAATTGCTGTGTGGGCACAGGCATAGCGCGAAGAAATGGAATTTCAAATTAGGTGATGTATGGTATGAACTTTTCCCTATGCGTGGCCAAAAATGGCGGGAAAAAGGTAAACAGATAGAATGGATACGTGTAATGTAAATACGTAGGCGGGGCCAAGCGGTCATCATGAGCGCTAGACCATGAAACCAACCACCATTTAGGCTTCATTGTCAGAAGCTCTATGCTCTCAGATCCGGCGCACCGTTAATCACTAGAAACACTTTCAGGAGGAGGCATCCACTTTTCCGAGTCGCCAAAGCGATCAACTGTCAGGCCCGCACTTCCAGGATTCCTCATTCCCGCCGCGAGCTGTCTTTGATAGGAAATAATCCGCAGACGCTGATTTTCAGCGGGCGTGAGTTTTAACTAGGATAAGTAGCAGTTAGCCTTCTTCCGATGCGTGGAAAGGGGATGCGGTTCCTCGTCAGGTCACGACTTACGTATATCTCAATCCCGATGGCATGTAACGCGAGACACAACCACGCCGCAGGTCCAAAGCTTACGCCAAGAGCAGTCGCGGCCTCCGCGGAGCTGTTTCCAAACATATCGGCCTTTACTATGGCCCACTGGTCGGTATTTTCTCCGGAGTAATAAGACGCACAAGCCGGATAGCTGGCCACCGTCCTGTTTCTGTTACCCCTAAACATGAAGTCGATTTGGCCACATGGTCTGGCAGAGTAGTATCCGTACTGCTTGCTGATGATCATGGCGGCAAAAAACATAACAAGTCGGAGAGTGATGATGGAAGCTGCCTTTATGGACGAGTTAACTTTGGCGGGGCTATGGGACCTAGAATTCCAGACGCCACTTACATAAAACCAGGCCCTTAACATCCACGCTCTGTGCTCTTCAATTTGGAGGCGCTTGATGTTAATGTAAGACATCACGAGCGACCCAATGAACAGTATGCCCATTACACCAATGGCCATTTGGGTTTCAAGCCCTCCTCCAAAGGCATGACGTGCAATCATAAGGGCGCCGGCGGTGCTTAAGAAGGACAATAAAAGCACAACGTATCCATTGATCCTGTGGAAGAGGACGAATCGTCGACGAATAATGGGGGTGAACTGGAAGGTGGCTAGGATACTCGCGGGAATAATCGTGACAAGGTGCAAGATGATGCCAATCGTTTCGTGATCACCGCGCAGATAATACCAGCATTCGCCGGGTGCGGCACTGAGAGAAGAGGAGCTACCCGGGCCGCAGAAGTAACCGTAGAAGTTAAGGTAAGGGGTCCGCGAGAGGGCAAAGCCGAAGAACCCTCCAGCGAATAATACCCATAAGATGAAGTTGTACAGCTTCGCGAAGCCGAAGACGCCAATGACTTTGCGAAGGACTGAGGAGGTAGCGGGTGCGGCCTCTGGGCCTGACTTTACCGCCGCCATGACAAAAGCCGTAAAGATTAGGTTAAGTATTCAGAGAAAAAAACCCGGAAAAGAAGAGACTGGCTGCTAGCTCTGATGCTGGTCGATATCGCCTACAACCATGATAGCTACGAGGTAAGGGAGAGCGAACGACTCCTCCCTTTTATACGTTGAAAATGTGTAATGAGTAAATCACTGGAGGTCAAACTATTGCGAATTTTGGTACGACTAGTGTAATCTCATTTTGAAAATAGACGATAGAGTTGAGGCTGCCTCAACTCATGATGTGGCAGCGCGAGGCGGCGCAGGCACCAGAACATGAGGGTTGACGTGTACCCGCTGTCACGACAAAAGCGAGCGGGAAATGCATCCGCTTTAGGAAAAGCGGGCTGGATAATCCACTTCTGGAACGTGAGCTTAATCGAGATGACCCGACGCCCTACAACGCCTGAACCAATGGGAGAGCATGCGACTCTCAGGTCCCAGAAATTACGGGCTGAGCTTGCCAAGACCATGCACTCCCCACCCGCCCGTGCCCACCCCAACAATCCACGAAGGAACACAATGAATCTTGCGCGAATGAGCGGGGGTATTTATCATTCAGCCAAGTCCCGATTCAGATCCAATTCCCGCCAGCTAGTCCTCCTCGACAAACACAAATACCGAATCACCATGGTTGGCGTCCCGGGTCGTTCAAAAGCTTGCGTCACTTGCAAAAAGAGGAAGAAAGGGGTACGTACTAATAGTCGAGACATCGCCTCGAAGTGTCCCTCGCACGCTAACCACCCCGCCCGGCCGTCTGGTCCCTGATTAGTGTGACTCGTTGCGTCCAGCCTGCAGCCAGTGCAAGAGGTTAGGTCTAACCTGCGAGGGTTATGAAACTGGACGCGTGTTCGTCAATGCTTCTCAGAATACGTGGTCTGCAGGAGCCACATACCGGGGCGCCCAAACGGCTCCGCAGCAAGCAGTGTCTGACTCTATCATTCATTCACGGGCGCTCTCGCGTTCCGCCTTTGAAGCTCAGCGTCTATGTCTGTTCCTCGAGGCATACCTTCCGCAGACGTGGGATGCCACGGAAAATGCCGGGCTCTCGACCGGCAGCGATTGGCCCTCGCTTGTCCGTCAGATGGACGGGGATGGAACAGCCGTAACGTATGCGCTACACGCAAACAGCCTAGCTCTTCTTGGTAAGCAAGAGGGCCAGGAATGGATGATTAACGAAAGCTTGTCCATGTACGGGCGGTCCTTAAAAGCAATGGGCCAAGCGCTTGCCCGTCCTCAAGGGCAAGACCAAGGCATGCTTCTTGTTTCTACCAGGTTACTTAGCTTATTCGAGGTATGGAGGCGGCCCATTATCACCGAGATCGTGTCAATCATCTTTCGTTTACTAAACAACCTCTTCCCTCTCCCCTCTCCGATATAGCTCTTCTTTGGAAACCACACCAATCAGCCAGCCACCCAGTCTCGGAACTGGGAGCGCCATACTCTCGGCGAACTTGCTTTGCTGAACGCAGTTGGGCCTCAAGGATGCATTCGTGGTAATGCTCACAAAATCTTTGTGGGTGGCCGAATCAATTACGTATGTGCTGTCTCTCCGCTTTCTCTCGCTGCCCTCGTCTCCTCAAGCCATTCGTGACCAATTTCTCGGGCTATACGTGCATTTTAACCTGACATCTCGCACATGCGGCTAGTACACCGTCTCTGCCAAGCGGCGCAAGCGGTTGTTCATCTCCAGGCCGGAGTGGAAAATCATACCCTGGACGGTCTCGTCCAAAAGTCCCGAAGACCACCTCCTCGATATTCTACTCGACATTCCCGAGGTCCTTGAGAGGTATGACGGTTTGCGGGCTAGCGTCGACCTTTCCAAGCAGAGAGAATTACGTGACGCCCTCCGCCTCAAATGCCGTACGTTCGATGAAAGGCTCCAGCAATGGGCCACGGAAAACGCCGCAATCGCCTGCTTTACGCCCCCTCCAAACAGCCATCGCTCACTGAGCTTGAATCGCTCAAGATCAAGGCTCTATACCTGACCGGCTGCCTCCTGCTTTACACCACCTGGAAGATGGTGTCTGATGCAGGATCGCCAATAGCCGCGCCACCAGATCCGAGCTACTCAAGATCCCTTGAAGACATTGCGGCCCTGACACCTATGCTCCTCAGCGCAAGTACGGGCATGTTTGGGAAGCAGGTGGCGTCTTGGCCGCTAGCCATTGCCCTCCAATTTTTCATGGCATTTGCGCAACCACAATTCGATAAGCAAAAGGCGGCGTTGGTCAAGTGCCTGGATGGGCCCCAAGCCCAAGTAATACGGGAATTTATTCACAGCATGAATGCAGATAGCCAAAGTCACCCTCCTTGGATGACAGATATGGGCGGGACACGGGGGATTATAGAACGCGCGAGGAAATGGGTCGGCATTGAGACGTCGCTTCCAGATCATTCTGGGTGATGCAGCGACATTCTAGCTCATGGTGATTTAAGAGTTGTGTGCGGGAGGATGATAGAAATCTACCTTGCAAATTCTCTTTAGATACGTACCCGTCCATGTAAAGAGCACAAGATATAAGAATAACATGTGTAAAGAAAGGGCATTGGGGAGGGAGGTAAGGGTACTTCACCACGGCGTCTTTGCTCTCAATACTCTTCCGGACGCTTTTGATGGGAACGCGAGCTGGACGACGTGAACCTTGGCAGGTTCGCATTGGTCGCGAGTTTGTCTACGCCACGGAGCCGCATCGAGCGGGCTAACGGCGCGTCTTTCTGGATGGTGCAAAATGCACAGGTATCGGGGTGGTCAGAGAGTGGGCTCCCGGGCCACGGGTCGGCCGCTCATACTTGTTGGTCTTCTTTCTCGGATTGGATTTTCTGGTTACACATGCTGCGGTATCGCTTATTCATGGCCTAGCGTATATGGCTGGATGGAACTATACCAAAGAAAGGGGGCATAACTCGAGATATATTCGGCTGTCCAGATTAGTCGTCAAGCGTCCATAAGCCTCCGCTCGTTGGTCTCCACCGCACCCCTGGCCCAGCTAGGACTTGAAACCACCTAAATTCGGGAACAGGGTTGAGCTCCAGGCTGTCTTATCTGAAAGCAGATCAATTGGAAAAAAGGGAAATTGATACTTGGTGTTACACCAATTATTTCTAGATCATGGCCTCACATGCAGTCATCATGTCATTGGTAAGCTTGTCCTACAGTAAGCTTGCCGTTACCCCGGATGTACGTGCGAGCTTGTGCCATAGTAAGCTTATCCCTGGTTAGCCTTGCCATTCTACATTATATCTTCCATAGGGCTCCTGCGTTCGAGGACTAGTAGAGTAGAGACGAGATGATACACTTTTGTTTCCGCCGCCCAACACTCAAGGAAGGCGGTGTCACCATCCTCTCTTCTCAATAAAAATGCAAGCAACCCTATCCCCTTAAACGTTCACACCAACAGATCAAATCTAGATGGCACGGTACGCGGTCCTCGGTGCCACTGGAAATACCGGACGCTCGTTAGTCAGGCTCTTGCTGTCAGGGTTGGATGCTGAAGTCCACGCATACTGCCGAAATAAGGACAAACTTGGTCAGCTTCTACCTGATCTAGTGGACAACAGAAACCTCAAGGTTTTCGAAGGGAGTATTTTTGAAGTCGACCTCTTCGTGGATTGCCTTCGCGGGTGCCACGTCGTGTTCCTCACCGTAAGCACCAATGACAACATCCCCGGTTGCAGGCTATCACAAGACTCAGTCAACACCGTCATCCAAGCGCTGCTCAAGCTCAAGTCGGAACCAAATGGCAGCCCCGCGATGCCAAAGCTCGTTCTCCTCTCGTCGTCGACGCTCGACGAGCACCTCAACCGGAGCATGCATTTTTGGTTCAAGCCCATGATGAAACGAGCGGGTTCCTTTGTTTACCATGATCTAGTGGTCGCAGAAGAAATGCTCCGAGCCCAAGAAAGCTGGATATCGACAATTTTTATCAAGCCAGGTGGGCTTTCTATCGATAAGCAGCGCGGCCATGCACTCAGTTTCGATGAGCAGGAATCTTTCGTCTCATACTTGGATCTAGCGGCGGCGATGATCGAGGCAGGAGATGACCCCGATGGGAAATATGATATGAAGAACGTTGGGGTAATTAATACTGGAGGAGGGGCAAAATTTCCCCGTGGAACTCCGATGTGCATCATGTTTGGACTCTTGAGGCACTTCTTCCCATGGCTGCATCCATACCTGCCAGCTACTGGGCCAGCTTGAAGCATTTAGAGGAGCTCTTGGCTACTAAAATGCGTCTTACCCTAAAGGTCCAAGTTCATCGGTGCATTCTTATTTCCGAACGATCACAGACTGCGAAGGCTATTGACCCAAGTCCAAGTCACCTGTTGACGGCCCCCGTGGTGAAGCTTGGCCGCGGTTCGAAGGGCTAGCGGCCGTCTTAACGGGACAAGGCGTGACGCGAAGACAAGAGAGAATATATAAGAAGGCAAGGGAGATGCCTGAAATAATAGATGGAACCTACCATGCTCGTTCCAGAGCTTCCCATCCGATTCCTCGGAGACTTTTAGGATGCGGTGGTACTAGGTTTCTAAAGCCTACGGCACGGTGGTTTGTGAGGGTTTCGGTAATTTATATGACATGGAGAGATCGAAGCCATATCGATTAAAAACTTACACGCTGAGCGACTAACTGAAGATCCAAGACAGAAACATACGCGCATCACAACCGATTCACCGCGTCAGCATGATGGATGGTCTCAACGGAAATTCTTTCCATGGAGGGTTTATTTGTCCCTGCCCGTAACAGATCTAAAGCCCTGTGGGACGAGGGGTCACGGTCGTCTCTGTGACCGTTTACTCGTATACTTCATTTACGCATCCACCGACTCCACAGGCCAGTATTTCCGGACGAATTCCAAAGGTTCTTTCATCCATGGAGTCGCCATGGAGTCGTTTTTGTCAAATACGTGATCTCCCTCCAAGTATGTCAAGAACAAGGGAACTTCTGGCTGCAGCCTCTTCAACTTCGCAGCCCAAGCGTCGGTATGCTGCCAAGGAATGGCTTCGTCCCCTTTCGACTGGTACAGCAAGATTGGGGGAAGCGGGCCGGCGCGCTCCAAGGCCTGCATTGGATCGACAACGTGGCCGTGCGCCTCGAGATCGCAAAATTTCCCTGCCTGTATCATTCCCTGCAACATTCGCATGCGCGAAGCGAATGGGGCCCTCGTGCGTATTTCGCCCTTGTTGAACTCGGCAAGGACCGCCTCTACCTCGGAGTAAGGCACGGCGTCTGCCCACGCCGTACAATTGACCATGAACTCATCGATGTTCTCGGTGCGTATGTGCTTTTCGATGTCCAGGCAGGGATACTGCGCGAAGAGGACTTTGATTGGGAGTTTTGTCAGGTCGAGTAATGCGGTCGATACCGTGAGGTAGCCTCCCGCGCTCTCCCCGCCACCATGAGATTATTGATATCGACCGTGATCTCGGGAAGAGAGCTACTCAGGGCCTTTTGCGCTAACCCATCCTCCACCCATTCCCAAAAGGATTTTATGTCGGCAATAGTATCGGTGAGCTCATGCTCGGGACGGAGCCGATAGTCGGGTGTCAGGATGACGGCTCCGTGTTTGAGCGCGAGCTCGAGAAAACTAGTACAGCACTGTTAGGATGCGAAACTCGTTGCATCGACAAGCGAGCATCGCCTTCAGTCAACTTACAAGGGTCGGATGGAAGCTTCAGCTTCGCCTTCGACAAAGCCTCCGCCATGGATCCTCGCGAGCAGTGGACGTGGGCCTCCGGGGAGGCTATTCGGCACGATGAAAAAGGCATGAATGGGGTGACCGTTGATATGCTTGTAGGCGGTTCGAAATGTGCGGAAGCGCTCGAACAGCACGATCGAGTTTGGATGCTGCGAAGCTGGATCAACGGTATAAGGCTCCATTCTGCAAAATGGAAGAGGCCACTCGATGACGAAGCTCTCTATTGTATTTTATAACGGTGTACCGAGTTGGTGATGGTGTCTGTGATGAGCATCGTTTCCTTCCCCAGCTTATCAACGCTTTCCGACCTAGCCTCCAGCTTCCAGGCAACGAAATAGCGGCATCGCTGGCCGAAGCGGCCGAAGCGGGGGCGGGGTAAGCTCCACCCGAAGGATTGACGCTAGTGTTGGCAAACAGGGACAATAGCCAAGACCGATTTGTGGATATTCTTCCGCTCGCTGTCGCGGTCGCGAGATCGTTCGATGCAGGTTGGTCATGGTATGGTATCTCCACGCAACAAGCTCTCCGATGCCACATCAGTACCAGATGACCGGCATCAGATATCCGTCCGGCTTATATGTTCCGACTCGTTTAAAAGGCCATAACACGAGCGCCACTACTGCGCCACACGCCACGACCAGAAAATTCACAGCACAACGAACCACCCACGATATACCGAGCACATGCCATTGGGGTATCAAGCTTTCTTGAGTGCTGCCAATCATAACCAAAAACCCTCCAGAAAATCAAAATTCGGATTGCTTCAAACCATCTTCGGTTTTCTTCCAGCAACATGGCAAGCGAGGCCAGTTACTTTCGTGACAGCGGCCTTCCTACAAGTAGGTTGATGGCACTCCCTCATTTGGGTGAGCGCACTGGGCTCCTGTACTTTGGCAACATGGTAGATGAATAAGGTGGGGCGCTCTACCCGTTGACAACGGCAAAGTCTAATACCTTGAAACTCTCAGATGTGCTTCCCGATTGATATTGGGCCTTTGGGTTGGGAGAGTCTATTGTCGGAGATGCGTCCCGGAGCAGGCCGTAGATCATTGGACTCCTGGTGAGGATGCATGCTACACCATGACTTCAATGATATTTCCCCTTGACTTCCAGGTCTTTCCGACAAACAACTATGACATGCAAACACCCTGTCAACATCGGATATGGGGCAAATGCGGGTAATACTATAATAGACAGCGATCACCACTATGAAGAAGCCTCGGCGTCTGCACCATTTAGCTATTCTGGCACACCCGGAAATTTTGCCGACCGAGACCGCCAATCACCTCTCAGAACACCACGATACAAGACTCGGAGGATTAAAGTGTTTGCAAGTGCCGACATGGCGGATGGCAATCAACTTTATAATCCTAAACCCAGCTTAATATGGGAGTCATGATGGATGGGCTACACTTTCGGGGGAAAAGCGGGGCACTCGATGCCATGGTCTTTCCACGGGTTCTGCTCCCGTTATAAACAGAGTCATCGAGCCGGATGTTGTTTTCATCGACGTGTTTAACGTATCGACCTTCAATATCGCCCGTGGCCTGTTTCTGACCTTCCGATATACTATTCGCCTTCGCAGCAACCATGGCCCGGCCCGTTCTCAAGTTTGTGGCGCTCGCAGCGTTGCTTGCCCAAGATGCTTTGGCGCAGACTGGGTCTGCTCGGGGCGCCAGCTTTCTTCGATTCGGCTGCTCGCAGCTCGTTGTTGAGCGCACTGATCCGCTCGTCAATCCGGGATCACTACCAGCGCCCCATATGCACCAGATTGTGGGAGGTGACTCGTTCAACATCACGGTATGTAGAAAGCGCGATCGTGAAGCGTATACTAATACTCCTTACAATTTCTAACCATTTTCGTGTTTTATTTGGACTAGATGGACCCTATGACTATCGACCCTCCGAAAACATCCAAGTGTACCTCCTGCAAGATGAGCGAGGACTTCAGCAACTACTGGACTGCCTCCATCTACTTCCGATCCCCGAGAACGGCACGTTCAAGAGGGTTCCCCAGATGGCCAACGGCCGCCTTAACGGCACTCTACTCGAGCAAGACGGAGGGCTGACGATTTACTACATGCAACCGTTTAGCGGTAGTAATATGAAAACGACCGCCTTCCCTGCTGTAAGCGCCTGAAGACAATCCCGGAAGACGAAAATCCTATTGCTAGAGACCAGTGCTAACTCGTTCCATGACAAACTTCAAAGGGCTTCCGCATGCTCACGGGAGACCCCATGGCCCGTGCCAAGCCGAGCGGAGCCATGACAGCCTGCCACCGCTGCCTTTCTGCAAGCGAGCGCACGATGGGTGGTAACGGCGCCCCCTGCGCCGCTGGGGATACTGCCGAGTTCCCTAACAAGCCGTGCCCTGGCGGAATCCGTGCCACTGTGATCTTCCCTTCGTGCTGGGATGGCAAGAATTTGGATAGTGCCGATCACCGGAGCCACGTTGCTTTCCAAGCCGGTTCGGCGCTGGCGGGCGACAAGTGCCCCGATACTCATCCCGTTCGCATCCCTCAAGTGATGTACGAAATCATGTACGATACCTCGGGATTTGCCAACCCCGCGTATTACCAAAACGGAGAACAGCCGCTGGTCTACAGCTTTGGCGACACGCAAGTGGACCCCTTCCTCATAGCTACTATGATGCGGCAATGAAACTAACAGATGCGAATTAAACAACGTGTAGTACCGGATACGGCCAGCACGGTGATTATCTGTTTGGCTGGGAGGGCGATGCTCTGCAGCGCGCCATGGATGCCCTCGGTACCAACTGCTGGAGCGAGACCTGCCCGGCTCTCAAGCTCCAGTCTGGCGAGGACGCGATCAACTGCCGGAAGGGGCAGCAATACGAGGAAGACGTTGGAAATGACGGCTGTGGGTTTAAATTTCCCGCGAACGTAATGACTCGTACTAACCTTCTTTTTCCCTTTCCTTTCGTAGGGCTTACCGAACTTCCCGGAGGCGCTGAGGTGCTTTAAGGGCCCGCTTCTCGCTCTGTCATGTCAATTTCACGGATACGAGGCTGCCAGGACTCCACCGCCTATCCTCGGTGTGTCTCGTGCATGTCGATTCTCGCGACCGCAGCCTTCCATTTCTCTTGTCTTGCAGTTTGTCGACTAATTTTCTTGGGACGGGTGCCTACCTCAAATTATGGGCGCCAGTCTCCCTTGTTTCTGTTCAAATTTACAAGCCACGCTGGCTTCGTACTCAAGGAGAGGGGCTGATGGAACTTCATTAGCTATCGCTTCAATAAGAACGGCTATCTTGCTTAAATTTGTGACGCTTCAGGCCTGAAAGTTTCCTGGTTCACTAAAGCGGGCCCATGCTAGCAGCCGGGTGTTTACTTTTTCTTCGTTGCCCTAATCTTGCCTTGAAAGAGAGCTTCGAGCTCAGATGCCATAATTTGAACGTCTTTTATTTAATGTTCTTGTAGTGACCCTTAATCTCATGGATATTTCCACGCGATTGCGCCGATTCCTGGCGAACCACAACGCCTACTAATTTTCTTCTCAGTGCACATCGTTCCAGTTTCAAATTCGAGGGCGAGGTTTCCAGCAACAGTAATGGCATCTTGATACCGGTGCTATTGACTAATAGCTCGTTGTTGAGCGTACCCACATGTTCGGGAGCACCGGAATCAGACGGCGGCCTCGCGCCGGGATTTGCAGCCGGAAGACCGGGCGGTCTGTGCGTGAGTCTCCGGCCAACACCGCAGCCTCAGGAAATGGCAATGGTCAAGATACTGACATTGTAATTGTGCCTGCATTATTCCAACGCACGAAAATTTCCACATCTTCTTCTCTTGCAATAAAATACCTCAATCTAGTTTCTCTCTTTTTCCACCTTATCTCTCGATCTTGTCATATCTACGGCCCACCCAAATCAACGCTTGGGGGATGGATTTGTCATCTGGGGAGAGCACATCATCCGTAGTGGGGAATGCGCCATGATTCGAACATCGCGCCCTCTTCTGTTCGTCATAGCCCCTGAGCCCTTCCACGAGTATAAGTAAAGCTAGGAGTCCCGCGCTCAGAGTAAAATCGAACCTAGATGACGCTTACTTCCAACTCTTCACACATAACCTTAAGCAGATCCTCCCCGGACTGTATATTCACAAGACAGGTTTAACCACTCGGAAACCCTAATCATGGTCAAGTCAGCAGAGAAACTCGTTGGAAAGAAGGTTGCAGTTATCGGTGGAAGCTCTGGGTTAGTGAAGCTCTAGATTGTTTCTCCTCCAAGTTTAGCTGACATAACCCTCCTAGAATCGGCTTTGGCGCCGCCCAAGCTTTCCTTGATGCTGGGGCTTCCGTCGTCGTCATCTCCTCATCAGAAGATCGAGTTGCAGAGGCTGTTCGCCGGCTGGATCACCCCAAGGTAGAAGGAAAAGCGGGTGACGTTCGCAACGAGGAAGCATTCACTGCCCTCTTGCAGTCTTTGGCACCTCTTGACCACATCGTCTTTTCGGGTGTCGACAAGATTATCCGTGGAGCGTTAGCCGACGCCAACTTGGACGACGCAAAGCATTTGTTTGGCGTCAAATTTTGGGGCAGCATCGTGATCGGCAAAGGTGACACAACCCCCTTTCCAATCTATAAAGCATCACATTAGGACTTTTGCTCACACTCACTATTCTGCAAATAGCTCTCGCCAAGTATGATATTCTAAAGCCCGGTGGCTCTCTCACCTTGACGTCAGGCACAGCCGCCCTTCGTCCCGGAAAGGGCGCATCGATTGGTGGAGCCCTTAACGGAGGCGTGCTAGCTCTCACAAAGGGCTTAGCCAGCGAGTTGAGTGACAAACGCATCCGCGTCAACACCGTTGTACCCGGTCTGGTCAAGACGGAACTCTGGGACAAGCTCGGCCAGAGCAAGGAACAGCAACAAGCACTCTTCGAGAAGGGCACTTCTTTGCCCGTCGGATTCACAGCCACGCCGGATGACATTGCAGAAGCCTATCTCTACACAGCTAGGGCAGATTATGCCACGGGGACGCTAATTGTCATTGGTAAGTTGATGAGAGATGTCGACACACCAAGACCTTTACTAACCCATCCAATTACTAGATGGCGGTGGTCAACTTTAGGACCGATATAAATCGAGGATACTAGCGCAGTTGTCCAAATGAATTCCCAGCGTCAGATAGTTGCTTTCATACACTGCAGGACTATGATGAAATGACTTGAGCCATGTAGAGTGTAATGAATACACATCAGATACATAGCTTGGACTAGTGATGGGGAGGATTTATGTTACTATAGCGAGCTAACAGCGTTATCATGAAGCTTGAAAGTAAGCGTAATTGAATTTGGGTCTTGCGTCTCATTCGTTCTTGGTAGGCTCCGAGGATGAAGACTAACGGCGACATCTCAACCTAAAAATCCATTTATCTATCAAGCCTTCGCTTCTCCCCTTTCAACTTCCTTGAAGAATCTATAGCGTCCAATAAAAAAGCAAAATCTGGGAGTGACGTTGATGGTGGGGTCATTTTTCTTTCCTTGGCTGCCGACGCCACATGGGCACACATGTGCGAATGAGAAGGTGGCCCAACCTTTGCCCTCCATTCCTCGTGCTGGATGACAAGGAAGACACTTTCCCCTCACCAACTAAGCAAGCCTCTGAAAATACCTGCAATAGCGGGATTGTAAAACCGGTCATCTCGCTACGTGTTTAGGGCACTTGTCCACACACGAACCGACCTCTCCCCTCTCACTACAATTCGAGGAATTTCGCTCCTGCTCTGACGTCATGGACCAGTACGTCTTTCCATGTGAGCCCTTGGGGAATCCCGAGTCGATGGTGGCAGGAGCGCAGTACCGATTCACGATTCTTGACGACAGGGTGCTCCGCTTCGAATGGAGTGCCGACGGCATTTTGAGGACCGCGCATCCACGCTCGCGATCAACAGGAATTTCCCCAAGCCCAGCTTCCGCGTCAAGGACAGCGAAACCCAGCTCGAAATCTTGACCGCCTCGTTTCACTTGACGTACGATAAGCAACGGTTCAGCCCCAATGGCCTGGTGGCCACCTTTACCAGCAAGCAGACTGACTGGGGCGGCGAATGGCGTTATGGCGGGCCCGCAAAGGACAACTTGGGGGCACGGCGAGAACCCTCGACTGGACCAATGGCCGGTGCGAGCTCGGGCCGGGGATCCTCTCCAGGGCGGGTTTCGCCAGCCTGGATGACTCTACCAGCATGTTGTTTGACGGCAAGGGCTTTGTGGCCCCCGTCGATCGGGGATCGTATCGATGGCTACTTGTTCCATTACGGCCATGACTACAAGGGGGCCATCGAGTCGTACTATGCGATTTCTGGCAAACAGCCCGTTATACCACGGTGGTGCCTCGGCAACTGGTGGAGCCGGTACTTTGCCTACTCCGCGGACGAGTATCTTGCACTGATGGATGAGTTTCAAAAGCATGAGGTGCCCTTATCTGTGGCTGTTGTTGACATGGACTGGCATGTTGTCAAAGGCGACCACGTTCCCCACGTCGGTTGGACGGGCTACACTTGGAACAAATCGCTGTTCCCTGATCCAGAGGGGTTCACCGGAGCCCTTCACGATCGAGGCCTGAAGATCACCCTCAACGATCATCCGCATGCCGGAATCCATCACCACGAAGAGGTGTACGAGGAGCTATCGCGCGCTCTCGGCCACGATACAGCGCACAAAGCCCCCGTCCTGTTCGACCCGACCTCGCCCGAGTTCATGCACGCCTACTTCAACGTGGTGCACCGAAAGCTGGAGGAGCAGGGCTGCGACTTTTGGTGGATCGACTGGCAGCAGGGGCCTTACACGCGCATCCCCGGGATTGACCCCCTCTGGCTCCTGAACCATTTCCAATTCCTCGATCTCGAGCGCAAGCAGGGCGCCGGCGAGGCCCTCGTCTTTTCCAGATACGCCGGGCCGGGGAGCCACCGATACCCCGTGGGCTTCTCTGGGGATACGCATATGACGTGGTCATCCCTCCAATTCCAGCCCGAGTTCACTGCCACAGCCGCCAACATCGGATATGGGTGGTGGAGCCACGACATTGGAGGCCACATGGAGGGCTACCGCGACGACGAACTGGCTGCCCGCTGGGTGCAGTTCGGAACCTTTTCGCCGATCATGAGGTTGCACTCCTCCAACAGCCGCTGGACGTCCAAGGAGCCTTGGGGTTCCGCGCGGAAACGGAGACCGCCATGAAAGAATTCCTGCAGCTGCGCCATCGGTTGGTGCCTTACATATATACCGTTAACGCAGCCTCCAACGCACCCGGCTTTCCCCTCCTACAGCCCCTGTACTGGAATTTCCCATCCCGAGAGGTAGCGTACCGCTTCCCCAACCAGTACTACTTTGGCCCTTCCATCGTCGTAGCCCCCGTGGTCACACCTAGAGATCGAGCCACAAACTATGCCGAAACCGCCGTCTGGGTCCCACCCGGGCGCCACGTTGACATCTTAGGGGCACCGTCTACGATGGCGATCGGGAGATTGCCATGTACCGATCTCTCCATCGCATTCCCGTTCTCGCGCCAGAGGGTGCCATCATCCCCCTAGACCGTGAGCGAGTACCGACCAATGGTTGCGCCAACCCCGATGCATTTGAGATGCTTGTTGTCGTAGGCCGCGACGGTGAATTTACAATCACAGAAAGCACTAGGGATGACAGGATCCCCTCCGCAAGTGGCGAAGCGGTGATTCGCCACATTCCAATCAAATTTCAGCAGGCGAAAGGCCGATTGACCGTCAACGGCGCGGGGAAGGCGTGGATATTCCGCTTCATCTCTCTCGAAGCTGGGATGGCTGAGAGCATTAGAGTCCTCATCAATGGCGAGGTATCTGGCGACTCGGTGGTCAACGTCAACACCTTGCCACTGCTACCTAGCGTGGCTGTGAGTGTCTCGGCCGATGCTAGTAAGAACGATGATATCGTTATCGAATTGGGTCCTAACCCACAGTTGGAAATCCTGAACTATGCCGATACCTTTGCCAAGATACTCGTAGACTTTCAAATTGAAAATAATCTCAAAGACAGGATATGGGAGGTTCTCAACGCAAATCAGCCCACTGCGGTCAAGGTTGGAAGACTGTTGAGTTTGGAGCTAGACAAGGCAGTGGCCGGCCCATTCATGGAGCTCATTCTCTCCGATAGCCGAAGGGAGTGATAAGTCTTAGTAGCCCAGCTAGTTCGTGTACGAGATCTGGCAGGACAATGAAGTGCCTCAGAGAATCCATTACGCTACAGCTGGGCCAATCCGTCAAGGTTGCCTATCGTACGAGCGTCGTCATTTTTTACATCAAGATCTTCTCCAAAGCCTCTCCTAGCCCTCGCTCGTCGAGCCATGCTTTCAAGGCTCTCATGTCGCTCCGGTTCGCCCTCTCCCCGCGCTTTTCGCCAACCATATCCGTAATCTCCTGCATGTCTCTAAAGGCGCGCACCAAATCCACCGACCGCTCCCTGTAACGTTCACTCACTTTCTTGTGCTGGGGCGGGATGTCGCCCCAGCTCTCCGTTTTGATAAACTTCATGAAGTCGTCAATCGCCTCCGATCCTCCCTCGAGGCATAATATTCCGGGCTTGCCGGCGAGCAAGAAGCCCGTCAAGCCGTAGGAGCTGGAATGGTTCACCAAGTCGTCTCGCTTCTCGCGCGTGCTGATCGACGGGAAATAAAACCAAGCGCGGACTATCGGCTCTTCGGTCGTTCCCGCGTTGCGTGCCGCTGCTTTCTCTGCCAATCTGGCGAGGTGCTGGGATGCCTCGTCTTTTACGTGTTCGATGACGGAAAGAATATCTTCGTCCGGAAGCTGGGCGGTCATTTGGGCTGCCTCGCTCTTACTCATCCAGGCTGGTTGGTGTACCCTCGTCTTGACCGCAGGCGGGTCGGTCACCGGCAATTCCGCCACCATGGGAACGGATAGGGTAAGAGTCAGCGGTTTCGGTTCCCCAACCGCGTCCTCCACCTCTAGGTCCAGCGTCAGGAGACGTGCCTGCTCGTCAATTTCGGTATGCTGCCTTCTTCATTTTGGCACCAATCTCTGAGAAGGTTGAGAAGATTGGAGGATTCGATATCAAGGGAAATGGCATTATCGGGCTCGTACATGGCCATGAGCAGGTCTATCTGGCCGAGCTGGAGCTCTAAGAGGTCTTTTGGCAGCAGGGCCAAGCCCGTGTCGTCAGCCATTGCGTGACAAGGTACTGATAAGTCAAAGCACACTCAAAGAACCGGAACGGCACCAGAAACCACGCCTCGGCTGCTCTTAGGGTTCTTGCCGACCTCGCGCATTAGCTTTGACCTGTCGCGCGGGAAATGATGATTTTCCCCCTCCATATCGTTGGTTCAGGAACTTAGCAGGCAAGTCAAGTCACGTGTGTCGCGGAAAAATGCGCGACTTAGTATTAGTGCACTATTTCTCTGGATCAATGCCCAAATTCCCAGCGAGCCGAACTAGCCTGTTGCATTCTCATATCTACATGTAGGACGGGGAGTGTTATTGACATAGTGATGCGTACACTATAGAGTCTAAAATACCCTCTTCTCTATGCGCACGCACGCCACTATACAAGTCTGCTGGTCCCGGAAATTCTTAACACACTCGAGTTGCAGCCCTGAATGGACATTTATATACCGCCGCTATAGTGATATCAATGGATGTCATTTATTGCCTTTTCTCCTTCTCTTCCTCACTCTGACGTGCTCTCATCCTCAGCTCCCTCGTAGAAAGGACCAGGTACGTGAGTAATATCGACGAAGAGATTATGTTGGGCCATACGGCTGAGCCATCCGTCCACTTCTCCTGTATAACCAAAGCGTCGGCAATCATCCCAATAATGAGCTGGAGGGCACCTGTCCAGGGTAATATCGGACGAGGCAACTCCCAGCCACCAAAGTATGCGTACATGATAGCATGATGGAACGTGTTGGAAATGGCAAAGGGCTTCCAGCCATTATAGTTATGGGCGGTGCGGGCCCAGGTAAGGTAGCAGGTAGTCAGGTGGTGGAAGCCGAAGTGCAAGTCAATGGCTCCTCCACTAGCCCGGACGTTGAGAATGTCGACGTATTCGTAGAACTTGGAGTAATGGTACGCGTAACGGCTGGTCGCGTCACCTTCTGGGCGATAGATGAGGAATATCATCAAGGCTAGGGAAACAAAGGCGTAGAAGATGCTGTTTATTTTAGTGACTGTCGAAGCGCCACGGATTGGGCCGTTTTTGTCGACATAGTTATGGAGGGCCCGCCACACGAATGCAAAGGCGATGGTCTGGCCTGCCATAAAGGCGAGCTGTGTTGGAATCTCCATAATTTCAGATTTCTTTTGGCGGTGCCAGGCTACGGAAACTAGCCAGGAGGGGGTGAAGCATGGAGCCGTTGAAAGCACTTGCGTGCAGCGTCTCGAGCGGATGATAAATGGTCTGGTGAGTTGCAGTTTCCGGAATCGTGAGTCACCACCAAAGGATCAACGTATTCATCGTACTTTACCGACAATGAACGTCGAGCAACCCTTGTCAATCCCTGACGATCCCCGCAGCGGAAAAGAGAAAAAGGTAAAAAAGGTTGAAAAAAGAGAAGTACTCTCACTTCCGTCGTCTTCTAAAGAACCATATGCGTTATAGCATTAGAAGAAGGAGCATGTCCTTCATTTCATAAGTTGCTGGAATCCTCCTTAAAAGCTCAACCTATTACGCCAAGCTTAATCATCAACAGAGGCGGAGAGCACCAAAAACGTCTACATATGGGAGAAAAGGTATAAATATATTCATAGACGGAGGAATAATCCCTTTGATGAAGCCCTGTTCCCATTCTGGCCTTCGTTGATATCATACATTCCACCGTTATACTAGTTGTACACATGGTAATTTGGATCCCAGAACCGTTATTTGCATATTATGGCATTTTGCCCATGCCTTTCTCCCCGCGCTCTGCTGAACGAAAAATACAGCGCCCATACTTTTGGGGCAAAGGGACGTGTCCCAAGAGCGCGGGGGAATAGTAAAGAAAAAAGAAAAGAAAAAACTAATAAGAGCGAGCTAAGTCACCCGTCTTCATGGAGAAGATCGGAACTCTTCGACAACGACGCTGTGGTGCGTCTTTTCGGTATGGCTACTACTGCTACTCGCGTGATCGGCGGCTTCCAGATCGACCGTCTGCTTCTCGTCGCGGTCCAGGTTTGTGGCGGTTTCGTCGTTGTTAGACAGCGTCCACAAGTTGCGTCTGTTGGAGCCGGAGTTGGGTGATCGAATCGGAGTGGAACCTATGGTGGGGACACGGCCGTTGGCATCCGGACGGGCAGCATTCTGACCGCCCATCTCGTTGGGGGTGGCATGGGGATCGATGAGGTTCGGGAACCATCGAGCGAGGAGGGGCTTCATCGTCATGAAGCAGGCGATGACGACGGTCGCGTTGGTCTCAACGGTTGTCCAAAACGTAATGACTGTGTAGTCGTATGGGACATCGGTGGTCTTATTTGTCATGATGAGATATACCAGACGAATAATAGAGATCAAGCAGACGCTAAGATCAGGGTTAGCGGGCGATACCGTTGCGGGGAAACATCATGAGGCCTTGATGATACGTACAAGAAACCGAAAGCGAAGAGGACGAAGAGGAGAACTTTTGACGGCGAGGGAATCGTAGGCGTAGAATGACGGGGATCGGGAGGAGGTAGATGAGGAAATCGGTAGCGATGTGCAAGTAGGTATTGGCGAACCAAATGCTCAGGGAGTGGCAGTACTTGGCGGGAACAGAGAAGTCCCAGTAAGCCTCGAGAGGAATGCAGGCGGTGAAGATGGACGCGAAGACAAAGATGTTGTAGGCCGTGATGATGCCGATCAAGGCGCAAGTGCAGCGCCGGACCCAGGGGAAGGTCCAAATGCGTAGGTAGAGGATCAGAATGGCTGTCTGGGCGAACCAGATGCTCAATTCGTAGAAGAGGATGGAATACCAGCCCGCCTACAAAGGTTAGTGAGTAAAATCTCCAAGATGTCACCAATCTTCGAGGTCAAGGGAGGACGTACTTTGCTCATCGGCACCACATTGGCGAAATCCAACCACCACCAGTGCTGACCCAGACCAAGAGCCGCCTCTGTCATTTTGAGTTAGTAGGTGTTTCATTGCTTTCTACCTTGCTTGTGAAGCTTGGAAGCAGGCCACCGCGCCGGCAGCACAATTAAACGGGAGGGGCGCCGACTCACGGTTGATGTAGCCGATCGATGTTGCAATCGAGAAGACCTGGGCGAGGAGGATGAGCCAATCCTCTAAAGCAAGCACATGCATAATGACCCCGCGGGCGTAGAATCGAAGCCCAACAAAGATGGTGCCGATCAAGGCGGTGATGACGGAGCAGACGATGATATCGACCGAATAGGACCGTTCTACGCCGTTAATTCCCATTGGTGGACCAGTCGGCCCCGTGGGCGGCACCATGACGATGGTATCGTTTGACGACATTTTGCCGGTCCGTCTCGCTTATCTCTCCGGGAGTGGGCTGGATTTGGTCGTCGTTGTTTCGCCGCAGGTTTCCCACTGCCACTTTTGTCCGTGGCGTCTTTTCCTTTGCTTGAGCTTTAAGCGGCAGTTGATGGGCTGGTATCGACGGCAGCTATCACCCCAATTGACCGGAAGAAGGCGCACGTTGATCAAACCGAAGCTCCTCCGCGCACTAAAGCTACTGCTTGCCGGAGATAACGGCAGGATTGAGCTAGCTCGTCGTCACTGGGCGCATCTCGCGAGAGAGAGATATCTCGAAACTCAGCAAAAGGCGAGATATCGATTAGGCGACGATAGCGGCGACGACGTGTTTTGGCTTTGAAAGGTTGATCGGGGAAAAAGAAAGAAACGAAGAGGTCGAAGCTTCGCGGCTTGGTGCTTCGTCTGGTGGTGTGGGAGCGGGCCCATGTTTGTTTTTAGTGTCAATCAGCGACCCACGGTTCTCTTATCCGGGTCGTGTGGGAGGGAAAGCGGGAGCGACGAGAGTCTGACCCAAGGTTCGTCAGGCTAGGACCAATTTTAGACTGGTGTGTTGGCTGGCCGGTTCGCTACGGCGGCGGTCTGCGGCGCTTCGATATTTGCAGGGATGTGCCATGTTCACCATGGGTGCTTTCCAACTTTCTCAGGCCAACTGGAAAACCACAAGGTTTGGGCCAAGAGAAATCGAGTCTTGCGTTCAGAGAGTGAGGGTTTGTTGCCACCCTGAAGTTGGTGTGTGTCAAAACTCGGCTTGGCGCATGCGTCTCGCTTGACATTTCTTGTGTTCTTCTTTCTGCGCCTCTTAGCTGACTCGTATGTTCTAGATGCCTTCGACTTGACGTGGACAAGGGATATACCCCTTTAGGCGCTTGCCTTTTGACAGTTCGTCCTGAACCTTCGCGAAGTACGTCGCCGTCAGCCGCCAAAAAGGTTCTTTTTTCTTTCGTTCCCCATTGTCTATCCAAGCTCTTGTCGTGCCACCCGCTTCTCCACGAACCGAGGGAGAGAGTTCGAGGCCAGTATTTTTCAGAGACCCTTTCGGGAACGGATCGGCGCGCGGCCTAATTCGTTTCCCCTCCCCCTCCTCGTCGCTCCAAGCCAAGAACCAAAACAGATGAAAACGGGTCTGTGCGACAGAACCATTGCCCTCTCTTTTCTCCCGGGGCTGCTGATCCGCCCTCCGTTCCATCCAACCCCGGCAGGGAAGAGGGCCGTGGATTGGCCCTTGGTCTGCAGCGCACGGAGCTTCGCTTCCTCAAAGCCAATTCAGCATGCTTTTTCGTGTCCTGCACGAGATTGGATTGGCCCTTTGTTACATTTGTTCCCTGAGTTCCCCCTTGTTCAAGCATGTCACCCACGTACGAGATGGGGACACTCCGCTGGGCTGGCCCGGCCTGTCAAAGAAGGCGTTGAGCCCCAAGGCCCGAGTGACACCCTGGGAATATTACCTCCTCACACTTACCTCTAGCCTAGGCCTATCCTCCGCTGTGGCTGGCCCAAATCGACACTAAACTTTTAGATTTTTGCCGGGCATCCGTATCTACACTAGTGTAAGCAGAAAGGGAGGTTGCCTCAGGGGCTTGCCTGCCTGCCATCCATCCGCCGTGAGGAGGAATATCTCCTGGCTCTCAGCCACTGTAATCCTCTTCTCCCTGTTCGGAGACCGACTGAGCGGAGGACAAGGCCTCCGTCACTTCCGTCTTTCGTACGTAAGGGATTCTCGTTTGACAAGGGCCGCTGCACCAAGCCAACTACGCCTAGGATCATGACGTTGGGCTAAGATTGGTTTCCAGCCCTGCGCCTGGCATAATACTCGTAGAGCCGAAAAACTCAAATTGATTTCGAACACCAAAAGGCCGTACAGGCGCAAATCACTCCACTAGTATCTACATTAATACACTACGCTACGAACAAGGCGTTTTTTCATACCATCAACCCTTCAGTACCCATTCTCGCCATCTCAAGGAAAAGGGAAAGGATACTGGCAAAACACGAAGAACGGTCGGGACGGCATCGGTGTGAATATCAAGAGGACTTGTCGGGGGCAAGGGGAATAAAGGGAGAGTACCTCGGTATTGGTGGCCCCAATCATGCCCCCGAGCTTCGCTAATCTTACTTTTGCGCCATGATCCTCATCCATCAACCGATTCCTCGTGTGTGTTTGTATCTCGTAAACACGAGCAGATGATTTGAACAGAACATTCGATTTTCTTTTCTCTCTCTTTTGGACGTGTCCAGGTCAAATGCGAATATGGAATTCAGGGTTCGAGATCCAGGAACTTGGGCTTGGGTACCTCGGGAAGCCTCACCATTCCGGAAATTTGGTTAGCGAAGACGGGATCAAATAACAAAGAAAGCAAAAGCTGGTTCACATGAATGATGCAATGCCGTATTACCGTGGGATCAGAAACACAATCACGATTCCTTTGACCCAACATGTAGAAATCGCCCACTCGCCCGTCAGTCTGATATTTCTATTTCCATATATTCAACCTTGTGTCCAACAACCCTAAACTTTTTTTTCTTTTTTTCTCCGTTCACAGGAGTTCGTCACTTTCTGTGTTACTCGAGCTTTAGGAGAGAGCGCAAGTCGCAAAGATGATTGCGGAGGAGTCCAGCACGGACACCTTCAGCGGCTATTTTCGGACCACCTTCTTGACTCCTGAGATTCACATGCCACAGCTGGGCGACGATGCCTGGAAGGTCTGAGCGAAGTCGTTCGAGGAGCTCGCCGTCCCTCATCCTCTTTCACCTCAAGTCATCAGGATGGGAAAGCTAGTCAAGGCCTTGACCTCATAGATTTTGTTTCATAGACACAACACGGCACGGGAAATTATTGTCTGATGGCCAAGGGCATCGGCGCGGTTAGGCAAATTAAGGACGTCCTTGTATTATCATTTATGTTGTTGCTTAAAAACTAATATTATCAATTGATGCATAATAATCCGCAGCTGCACCGGTCCGAGCACCCCTTGCACCGGGATCTATGTGTACGACACCACGCTAGGCTTGCAGCCAAAACGTCCCGTCCCCTCTCTCTTAGTATCGGTTTCGATATCCTTTCCGATTAGGCGGCGCAGAGTGTGAAAACAAGGTCGTCGTCGCTAGTGCAAACCTTGACCTGGCTACCGGCAGGAGGGGTTCCGTCCTCCCAAACTATGGGTGCGCAGCCGCCGTTATCGCTCGAGACGGTCAGCTTGTGGCCCTCGAAAGCGTCTCCGAAGACGTCGCTGAGGTCGTACCAGACCTGGGAGCCGTCGAGGTTGTAGGCGAAGTTGGTCTGGGGAGCGCCGGTCCAGAGGCCGTCCTCGGGGATGGTGACCTTGAGGGAACGCCCGCCGGTTACCGCGTCGCGCGAGAACTCTTCGCTGTAGGAGCCGCCGTTGGCCTTGAGGCGCCAGGGACCGGCGACCTCGCCGCCAACGGACCAAACTGATACGTCTTCGTCGCACTGGTTGACGACGTGAGCTGAGCCGACTGCGGCGACGGCAGTGGCGGAGGAGACGACGGCGGCAAGGGTGGTGAAGAAACGCATTTTCGGGGGTTTGAACGTGGTTTCCGTTAAGAGGACTGAAGTATGTGTATGAGTGCTCGTCCGAATAGTGGAGGAACAAGTATTATGTCGTTCGTGATAGAGGGAAGATTGCTTGTCTTGAGGATGGTTGGAAGGGATGGATGATGTGATGGATCAAAGACAGGAACTTGAGGGGCATCAAGACGTCTTTATATACCAAAGAGTTGTTCTTTCCTACCTACTTATTTTTTTCTTTTTAAGGAGAGGCAACGTTGTGACGTCCATCCTCATTGTTCGGCAAACATTTTGTCCGCGTTGTAGACTTGATTACCTCGTCGTGGATCCCATTCCAGCCCAGGCATCATCCCTTGTATTTCCTTTTTTCGTTCTCGGTAACCTGCTAGAATACACGGCCTCCTGACTCGGATCTGAACCAAAACCCTGTATCCCGCCACTCGCATTCCATGTGCGCGCGAGACAGGCATAGCCATCATAGGATTCCAAACACGAGTCTTCTACCAGGCACGGTCCGTTCGGCGAATCTCTCCCCGCCAGCCCAGAGTCATTTCTGTCAAACGCAGGGGAGACCCAACTTTCCCGACGTTGGCCGCGAGAGGGCGAGCACGAGTAAGAAACGCTGTAAGGCGATGCTAAATACGAACCCCCTATCGTTCTTGGAGAGTTCTAAAAATAAGCCGTGAGGTCGCGATCGCCGAACCTCCCCTCGGTCAGTGGGAATGAGATCATCGGGTCCAGGTGGGTCGTCGACGTCAATCGTTTCCCAAGGCTGGGGGAGAGAGAGCCGGAGGAAGCCCCAGGCACTCCACACGGTAGCCATCTTCGGAACAGTAATCGGGGGACGGGAGTGGAAAGCCGAGTCTGGGGAACGAAAAATCACCAATTAGGCGTCTTGCCCTACGCTTAGTGTAGCCTTGCGCCACGAAGACTACACTCCCACCCAAGTGCTGCGAATGTAGCTGTGGCAAGGCGCATTCCCGCGTCTAGCGTAGTGTGGCATCTGTTTTTCATATTCTCGGTTTGCCGCGTAGGAATGAAAGGGGAAGAGGAAACAAAAAAGAAAAAGTCCATGACGTGTAGGTCGCTACGATCTGATACGAGAAAAAGACGCCGATCCCCGATGGCGATCGCTTCCCGATCTGGGAAATGTTTTAGCATGACCTGCCAACGAACCTGATCCCAAGACCTTCCCGGCTCGTATTCTTTTGGCACCCAACGAATTCTCGCCCAGAAGGCAGACAGAACAAAGCATACATTGAGGTGTGATCGGCGGCAATTCGAGGTCGCCCAGCGCCCTCTTGACGAAATCAAAGGTGGAAGATGCTGCTTAGCCATTTACTCAACACTGCCCGATGACGCATTATTTTTTAAATGGCTCTCGGCTCCCAAGGCTCTCGGAACACGAGGAACGGGCGGGACTTTTTGGCGGCTTGGCTAGGTCCCAAATGCCGCTCATCATCTCCATCTGGCCAAATGAAGCGCTCGCTTATGGGGACGCTTACCGCCGAGAGGCGGAGGTTAAGTAGGACGTCAGCAACGGGGCGTTGACTACGTAATGCAAATCCGGGGTCGAATTACCTCTTCACATCTGTAAACAATGGGAATCCAAGGTAATGACATGGAATTGGGTGAAATGCCGATATTGTATCGACCATCGAAATTGAAGATTGGTTTCCGGTGTTTCGGCCCAGCAATAACCTGTCGGTAAGAGACCCATCTATACGACGTTACTTCTAACCAGCCATAGTCCTGGAAACGTGGTGTTCTGCCTTGGATCGTCCCTTTTATTTCGAGAGTTGCGTTTTGATACCGAGGTATATCATCTTCTATTACCATCTAGGTCTATTTTTGTCGGATGGTGTTGCCTCACAAAAACCTCATCTCAAAACTACAAAGGTTCCGCCGAAACAATGACTCTGTATCCTATACATTACACCTGAAGCCTTCATCTATAACTTTCCTTTAACGGCAACGAACAAGCCCTCCGCAGAAGCGAGGACATGGCCCTGCTGGTTCTCGACGACCGTCTCAACGTAGCATTTCCTCCCCTCTAGGTTCGTGACCTTGGCCCTGACGAGAATGGTGGAGGGCACGGGGACGGGTTTGATAAAATTGGTGTTGAGGTAGGCGGTCATGAGCATGGGGTACGGAATGGCACCGTTCCGCTTGTTGACCTCGATGAGCTGGCCGCTGACCTCGTCGAGAATGGTCACCACGATGCCTCCGTGGCAGACGCCGGGCCATCCGTTCAGGCCTGGCCGCAGCGTGAGGAAGGAGCTGATCTGGGGAATGAGGGTCCCTTTCCGGTGAGGCTCCTTGTAGAAGGTTAGGTAGGCCGCGATCGTGTCGGGGCCGTTGAGCGTGCGGGCGAACAAGGCATCCCCGTCGCCGGGCTTCGCGATTCGCCCGTCCGGTGTGGCGACGACGATGTTGGGAGCGGAGAGCTGGCTCGCGCACCAGGGATCGGCGCGAAAGTGCTCGAGATCATTCCGAGACTCGGGCTTCATTTTTGCAGGGTCTTCGGCACGCCCCTTTGCCATTTTCTTCAAATCGTTCACAGCTGTTTCGTCTGTCCCGAGTGAATAAGGTGGAATCCCCTTTACAGCCGTGGACTCACTACGTCACACTCAGCGCCTGCCGTTTGGGTGAGCGGTCGCGATGAGGTTGCCCCGTGAACCGAGGTACTGGAGTTTCCCCAAGGAAGGCGCGATTGTTGTTCGCGTGCTGACACGACTGCTTGAGGGTTCAATGATAGCAGCGCCCTTTGGATGTTGGATTCGTGATTTGCGGGAGTAGTCTCTTGGGGAAGACTCTGGCGTGGAGACGGAGATTAGGGGTCAAAGGCGACGTTGAAAGCCGCCCAAGCCAAGTGGGAGCTGAGCTTCGGCATCGAATTGAATTGTCGCAGGCTTGGGCTGTGGTTTCATTGGTCGGCACGCCACACCTCGGTTTCTTGCCGGGGATAATAAGCAGAGCCACTTGAGAGAGTCAAGCCACACGCATGTGGCGTGGGTTGTGGATGTGTCATTCTGGCATTATTAACACAGTGCAATAATTGTCAGCAAACTCACATCAGGAGGAGGTTCTAGAACATCGGCAGGCCATCGCCAACTCTCCACTCTCACTCCTGCCCAAAAACAAGAAAAGCAAGGAGCAAAGATGACGAGTACTCTGGGCAACGCGTCACGCGATAGATCGAGTGCAGCTGCTGTCGAAGCGTCGCTCAGCGACGGCAAGAAACATTTGCTCGTCGCTGCGAGCGGATCAGTCGCAACGATCAAGCTGCCTCTGATCATCTCGTCGTTTGCCAAGTACCCCAACGTGTCCATCCGCGTCATCCTCACCAAGTCGGCGTCCGAGTTTCTGGCGGGGCAGTCGAGCGAGCAGCCGGCGCTCTCGTCGCTCTCGTCGCTGCCGAATGTCGAGGGCGTCCACGAGGACGAGGACGAGTGGGCCGAGCCCTGGGTCCGGGGCGCCAAGATCCTGCACATCGCGCTGCGACGGTGGGCGGATATCCTCGTCGTGTCCCCGCTGAGCGCCAATACCCTGGCCAAGGTCGTCAACGGCATGTCGGATAACCTGCTGACGAGCGTCATCCGGGCGTGGGACACGACGGGGCTGATTGACGGCAAGAACTCGAGGATCCTAGTCGCGCCGGCGATGAACACGGCGATGTGGATGCACCCGTCACGGCCAAGCATATCCGCGTCCTGGAGCAGGAATGGGGGTGAAGGAAGGCGGGGCGTCTGAGGCGCAAGCGGGTGAAGATGGCGGTGAGATCGTGGCACGAACGGGCTGGTTCGAGGTCCTGAGGCCGGTTGAAAAGGCGCTGGCTTGCGGAGATGTGGGCTCGGGGGCTATGATGGAGTGGTCGGAGATTGTCAAGATCGCCGAACAAAGACTAGGGCTATAGTAGGGTTCAAGTTCACGATTTCTTTTAGTTCTTTAACGCATATTCACGCGGTGGTGCCTTGCCACTCGATTGTACGGGAAGCAAAAGTGGGCGGAAAGGCGAAGGCAGCTAGGGGCAAACATAAATAGATAGCATGATACATGGGCTCGTTGAAAAACAATAGACAGAACTTGACGTCGAGTCCTCCCTAAACCAAGACTCTCGCTTCCAATAGAAATCCGTTGGGACAGTCCACCTGGCATCTCAACAACCCATGACTATAGCCATGGGCCGAGCGCCGTTCTAGACAAAATACAATACAAGAAGTAATTTACAACCATAGATGATGACCCAAAAGGACTTGAAACTCTCCAACCGTGAAAATCCAAAAGAAAAACAAATGAAATAATAAGGTAAAAAGAATGAATGGCATGTAATGAATGTTGTTTCCCCTTAGTCTCTCGTCTCGTCAAGATTCGTAAACCTCGGCCCTTCAATATCGGCAAGATGTCGGGACGGTGAGAGAGGCCGTATCATGGATATTTCATTGGACATGAGTCCGGCCATGTGAAGACACGCGTCGCGATAGCCGTAGCCATACGCGCGTGCATTGTTAGGGTCTTTGCGGAAGGCAGCAGGGATCAACCCCAACGCTCGTTGTCCTCCTGGCGGCGCTGCGAGGGCTAAGTTTTTCAAAGGGAGAGCCGTGAGCCCCAGCTCTGCGTTATCCGGCGAATGGGCTGATTTAGACTTGGATTTGGTTGCCGGCACCGCGCCGTCGAGGCCCCGGGCATCCTTTTGCGGGCTCGAATGTCGGTGTTTTGAGCCGCGTTGCTTGGTCTCCTTGTCCAGTCTGACGCCTTCTCGGACCGCTCCATATCTCGGCTTCGATTCCGGGCCGTCCTTTTCGGGCGTCTCGGGGAGTAGACGAAATGCATATCGTCCTGTAACCTGTGCCGGCTGCACCTCTTGCTCTGGGGCGAGTCCCTCGGCTCGTTGCACTTGTTGCAGCAATGTTCGGGGCAAAACTGGCTGCCGGGTTTGCGGGCGAGGGCGCAGTGCTTGTCGTCGAGCCGTTGACTACAGGCGTGCCCGACGCAGTACGATCCTCCTCTGTGGACCGGACTGCCGCACCCTTCCAGCGCGCAAGTGTGCTCCTTGCAAAGGGCACCGATTTGGACCAGCCCCGTGGCAGTCGGAGCCGCTGTACCGGCACTTGTGGTGCTCGCAAAACCAGTCAATCTTGGAAGCCACGGGCGCGGGGCAGCTCTCGTTCTCGCACTTGTGCGTCTCGCAGTACGGGCTGCCCTCGTAGCCGGTACGCTTGCTGCACGGATCCCACAGGCAGGTGTGCTCGGTGCAGTACTTGCCCCTCACCTCGACGGCCTGGTAGCACCGGGGCGCGGCGCAAGTATGTTCGTCGCAGGCCTCGCTGTTGCTCTTGATCTTGCGGACGCTCGTGCACCCGCCGACGAACCGGCAGACGTGGTCTCGGCACGCTATCGCGGCGCCGGATTCGACGGCTTGGTTGCAGGGGAGGCGGCCGGACCATTGGCAGGAGTGCTCGCTGCAGTAGGGCCTCTTGAGTCGGCGAGACCTCGGGCACTCTTGGGCCTGGCAGGTGTGATCTTCGCAGGCGTCTCCGAGAACTACGGAAAACGAGAGGTTGAACCTTGGTTAGGAAAAGTCTAACATACTCCACCTCAGCCGACTAGGCAAAGGGCCTTGATATCCTGAATGCCGAGAGAGAAGAAGAAACTTACTGCCATTATCGGACTCGAGGCCACGTTTGCACGCGGTGCACCCGGAATATTGGCAGGCGTGCAAGTTGCAAAAGGCGCTCGTGTCCAGCCGGGATTTCGAGCAGGCCATCAAATCGCAGGCGTGCTGAGCGCAATATCCGCTTCCTTCGGCCCTGCGTAATGGACAGCTGGCCCGTTTACAGGCGTGTTTCTGGCAATGGCCGCCGGCCGTGACGCCATCGGACGAGTCGCAGCCTGGGGCGGAGCATCTCCAGCGTTGTGCGACGAAAACAGGCATCTTTGTGTGCGGGGAAATGCGAAAGGGGGACGAGTGTCGAATCGGCAGTGAGTACGCAGTGGGAAAGAGCAAAAAAGAAAGGAAAGAGAAAAGAAAATAAAGGGAGGTTGAGGGAAACGCTTGTCGGTGTCGAAAGTGGAATGAGGCGTGTGCAGTTCTGGGGGTAAGCGTGAAGGATGATGACCGATCTCACGGTGTGAACGGGGGCGGCTGGGTGCAAGTTATTTCTTGCGTCGCAACGACAATGGCATTCCAGGTCGAAAAGATAAAGAGTCGGGCTTATTGGAGTTCAGAAGCACCACCTTGATGAATCACGGATGACATGATGGCTCCCACGGAAAATGAGGCAACTGGTCGTCTCGAGGGAATGATTGGCTCAGACGTCTTGTCGTTGGGTCTGCTTGCATGTTGATGCGGAGGCGTCATACAGCGTTTTGCTCTCTTCTGCCTGGGCACCCTTCCCCTCCATCCCAAGGGGAGAATTGATATCCCCCACACGTTTCGAGTATTGATCCTTGGGCTGTGGTGGTCGCCACCGTGGGAAAAACTATTGGACTTTCGGCTTGGGATGGCATGGTATGTCTGCAGCGCGCTAATGAACAATGGAGCATTCGCGCCCGCGGGATGTCCTCCGCGAACTCGAGCCGTAGGAGGGACCATTGAACCGTTGGGTCACTCCTTTGTCGGCCAATACATTGCCGCCACTGCCCAACGAGTCGAGCAACCACTCTCGTCTTTGGAATTCTTCAACAGCGCGAGACGGCAACCGAGGATCGGCCAGCCTAAACTACCTTGCCCTGGCATCAAGGATGGCAAAAGATGGGTTTTGTAAACATCGTGGGATGCCGTGGCTTCCATACGATTTCCGTGTGCCAATCGTGGAACCGCTCGACTGCTTCCGTTGCTTCTGTGGCAAACGATGTGCGGTTCCAGCGCGGGGACGAGGACCCTTTTGTCGACCAACTGTGGCTGGCCACGTCGAACGAAATATATTTCATTTCTGCTGTCCCCAAAAAAATCCACTCTGGCTTCTGTGAATCGGCGGGAAAGTCGACGAATTGATTTCAAGAGTGCTGGGAGAAAGCCGGTCGGTCCTCAATCGTGGTGGCTTTGGTGTGTCCGCCCATCCGCTGGGCATTAGAATGAGGGATCTGTTCTTGCGTCCTCTCGTGGGAGGTGAGCTTTCTTATTTTATTCTTGTACTATTTTATTGAATGGAATATATTCTATCTTGTTCTCAAATCTTCATTCAAGACTCCGTAATCTTCATCCGAGTACATGTATCGCTAGAAGAATAGCAAACGCGCGATGTGGATCACCGAGCCGTAGCCACCCATCTTTGCTCCCCCTCAACCATACGCTCTCCGTCGGGCATTGTGAGAGAGAGGGGATTTGAGCCGGGCCCCGGCACCGGAGCGGATCTCAAGTCTTCGTAACGGCCGGGCTCCGCCGTGGGTCAAAGCGTCCTGTTCGGATTATGTGAACCTTTGAGGTATCGCATCCCTGCACTTCGCTCCAGCCGCCGTTCCGATGTCGACCCTCCATCTCTTGCCCCGTCTCGATGCATCCTCCTACCCCGGGGATCAAGCGCACCATCAATCGGATCCTCGCTGCCACGAGGGGATAAAAATGTCTTGGCCTGTCCGAGATAAAGCGGGTCGGGCAGACGCCGTGCGGAGACGAGCACTATGCATACATCCATGGATGTAGACAAACGGTGGCCGCATAGATCCGATCAATCCCTCTGTGCTCGCACGATGACACTTTGAGTCAATGTTACCCGCAATTACTTGACCGAAATCAAACCATTGGCCTCAAGTTTGAACCGGAGCCCTGAGGCCTCATGCAGCCAATTTCATGGAACCCGCCATTTAACCGCCGGGCCCCAATCTCGTCGCGCGAATGCCGAATGGCCCGCTAAATAGAGTTCATCAACGCCAATTCCCCTGCGGATGACGGCGGGAATGGGAATATACCCGGAAAGAAACCCTGCGGAGAGATCATCGCTGAATGCGGGTTGCCCGAGGGTGGGCCTGGCTGAGGGCGTTGCTATTTGTCCTCCTCTCTGCCCTCCCCCTTGACATGGAGATTGGTTCTCCCCTATAGCCCGGTTGAAGTGGCCACCGACCATGTGCCTGCTAGATTAGATGGTCAGATTGCTGCTGCCACTGATACTGCTATTGCCTCTTCTGCGGCTTCTTGGTATGGTTCTCACGGCTGATTTACTTTATTGCCTGTCTCTGTCCCGGAGAGGGGGACGCGCGTAACGAGCGGAGCTCGGAATGTTTTTTCTCTCTCACCCTCTTTCTTGCGTCGTCTGATGCTTAAAATGTAATTTGGGACAAGGGACCGGAGCCTTGACAGGTCGCTTGGCTTTGGCAAACACCCGAGTTTAAAAACCTTCTAGAAAGTCCGGGTCCGAGGCCTGAGCAGTTCTTTGGATCTCTCTGTTGCTTCGCAAAAGCCTACAGATTTCTCTTTGAACGACTACCGTAGGTGTCGTTGGCCTTTTCCCTCCCCTTCCGCGCGTGCGACCAGCCCTCAATAAAACAAAAGAGATATTGAGCATTATATTTACGCCATGAAGTGGCTATCGTTCGCCTTCCTTTTCGCCAGCGGGGCTCTTTCTGCCCCTGCAGCCACGGCCGCCGATGAATACGATTACGTCGTCGTCGGCAGCGGTCCCGGCGGTGGCCCGCTTGCCGCCAACTTGGCCAAGGCCGGATACTCGGTTTTCTTGATCGAAGCCGGTGATGAGAGCCCCGGACAGGGATTCGGCGTCTACACCCCGACCGTTCACTGGGACTTTTACGTCAAGCACTATCCGGAGGAGATCCTAGGAACGAGATCTACAGCCATTTGACCTGGCTCACCCCCGAGGGCAGGTACTGGGTTGGACAGAGCGGTGCCCCCGAGGGCTCCGAGCTCCTGGGCGTGTACTACCCCGCGGCGCGACTCTGGGAGGCTCGTCCATGGTGAACGCCATGGTGTGCTGGCTGCCAAGCGACAGCGATTGGGATCACCACTACAATGTCACTGGCGACGAGACCTGGAAGTGAGTTTTTCTGGTTCTTTCTGTTTGGGGTTGAGAGTTGAAAGGAGAAACGTCCTATTTCCCATTTGCACCACAAATTCTAACCTCGCACGTGCGTTCGCTTCTTTCCTCTAGGGCCGAAAACATGCACAAGATCTTTGCCAAGATCGAAAAGAACAACTATGCCGAGGCCGGCAGCCCCGGCCACGGCTTCGACGGCTACTTCCAGACCAACATGGGCGCCATGGCGCAGGCCCGTGGCGGTGCTCTGCAAGGCAACAAGGTGATGGAGGCCTACGCCAAAGAGTTTGGCGTCGACGACTGGGACATGACGGACCTCCTGACCCGGGACCCCAACGAGATGGTAGCCGACCGGGACCAAATCTCCAGCATCTTCGGCCTGGTGAACCACCAGTACGCCAACGGTCAGCGATATAGCTCGCGCGACTACGTCAAGGCCGCGGTGGACGCGGGCGACCCGATCACGGTATCGCTCACCTCGCTGGCCACCAAGGTCCTCTTCGACACCAGCGGCGACTGCGGCGACAAGCCGCGCGCCGTGGGCGTCGAGTACCTCGAGGGCAAGTCCCTGTACGCGGGCGACTCGCGCCGCGTCGCCGGGGACGCCGGGACTAAGAAGACGGTCAAGGCGAAGAGGGAGGTCATCGTGTCGGGCGGCGCCTTCAACTCCCCGCAGCTCCTCCTGCTGAGCGGCATCGGCGCCAAGGAGCACCTGGAGGAGTTCGACATCCCCGTCGTCGTCGACCTGCCCGGCGTGGGCCAGCACCTCATGGACAACCAGGAGATGCCTATTATCGGCACGGGGTCCGCCGGCTCGGGCACCACGGGTGTGGCCATGTTCAAGACCAACTTCCCCGCCTACGACGAGCGCGACATGTTCCTCATGGGCGGTCCGGGTTTCCTCTTCCGCGGCTTCTGGCCCATGAACCCCGTCGCCCAGCCCCAGGAGCCCCGCTCCCCTACGGCGTCAGCATGGTCAAGGGTTCCTCGGTCAACAACAAGGGCTGGGTCAAGCTCCGATCCGCGGACCCCCAGGACACCCCCGAGATCAACTTCAACCACTATGCCGAGGGCTCGGACGCCGACATCCAGGCCATGGCGGACACCGTCGCCCGCATCCGCAAGATCTACCTCGACATCGGCATCACCCCGACGGAACCCCCTGCAGCAGCGAGCCCGACGAGAACGGCAGCTGCGGCCAGGACGACATCGACTGGATCCACAAGCAAACGTTCGGCCACCACCCCACCAGCTCCAACAAGATTGGCGCCGACGACGACCCGATGGCCGTGCTCGACTCCAAGTTCCGCGTGCGGGGCGTCGCCGGCCTCCGCGTCGTGGATGCCAGCGCCTTTGCCCGCATCCCCGGCATTTTCCCCTCCGCGCCCACCTTCATGATTAGCCAAAAGGCCTCGGACGAGATGATTGCCGAGATCGAGGCCGGTGAGGCTATTGAGGTGTGCGAGGCGGCGCTTCCGGAATAAGCTTGTCGGGTAGATTGAGTCTCCTGTACATAGTTGAAACCTCCCTCCCTCGCCCGGCACGGCACGCGCGTTACATAGAGACCGAGATTGACAGCCGGGGAGGGGCCAAAGCGTTTTGCAAAACTTCCACGCCAATAGTTAAATTCAATGTATAAATTTTTTTCCTGGTTCCAATTCTTATTCTTCTTGCACCTGGCGCTGCTGCACCATTATTGTTATTGTTGTAATACGACCCCAATCTGGTCATCCCTTTCGGCTTTGGGCTGAAAACTTGCCAACTTCGCAGAGGACCCAGAAAGCGTCTCGCCTCGACAAGGGCCCAGATCTTAAACACTATAGTTTCGCGATATCTATTGCATATGTCGGAAGTCCCTACAACGGCCGCGATCCTAAGGATAAAACGCTACATAAGTAGTGCTACTCTTTTGTCGTAGTGGTTAATTGTATCCGACAATTAGGAGTCTTATTCGCTAATAAGAATTGATCGATGTTGATCCAATTATCCCATAGATCCAACCTATCCGAGCGTATACAAGCAAATTCCGTAGGGATGCGTTAAGTTTGCCCTCTCCTCGATCCACCTAGCTAGACTTCCCAGCGATAGATAAAAATGGCTGCCCCTGAATTTGAGCGGTCCAAACAGACAGTTCTCGAGCATTTTGGAAATTTCCAGCGGTTCTAAAGGGGCCTTTGTTAAGTCGGGCCGTGTCGTGAGGTGAGGGCCTGTAGAGAACGGCGGGGTTGGACACCTGTCGGTTTTCTATTACTGAGACTAGCGCCTTTTCTCGACGCTCTTTTGGCCAAATATCTGATCCCCTTTCATTTCCTTGACAAGTGAAGAGTGAGGCTGCGGTTATGTATAATGTAAAGACTTACGTATACCCATTGCCATCATGCTTTACAAGCATCTAATTGGCACACTACCTTTTTATAAAATGCTTTATCAAGCGGCTCACCAAGAAGCGTGTCTAGCGAGCCGTCAAGGCAGGTCAAGACGGCATCTGCGTAGATGTCGCCCATCGTAAAGCATAAATCCGGAATTGCTTTCTCTACTAGAGCTGTGCGAATCTCGTCTAGTGTTGGGTCTTTGGATTCAAGGCGTCTGCCAACAATCTTCCTCGCGTCCATGAAGAGGCCAATCTCAAGGAGGACCACGCCTAGGGAATATATGTCGTACGTCTTTGAGTAACGCCCAGGGCCACCCAACGGCTGCATAAAATCTGCGACGGGGACGGCCGATGCTTTTGGATGGCGGTAATACTTATGGTCGAGCATCTCACTGACATTTTCCGTCTGTTCTCCGGGGAGGTCGGGTCTGGAATATTCAAAACCAACTAAGTAGGGCGAACTTGACTGGATATGGCCTTCTTCGTCGACGAAAAATAACATTCTCGCTTCGGATGGCTTTGTGCAGCCAGCCAGCAAGATGAAGATACATGAGTGCGCGAGAGAGCATTTGGGCCACAGCAAAGCGCTTTCCAAGCGGGAATCGACCCCTTAGCCGTCCTATGGCTTCAGAATTTCTTTCCTTTGGCCTTAGGATCTTCTGGAGAGAGATGAATTTCGGATAATCGGCGCGGTACACGATGCCGTACGTCCATGTAACCACGTCGTCGGAGGTAGACTGGGCAGGGCTGCACACACCACCCCAGCATGGAAGCGTTCTGAGGTCGACTGGCTTGTCCGGATTTTGGAGACGAGCAACGATACTATCTACGCGTGCTCTGAGAATGCGTAACGACTCCAACTGATCCCATGGCGCTGTGCAGTGTTTTTCCTCAACAAAAACGAACTTGCCTTGATAACTAGCCATAAATTTTGCCTCGCCTTTCTCTCGGTTGGTGGGCACTAACTGGGACCGATGGAGTTGTTTGTTTCCAAGTTGAGCGCCATACGGGCGATATGCGATCGATTTCATCCAAGCTAGGGCTGCATATGTCAGGTCGTTATTCTCAACACGGCTAATCCTGACAAGCTCATTGGGATCCTGGGTAGTAAGCATATTGCTCAGAATTAACGCCCCTGCCGGATCGCTGCGTTGCGGGGGAGGATGCTATAGAGATCATTGAGCAGTGTCCTAAGGAGGGCAAGGCCATCTTTTAACTTGTCTTCTTGTAGTGCCCATTTCACGTTGTCCATCGAGAATGCCCATCCAGCTCCGGTTGGCGGATCCGGGTTTCTAAGAGTATACGGATCGGAAGAGGTGCCCAAGTGAATAAAGCGGGGTAATAGATCCATCGAAACAATCGCCCGAGTCTGGTCTAATACAGGTAGCGGTATGCCGGCGGTACCAAAGCCGCTAAAAACCTGGTAGATAAGTTGGAGGTGGCTAGTCACTACCCCTTCTAGCATACAGAATCGGGGGTCCTTGGGGTGGTTGTTGGATCCGATGTCCCATTCCTGCGCCCAGGCGGAGAGTCTAGCGCGCTGGAAATCCAGAAGGGTCTGGAAATTCTTAGAGGATTCCGAAGAGTCGTTGATGCGTTGCCAAAACGCGAAGCCCTCCATGCAGCGCCGAAAATGACGTCTAGGGCCCCCAGGGCGCCGAAGGCCGTGTTGATATGCTCTTCCGCCATAGTTCAGGGATTTTCAGGCAGGCTACTTGGACGCGTCGCGAACCGCTAAACTCAAGGGAGTACGGGGATATGAGGTTAGGCATGTCTGTCTATACATAGGTCATCACCGTCCCCTTTATCTTTTCTTGTTTTCTTTCCTCGTTGTCCGTTTTTCTACTTTCTACTTTTCCATTGAGTTTGGGGGTGGTGGTCTGCCTTAGCGGCCTCCAATTTATGCGGTTGGTTTCGCTTTCCAGCGGATTTTTCAGTTTGTGAGTTTTCCGATTGGCTGGTGGCCTCGGCAGTATGCCGGCCGAAATGCAGGAGCGTGTTGGTGGTGAGGGGATTCGAGATGGTACAGGCAAGCGGAGTGGGCGCAGATGCCAATGTCGTTTTATATTCCGGGATACGTAAAACCCGTTGCAGCCTTGCGAGTTCTTCCTTGTCATCTATGTCCCGACCCTCACTAAGGGATGTGATGCGGCGCAATCCAGCTATCTCGTGAGAGTTTCTATAAGACCTTCACGCCCGCGTATACGGGTTTGCAGAGCCCAACACCCAGCCGTGGCACAAACTGACAAGAGGACCTGTGAAGCCATTTACGGGTTTGAAATTGTGTCACCACAGCTATTGAATGCGCTACCAAGGCAATTTTCGCCGCTTCCAGTCGCAAACGCCCACCCCCGTTGTGAAACCACCTTTGGGCATGGACTATTCACTGTCTTCCACCTACAGCTACAGCACGGAAACTGATCATCGTAGCGATGATGCAGCGACAGTACAAGAACCAAATTGGGGCGGCAACTCAACATTTGATTTGCTATCCTTCTTTGCCGCAGCATTGGGGCGCAATGTCGACAAAGAGGAAACTTGGACTGCCCTAGTCTTTCTTTCCGTTCACATCGGACCGTGGAATATGTTCCGCCCCTGCAACGTCTATTCGGGCAGGTCTTTCTCAGTCACACTACTTCCGAGAAAGTTTGTACTTCGCTTGACCGCTATCAAGCTAGATGACGAGTATTCGGTGAAACGGCTACTGGCCATTAAAGCACCCAAACTCAGGCCAAAGGGAGAGACCTCCCATAACTCGGGCCTTCTCCGCTCGTTGGCAAAGGAATACCAGATTTTAAAGACTGAGAGGCTAGCGAAGCACAAAAATATTGTCACCGCCTACGGATGCTGCTGGCAAACATTACCGACGGGGCCGTCTCGACCCACACCAGCGTTGATCCTAGAAGGTACTTCATTTGGAGATCTCTCAAGATTTAGCCGCTCGCGGTCATTGACGCTGCGTGAGCAGCTTAGACTCGGCCTTGACATCACATCGGGACTCGGCGCGCTCCATGCTCATGGTGTGGTTCACGGGGATCTAAAACCCAACAATATCCTCGTCTTCAACGAGTGGGGCCGGGGATACACCGCCAAGCTTGCCGATTTTGGATCGGCCATACTACTCAGCGAAACCGAATTTCCGTGCCGGGCACCTCCTGGAACTAGAGTATACCGCGCTCCTGAATGCTCGGATGACTCTGCCAGGTTAGGACGAAGAGAACTTTTCAAAACTGACCTATTCTCCCTTGGCGTTACATTGTCCTTTCTTTTGGTCGGCAGCCACCTTGTTGACGAGTTCATGGCTATGTCTGACTCAAATCTGCAATCTCTCAAGGAAGAAGATCAACTTGCTTTCTGGATTGAAGATCATCGACACGACGAAGCGGAGCAGAACCATGAAAGCTCCATCTTTGCTGATACTGATATTAGCGGCTTGTTCACGTGCTGCCTTTGCCCCTGGCTGCTGGCTGCTGATGCATACCAACGGCCGGACACCGTGGAGATCCCCACTTTGGTACTCAGATACATCTTATGGAGACATTTACGAACATTGCATCCACGCAGTAGTGAGGCAACCTCGGAAGCAGACGGCTATGCCTCGCGTCCAGCCACATGGGCTACAATGGCTGCTCATATGAAAATGAGTAAGGCTCGACTACGAAAATTGACGGGGGAAAGGGTTCTGTCCACAACTAGGATCAGTAACGAGGAGATTACAGCCATTGCTCACTGCTGCTTTCGACGCGACAGCCATCTAAAGGAGGCAAAGTTTATCATTGAGTACAACACCAATAAAAGTTCAAGCCGAAACGTCGTTCCAAAAATGGCATCAGAGACGCAGTTCCCCGAAACATGAGCGTACGTTAATACCAGCGAGTATAAAAAGATTGGCAGCCAAGATGGCGCAGTCTGTAAATACATCGTAAGTTTGAGTATTCTTGTCATCCCTTTTAGAACACTCTCTAACTACACGAAGGATTGATGAGGAAATCAAGCAATTCATGGACTTAGAGATTGTTTCCTTACAGAAGACCATCCCCAGCGTTCGTACCAACCGTGGCCTTTCGGATAATATTTGTCTTCATTTATTAATGAACCACGACCTAGTTTTCCAAAGTTAGCAACACCTATTGGACGCTACCTCGCCCTGTGGTGGAATTTCTGAGAAAAGAGCTATTGCAAAATGTTAAAGATCCACAAAATACAATCACAGAACAAACCCATGCCGCATATGAATATGCGATTATGGTCTTCAACACCAACAACCCTGCGGAATCAGTAGTTGACAGTGCACTAGAGTTCTTAACGTTTGCCGCCCGGAACGGAAAGGTGGAAGCGCAGGCGACTGTTGGACGTCTCGCTAATGTCTTTAAAAGACCCCTCGCGGCATCCCGGGACGAAGAGCTCCAGTGGCTGACGGCGGCTTCACGGGCAGGGAGTTCCATCGCCCAGCGACGATTTCGGGATTTGGATAAAGAGGGCTTCGCCACCACGATGCGCAGCGTACGTCGGGAGAATGGTGCCGCCTGCCCTCGGCTCAATCAATGGCTACTAGTGAGAAACGCCCAGGTGCGACAGGCCGGCCGCTTGATCGATGTCGCTTACAGCTACCTTCACGAGTCGGCCATCACTGGTAATGTTGAGCCCCTGTCTAAAGTTCCGCCAGAATTGCCTTCGGGCATTTACGAATATGAGAATTTTCTCGGCGAAACAGCTCTCGTCGTAGCTTGCAGGGGAGGACATACAGCCGTGATGGAGATACTACTTAGCCGCGGAGCAAATGCGGCCCATGAAACGGCACGCGGTGTCACGCCCCTTCACTTCCTCGCGGCGTTCGATGATGATGATATCCCTAGAGTGATATCGGCTTTGATACAGCACGGGGCGGAAGTTGACAGGATATGCAAGCGGGAGCTGATATACAAAGAGCTTTTCGACAGCCCATTCGGGCAAATCGCGGGCACTCCTCTAGCCTGGGCAGTTGCGGCCGGGAATCACTGCGCCGTTCAGGCTCTCTTGGCCCGAGGAGCTGATCCATTCACCATGGAGCGATATTCACCCAGGTATAGCGGTTTCGATTTCGGAGAATCACCCATCACGAGGGCAGCAGCCTCTCATCAATTTGAGGTACTCAATACACTTATTAACACATCAAGCAACGGCGTTGACCTCCGTAAGCGTTTCATTACTAAGTGCGCCGTGGCTCATGGGCAGGGATTTCAGGTGTTCTCCCACGCGCTAGACTGCCATTCGAGCTTCAGATTCCGGGAATACGTACTTCACGGAAGAGAGTACCAGCAGATGGCGTCATTGTGCCTGAGCCTCCTCGTCGAGTCCGGCATGGACCTTGTCCGATTCACGAAACTCTCCCAGCCTGGTAGAGGCAGCAAAATAACTCACCCAATTGCGAGCGCCTGCGCGTCATGTAACATTGCCATTCTCCGCTATTTATGGGACTACCAGAACGGAATTCTTAGACCCACGCCGGAGATTTGGGTCATTGGTCTATCTATTCTCGTCTTCGAAGGTTTTAAGGAAGGCTTTGACTTCCTGATCGACTCTCGAGGCGATGTCACGGCAGATATTGACTTGGACGTGAGAGCCATTGAGAAGATTCTTTCTTTAACCAATGATCCGTATTTCACAACTGGGATTCTTCGACTCCTCCAGAGGCCTGGAATAGCGCTTTTGTCTGCAGACGCGTTTCGGATATTCTATGCCGCTATCACGACGGAACACTTCGAAGTTGCAAGGCGGATTCTTTTGACATATAAAGTCAACCCTGCCAGAAGAAGGGCCGGTAATACGCTCCTATATGACCTCATCAATAGGTCCTACGATATTCCGAACATGGAGTCTAAGATCTCCTTTATCTTGTCCCTTCCCTTAGTAAAGGATATACTGTTTTGGAATATCGGCTATTTTGATCACATGGGTGCGACGGCCCTATATTGTGCGGCCTCTTTGCCATCTGAAAAGCGTCCTGCGAGCCCCGGTGTGTTCGATATTGTTATCGAGAATTTTAGCGATCCGAGGTATTTGAATGCCCAACTCCAAGGCCATCCGAGCGAAAGAAGGGCAGGGTATACCGCGCTCCATATCGCTGTGGAGCGTAGCAATTTCGATGCTGTGGCGAGGCTGGTAGAGAGACCCGGTATCGAGATGAATCTGAAGTCCTCTGAAGGGTTAACCCCCATCGACATATGTGTCGGAATTTACCTGGAGCTAGAGCGGATGGGGTCCCGTATGGACAAAACCCAGACGAACCGGAGTACAGCCAACATGAGTATCATTGATCTATTAATTAACGCAGAGAACGAAGGTCGAATCTCGAAATATTCTACCCTGCTTTTGAGGAGAACAGAAGACGAATTCACGTTGGTGGATGCCTTGAAAGGCAAGCTGGACGGAGTTACACTTCGAGGTGAGTGCCATGTATTGCCAACTTGTCTGGTTTTTGATGGTCAAGCTTACACCAAATATTCGGCAGAGTCTAATTCGAAACTGTCACACTCTTCTCGATGTCGAGTAGAAGACGCTCCAATTGGGGGAATTGTAGCATTTTCAAGTGGCGCATTGGTCTTACCCCTGATTTGCGAATGTGCATTGAATCTTATTGGGAAGCGAGGCGGAATGATAGACCATAGTTTTTTTCACATGCCCATATGCTCGAATACATCCTTTCCCTCCAAATCCAAGCGAAACATATCCATGAGCCATGGCATTGGTACCCTGTGAAAAGCATTCATCTTAGTACTGATGCCATCAGAAGATGCAAACAGCGGGGTCATACTTACGGCAAGGGGTCCTTTTCCGGAGGGGCGTCGTCAGCACAATGGCGACGGACAAACTCAAATTCGAAATCATTGCGGCACGTTGGAAGGCCCTTGTAATATTCCTCCGGCTCCGTGTCTTCGATCGTATCACCAACCTCTAGATCGAGATGTTCGGCATTGCCGAAAACGGCATTTGCTACACAAGCGACCGTTCCACCTTTCGAGAAATACTGACTTTGAACCCGCTCCCACGGCTCGGTACCTTGAAGATATTCGACAACAGAAGCCTTGCAGGGGATTTTCCTTCCAGAGAGGCAGCCAGCCACAGCGCTCATGAGCAAGACAAAGGCTGTTTGGAGAGCCTTGCTGTGCCTGACCTGAGACCGGAAAGATTCAGGAAAATAAGCAAGTAAGTCCTTAAATTCTGTATACCAGCCATTTTCACCAGGTTGGCGGAGATTGGTGAGAAACGCGTGTTGCATATGGGCTTGATCACTCAGCTTCTTCAACATGCGCGGGCTCAAGAAGCCTCCCAGGCACTGGCTGCAACTACAACCAAACTTAGCCCTCATCAGCTGCTCAGGTGACGGCGTCATCTCTCCTTGGAGTAGGAGAAGGCTCGTCACGGAGTCTTCATCAAAACCATCGAACTTATCTGCCACAAGTCGCACACGGCCGTGGCCGAAAGGCACCTGTATTCTGCGGGTTTCTAGCTGCGCCTGTAGTGCTTCCAATGGTGTATAGCCCGCATAGTTTCTGGTCTCGGCGAGTTTTGCCTCAGTCGGTTGCCGAAGAAGCCACGCCACACAGCGAGGCTTAGAAGCCTTTGCGGCAACGTGGAGAACAGTGTCACCGCGTCCGTCCTTAGACCCAAGAGGGAACTCTTCCAAGACTCCGTCCCGCGTGTGGGACTTCAAGAAGATGAGAGCTTCTTTGTCCAGGAGTGTTTTTGCTGCGTAGTGTAGGGGCAGTTGCGGCTTGTGATGGGTGGCTTCTGCTTGCGAGGGATACCACACCAACGCTCGTCCCACTCGCTCTTCTTGTGCCTAGTCTGCGTGAAATCCTCGTGACATTCAACAAGCTCTTCGTCAGAGTCGCTGTCGAGCATTTCCTCATCCTCGCGCCTCGGATCAGAGTCTTCGTGATGCGCTAAATGCCGAGATGGGTGTCCCTTCTCGCGAGCTAAGGCAAGCCAACCCGTAAGACCGACACGTCTAAACTGCATGGAGCGGAAAAATGATGCCACCCCGCAACCTTCACGTAGTGTGGTGCGTTTGTCGGCCCTGCGGTTCCTGCGCCTCCATCATCTTCATAATATGCTGCCGCGCCTGCAAACGCGTATTCGACGTCGTACCGTGGCTTCATGGCCTCTTCTAGGATGTGCAAGACGAGCTTTGACCCGACCCGTTTCCTCCGGTGTTTCCTCTCCACCAGGATATCTTCAATCAACACGAGGTTCCCTTCATCCAATTCTTTGCCCCATACACCCGAGCCCTTTCGCAGGGCATGCTCTCTAATTTCTTCCTTGAGCCGTCCGTACCGGTCAAATAAGTCAAGGGCGAGGTCCATGGTTCCTTTGTGGGGAGCTTCCATGATGTCACGGAACTCCAAACGGATCGCGGACCGGCTGATAATGAAACCGAGTGCCTCTCCTATTTGGATAGGAGGTCTGCTCTCATCTGGGTGGATAGTGGCGCGCGCCTTGATTGGGGTGAGCCATTTGCGAAATGAGCTGTAATCAGGATTGTCCTTGCTCACGCCCACCCGGCTCGTTACCTCGACGGAGAAAGCCATGATTTGTCTAGTGAGCGGGAATAACGATGGGCGTTTCCTTCGTGCTTTCTCAGTGCCGTCATGAGGAGAGAAAGTTACCGGAACGAAAGGAGCAGGGCCGGGGGTAGAGAGAGTTTACTTAAGGCTACAACAGTATGTTTTGCCAAGAATGTTCCTTCGTAAATAAAGTGTATGTTTCAATTTTCCATGGGATCAATGTTTGTCCCCTGCTCTCAGCGAGGGTCGCATGAACCAACTGCATATCAAGGCAAAATAAAAGGTTTCCGATAACCCACTGCCTCTAGCAGAGCTCCGTACAGGTGGGATACTGGGCCGGTCAATGGGCTCTATTAGGCTGTGCAGTGGCTGTGCACCATTCGCTCCGGGTAGTCTGTTGGCCCGTACTGTGCACCGTCATCTTGCGACACAGCCCTGCCACACTAGGTAGCTTCTCGGTGTGAAAACGTACCCAATGCACACACCCGCTTTCCTCACCCCAGTTCCAACATAATAGTCCCTCCAGCGTGGTTGTTTTCGGCTCCCAAACGCGAGGTCCGCGAATTGAAGTAGGGTCCCGCATGCCCTTGCGTATCTTACTTTTGTCCTAGGATGGGTGAAATGTCCTTTATGCCATACTATTCAACAAATGCTCATCCACGAAATGGTTAGGTCTACCAGTATAGGGTCAACAGCACCTTTTTCCTTGGTGATCTAGGAGTGTACTAGAGTTGGAACATTTGAGGTCAGTTGAACTTTAACGAATATACTACCCCCAGTGCTTGGAATAGCAGAAGCCGTCCGCGATCGACCGACCAGGTGTGTCATCGAGGAAACATGGTGTGACTAACAGCTCCTGGATAGAATCTAGATAATTGCGCCTTACATGGTAGACCTAGGTAATAAGCTCAAATTCTACTATAAAGTCCATATAATTTCCCAACTCATCAGGTACATCCATAAATTTAGTGATTTCATTCTTAACCTCTTCTCTGATTCCTTCGTAGAACCAGGCGATCGTTCGTCGTCCTAGTAGGCTGCGATCTGTCAGAACCTGCTGACATACTCTGAGGCCGACGTTTTCTGTCATACCTCCTGGAGTTATCGCCACATTATTCCCCATAGAACAGCTCCTAATAGAGCAACCAAGCAGCGAATATGAACATTATCTCATTTATTCAATACCTATCTCAAGGTCAACACTGGACACACACCCTCATACACCTGAGAGAATCACGCCCATTATAGGATCAGCCAGACCTAGTGGTGACTCTCAAGCCCAGGAGGTGCCCGATATAGTTGTTCCCCTCTTACCATACCAGGTTTCCCATTCATATATACGCCTCGCTTATCTATAAATTTCCTAACTTGGTAATCGCTGTCACTCTGAACGGTAGACGCTCAAATATCATGGTTTCCTAGTTAGGGTACAAGATTTTCCTAGTCAGGTCTCTGAGACAAACAGGGCTGTAGATGAGGTATAAGCGTCGCCTAACTTCGGTTGTTGTTGGTGACGAATGCGGGGGATGCGTGGCACGGTTCGGACTGTCAAGCCCCACAGAACGTCGGAACCACTTTTCCGTGGTTTATCCTTTCTGCCCAATATACCGCCTCAGAAGCTTGGGGAGACATTAGTGCAGAAGGCAAGTATGGCTGAGTTAGTGATTTATGTTTTAGCTTACTCTCAATATCGTGAGTAGTCACTTATCTTGAGGCTCGGGATGAGCTCTGGCTAGTTAGTCATTGATCAGGAAAGGCTCTGAGACGGAAACAGAAACAGAAATATCTCCAGTTCATTTTAGGAGTACATTCGGGATGTTATTGTTGTTGTTACATGTAGTTGACGTTCCTCTTGTTGTGGTGCGTAAATGGTAGCAAGGCACGGCATGGCGGATACGCGTGGTCGTGTGTCCTCACTGTCTCTGCTCCGACCAATCTATTGTGCGAGCGAGCCAATAGAGAATTCACAAGTGACGCAATACCCTGCAGGTGTCACTTTAAAAAGTCGGGAAAACGTCTGATGAGGATTCTAATTTCCCAGTTGTAATTATGTCGAGTGTGTATGTAGATAGGCTATATTCGCCCGGGCAACTTTTAGGTTGAAAGGTGTTTTTGCTAAAAAGACAAACGCTCGGTTGAACGAGTATTCGAAACATGAATCGTGGCGGGGAAGGGGGTGGGGAGGGGGAAAAATACGCCCAATGTGGTCTCATCTATCCATCGTTACAAGGCCAAACAAAGAAACAGAAAACAGAAAACAAGAAAAAGAGCACGGCATCAAAGTTTTATTTTGCTTGCGCTGCGTTTTGCTTGCCCAAGAGAAGCTCTCCAGCTCTACGCCCTGTTGGGCCAGAGCTCGTCGGCGACGTCCTTGACGAGCTTGAGCTTGGCAAACATCTTCTCCTCGGTCATGCCCTCGGCGCCGACGGCGACGCTGGCGAAGCCGCACTGGGGGCTGATGCCGATGCTCTGCATGGCCTCGTCGACGGAGACGCCCTGGCCCTGGGCGATGATCTCGGCGGCCTGCCTAACGCGGGTCTTGATGAGCTCGGCGTCTTCGAGCTCAGGCTCCTTGGTGGTGACGACGCCGAGGACGACGTTCTTGCCCTTGGGGAGGAATCGGAGGGGCTCGAAGCCGCCGGAGCGGGGGTTGTCGTACTCGAGGAAGAAGGTGTCGTAGTTGAGGGTGGAGAACATCTTTTCCGAAATCTTTTCGTAGGAGCCCTCGCTGAAGTGCATGGACTTGGCAAAGTTACCTGCGTAAATGGGTTAGCAAAGGGAAAGAAGAAATGTAAAAGAGGAGTCTTGCGCGCGGGGAAATCTCGACCCCGAGCGGAAAGCTTGGAAACGGGGGAAGCGGGCGTACCTCTACAGATGTGGAGGCCAACGTGAAGGCCCTCGGGCTTGTTGGCGATGCAGTCGTTGTGCGCCTGGAGGTAGGTCTCGAAGAGGGCCTCGGGGTCCTCACCGTCCTGCCTCAGAGAGTCGTGCATGGCATCGGAGCAGAAGTAGGCGAGGGTGGGGTCGTCGAGCTGGACGTTGCGGAGGCCCTCGGCGTAGAGGGTCTGGAACTCCTGCTGGTAGGCCTTGGCGAGGTCGGCGAAGAACTCCTTATCGTTGGCGTAGGCGTCGCTGCTGTAGCACTTGCCGGGGCCGAGGCGGAGGTGGAAGTAGCAAGGGGGAGGCATGGTGAACTTGGCATCGCCCCACTGGCTCTCGGGGAGCTGGGACCGGAGGAGCTTCCAGTTCTCGAGGTAGGGGCTCTTGGTGTACTTGATCTTGCCCTCGCAGACGGCGGCCATGGGGTACTGCTTGCCGGCCTTCTTGAGCGCGGCGATGGGGGCGCGGACAACCTGGCGAGGTCCCAGGGGACGGGGATGACCTCGCGGAAGCCGTCGAGCTTCTCGAAGAAGCCGCCAAAGTACCACTTGCGGTCAAACTCGCCGGAGCAGATGGCGCGGACGCCGTGCTCCTGCTGCTTCTTGACGATGTCGGCGACGGCCTTGCTCTGCTCCTCCCAGAGCTGGGCGGCGGAGATCTCGCCGGCGTCGGCCGCTTCGCGCGGCGGCGAGGGAGGCGGGGCGGATCAGGAGCCGATCTGGTCGGCGTGGAAGGGAAGCTGAACCATGGTGGGCGGGTTGTGAGGGGAAAAACGGAGGTAAAGGGGTGGGAAGGGTGAGAGGTCTCTGGTGTGTGTGATGTGTTGAGAGGGCGGAGGAGGGAGGGAGAAGAGGGAAGGATTAAAGGGAGGGAGAGAAAAAAAAATAGAGCTTGGGTGTAGATGTGCGTGCGAACTACTTTATGAGTTAGGCCAAGCTAGCTATGACGGGGTGTGTGGGTGGGACGGGTGGGATGCCAGAGGAGCAAAGGGGGGCGCACAGGGGAGATAGGGCGAGAGAGGATGGGTCAAGTGGAGGCTAGAAGGGGAAAAGGACGAGAGCACGAGAAAGGGAAGAATAGAAAAAGAAAAAGAAACCCGCGCTCGAGCTACAGACGTCAAGGCCAAAAAAAAAAAAAAAAAAAAGAAAGAAAAAGAAGTTGGGGTGGCGGTTATTAGTCTCCTGTACCTAGCATCAGACCGGACCGGAGGGCCAGCTACAAAGTATTAGCTCGCGAGTCTTTGCAGGCGACGCTAGTTGCTGGACCAACTGAACATAAGCGTGTGCCTGTGTTTAGTATATTGAAAAGGCCCTCTTCCCATCCTATCCCCATCGTCGCACCCGTTTTTTTTTTCACTCCTTCTGTGACCTTGTTACCCCACCTACTTCACTCAACTCGCCCTCGAGCTTACTTCTATTCTGAAACCGGCCGTGACCGGGAGCGGCGCCAATCAAGATGGGGGTCATCTCTGAGCGGGATCAAGCAAGCAGCACGAGTAGGAGAAAGAAAGAAAAAAGGACCGCCACTGCAGGCCAGTGACACGAAGGTGACAACCCCGCATCATCCATACCATCATTTGCCAATGGGACGCTGCGTGGATTCCGTCCGAGGAGCTGGGTTAACGAGCCCGGGAAGGGCGCTGTATTTGGGGTAAGCGCACCAGGCGGAAAAGGGTGACCCACGACTCGTAGCCGGGCAGGTCTCGCCCCAGCGCCGCCGGAGGGCAACGATACACGGCAGACCGGCTCCCGGATGTACCTTTTTTGCTCTCTTGGATAATCATCCGTAGATGGGATGCGCGGGGTAAAATGACACCCCACCAAATGCCCCGCCGAGCCCCTCCACGCGTCTGCTAGCTCCTTTGCGAGGGAACGGCAATTGCATTGCGCCCAAGGAGAAGACCCTGGCAGTGCGAGACTAGGCTTACCCGGGAATGCGCCGGAGGAAAAGAAAAACTTTTTTTCCTTTCTGCGTCCCTTTCGGCCATGGGCAGAGAGCAAAATCACTGGACATCAAAGTATACGTCTCTCAGGGGCGCCAAATGGCGGGAGAATGCTCTTGCGATATTTACTTGTCTCATTGGCTGCACACCCTTGCTTGGTGACTTTTAAAGTAGTTCGAGGCGGTCTTTCACTTTTCCCTTCCGTGGCAGGCCGGGCCCAACTGCCGATGAAGGGGGGACGGAACCCACATGGTGGATAATGCACAAAGGACGAGAGGTGGTGGGAGCAGTAGTCATACGAACAGAAAAACTGGGTATACCTTTTCCCTGAGCATCCAACGAGCTTTTATGGAATGAGCCCGTGGAGCTTCCAGAGGGTTTCTAGTGACCTGACTTGCTTCCACCCTTGATCTTTTGGTTTGGTGGTTTGGCGGGTTCGAGGTTGTTATCTCTACATGATATTCATCTACGAGACCTAGAAACCGACATGTACGCTTTTATAATAGACTATTTACATGGGTTGAGATGCACAAAAGATAATGGCCATGCAGCTGCCAAACGACAAGAGACTATTTCTACGACTCGGATATGACATGCAGTCGAATCCGAAGAATCGAGTGGTATGACTGAACCAGGTATCCCTCGTGCATTGCATCCGCGTGCAGCTCTCACGTTCTCGACGAGCCCAGAGACGCTATAGGTCGAGTGTCGCTGGGTACCGCAGAGCACGACTCCTCTTGAGACCAACAGCTAAGCCAATGTGCGCCGCTACTGCCGCCGGGTGCAAAGCAGCCAAGACACTGGCTCGCCGCCGTTCTGGTGGCGCCGGCACCTCTTCGACGTGGAGGGTCGGGAGGCTCGCCGCGGGAGCGGTTCCGCCGAGGACCCGGGACCCAAACACCTTCTTGAGGAGCGGGTACAGGGTAGGGATGCAGGCCCCAATGACGACGCAGTTCGCCTCGATGCTGCGATTATGAATCTAGGTGGTTAGCCAGAAAGAACTCCCGGGAAGGAGGGGGGCGGAGGAGGGGGTGACTGCTGCCGGATTGGGAAACACCTGCTTGGTCCAGATAACAATGCTGTCCGATGTGTCTAAGCCCCTTGCAGTGAGCATACTGATCCTTGGTTCGGGTCGCGCAGCCCGGGGCGCGTTCCTGGAGAGTTGAAGCATCAGGGTACTTACAGGTAAAATCCTCAACCTCTTTCAGTTTACCTAGGTACATGCACTTGTATAGCGCGACTGCTGCGGCGCTGATAGGTCCAACGCGGGTCTTTTATCAGCCTTCTTGAGTCTAAATATGAACCGCGTCCACGGAGAGACTTGCCAGTATCCAAATCCTAGCGAGAAAGAAAGCGCCAGTTTCTTCTTCCAGTGCATGGAGAGTCGCAAGAGGACCCACGTCGGGTAGGTCGCGAGGTATATGTCGAAGCTGGCCGAGAGCACTTTGCCGCCGTTAGCCGTTTGACCTCCTTCCGAACGCCTAACACAATTGTCTTTCTTTCTTGTCTATATTCTTCTTTTGCCTTTTTTCCCTTTGCCGCACACGTACCTGTAACAACTAAAGAGTAGATGGTAATGACCTGCCGACTCCAGCAGGTGCCTTCGGCCTTTCCCCACTGAACAGCCGGTGGCGAGCACTGGACAAAGTTGACCACGAGCAAGCCGACGACGGTCAACCCGTATCCCACGCTGATGACGAGAAGGATCCGCCGATGGAGAGGACCGGGGTCGAGGATTTTCGTGAGGAGGATGACAACGGCGAATTTAGGAATCGTAAACGAGAGAGCGCCGGGGACGAAGGCAACGTTGATCAGCAGCACGGATCGACTGAGATCCTCGGGCTCCAGGGCCACCGCGTGCTTGCCGCCGCCAAAGTGGATCGCGGCCGCTGTTAGGCAAATGTACGCGACACTAAGAACCTTGAAGCCATTTCATAGGAGTTAGTTCATCAGCCCAGCCCAGCCAGCACATTGACGGCTTGGGAAAGAAAGAGATGATACACACTCACCGCCGAGAGTATGACGAGATAGTCATCGATGCTTAGTTTCCGCAGCGCGAGGTACCGGCTCGTCATGCGCGCAACGACAAAGCAGAGCGCAACCGACGTCACGCTCACGGTGACGGTGAGGATCGTGGGGCCATTGTCCTCGTCGTAGTACTCTTGCAGCTCGTGCTCGGGTGTTTGCGGCGGCATGGCGGATGGCGCGAGGTTTGGGGCACCCACGGCTGGGAGGCTACGCGGCCATGGCGCGAGCTTGTTTGCGGGCGCTCCCGAGCGATGGAGTTTTACTTGGTTCGAGGGGTTTTCAAGTCAGGACGGGGATTCGCGAGGGCAAGTGGCGATGTGGTGATGTGGTGTTTCTTTCAATTCACGGGTGGAGGGAGAGAGAGTGAGGGGAAGGCGGAGAAGAAAGGTCGCGTGTGTGTGTGCACGTTGTGCGACTGAGGTCTGCCACAATGAAGCTTTATATCAGACATGTGCTTTTGCTCCCTGATGAGTGGCGCAGACGCGTCATACAAAGTATGCTTGAGCCCCTTGCTCCTTAGGGCCGGAATATTTGCTCCAGAAGATACACGTAAGTTTAATATTTTCTATTGGCACGCACTCTGTAGGATAAGTAAATAAATAAAAAACCAACGTCTGGTGGTTATCTTATGAGCACGCGCGCGGGAAGATGTTTAAAGTTTTGGTGGCGTGCCTGCTGGGATCTGAGAGATTGGGGCTGTCAAATCTTGCTCTGCCGCAGCCACCGCCACCACCTCCTCCTTCTCCATTCCCCTCGTTTTCAAGAAGCCGGGTAGCTATGAGAGTGGCTTGGGATCGGTTTTGTGTTCCGAGAGTGTGTCTACGACTGTACGCCAGAACAGGTGACAGAGCATTGCTTGCGGCAACTGCCAAAGAGATGATGTCAAAAGCTGCCTCCATTCACATCAACCAAGTATAGAGACTATGCATCAAATACACGTTATGGAAATTTCACCTAGCGCTTTCGTGGCGGGAAGGGGCTTTCACGAAATCATGAACCGGCACTCAATATCATGCAAGACCATATAGCGGGACACGCGCTTGTTGCATCCCTTCACATCACTAGAGGGCGGTGGTTATTTCCACCAGCATTTGAAGAAAGGCCCAAGAGACGCTGACGTGGGGCCGCAAGCCGCGATTGGAAAACGAGAACCCGACGCGGCGGGCCTATAAGCTCGAATCCGATTCTCGAGATTGAGCTCGCACTCTTCTACGACTCTGCCGAGGTAGGGCCAATTCAAGGGGTCCGAAACACGGCAAATTATCTTTCCACGAGCTCGTTGTCACCGGATACATCGACCTGATTTCTTTCTCAGTCGCTGTGTTACCGTATGGCCCCTTCGATATATTCCCGGCGAGTGGTGTCGAGATCAAGCGCGAAGAGTGAAGTGTCGTGGGCATCGTAGAGCTTTAAACAGCATCGGGTATTCTCGATCGTCGAATATTCTCGATCGTTAGATATAATCTTGGTAAAGAGTAATGCTATCACATATCGTTGGTAAGCCAACCAAGAATAATCCTATTTTTATGTGCTGGTGTAAGTGTCGTGACAAGCAAGGCAAAAAGACAGTGTTCAATCAAACCATGCACTTCAACGTCGATCACCAAACCATGGCATTTTCTTTATATCGTCGGGCAGGTTGTCGAGAAGCTCAAAGGACCGACACTCTTTCCCGGATGCAGGTTAGTGGGCCGTCAAAATAGGTTAGAGCAATCCTCCCCCACACGAAAGGAATGTGGTGTTCCCCGGATCAGCTCCTCTTGCAGGGCCGCTTTGGCGGGAGGCCGAGATAGTTACCTCGGCTCTCCTATTCGGGATGGCGGGCATCCAACATTAAAGCTGCGAACCTTGGGCTCCTGCTCGAGAGTAGATTCCTCAACTCTTTTCATGCTTCTCCCATATTGGGTTTCGAAATCGAACCGCTATTAGTCGAGCTTAATCCTCTTGAACCTTTCCAGAGCATTCTGTAGATAAAAGAGAACAAACCAGCATCGCAGCCATGGCCTACTCAACAGCCCCGCCAGCCTGCTCCGTCGCGGACGTAAGCTTCCCCACGCCATCCGTCATGCTCGTGACCATCAACAGGGAGCGCGCCCTCAACGCCATCACCATGGCCGGCCACACGGAGGGTGCAGCGCTGTGGCAGTGGTACGACAACGAGCCCTCCCTCCGCGTCGCCATCGTGACGGGCCAAGGGAGGAAGGCGTTTTGCGCGGGGCGGACCTCGTGGAGCAAAAGGAGCGCAATCGCAAGATTATCGGCGGGCTGCCCTCGAGCGGGTTCTTCGGCATCAGCACGCGCGTGGGCAAGAAGCCCATCATTGCCGCGGTCAACGGGTTCGCGTTTGGAGGGGGATTCGAGATCGTTTTGAACTGGTAGGTGGCCGGGGTTTCGCGCGGTATCTTGAGCCGAGATCCTCTTTCTTTCTTCCTTTCCGTCCTCGAGCTAACAAAAGACTCATCTTCGTTAAAACGAAAACAGCGATCTAGTCATCGCCTCGCCGACAGCAACCTTCACCCTCCCCGAAGCGAAATGGGGTCTCTACGCCGCGGCCGGAGGCCTCGCCCGGGCGGTGAGGACCTTTGGCATGCAGCTCGCGGCGGAGATGGCCATCGCAGGCCGCGTGCTGAGCGCGGAGGAGCTGCAGCGGCTGGGGTTCCTACGGGTGGCGGCGAGCCAGGAGACGCTTTTGGAGGAGGCGATGGCGCTGGCGGCCGGGGTGGCGCGCATGTCGCCGGACGCCGTCATCGTCAGTCGGGCGGGGCTCCGGCAGGCGTGGGAGACGGGCAGCGTGCAGCGAGCGGCGCAGATCACGGACGAGCAGTTTGGTCGGGGGTTGATGGAGGGGCAGAATGCGCGCATCGGGCTCGAGGCGTTTGCGGCCAAGAGGGAGCCGGAATGGGTCCCGTCCAAGCTGTAGTGCAGGAGTTAGAGAATGGGGTTTTCTGTTCGCCACCACCCTCTCCCACCCCTCCCACCTTCCGCCTATCTTCTTCCTCCTCTCTTCTTCTTCCCCTTCTCCAGCCGTTTGTGCTAGCGTGTCCTTTCTATCAAAGTGATGGCGGAGACGGCTTTGCTAGAGGGGAAGCCGCGGCTGGAGATATTAGCTGGTGCATCCACCCTGGCTGGACGTGTTGCGGCCGCTTTGATGCCCATCTCTTTTTCGGACCGTGCTGATATTGCATTGCATGTACTACGTTCCTCCTTTCCAAAGAGGTTCAACGGTTTTGGGGTTAGAAACTCTAATAATATTGCGGCCCCCTCTTCCCCCTTCCCCGGTCTCAATAATGCACCGGTACTTTTTCTTCCGAAACATCAATAGATCCATTCGATTTGACGTGTAGGCCTCCCGCCGTCCACATCGAGGATAGTGCAAAATAGCTTAAGATGAACAATCAACTTTTATGTAACAAGTGGCGACACTCTTATCTCGGCGGTGCTTGACACGTTTGTTGGCTTTTCTTTGTTTCCTCGACCGAGATACGAACTAGTTTTCCGTCTTGACCGACGTCTCCTCTCCTTTCCTTCTTTGTTCCGGCTTCTTTCGTTTCCGCTTGGCAGGCAAGTCGTTGGGGTGGAACCTCGTCGAAGAGTTTGCCTATCTCGGAATAGACAACTCAGCGAAAGGAAAGAAGAAAATATTGGCTCGTGTTCGAATAATATGGCACACGGATGGCATGATATGCAGGGCGGGCTGCATGCAACTGGAGCGCCACTTCGCTCCACTCAGTTCCCCAAATTTTTCTTGTCTAGTGTAGCGTCCCCCCCCTCTCTCTCTCCTCCCCTGGTCCTCATTTCGGATTTTGCACTCGCCACCGCTTCTATTCTTAGGGGAAATGATAGGACAAAGCCGAACGGGGTGGTGTGTCCTCAGCGTTCTCAGAGACTTTGTCCCGACCCCTTCGGGCTTAAGTGCGTTCTTATCAATGCATCCAAACGAGTTCCCCAAGACAATAGATCCCCTCCCAAGCCAAGCTGGCACTGGACTGGCGAATAGAGTGCTCGGAATGACACTTGCGGTATCCATAGATGGAGCAAGATCGCTTCGGCCGTTGCTCGACCGAACGGCCAAAAGTTCATTCCACTTCCTTCTCGGCCAATGACTTGCTCGATGGTAGAAATGAAGGGGTGAAGCTTATTACTTTGGTAGTTTGGGCGGGAACCCAAGTTGATCCGGCGCCCCGGAAAATCGTCGAAGAAAAGTTCCTTGTCCAAGGGGAGCACGGCCATCCTGCCGAAAAGGCATCATTTGAATGTACGTGTCCGTCCAGGCGGCGAGGGCAAGACCATGACCAGTACTCCAATGGGCCGCCCTCCTCGATCCTAATCACGAGGAGCGGAGCGTGATGATCGACAGCAGTCTTACTGCTAGCCAAGGGACTAGAAAAGAGGCCCTCTTTGCGGCAAAGACGGGTGCAGCGCATTCTTGGCTGGCCAGCCGGGGGAGAAGGTCTGGAAGCAATACAATGGATGGATCCATAGATGTATCGCTGTGGCTCCCCAATTAGGGCTGCGAAGCGAAGATTGAATGTCGGAGGGACGCAAGCAATCGAGATCGGGAACGGAGAAAACGGCTTCGACCAACGTGTGCCAATGCACCGGCGGTCGGTTTATTGGTTAGCGTGCATTATTGGCTCTCCAATTCATGTTGCATTCTGCACAACTCAATATTTTTTTCCCTTTTCTATGGTTTGCTTTCCTTTTACTCTTCTTTTTCGTCTACTTTTTATTTATTATTTTTTTTACCTATCCTTTTTCTTTCTTTTCTTTTTGCTCTGTTTTCTCCCTCCTCGCCTTGTCTTCCAATTTCCATTCCGCTCTGGGGTTCGTTTATCATTTGAACCCTTCACTCTCACAGTGCACGTCTTTTCCTATTTTGGGAGTCGCTCTTTTCTTCAAGCTCCCAGGTTTCCAAGGTTTTCCGGTGGCATGTGCAGCGTTGGTACATTTGGCGCAGGGGACATGATTTTAGCTTCCATCCTTGAATCCTTTGAAGGACCGTTTCCTCCGCCCGGCAGGCCTAGAAAGAAGGACATGTACTATGATGGTGATTGGACACTGACGCGGCGGGAATTGGGGGATGCTCAAGGTGCTGTCCAGTCCTTTCCAATGTCACTTTTCTTCTTTCTTCCATGTTCAATGTTCTTTTTCGCCTCCGTCCCTCCCGATGGTAGCAGCGGCAAAGTGGCTGGCTCCGCCTTGTACATGGAATAATAGCTTGTGGATGGATGTTTTGAAACCTTCGAGGCCATCTTTGGACCCAGTCGCCAGTCCAGACTCAGATTCGCCCACTGCAACCCCAGGACCCATCATCGGCAGCGTAGGGTCCGCCCATTTGCCGCACGGGCTTTTGCGACGAGGGAGGGGGCCACGTCTTGCTTGCTTGCGTCGTCCCATGAGGCCCTGGTATTGTTGTGGCGGGATTGACTGGCTTGGCTGGCCCGCACTAGATTTTGAGGGGAGTGTCTACACTCGAGGCCCAGAGGCCGTGGGCTCCGCAGCGTTGTGCGCCGCGGGCAATTTGAGATGTGGTTGTGCGCGTGGTTGTGCGCCACCTCACTCGATCGAATGTTCGCAAAGCACTATTGCCTCGACCACAGCCAACGGCCCTCCCCTCCCTCCCCGCCCGCCCCACGATCATAAAAATTTCAAGCAAGACACGGGAATCGGAGTTGAGTAGACTAGCTGCTACGAGTATTTTAGCGGGCGTGTACCAAACCGCCCACAAGGAAAAACCGCATGACTAAGGAGAAAGCGGGTGTGTTTCCCGCAGTCCTTTGCTTATTCGCCCAACAATTGCTAGATCAGATTGGATCCATTACATATTAATGTACCACTGCACGGCGCCCCGCACATTTCGTGCCAGCAGCAGCAGCCTTTCCACGACTTCTCCCTCTTCCCTCCAACCCAAATCTGACGTCGGAGCTGCTCATCGTCGAACCTCGCCCTCGCCCGCCGCCCTCTCCCTCGCCGCCGAACCGAATTGACCTGCAATGGTTCTCGACGGCGCGCAGGCCCTGGCTGCTGCGCAACCGTCGGCCCCGGAGCCATGCGCCGTAGAAGATTATGACCGGGCGCGAGATCGTGAGATTGCAGCGTAAGCTTGACCCTTTGATCCATCGTTTTTGTCGTGTGATGTTGTGTGGCTTTTCCTCTTCAGTCCCTCGCCAAGGTTGGAGGGGAAACGAGAGAGAGAAAAAAAAAAAAAAAAAGAAAAGGAAAAGAACCTCCAAAAATAAAAGCAAGGAGCGCAAACCAACTCGTACCGTGACCTGACTTTTTCCCCCTCCAGATTTCTCACCGCAGCCTCCTTCCCGCTGGACATCGAGGCCGGCCCCGAAGCCGGCTTCCCCTCAACCAGGACCCCACCATCAACGCCCTCGTCCAGCTCGGCGCCCTCCGCCTCAACACCAAACGGTCCTTCCTCTCACTCATCGACCGCAACTACCAGTACGTCGTGTCCGAGATGACGCAGTCCCACTCCATCATCGAGAAGCGCCACGCCGAGGGCGACGCCATCTGGATCGGGTGCTGCAAGCTCGAGGCCTGCTGGGGCGTGTGCCCCACCACCATGAAGGCCTTTCTCGACGAGACGGGCGAGTGGGCCAAGACGGGCCCCAACATCATCGCGAACCGCACGCGCTACATCGTCAACGACTTCCGCACCGACCCGGCCTACGACACGAGACCTTACGTCGTGGACTACCCCTGGTTCGTCTCCTACATCGAGGTGCCCCTCGTCTCGTCCCTCGGCTACCTCCTCGGCAGCTACTGCGTCGTCGACGACAAGCTGCACGAGTTCGACAACGACGAGACCGTCGACTGCCTCAACGAGATCGCCGCCGCCATCACCGCCCACCTCGAGCTCGTGCGCGAGAAGCAGAGCCGCGAGCGCGCCGGCAGCCTCATCAGCACGCTTAGCAGCTTCATCCGCGACGACCCCACCCCCTCGCCCCGGTCCCCACCCACCACAGATCCACCGCCTCCGAGAGCGCGCCCAGGACGGCCGGCTCGGCGCCCTCGGAACGCAACACAACAAGCGACAGCATGTCGGACCTCGTCATGGCCGACTACGCGCCGCCCCATCATCCCACCTTGCAACGCTCCTCGTCGTCCTACTCGACCTCGGCCTCGCCGTTTTCGCCAACAGGACGGCCGGCGGCGACGCCCGATACCTCCGCGCGGGGCGACGACGTGGGCAACCCCTCGACCAGCACGAGATCCTCACGGAAACCCTCGCCGACCCCGACGAAGAAGCCATGTCCATCAGCCAGGGCCCGGGCGCGCCCGAGCCGGCTCGGGCGTCGACCGACCGCGACTCCGACTCCCAGCCCAGTGGCTTCATCAGCTCCGCGAATATCAAATCTACTTTTTCCGCGCCGCCGCCGCGATACGCCAGTCCATGGACATGGACGGCCTCGTCTTCGTCGACGCCGTCCCCAGCTCCTACGTCGGTCGATCCGACCAGCTCAACGCCGACGCACCCCCGACGTCAACGCCGAAGAAGAGGCCGCCGGCCCGTTTTGCGGCGTCATCGTCAAGTCCATCGCCGAGCAGGAAACTCCCGCGGGCGCGGCGGCAGCAGCCGCGGCTACTCCTCCTATCCGGGTGCCGGAAGCCACACTGCAGAGGCTGATACAGAAATACGAGCGCGGCCACATCTTCACGGCGGACGAGTTCGGCCCCATCGACGAGACGTACGGCGCGGGCAAACACTTCCCCGGGTGCAGCGTGCCCGTCGGCACCGACGCCGCGCTGCAGTCCGACGTGGCGGCGCTGTTCCACGCCGTACCCGCGGCCAAGTACATCGTCTTCCTACCGCTGTGGCATTTCCAGCGCGAGTGCTGGTACGCCGCGGCGCTCGGTTGGATCGCCGACCCGATACGCGCCGTCGAGCTCAAGGACATCAGCCTCGTGTCCGCCTTCAGCAACTCCGTCATGGCCGAGGTATCCCGCCTCGAAGCGCTCGCCGCCAACCACGCCAAATCCAACTTCGTGTCCTCCATCAGCCACGAGCTGCGTACCCCCTTGCACGGCATCATGGCCAGCAGCGAGCTTATCCGCCAGAGCCTCGGTGCGCTGGACCCGAGCCTCCTGCCCACGCTGGACATGCTCGACTCGTGCAGCAAGACGCTGCTCGACACCTTTAACAACCTGCTCGACTACACCGTCGTGCTCGGCGGCGGCAAGAACTCCAAGGTCTCCGTTACCGAGATCCCCTCGCCGACCTCGGCCAGCTCGTCGAGGACGTCGTCGAGGCCGTCAACGTCAGCTACCTGTCGGAAAACGCCTTCCTCACCTCCATGCACCGCAAGCCGCAGCAGGGCATCTACTCCACGCGCGTCCTCGACGTCGGCAAGGACCTCGCCAAGCACTCGGTCCTCGTCACCCTCGTCGTCGGCAAGCTGCCCACCGTCACCCTCCCCGTCGACGTCGGCGCCTGGAAGCGCATCGTCATGAACCTCTTTGGCAACGCCCTCAAGTACACCGACGCGGGGTACATCCGCACCGAGCTCACCACACTGCAGCGCACCGAGCGGGCTACGGGCCACGTGCGCGACTACGTCTCCTTCACCGTCGAGGACACGGGCTGCGGCATGAGCACCGACTACCTCAAGTACCAGATCTTCACCCCCTTTTCCCAAGAGGACCAACACTCGCCGGGAACCGGCCTCGGCCTCAGCATCGTGCAGCAGCTCGTCACCCGGCTCGGCGGCACCGTCGACGTCCAGAGCGCCGTCGGCCGCGGTACCCTCGTCCGCGTCCTCGTGCCCCTCGATCTCGGCTCCGCCACCTCGCCCTCCGGCCCCACGGTCCCGCAACAACGCTACTCTCCCCTCCGGAGGCGAACCCGACGTCGATCAGCTCCGCGGACGGACGGCGTGCTTGCTGTCCCCGGCGCTCTTCGTCGCCCTAGGCCGCACGGAGCCCGCCACCGAGGAGATGCACGCGCGGTCACTGATGCTCGACGAAACCCTTCGGTCCATTGCGGGCGAGGGCCTCGGCATGCAGATGCTCGCCTGCGGCGACACGTACCCGATCCCGTACGCCGACGTCTACTTTATCGACGCCGGCTTCTTCGGCCGCGACCCCACGGCGTTTACCCACGCCGACATCGCCAAGGTGTGGCCCCTCATCCTCGTCTCCTCCGGCGCCGGCGAGTCGTCGCTCCTAACCCCGGGCTCCGTCGAACACTACGGCATCTGCCTGCGCGACCCCGTAGCGCCCCGGAAGCTGTCCGCGACCCTGCTGGCCGCGCTAAGCGCCAGCCGGCCCCAGCTTTCCCTCCCGGAACTCTGCCCTACTCCCACACAAGCCACCATCCCCGGCATCTCGATACCACCTCCCCCAGTCCGACGGCCACCTCCCAGCCGACAGCCAATCCTGGGAAGAAACCCCTCTTTCCCCCACGCCGCCACACCCCAGACCCCGACCACAAGCGACGTCTCCGCAAACACGCAAGCAAAGTCGCCCGGGGCGCACCACGTACTCCTCGTCGACGACAACCCCATCAACATGAAACTACTCACCAACATCATGTCCAAGCTGAAGCACACATTCTCCACCGCCTCTAATGGCCAAGAAGCCGTGGACCTGTACGCGGCCTCCCTCGCGCAGCAGCGTGACGGCGGCGGCGGCGGCGGCGGTCCCTTGTTCGACACCGTGTTCATGGACCTGACCATGCCCGTCATGGACGGGTTCGAGGCCACGCGGGAGATTCGCAAGCTCGAGGCCGAGGCCCAGATTACCCCGAGCCGCATCATCGCGGTGACGGGGCTGAGCAGCGAGTTGAGTCGCAATAACGCGATGTCGAGTGGGTGCAACCTCTTTTGACGAAGCCAGTCAAGATGAACAAGCTCAAGGAGCTTCTCAATGATGGGGCTGGAACATCCAACAATGGGTAAAGGACGGCATATATATTTTTGCTCCTTCTCCGCTTTTCCCTAATATCTCCGCTCTCTCTCTTCTCTTTCCCTTCTCTACCTCTTCATCTCCCTCTCTCTCCACCTTCTCCCTATTTTCACTTTCTTTTGTCAAGGGTCTCAGTATACCTCGGCCTTTGCCTTGTTTCCCTACTACCGGAGGCGGCTTTTTGTTTCTTATTCATTTCCTACTGTATCACACTGGCGAAACTTGGAACCTGGCGTTGGGGCTACAAATCTACACGGAAATCGGTCTACACTATCCATCCGCCTTCACTCGGCGAATAGAGTTTATAATCATTTATGCATACGAAGCTCAATGAAACACGAATATACATGAGTTCACCCATCATGTTGTGGAATATACGTCTATTTGTAGCTTAATAGGTTACATCATCTATCGATATTTTCATAACTTCGTCGTCCCTGGCCCCCAATTGGCCTGTGTCCCTTCCCACCCTCATTCCATTTTCTAACACCTTGTGTAATACATTTGATCAACGTCCTCCCATCCCTATTAGAAACATGTATTAAAACCGTTTAAAGCTGAGCGGGCAAAGCACCGCTCTTCTGGGCAGTCCAGGTGGCAATAGCATCCATCAAAGGCGGGGAAAGGCTATCGTAAGTCTTGAGACCAACGGACTCAAGCTTGGCGCGGACCTCGTCGATGCCCTTGGGGTGGAAGCCCTGCTCGATAATGGAGGAGACAAAGGCGGCGAACTGGGGCTCCTGCCAGCCCTTTTCGCTGGAGAGCTCGACGTGGACAAAGTCGAGGCCCTTGAAGGGGTGCTCCTTCTCGATGCGGCCAAACAGGTGGACGCCGCACTCCTTGCAGGCGTTGCGGAGGATGGCGGCGTTGGCGTCGACGACGTGGAGCTTGGCGGCGTTGGCGGTGACCTCGACGTTGTCGCGGGGATGACGGCGATGACGGAGAAGAGGCTGCCCTCGGGCTTCCAGCACTTGGAGCAGCCGCAGGCGTGGTTGTGGAGGACGTTGCCCTTGAGGGCGACCTCGACGGGGTTGCTGGCGCAGTGGCACCGGATGGTGCCGCCCTGGAAGTTTTCGGCGCCCTTGACGAGGCCGCTGTCGATGGAGGGGTGAATAGAGGGCGCCATTGTTTTGGAGAGGGTGTGAGGATAAGAAGAGCAGAGGGTGATTATGTGTTGTGTGTGTGTGTTTGTGGAAAAGCTGCTTAGAAAGTAGGATTGTAGAAATTATTGGTCGACCTTTTTATTCTCAAGCTCTTCCTCAGCAAAGGACACCTGACAAACCCCATTCTTATATTACCTGACTTCTTTTCCCACTATCATTCCGACGTGTACGTCGCCGGGGAGAGCTGGCAGTCAAGGCTGGGCGCGTCTGCCGATGGACCCCTCCGCACCGAGTCCCTGACCCCAAGCCATTAGCGCGGACGCTAAGGATCCTACGGGAACCAATCAGCCAACATAGCGACAACGAAACAGGGGCTATCACTGACTGCCGTGCCTGTCGTGATCGCGCAGTTGGGGCGTTTCCGAGAAAACGCCGTTTTCGGCGATGGCGTCTTCCCGACCTTCTTAGTGGGGGAAGGAATCCCGCAGGAAGGGGGAGGAGAAGCGGGCAAGCCTGGGGTATCTTGGGCTGTGCGAAGCTTTGCGACGCCTTGTCGGAGCTGATAAGCGACATCCGGGAAACGAGAGGATCCTCTCCTAATGCGTGCACCATCTCGCTCCCCACATTCCGAAGTACGAGTGCGCGTCTTGTTGTATCCCCGTACCGCCGAGACGGCAGTTGGCGGGCCAAGTCGGAGACGGGGAGTCTGGGAGTAAGCCTGGCTCGATGAACTCCGAATAGCGATAGAGGACCTACGTGATAAAATATGAAACAAATTTGTCCTTTTATCACCCTATAACATGATTCCCCGATCTAGCCGATCTAGAGAGCTCAGAAAGATCCGGGCTTACGTGAATATTTGATTCCCTATCCCCCTTCTCCCTTTTTATCTTTCGGAAAGCGAAAGCACGTCATCGAGTATTATGCTACCTTGCCTAATAGAGGGCCACCCAACACTGCTAAATAGTCTTGGTGTCGTTTGAAATTCCTAGTATACCACAGGTTTTCTAAGTGTACAGCGAACAACCATTTTTGAGGAGAGCGGTTCACAGGGTCTGCACCTGGGCAAATTAAGATCCATGGATGCAACTTCCCCTGCCGTTATCACAAGGCCTGTTCCTCGCTTGATAGAGAAAAGAGAAGACTGAAATGGGTCAAAATCGTCGAGGTGTTAGTTGGACCTACGCCTTCAGGTTTCTTTCTCCCGCTTTAAAGCTCGCCAAATTCCACATGGCCATTGCCGCTTCGAAAGGGACCAATTGTATCCCTGAACACGTCCTAGAGATCGGGGGCAAATCCCGATCTCATCTATGGAAGAGGCTCTTTTCATATTCTTTTCCTCAAATATTTATCTTATCATATGTTTTCAATACTAGGACACTACAGAGCTAGTGTGAAGATGAGGATGTGCTGCATGCTTAGTCTGTTCACATCATCCCAACCTAACTGAACCAACATCCCAACCCTTGACCTTTGCATCAAGCCGCAACACGGGCTAATGGTCACGTCAGGTAGAAAAACGCCTATTTCCTATGAATAGTAGAGGCTATTCAACGCAGAACGAAAAAGAGTGCAGTGACATGAGCCACAAGTATCAAAAAGACAGTGACTTCCTAGTAAGATCCCTTGCTAGTATATATCACGCTTCAGTGTGGGGATCCTTAAGAAGATGCTGCAAACAGTTTATAGATGGACAAATCTAACCAGGAGATCAACAGCATTAGTAGATAAACATCGAGTGAGAGAAATTCCCGCAATTGGACATGTCAAATAAAGCATGCGCCGCATAATAGCTCTCAAGCGGCTTAGTAAAGAGCCCCTGGCAAGTGGATCCGAGGACCTGGAAGTGGAGCACTCGACTGGCGTGGCATGAACCGTCAACGTGGGTCATCAAAGTTTTGTCATTTGGCGCCAGAATCTTCTCAAAGAACCACGAGCTCACCCAAGGCATTTAAAGGCGTCCATGTAAGAACATGGGGGTCAGTATCCATCCAAACCTAGGGTAGAACTGGCCTATGGGGTTCTCGGCCGGGCTTGTTCCTGCCAGTGGCTTTTACCTCGTGGGGGCTCAAAGGGCCCCATGTGGACGGCAGCCCGTCCCGAAGACTCTTTTTTTTTTTTTTTTTTACCGCCCTTTAAAGGAAAATTTTTCTTTTCTCCCTCTAATATCACGATAGCATCAAATCGAGTGGATAACAAGAGCGGGTCCCCGCCCCTAATTCTGATTAGGGCTGGATTTGCACGGTCCAGCACCCAATAGAAAGACCCAAGTTTCCCTTCCTCTGCCGCCTGACCACGATGGAAACCTTTTCTCTCAAAGTGATTGTCAAATTCCCGTCCCTCCTTTCGTGATGCGAAGCGTTCTCTTCGCCCTGTCGTAGTTGTCTCCGGATCTCTCCCATCCCTGCCCCTCTTCCCTCTAAGACCCAAAAAGCCACAGGACAAGATGAAGCCCGCCAAATATCCGTCTCCCCCTCGAGTAGCCTGCCCCGCTCCGCGCAGGCGCCAAGCTCACCGAGTACCACATCCTATCAGCCCTAGAAAACCTATCCGAGATATACTGCCCTCTGCCCGTGTCAGTCTCGCTTTCTGCAAACCCCTTGCCCCGCATCGCCTCTGGGGGAGAGTCAACCCCCTCGATTCGGGTTACGCATCCGACATCGAGGGGTCCCAGACCATGGCGGGCCGGCGAGAGGACGTGTTAGCCCAGCTGAGGGCCGACGCATTTGAGCGCGACGTCGCCCAGCGGTGGCTCTCGGGTTTTCTCGGTCGCGCGGAGATGTTGCTTTGCGATTTCGAGGACGATGTGCGACAGTACGCTATCGATGAAGCGGCCTGTATCATGGAAGCCATGTTCGCTCCTAGCCCGTCGGAGGACCTTTCGGACGGCGTCGAGGATGAATTTGCGCACGAGTTCGCTTTTAGCTTGACGACTCCGTGCGGTAAGGAAACCGTGCAGACGCCCATCGAAATCAAGCTCTACGACAGACTAGCGGGGAAGAGCAGCGAAGATCCCGACGACGTCGGCCTGCAAATCTGGGGCGCCTCCATCATCTTCTCCCGCCTCCTCTGCGCGGACCCCGCCCGGTTCGGCCTCTCCACGAAGAAACAACCAGGAAGCGCGACCGAAGCCCCGCGCATCATCGAGCTCGGTGCCGGCACAGGACTCATGAGCCTCGTTCTCGGCGCCGCGCTGCCACACCTCGGTTTACCGAATGCCCAGGTCATCTCGACTGACTACCACCCGCAGGTCCTAGACAACCTACAGCGCAACATCCGCAGCAACGGTCTCGCGGTAGACACAGCTCTACTAGACTGGTCGTGCCCCACTTTCGACGCGCCTCTAGACAAGCCGGCCAACGTGCTGATCGCGGCAGACGTGGTGTACGGGCCGGAGCACGCGATCCTACTCCGAGACTGCGCCGCGCGGTTCCTGGCGCCCCGGGGCGTGTTTTGGATGCTCACGACGATTCGGGAGGATGGCAAGTTCACGGGCGTCAAGCCACCGTCCAGGCTGCCTTTGCGGCGGACGACTGCCCTGTCAATGAGGAAGGCCGTGTCTTGAGGATTCTTCGCTCCGAACACTTGGAGAAGCAAAGGGCGTCGGTCGGGGTGATGAGCGTGGCTATCGGCTATTCCAGATTGGATGGACCGACGTTGAAACTCGATGAGCGATGCCCGCAAGCGAGACACAAAAAACACGCACATGCGCACAACGCCACCTTGACCCACAAAACTCGCCCACCCGACCTGGTAGAGGAGTCCCTCCGGGTTTCTTCCTTAATCTCGCTGTTGAGAAAGGAGTTGTTTGATCGTCTGATCAAAATCTTCCGGCGTTCTGCCCAGGATTTCGGCCAACGTGCGAGTCACGACAGCCGTCTCGCCAGCCCGAATCGCCTCCCACGCCGTCGCCCACGATTCAGCCACGGCCGCAGACCCGAAACGACCCTCGACCTGCGTCTGCCTCGCGTACTCTTCCACGCTCACCTCCCGGATCCTAACCTCTTTTCCCAAGGCTTCGCCCAAACACCGGACCGTCTCCGCCAGCGTCCACGGCTTGTTACCCGTCAGCAGCACCTTGGCGTTGACAAACTCGAAGGCGGCCGGGTCGGCAGCGTACCGCTCGATCAGCTTGGCCGTGGCTTCGCCTAGCTCGTCGCGCTTCACCCAGGCGACGCCCGGCGCGGAGCCGTCGTGGGGATGAGAATCTCGGGGGTGGGCTCTCGCGGGTTGAAGAAGGCCGTGTAGATGGGGAACGATTCGGAGTAGAGGCCTTCCCGGACGGAGGTGTAGGTGATGTCGGGGCGCTGGCGGGCGAGCTCGGCGAGGTGCTTCTCGCAGTCGAGGTGGGCTTGCATGACGACGGCGAGGAGTGGTCGGAGAGGTCACCTGCGAAACCGAGGGAGCTGTAGAATATGTGCTTTACTCCCGCACGTACGGCGGCGTCGATTGCTGGGAGTTGGACCTGGTTTTCCATGGTAAGCTTGGGGATCCAGCGGACGAGAGGAAAAGAAGAAAGAAGAAATTAAGACAGCATAGAAATAGACGGCGGATAGCCATTAGAGATAGAGAGACATAGAAAAAGGGGACATGCACATAGAACTTTATATAGATAGAAATAGAAATCACCACAATAATAAGAACACAACACACCTTGACGCGATAGTCCCGAACGTGACTTGGATAGGAAATGAGGAACAACACCTCGATATCAGCAAAGGCCGCCTCAAGCTCTTGAGGGTCAGACTCGTATGAGGCTTTGCGGACACGAGCTCCGTTCTGAACATAAGTTCCCGGGATCTTTTCTGGGAAGCGGGCGATGAGAGTCACTTTATCGTTGGGCACATGGTTCAGGAGATGGGTGTAGGTGCTGCTCCCTAGACCGCCCGAGGCGGGGAAGATGCCAATGTTGAGCATGACGATGGAGTTTCACTAGATGAAGAAGTGTTTTTAGGGTGAGATACGGTTAGTTTCGAGACACAAAAAGAGGTTGAGACTAGGGAGGAGTTGAGATGGCAACATCGAACTATACCCCGACTCTGTGTGGGGTAACTGCGCTGCTGCTGCGCACGTCACCTGACACGATGCCGGCAATCCCAAATGCATGAACCGGACGAGACACTAGAACCTTTGAGTCGCGTAACCGATGCCGGTGGTTAGCTGTCGACCTTTCGGCAATGGTTGCTAGGACTAGGAACTCTGAGTAGATGGCGCAGTGTCGAAGCAAGATTCGCTCAACTTTGCGTCGACTGTTGGCTCCGTGCACATATGTAAATCCAACCACGCATTCAAGACACAACACGGCAACGCATCACCAACAAGCAAGCTTCGCCCGGAACAAGCCAATACTGATCGACCTGTATTAGAATAGATCAATGAAAGAGAAAAATATTTCATTTCTATAGATACATTACACACAGTTATAAAATAAAATAAATCCCTTATCCCCGAACAAACCCTCTAAGGCTATAGTTTTCTCTTCTCTTCACCTGCCCAGGTAATGCTCCTTTTTCCTCGGTGTTCAAGTCCAGTGTCAACAGCCCTAGAACAATCGAACCCAGCATTGCGTCGTTTTGAGATGGAGGCGGCGCAAAGCGAACCCCGCGTTTACGTTGGGTTGGGAGACCAAGGCGCACCCAGTCCCCGCCGATCCTCTCCATTTTCGGCCGGGCCGCTCCGCTCCTGATCGGCTTGGCTTCCGTACGCTGACCTCACTGACCTCACTTTGCCACGGGGCATGCGCTGAAGGATCAGGAGCAGGCCAAAAGCCACCAGTGCCACACCGAACAGTTCCAGAAAAGGGAACACGGAGCGCTCCGGCGATGACGTCCTTTCTTCACAGCCACCAACATGTCAGGAAATCCAGCTTCGCTCAAGGGTATTAAAACATCCATACATGTAGGTCATGGAGTGCGACATTCTCGTTGTTTTATTTAATGAAACATTTATATCGAAAAATTCAGAAACACAACCCGGCGGCACAAGACTAACTGCCCTCCGACTACACGCAAAATCCGCGCGAGACAAACCATCTACCTACTAAAGAAGCAAAAGAAAGAAACAGAGAAGAAACTCAAAAGGGAACCCGTACTCACAGTCATGGGTTCTTCCAGCTCATCACTCGCTGCCCAGCAGCTCCCCCAACTCTCCCCCAAAGCCACCGTACCCCCGCCCTGCGCGTCGTCCTCCGAAAATCATGGACGAAACTCACCGCCGAGCTGGTCGCGCCCGGCGCCGCCACCCCAACCTACGTCGCCACGCTCCCCAAGGCTGGGGGCATTCTCATCCTGCACGATGGGCCCAACGAGACCGACCCGCCGCTCGCGCACGCCCGCGGGGTGGATGAAGCTCGCCATGACCATTGCGAGCCCCGCCGGTGCACCGCCGGGCGTGGGCGGGGAGGAAAGATCACCATGCACCACAACGTGGGGATGAAGGAGACCTTCTCGTTCGCCATGGAGGTGGGCCACGGCGCGCATCGACGCGTGGAGTGGTTCGAGTGGCGGCGGTCGCACGGCGACGACGTCCGGAGCGTGGGGCAGGCGAGCTCCGGGTGGAAGCTGATCCGCCTAGGCGCCGGCGAGGAGGTGGTGGCGGTGTGGGCGGATAACAAGAATTGGATGTCGATGAGCAAAGTGGGCGAGCTCCAGTTCCGCGGGAACGGGGCGACGGGGAGATGGGGATCCGGTGGAGCTTGATGGTCGTGACGAGTTGCATGTGCTTGTGGAAGAAGTTGATGCAGAACGCGTCCGAGGCGTAGAAAGCGTCGTTGTGGATGTTGGTGATGTGTGTGAGATACCCCATACGTCTAGTCTCTTTTGGTAGACGAAAATTGTAACAACAAGCGCGTGGAATGGCCCTGCTTTTCAGCCCGTGGGCCCATATCGAAGGAGACATGTTTACAAATTTGATCCATAAACATTATAGCATTTGAATTGCAATGTTGGTATCGAGCCAATTTTTACCGTCCTTAATCCATACGCGGCAGCCCAAGAATTACACTCGTGGGTGGTTGAAACCCCTTCCAAAAATAAACATTGCCTTGCGTAGATCCCATGAAAATCCTCCAATGCACCATAAAACCCAGTATCCCGTCCCATATTCCTAAATATTACAAGTCCAAGCGGAGAAAGACAAAAAGAAAACAAGCAGTCCGAATTAATAAGAGAGCAGGATCAAGACACCGTAGACCCGGTACTGCTCTTTTCCACGTCCGTCTTGGACATCTCCCACGTCTGGAGCTCCTCCTTGCCGGTGACCTCGATGCTGTGGCTCCTGTTGTGGAGCGCGGCGCCCTGCGTGCCGATGGTGGGCGGGTTCGGGCCCGCCACCTCGACCGAGTCCTCGGACTCGAAAATGGTGGGCCAGAGCTTGTGGGCCAGGGGCTTGAGAGTGACGAGGCAGGCGGCGACGATGGCGGCGTTGAGCTCGATGAGGCTGAGGTAGCCGAACTTGGCGCCGGCCCAGCTGAAGTCGGGGTCGGCGGTCTTGTGGAGGTCAACGAGGAAGATGACGCGGATGATGGAGATGAAGGCGACGCTGTGTTTTGGGGCGGTTTTGTTAGCCTTGTGACCGAGGGTGGTAGCGGTTGTCCCCGCGATAGTCCGTGATGATGAAAAAAAAAAAAGAAAGAAAAAGGAAAAGAAAAAGAGGGAAAGGGAAAACTCGAGGTTTGATACTCACAGGAAACCAAAGGAGAAGAGTACAATGAGAGTAATCTTCTGCGCCTTGGGCATCTTCATACCCCAGATCTGGGGCAAGGGCACCAGCCAGATCAAGAAATCGGTGCTGACGTGCAGGCTGGTGTTGACCCACCAAAAGTCGGTGGAGTGGCAGTAGGCGTTTTGCACGGACAGGTCCCAAAAGGCCTTGAGGGGATGCAGGCGGTGGCGGAGATGACGACGGTCCAGAGACCGGAGAAGACGACGAGGCCGAGGATGATCTTGCAGGCGATCTGGGCCTTTTGGTAGCTGAAGATGCGAAGGTAGAGCGTCAGGAAGGAGGCTTTGACGAAGAGCAGGGAGATGTTGTAGGCAAGAATGGCCATCCACGCGGACTAAATAGTGACGGCGAACCATCGTTAGTTACCGGGAATCCGCTGGGGGATTTTGGGAATCCACGTTCTGCGTTGAGAAGGGCTGGAGGTCGGGCTTACCATTTGCAGCGGGATGTAGGTGGAGGCGAGATCAAAGTCCCAGACGTGCGAGCCCAGGCCATATTGAGCCTCTACAAGTAGAAAAAGGGGACGTTAGTTTTTGATTGGAGTGCATAGTTTTGGCGATTCTCCAGGGGGCGAATTAGGCGGCTTACCGGCGATAAATGCGGCTGATTGAAGAGCAGACACAAACTATTTGAGGGGTGAAGCAGAGGCCACCGTTAGAAAAAAAGGATACCGTCTTTGCATCAAGCAGCATTGAAAACGAGAAAGGCCGGCTTGAAGTGAGGCTTGTTTCGCGAATCGGAGTTCGACATACCACGCCTCCCAGAATCAACCAATCCGGTAAAGATAGGACGCGGACGACTCTTGTCCTGGTGTAGAACCGGAGACCGACAAAGGCGACGGCGATGACCCAGCAAACGACGGCGCACGCGATGATGCTGCCCTTGAGGGAGTTGTGAGGGACGGTGGCAGGGTCCACGGGGGAGGGCCTTCGGTCTCGACGACGGGCATGATGGAGGTTGTGGCGAGGGGATCGATCTAGGTGCTGTTCGTGCTTGCTGTTTCCCTTCCTCGACGCGGTTGTGGCGAGGGGAAATTGATCGCGAAAATACGAGCGTGTCCCAAGAGTTCGAAAGAGACAAAGGACCCAAAATATTTCCACAGATTCAAAGGTAATCAAGCGCACACCTTGGATGGAGCAATGCGATGAGTGCGCGATCGAAAAGAGAAACAAATTACCTGGGGATCTTCGAAAATGGCCCTAGTGTGGCGGGAGACCAAGCGTTATGTATTGCTGGCTCACGACCCAAAAAAAAAACAAAGCTCCTCTTCTTGTCCCAGGGATCCCTTGGGACCAAGTGGGGATTGCGATGTTGACGTCGGGCCCAAGACTGACCATCCCGCACCGCACACCTGGACAGGGATACGGTATCCGAGGATTCAATGTTCAATTTCGTGGATTTGGGGGAGGGGGTTTGCGCGGCGGCGCTGTCCTGTCCCACACCACAGCTAACCCGTTGCCGTTGCGAGTACATACTACATACTATTCATTCACACTTATGCTGGTGGAAAGGGGTTTCCCGCATGCTTCGACACAAAGAAGGCGCACGCTCACCGTTGGTCGCGGCAGCCTCTCCTGGGAAAGGGAAGGGGTCCGTCCGAGAGATAGAGAGAAACGGAAGGGAGGGGAAGAGGCTCTTTGGCCTGGGATCGACTTCCTCGGGCTAGAGTGCCCCCGATGACCAAAGGGAATTTGCCTTCTGTTTTTGCTGGACCTGTTGGTTCCATCGCACGGTTGCGGTCGTCCGCCCTTTGTGGCTTCAGGTGTTCTCATCAATATTTCTCCAAAAAGGTTCGCGCCGGTCGGAATGGACCGACCCCACCCCTTCGAATCAAGCTTGGGAGGTTGAGCAAGTGGAAAGGCTCTTTCTTTCCCCACGGGGCATGGTTCCTCAAGAACGGGTACTTGCACATCCAATATCCTCGCCCCCTCTCCTTGCATTACACCAAAAACCCTCGTGGGCGAAAACACTCCCTTCAGCCCCCGATCTGGATGTGGGCACGAGAGCACCCACTCCGGTAGCACGGATTTTGCTAAAAATGTCCTGGTTTTGACCAAGAGAGGGGCGATTCACATCTTACGGACGTAGACCACTCAGCTCTTTGTTTTTCAATTTTTGGGGGAAAGGGCAAACCTTAGCTCGACCGGGGCTGCATGAACCTCATCCATCGCGACGAAGGGTGAGGTCAAAGCACACGGCAGCGGATCAATGAATTCCTCCCCGTCCCACCGGATTGGTCGGGGCCAGCGAGACGAGGAAACCCTGGCTCGTCGGAACCAGCCCTGTCGACCACAATCTCGTACTTGTAACAATTGTTTTTTGCAAGAGGTGGACGCTCCCACTCAGACCCCGACTCGTGCGCGAGAACAGGGTACAAAGGTATTACGACAAGTACATCCCATCCAACGTGTCGGGAAAGACAATGGCTGTCAATTGACAAAAAAGCGTGGCGATCCTTGGGGACGGGGTTGTCGTTTGGAAGGATCGCCGACCCATGCTTGGATCATTGCCTATGAACTTGCTTGTAATCTTGTCGGCCTCCCTGAACATTCGTATTTCCGTCCCGCGCTGTTGGATATGAGCGGCTCTCGGTTTGAAGAGTATGGGCGGACGAGCGATAGTGAGGACAAAGTCAAACGCTACTACTAAATGTAAATAAAGCAATAATAATCCTCAAGCTTCGCCCAGTTGATTGAAAGAGGAGCACGGAAGACGCCAGGAGAAGTGGCAGCGGATGATCGCCGCTCCCCACAGGCCATTCTCGGGACTACTTCGCTCTTCGGCACTAATCGCCAATACCCACCCACTAGAACGGCGACGGTAGATCCTCGTTTTGGTTCAATGGATCCATTCATGTTCCTCTAAAGCATTTGAGTATGATGTTGGCACAGCAAGCACGACACTCCACTGCAAGGACACACACATGCGCGCGCACGCACGCACGCACGCACTTGTTGCTTGTACACACTCCCTGGCTCACTTGCCTGCGTGCGTAGGAAGAAAACCTTGAATTTGTCTTACCTATTCCCACGTCAGAGTGTCACGGGCCACCAACGACGCCAGCCCTGGCCAGGGTGGGATCACCAAAACAGGGCACCTTGATCGTTGGGAGGTTTGTCCAGACCACTGTTGGTCCCCTTGGACCTACTGGTGCTTGTCTTTGTGTACCTGGAAGGGGGCTGTGGCAAGCGTGCGTTACACATATCAATTGATCCATTCAACGAATCCATCATTACCAAAAACCGGGGTCCCAAACCATGATCTGACCATTCATTACCGTCATCTCGGATAAGGTTCTCCCTTTTTCCTGTCCATGATTCGAGAACGAGATCGAGAGGTCACACACTCGTTTGCGAAAAACCTAAATGGCCCTCTACTGAAAGTACACTATACCGAGGTATGATGCCTCTCTGATAGGCCCCGTGCTCCCAGAATGCTGGGGAGACAGGCGAACCTGTTCATTCCCCCTCGAGACAAGGGCCAGCGCCTATCTCGTTTGGGTTTGGCGGAGGGGAACTACACTGCACTAAAAGGCGGAATCCGGAGTCCGAGTATCGGTTCGCTTCGCGAAGCAAGTGTCAAGAATTGGAATTGTTTTCCATCTTTCCGTCACTCAGTTGCCACCATTTCCGCTCTTTCCTGCCTTCTTATTTCTTTTCTTTTGCGCTTAGGGGTTTCCGCAGCTCAGCCTTGTTATTCTCGGCCTAGAGCCAGCCCTTTGGAAAGGTGCGATCCAAGGTCCTTGATTCTGTGGTGGGGAGGCGGCATCAAGCAGAAAGCGGGAAGGGCGGGAGAGGGTCATCGTTCAGCATAACATATCAGCGACCACATATTGAAGGAACAATGTCCACTCCCGTTTCGCCAGCCCGCACCCGCGTCCTTGTGCAGTTTGGAAATTGGATCTCACTCGCTGTTGGTTTGACTGTTTTATTTATTTTTTATCCAACCTCTCGATGTTTGTCCTTCTCTCTCTCTCTTCTTTGATTTTCTTTTCCCCGAATAGGCATCACCCTTTCCCACCGTCTCTTCGCTCCCCTTGCTCTTTCTTTTCTCCTATTCTTCCAACCTTCTATCGCCCCCACCCTTTTTCCACGCTCTTCGAACGCCATCCCAGCGCCCCTAGGAATCGTAAATCTCCAAGAGCTTGGAAACGGTGTGTGGCCCTGACCTCGCCGCAAGGCATAGTCTCGTATGTGGGGGAGGGAAAAGAGGGGATGCGAGGATCTACAGTCTGGGTGCCACACCTCTGTGTCGAAGCCCCTACCCCAGAACACGCATCTCTTCACATCAAATTGATCGAACCACTCAGAACCTTGTCTCAGCTCGCCAGTGGCAACATGGTCAGTGCTTCCTAGAAGGTCGGCGACCTCTTTGCCATTCTAGGGCCCTTTTCTCCTCTTTCACTCCTACCAGCATGAGGCTCATGCACCACACAAGGAGTCGAGAGGCGATGCGTGATGCCATGCCCACGACTCAAGCAGCTCTTTTTGTCATACAAGGCTCCCCATTGTAAGCCAAGCGTGGAGGCCCTCGGTGGCCCATTGGTCCCAGTGGCGACCGCTTTGACGACGCCACGAAATCCGGACGCCTGGCTTGTCTTTCTCTCACTTTCATTGAACCAGATAATAGACCGGGGGAAGCAGAAGAGGAGGGGAGGGAGGTGGAAGGGATAGCACATCCACCATGGTGCCACGGATTGCGGCTTACTCGGTGATTTCGCATCTTTCTCGCTTTCATTTCCCCAGATCCCTTGGATTGATCCTGCACTCGATGCAAGAACGGCGGCACCCTGTGTGTGCGTGGGTGTGTTGGTTGGCGGCGTTGGTTCCAATTTCCGAGCCATTCGCACTCGTAAGTACCGGCTTGGCAAGCCATCCCCTCCGCCGCAAAACGAAAACCTGGTTCGATTCTAGGTCGTACAACAGCCTCCAGCGAAAGTGAAGGGGGAAGGAGAGTGCGCAAACAAAGTTCAGGCTCGATTGCCACATCGTTTGAGGAACCATTTTTTTCTCTTCTTGTCTTCCCTCTTCCTCCCTCGTAGTGCAGAGATACAACCTTCTATCCCTGAAAGTAAGCCTCGCCCACCCCCTTGGAACCAACAGCTGTCCGCCCCTTTGTTGGATATCAAACCATCAGCCCATTCTCTGCTTTCTCCTGACCCAAACCTCCTGTTCCGTGCTCTCCGCCGCGTCTCCAGCCACGTCACGCAGCTGTACCTCCCACACCCCAAGCTTGTAGTGTCCACGGTCAGACATGCCCGAATGGACGTCGAAGGACCAGCCGTGCTTGGGACATGTGAGACCTGCGCTGAGAACGATGCCGAAATCTTCGATATCGAACGGAATCCCCTTTGACAACGGGTAGGAAGAGTGAGGACATCTCTGCAACGCCGTCCAGTTAGCTTCTGCCACAGTCCGATATACACGCGTAGAGTGAAGGGTCCGCAGAGTTGGCCCGGCTACCCCATGCTCCGGGTTCCGCTTCGAGTCTTGCTTCCGAGACCAGAGACGAGTGTGCATGCATCCCTTCCATCTCTAGTTCTCTCCACGCAACATGAGCCGCCAATGTGAAAACTTACGTGGTCGATCGCGTGAAACTTGCCCCGGTGCTGAAAGACGAGCACCTGGTCTTTTAGGTCCCGGCCCACGTCGCTGGAGAGGTAAGAGTCGTCCTCGATGTTCACCTCCTGCCTCTTGGAGTTGTCGGTCTTGGGGAGTAAAACACCTTGCAGCCGGGCTTCATCCCGGCATCGCACGCGCGGAACCGGGCCAGGTCCCCGTCGTCGCCCACGTCGGGAAAGGAGGACGCGAGGCCGGCGGAAAACCACTCAGCCTCGGGCCGGGACGGGGCTCGAAACGGGATAAAGTTCATTTTTGAGCCTCCGTAGTTTCTCTTGCTTGTTTTTCTTTGATAAGGGTTCTCTGTCTTTGGTTCCCCACAAACCGGCAGCAGGACCGCCTTCCTTCCCTTGGAGGAAGCGCAAGTGTTACCTCGAACCGCTTCCCGCGGCGGATGTCTACACAGACAAGTTTCTCTTTGCGTCCGCTTATTGCTTTATTTTGGTTCCTCCACTTGCCGAGTGGGTTTCGGCAACGCGCAGATTTTATTAAGCCAGCCAAAAATGGCGCTTCGTAGTGAATTAATTCGTGAGTGGGTTGCACGTGACTTCTGTTATCTACATCGTATAGTTTCCTCGAGCTTGAAGCCGACGGAGAAGGAAAAACACCCGAATCTAGCCAGCACTACATCTCCTCACTCGACCGGTGTAGTTTTTGACAAAATGGTGTCCAGCCAGAAATGACACCGGGGATTGGCAGATGGGTCTCGCACGACCTCCCCACGCCCCGACTGCGCACCCTCCCCACCAATTCTCATAATGTTGGCCTCGTCTCCAAACACAGGTAACCGCCGCGCCGCGCTTCCAGGCTCCGTACCCGCAAGCGCAAAGTCCACGATCCAGTCCTGCATCGTCTCCGCCGTGACGACATCGATCGGCAGCCCAAAAACGTCGCTCGTCTCCCCGTTGTACAGGCTGTACGACGCGTCCTGGGCGTGCAGCCCCGGACACTCGTCGAAGAGGTAGCCCCGCGTCCGGTTCCCGTAGGCGAGATTCAGCCCCAGGACGTGGCAGTCGAAGAGCGACTCGCTCACGGCGAGGACGAGCCTCTCGGTGTGCGTGGCGTAGGGCTGCGAGCCGTCCAGCGTCGGGGGTACACGTCCTGCGCGAGCGCGTCGATCCCCTCGGGGAGGTTGGGGAGCAGGTTACGGAAGAAGGCGCGGAAGCCCTCGTCGTCTTGGACGCGCGGGTCCGAGAAGAGGACGCCTTCGCCGGTGTTGTGGGCGACGAGCAGGTCGACGGATTGGTCGAGTTTGCCCTCGTATAGCAGGCGGGCAGGGTAGTCGGGGATGAAGTCCCCGTCTACGTTGGGCGCTGTTGGTGGCAGAAAGTGCGTTAGCGATAGTTTCTAGTCAAAGAACTAGTTCCGGTTCTTTGTGATTATGCTTCGTGGGTGACCCCGTAAGATAGTATTCGAGGGTAGACCTACAAAAGACCGTGTCCGCGAAAGGACCCAGCGCCACCATCGCTTTGTTGATCGCCTGAAGTTCCCCAGCAGGAAGTTGAACGGCATCCTCGTACCCAGCCAGCCCGGACAGATTAAGGAATTGATCATAAAGCTTGCTGTACTGCGCGGTATCGAGCAGCGGTTTCAGCCCCGCGCTCTGCAGGATAGCTCGTTGGAACGGTGCCGTGCCGTCCGCGCCCCCAAAGGCGGCGAGCTGGGATATGATGCTGCCGCCGCCGGCAGACTCCCCAATCACCGTGACTTGATCCGGATCCCCTCCGAAGCGGTGAATGTTTTGCTGTACCCAGTCCAAGGCGACCCGTTGGTCGTAGAGTGCAGCGTTGGACGCGACTTCAGATGCACCGTATTGATTTGGCGGAAAGCCGAAGATTCCCCTACCGCAAACTGTTAGTTAGACACTGGACGCTCTACTCTCCAACATATCTGTGCCTGCAGGCGCCTCTACATATCGTCACCTATTAAGATAGGATATACGCACAACCGATAGTTGATCGTCACAATGATCAACCCCTCTTTATCCTCGCGGAGGCTTCGCGAAATCTGCCCGGCAGGCTCGATCAGCACCTTGGACCCTTCCGTGTACCCTCCGCCATGAATCCAGAACAGGACCGGGCGCTTCTCGGTTTCCCGTCGTTTCCAGACGGACCGGGGAACATGGACGTCCAGCAACAGACAGTCTTCCGACTGCGGGGCATTGGTCGACGGCAGACCGGCCGCGGGATCGGGCGTGGCTTCGCATTGATCGGCAATGGTGGCGGCCACGAGGGCTATCGAGTAGATCATGAAGGATCCCGAGGCTTGGTGGCAGATGCGGGAGTTGGAGCCATCATCCACCGTCCGGTTGACCGTCGTCCGGGGCACTGCTGGCTGGAACCGGAGCTCACCTACGGGAGCTTCAGCGTACGGGATGTCCTTGAAGCTGTAAAAGTCTCCCTCCACCTGCCCCACTCGTGTTAGTGAACAGTTTGTCTCCAGCGGGAGAGAGAGTTGGCGTATTCAACAAACATTCTCCAAGGCGCGATGCCGCGACGTGCCCACGTCCACCACAGGTGCACAGCTTGCCGCGCCCGCAGGAGACACCGTGCCGAGGAGCCCAAGCAAAGCGGCAAGGCAAGATAGCAGACTGGACTTCATAGTGCAAGGTGACCGACGCCCGGGCCTTGTTTTTCGTTTCACGCGCTCAGACACGAGAACCAGAAAAAAGGGTTAAAAAGAAAAAAGGCGCGGCGGCTTCTTGACTTATTGGAGCCGGCAAGTGGTTTCCCCGTCTATTTACAATGCCGGGACGCACATATGCGAGGGGAAAGGGTGGGGTGGGCGGCAGGCGGCCAAAGAAGCGGACATCCAACATCTTCATGCCGAGGGGGATATATTAATATGCAGCCTATATATATATATACTGGATGTATTCTCTGCAAACTTCTGGAAAAAGCGGGGAAGCGGCGGCATCGCGGTATTCTTATTAGGCTACCACCGAATAGCACAGGAGTCTTGTTTTTGGGGAGGGGCTTCTTCAGAAATAGTGGTTCAGTCTGATGTGAGCCGGCAGGATCGTGCAGGGAAAATCGCCGAGAATTGAGTATTTGGGTTACGTTTGTCGTTGTAACCCTCGCGAGCGGAAGGGGCCCAAACGGGTAAGAAAATAGAATGGAATTTTGCAAATCGGGGGCTATTCTAGGCCGAAGCATATTGGAGACGGTCGGCGAGACTGTATCAAATTCATTGTATGGGATCGCTCACTTGAGGTTCAAGTGTTATGCTTCTCGTCGATTGAGCCCATAGATTGTCAATATCACGAGTGCGTCTGCCTTTGACAGCAGATGTGTGTTCAAGCGAAGGTCACCGAAAATAATAGCATAATTTAGTTCACTCTCAATTGAAGCAAATCCTCCCCATGCGTATTGCATCCGGGCGGCACCCTTGAAGCCCGACCGAATGACCCCGTCCGCCGCCCCAGGATGTGGAGGATCGGGTGTGGTCCGCCCCTTCGACGCCGGCGGCCGAGTCCGAGAAGGGGTCGGTCAACCCAGGACCCCGATTACACTAGAAGCTTGCGGAGGCTTCTCGATACAATGTGGCATGGAACAGTTGAATATTATCTTCGCATTCGGCTCTGGGGCTGAGTGAGAAGCGGGCTACGGTTGCCGGACGTCTCACCTTTGTTTTCTTTTTTCCTCTTTTTTGTCTCTGTTGCCTTTCTTTTTCCCTTCCTTCTTCCTTTCCACTCTTCTAGCATTGCAACGATGTTTCTCAGTTAAATTAGGCCTGTGGAAGCACCTCTTCCAGGCACACCGAGGACCAGTGAGGTGCGAGATTGTTCGGGGCGCAAATTAATGGAGGCTTTCATGGAACAAGCCACCCGATGTTCAGCTTCCCTCCACAAGGACGAAGGGGAGAGGGGAAAAGGAGAGAGAGAGAAGGCTGGTGAAGGGTGGCTTGAGGAGACGGCTGTACTCTCCCTTCGCGGAAAGCTCGGGAGGGATTTCGTGCTCTTTCCTTTTGTGTTCCTCGAGGATTCGTCTTTTTCGTCTATTCGTGCCGAAGAGTTTCATGACTGACATAACATCCCAGGAGAACTCCTAGATGCCGACCGAGTCATCACCCGCCATCAATGTCAAATGCTTGTCCTGCATGGACAGGATTGATGGCCTCCCCGTCACATCCCACATCCCGCATCCCTCATCCCATCCCCGTCACTGCTCGGAGTGGAGTAGTGTCGCGCGCAAGACATAAAGGTCGCCGATTCAACACTAACCGAGGTTTCCCTCCCCTTCCTCCCCTTCCCTCCTCCCCCTGCATCAATTTGTGCGGGTGCTACTATTGGTGGCGCCAAGTGGCTCTCGAAAAGGGCATTTCCTGCATTGGGCTTGTTGATGTTTGCTTTTTTGAATGTCTCCAGTGGAGAGGGGAGAGCTGAAAAAGCAAGGCTGAGGTGCATCATTATCCTCTTTACGGAAAGAGGGACGTCTGGCATTTTCGCATCCTCTTGCCCGTTTCTACACTACACTACTCCAGGCATGGTGTTGACGTCTTTTGTTTTTGTTCGCTCCTCCCATCGTGAGGTTGGTTTGCCTTTCCATGATTTTTGTTTTCTAATTCCTCTTCCGTCTTCTTCTTCTTTTTTCCCGCTTTTTTCCTTGGTTATTTCTCCACCCTCCCCTCCCCCTCTTTTTCCTTTCTTTTTCCTCTGGGTTTTATCGTATTTCAGATGCATGCATACCGATGAATGCGGGTGGCAGTTGGACCATGATGAGGCCGCAGGTCGACAGCGCCATCGCCGTTCTTGTCAAGATGCACTTCGAGGGTGAAAGATGTGGTTGGTCCCGGCATCGTCGAGTGGAGAAGGGTAGAGGAAGATGTTAGCAGCAGAAGAGTCACGTTGACGCGTCCTCCCCTCCTTGAGGAAAGAGGACAGGACTGGCGATGCTTTTTCTTTTCTTTTCTTTTCTTTTTCCCCTTTTCCTCTGGACCTTTGGTTTTTTTCTTGTCTCACCTCCCTCCCCTTCTCGCTCAACTATCCTTTATCGATTGATTCCTTCTACTCTCGTTCTTTCGATGTCTCTCATGCGGTGCCTCTTGTGGGCTAGCCCTCGTGCCATGCTGCACTTGTCACGATCATCTAGACTTCAACAGCGGACGGCTATTGAATGCAGAGGGAACGCCACAAGACGAAGATGAAAGACCGGGGAGGGTGGTTGGGGGCAGGAATGGGAGCGTGCACTTTTTGAGGCGCTCATTTACCTTTTCTTTCCCCCATCGTTTGCTTACACGCCATACATAGACAATGGTATACTTCATGCGTAGGATATTGTGTGCGGATTCCTCGCTTGGGGGTGGTGGCCCTTCTCAAGCCAAGTATGTCAAGGATCGCCAGCTTATTATCGGCGGTCGGTGGGGGCAGAGAGAGAGCAACGAGGTGTGGGGGTGGGAAGAGCGGCTTGAGGCTTGGCGTGTGCGCACGAGTCAATTGCTGGCTCATCCTGCGATGGGCCAAGATAAAAAAGGAAAGAAAAGATCAAGGGAAAAAGGAAAGAAAACACGAGGAAGAAGGAGCCGAGAACGAAAATCCAAGTTGGTCTCACAATAAAGATGGTCTCGCAAATGGAATGGGAACCGATGCTTTTGCCGTCCGTCCAAGGCAGCCAAGGCGGCCAAGGCCAGACTCGAACGAGAAGCTATTTTACAGAGAGAGGCAGAGATACAGAGAGAGGCAGAGATACAGAGAGAGGCAGAGATACAGAGAGAGCAGCACTCACTAGCACTGTCCTGCGAAAGGATTTCCCGCCCCGAAGATTGGGGGCGGTGGGAGGCGATCGGATAGGCGGGTGGGCAGGGCTAATGGGCGCTCAGGCGTGGATTAGCCCGAGCATTGGCCCTGGGGCCTGAACGAAGGAAGAAAAGCTTGCCGATCGCCGAGTGAGCGACGGTGCCAAGTGGTCGAGTGACGTCCTTGAGGAACTGCTCGTTAGAAGAGGGGTTTTTTTCTCCCCTCCCTTGTCACCATGATTATCTACGGAAGAAAAAGGTGAAAAGTGAGCATCAGCTGGGATGGGAGGGGATGCGGATGATCTTGTTTTCCTTTTAATTTTTTTCCTTCTCTCGATGAGGGCTAGCGCTTTCTTGGGGAAGACAAGTGTGTTGTGGGGATAATCACGCCATGAGCATCTCCTTGAGCTATCATCCGCTATGCTTGCTTTGCCAGTAGACTTCAAAAGGCACCCTTCCTAAAAGCAAAACAATCAATGAACCAGCGCGCCATTGACGCAGCATGCTGGAGCGAGAGGAGAGGGGAAGGCTGCTAATCCCTTTCGCACATCAATTGATGTTTGTTTCTTTTTTCGTCCTTCCCCTTTTTCAGGGAAAAGTAAATAATAGAAGGAAGGAGAAGTAGAAGATGCGGAAAAAAGAAGAGGCGAGGGAGGTGCTGGGCGGAGCGGAGCGGCGGACTGTCCTTTGGGCGGCTTCGACGCGGAATTTTGGGGCAGGCCAAAGGCAGGAGGCAGGAGAGAATAGCCAAGGTGTTTGCTGGCTTGCTGGGGGAGAGTCATCCACGGACATGGTTTCGAGCTCCGCCATGGCCGACATCGTCATGATGGACCGGTGAGGTCCAGCTATTGCGGCTGGAAAGGGTCCCGGGAGATCACGGTTGACAGGGCCAGGGGCCAGGGGGAGAGGGGGCAAGTTGGGCCAGCCAGCAGAAAATCCCATTTGTTTGGTGGGTGATGTGCATTCGGGGCTTCTTTTTCGTTAGCGCGGGTGGTCGGTAGTTGACGGAATGGACGGGTTCAGTGGTAATATCCCAAGAGTCGAGGTAGGACTGGATCGATCACATTTGCACGGAGAGGATGTGGTATGTGGTATTGAGTGATGACGACAGCCGTGAAGGAAGACCGAATTTTTGGTTTTATTTCACTTATCATAAAACAAAAATCACTCCGCTCCCCCATCGGTTCGTCCTGTTCCCGATATGGGATAACCCAAGGATCCAGCGCAAGGAAACGGGATCGGCCATATCGTTGCAACTGCGACGGCGAAGCTCGTTGCGCTGGTTGGGTCGAACAAAAGGACGATCGTCCAGGGCTAAAATGGGTGGGCGAGGGTAGGCGAGTGTGAGTTGAAGGTGGTGCGCGGAAACAGCTGAAAGCGAGAGCAAGGGGTTCCTGATTCGTCCCGAGATGGCATCGCTTGGCGGCACCGGCACTGGCAGAGGCGAAGTGGGGCACCTGCCAGGGGACCAGGGCAGGGCAGGACCACAGCCATTTCAGAGCCAGTTCAGGATGGGACCATGCTGATGGGGGTTGGAAGAGTACGCGGAAAAGCTGGCGGGAAAACAAGAAGAATAATTAAAAATAAAAGGCTGCGTCAATTGGCACTGACGGCACTGACGAGAGAGCGCGTTTAGCATAAAGACAGTGGCAGGGGGAGGGAGAGAAAAAAGAAGAAAAGGCTCGTGCAGTGCAGAGAGCAGCATGTTGATGAACAAGCTGCCTCGGTAGCCGCGAGCCGATTCGCTCAGACTGCTTTGCCGTGGAGGGTCTTTTTTTCCTCATTGTTATTTTTAATTCTTTGTTTCTTTGGTTTCTGCGTCTTCCCTGTCCCTTTGTTCACCCAACTTGGCCCCCATGCGCAAAAAGTGACCTTGATCCGAGGACTTACTCACCCGTTCGTCCCGTCGTGTCTTGGGCGCGTCGAGTTCGAGTTCATTCCCGTCACAGCGCTCAGGCGCGTGGGTACTTGGAGAGCGGGCATGAAGAAGCTGAGAGTGGTCTCCATACTAGTTCATAATACAAGTACCAGACACAAAGTCGGTGTCTCTTTTTTGACGTTCCCAACGGGCGGTCCAACTCCCGGTGGGGAGCGGATAGGGAAGCCTTTCCCTTTTCCGCTATAGCTGGTGCTTATCCCCATCTCATCCTTGCAGGGATTTATTAGCCAAGTCTCCCAGCCCAGGAAGGACAGTAAATAAGAAAGAGAAAAAAGACCCGGCGGCCAGTGCGTCAAAGTGCCGACCACTCAGCGGGCGAGATCAGCCCAAGACATCAACCCCAAAAGGCAGTGCGAGAAGGGAAAAGGACTGCAAAGAGGCACATTGTGCCGTCGCTTATGTTCGGGTTTCGCCCGTTCCGTCTCGTCGCTATTCTTACGATTGCATGTGCATCTGCGCCAAAGACCTTCTTTGCTCCCTTCCGCTTGACTTACTCGACGTCTTGTTCCCACGCGTAGAAATTCCACTTTTTTCTTCCTTCCTTCCCCTGGCATCGCCTGCATCTGCTCAACTGGGGGAGGGATCTCCAGTGACGCCAAATATGTGCCACTCTCTTCCGCCCGGGGAGGAGGATGAAAGCCTAGTCAGACACCACGGCCGATGACTCGGCCTCACAGTTGACAACCGGGTCTGGAGGAGGAAGGGGAGAGCAAGGGAAGGGGGTGTCCGTCTGCATTAGCCCTGTGCTGTGGCGTGTCCACCTTTCGTTAGCGCAGGCACTCGAAGGGGAGCGATCAACAGCAGATCGACGACCGGGCAAGCGATTGACTTGGTAGAGCAAAGAGCATCCCTCCCCTTCCCCCAGCCAGCCCGAGAGGGAATGAGTGCATTCCAGCCCAGTCCTGTGGATGCCGCCGCCCTGCTTTGTTAGACGACTGGGCGTGCTATACTTCCTTTTTTTTCTTTTTCTTTTCTTTTTCCTTTTTCTGGGAATATACCTCTCCTTCCCCCTCTCTCTCCAGGCATGCCCATGTGTTTCCCAGGCCCTCCCCTGTCTTGTCTCGCCTGTATTCCTTTCTTTTTTCTTTTTCTTCTTTCCTTTCTTTTTCTTCAGATCTTGAGTGAAAACGACTTAGGAAATTGACTGATCACTGAGTGGATCCTTCTCTTCCCCAGGTCTCTTTCCTCCCACTTCCCAGATCCTCGTCAACCCTTGCCCTTGACCCAGCTGCCACTGCTTGCTGCAGCTCTCACTTTCACACACTCTCGCTCTCTTTTCCTCCTCCCCCACCCCCTCGAGCCTGCGTTATCGGGTGGGCTTGGCTGAATTGGCTTTTTCTTTTCCCTGCTGGGGGTGTGTGCCTGCGCGATCCGGATGTCGGGCGGGTCTCTGATCTCACACGCGGCTGTTGTCTCTCTTTCTCTCTCTCTGTCTCCCAAGTCTATATAACACCGAGGCGCTCCGTGCTCCCCAAACCCTCGTGCATGTTTCTCTTCCTTTCCTTTTGTTAGACAGCTTCTCTCCAAGTTGCCTCGACTGCCCCAAGTGTAGCTCGTCCACGCGATCTCGGCTCTCTTGATTTGTTTTTGTCCTTTTCTTTTTGTTCCTTGTTCGTTCCTTTCTCCAGCTTGGGCGGACGCCTTTATCACCTCCGCTCTCCTCGGACAAACAGCACAAGAACAGAACCAACCCATTTTCACCGGCCTAGGAAACTCCAGCCTCACACGATCCTTAATATATACCCGGTTTAAAACACCCAAACCGCAACACCAGGTCTTCTCTTAAGACCTCGCTCTCCTTTTCTCATCGGTTACAAAACATTACCAAAAAGGCCCACCTCGACAATGTCGGACATGGACTCCCCGCCGACTCGGCGCCCCGCCCGGCGTCGCCTTCGACGGAGTCGGCATCTTCTGGACCGTCTTCGCCATCATCTGGACCACCATCCTCGTCGCCGGCATGGTCTTCCTCTACCTCCGCCGCGACCTGCCTCTCCTGCGCGTCCGCTCCTTGTCCCTGTCCTTCGCCGCCGTCATCATGCTGCACCTCTACTGGCTCGCCGTCCAACTCGGCTACGTCTACGGTGCCCTCATGCCCGCCGCCGTCGAGTACTGGATCATGAGCATCTACCTGCCCTTCGGCATCGCCCTCTTCCAGGCCTCCAACACTCAGCTTCTCTACGTCTCCAAGGCCCAGAAGCGGTTCGCCCGCCACGACAGCATGTCGACCGTTCGATCTAGGCCCGAGACGGAGAAGCCTTCGCTCCGGAGCATTCATCGCAAGCTCGACTACCCGACCAGGATGCTTCTATACGTCAGCCTCGGCATGCTCTTCCAGGTGAGTTTTTTCCTTTTTTATTTTCCTCCTCATTTTCCTCGTGGCTTTCTAACACAAAAGTGCAGCTTTTCTTGACCACCGTCATGTTCCTCATCACGCGCAAATTCCACCCCGAGTTCGGTGTACCCGGCACCGAGGTCACCGGCACCCCGCCGAGCAAAGGCCGCCGCGTCCAAGGGCTGGGAGTGGTGGCCCTCGGTGTTCTGGCAGATCTTGTGGGCCTGGGTCTTTGCCCCCTTCATCCTCTGGAAGGCCCGTAACATTCACGACACCCATGGATGGCGGATCCAGACCATGGCTTGCTGTCTCGCAGGGTAATATCTATCCCCACCCCAAACTTACCATTCATTGCTACAACCGACCGCAACGGGACCAATTTTGCTAATATGCGCGTCTTGCTTTACAGACTTCATGCCAGTCCCATGTGGCTTATCGCTCTTTACGTCCCGGGCATGGCCCCGGTGAACCAGTATTTCATCCCGCCTCAGTGGTTCGTTCAAAATCCCCTCCCTTGCATTCAATAGCCGCATCTATATAAATCTACATACGCCCATCTACCTCTTTACCTCCCTCGCTTCACCGCTAACCTCGCGTTTTCTCACCCAACAGGATCGCCGTCTCCGTCATGGTCCTCGAAATCTTCACCATCCTCTACCCCTGCTACCAAACCATGCGCCACCAATCCCTCCAGCAAGAAACCCTCGACTCCATCGCCCGCTGGGAATCCCGCAACAAGGCCAAGAACGACGACTCCGTCTCCGACTCGTGGAAGTCCCTCGCCGGCGTCGGCAAGGCCTCCTCCGCCTTCTCCACCAGCGACAGCGTCCTCGTCATCGGCGCCCTCGAGTACGTCCTCGACAAGAACCCCGAGCCCCTGCGCCAGTTCTCCGCCCTCAAGGACTTCTCCGGCGAGAACATTGCGTTTCTCATGAGCGTCGCCGAGTGGAAGTCCTCCTTCCCGCCGCCGCCAAGAGCACCGAGGCCGGGCCGGGCAGCAAGACCACGGCCATCGCGCGCGAGCTCGCCCGCGACAAGTTCAACCACGCCCTGCGCATCTACAACGAGTACATCAATCCCAAGGGCGCCGAGTTCCCCATCAACATCGCGTCCTCGGAGCTGCGCAAGCTCAACGACATCTTCGAGGCCGCCGCCCGCGTCATGTTTGGCAGCCGCCAGGTCGTCGCCGATCCCGTGTGTCCCTTTGACACCATCGAGACGTCGTCCGCCTCGGAGCTCACCGCCGTCGGGTCGGGCAGCAGCGTGCGGAGCGGCGACAAGAAGGCGAGGACCTCGTCGTGCGCCGACGGCGTCATGTTCTGGGGGATATCCCCGACGCTTTTGACGCGACCGTGTTCGACGAGGTGGAGAAGAGCATCAAGTACCTCGTGCTGACCAACACGTGGCCCAAGTTTGTGAAGGAGAGGAGGACCTCGGTGGACTCGAACCGGTCGGACGAGACTTACTGTTAAACCAAACTCGCGAGAGAACGATTACTTTCCTTGAAATGATACCACTGTTATAATATGGCCAAGAGGCGACGAAAAAAATGATATCAATATAATTCTTGTACACTACTATACTCTACTGCGCTCATCGCTTTGTTGCATAAATCATTGCAATCTCTATAATTTGATAATTCTACTAGTCCTAATAATCATCTCACATGTCTATGATGAAGCCGTGGTAACTCCCTCCGCTCAGCTTCCGGCCTGGTCAGTTCCCAAAACCCCATGTATCAAGAGATTCGGGACTAGCCTTTCTCTAGTAGCTCATCCTTATCCGGGTCCGAGCCGCCATTCACTAAAACACCTGCTTGTAGGCACGAGATGTTTACTAGTTTTACAGTCTATCCCTTTATTTGCATGACAAGACGAGCCATGCCAGGGGTGGCCAGCAGAGTTCCCATCCTGGCCGTCTCGCGAAGCGGAGACCCACCAGTCTAATACTACCCTCTGACGCTCTCATCCACGAATTGGGACAAGAAAAGCAGCGCCCGCCAAGCAACCTGCCTGTGTGGGTGGGTCCAGCTCCATATTCGGCGACTGTGTCAGGCGCGGTGGCGAGGCTCGTTGCTTATGTCGCCCGCAGGAAGCAGCAAGGCCCATTGGGGATCGGCTATAGCACATGCGCTGCGCTCTGCGCGCTTTCGCGAGCTTACGTTTCTTCCTGATAGGGGATGGGCAAAAGCAAAGACACAAAGGCGTGTGCTCTGTTGCTTTTTCTTGAAATCTCAATCTGAATCATGACTCGCACATACAGCTTGAAAGCACAGAGCGGTGAGGCACAGGAGAGGGGAGCACTCGAGACGACAGGAAGGCTTCGTCGTATGTCCACTCGTGCGACATGACTCGGCTTGGGGTTGCGCTCTTGGGTAAGGCTGTGGAGGAATTCGCGAAGAGTCGAATTCGAATTCGTTTGTTCTCATATAGGTGGTAGGCCCCCTCAAACCGACTGAGCCATATGCCATCCCGAACAGCACCTTCGACATTCCAGATAGGTCCCGAGCCCGATTTAGGCATGCCAACTTCTACTGAGAGTGGAGTCCGATAGTCCGAGTTGGATGCTTGCGCTAATTCCTGCGGTGGGCGAAAGGGAACACTGCTCGCCCATGACCAGAAAGCACCACGAGCTGGAACTTACAGATGCGCGCTGGAAGAAACACAAAATACAAGAAGATGCTCGCGGAGATATATCTGTGTTGCGCTCTTTGCGCAGTTGTGTTCACGATTCCTTTCAAGCGCTTTAGCAAGATAACAACTTCGTAGACGATTGCGAAAAATAGTTACCAGCCGCGTAGACTAAGATTCAAGATTCCCTATATTGGCAGAGAGAACTAGTTGCTAAATAATAAGACAAATAGTAAGAGATACGATGAAATACGCCGCTGGATCACAATGATGTGGTAGCAAGCAGTTACGTATTAGACCTTCATCAGCTCTAGAGTTTGATAACGCTAGCTGTAAATCGCGGAGTCCTCGCTAATCCTCGCGAAACGAGCTCAACGTCTCCATCAACTACCTCGATCACATTCAATAGGTAGCTCAGAGTACCGCAGTCGGCTCCAACTTGCTCAAATGCATGCGCAAATACAGCACAGAATTTGATCTTGTCATGGATTTGAATGCTCCGCCATCGGTACTTGGTCGAGAGGTCTGAATAGCGTCAAGGAGAGACTTCGTCTATACTCTCCGACGAACCAATGGCAAGCGAGGCACCGTTGGGCCGACATGTCGAGATGTAGACGCAATAAAAGCTGCACTACTTCTACTAATGTAGTTGGGCCTCATTTTCGCCACGTGATTCATCCATGCCACCAGGCTGCGGTGGCTTCAGTTTGCCCATGAAGACCAAAGTTCCCCGCCCGCCCCTTTCCCCGCTCAAAATCTAGATGCTGGATGGATCCAGTTTCCACTTGAAGTGTAATCTAAAAGTCTTCGCTGCCGTTCAAGACCCACCCCGACACGGGAGTTAGTCCGCCTTCGCTCCGTGCGGCTTAACCTCACTTCGTTTTGATATTATCGATAAGAAACGGCACCTCCAGCATCGACCATGGGCCTGGCCCTTCTCTACACCCCGCTCGAGGCCGACCCGCCCCGTCCTCACGCTGTTGAGTAGGTGAACTTGCGATTCTGCGATAGCAGTAGACAATGCAATTGATGATACTGATCAATCATCCGCTTTCACAGCCTTGTTCTGATCCACGGGCTCAACGGAGATGCGACGAGATCCTGGACGAACGCAGCAACGGCCGCGTTTTGGCCCGGTGAATTTTTACCGGTCGATGTTCCCGAGGCCAGAATTTTCAACTTCGGGTACAATGCTGACGCCGTGTTTGGGAATACCACAGCGGATATTGTAGACCATGCCAAAGATCTACTCAGCAGCCTAATCGACGAGCGAGAGGGAGAGCGAAAGAGTCAGCCAATCATCTTCATCGCCCATTCTCTAGGGGGAATCATAGTGAAGCAGGTATGTGTATGACTAGTCTCAAACTATGCGAAAATTTATGTTTGCTAAGGACCAATGTAAATAGGCGCTGTTGTCAGCCAAAACCGAACTACGGTATCAGAGTATCCAGCAGAATACGCTTGGAATCATCTTCTTTGGAACACCTCATCGTGGTAGCGATAAGGCAAAGTATGGAAAAGTTTTGGCGGGAGTCGCTAATACCATGACAAATAAGCCAAGTTCGAAACTGGTAAAGGCGTTAAAAGAAAACAGCGACACATTGGCCCAGCTCACAACTGCCTTCAGACGCGAACTCTCACAATACCAGATTGTGAGCTTTTATGAGATGAAACCGCCAGGATTTCTTAGGACCCTGGTACGAACTAGATCAAATACGACTCCTCTACAATACTAATCTCTATCTTCAAATGTTAGATTGTGAGCAAAGAGTCGGCATTATTGAATATTGACGAGGAAGACCAAGTACCAATCGATAGAAGCCATCGAGATCTATGCAAGTTCGCAAAGCGTAACGACGCGACATATGGGAAACTCGTCAAAGAATACGCAGGATTCTCAACCAAAAGCCTCCGGGTTCACGACAAAGGGACGGCCGTATGTGAAGCCCTTCTCATTGACCCTAGTGAGGTGGCTTGTCTAATGATGTATAGCCAACCTATCATTTTATATTCCCTTCCCGAGCAATCCGCACTTTGTAGGCCGTGAGGACCTCCTTGAGAAGCTTCAAGAAAAGCTATTTTCATCTAATAGCGTCCACAATGTTGCAATTTTTGGTCTAGGCGGTATCGGAAAGACCCAGCTTGCACTTCGGCTCATATACTGGGTAAAGGAAAACCGGCCAAACCACTCAATCTTTTGGGTCTCGGCTCTAAGCTATGCCACATTTGAGCAAGCATATGCCGAAATCTTTAAAAAGGTCGGATTACAGCAATTCGACAAGGAGGATCCGAAAGAAACCCTTTGCGACTACCTCAGCTCTGAGAAAGCGGGACAATGGCTCCTAGTCATCGATAATGCCGATGACGAGGATTTACTCCTTTTATCCACTAAACAGCAGCGGAGTATCAGCGACTACCTCCCAAGTAGTGATAATGGGAGAATCCTATACACTACCCGAACTAAGAGAATTGCAACTTCAGTTGCTGGAGGTAACTCGATGAAGCTGCCAGAGATGACTGAAAACGAAGCAAAGGGTTTCTCACCAGCTTGGTATACCACGAGGATCAACTAAATGATGAGGCAGCTATAAACGACCTTTTACAGGAACTTATTTACCTCCCACTAGCTATTAAACAAGCATCAGCATACATCAACGAGAACGGAATTAATATAACGGAGTATCTCCAGTTATTCAGACACCAAGACCAGAGAAATAAGCAAGAATTGATAAGCAGCAACTTTCATGATAGGACCCGGTATACACATGAGAATGCAATCTCTATAACCTGGCAGATATCGTTTGATCAAATCTCTAAAAGGATACTGCTGCAGTCAGATTGCTTACATTCATCACTTGTATCGAGCCAAAGGCTATACCAAGATCAATGCTTCCTAGAGGCGGCGCATCAGAACAGCAGCTATTGAAAGCGATCGGCACACTCTGTGGATATAGTTTTCTCAGTAAACGAGACGACGATGTTTACGACATGCACAGTTTAGTCTATGCGGCGACGGAATTATGGACCCAGAAGCAGGATATAACACAAGATACCAGTATAAGTGCAATCGAGCATTTCGCAGATATCTTCCCAACCGGCGACTGGGAGAATCGTGAGATATGGAGGCAATATCTCCCGCATGCTTTAAAAGCACTACAATGTGGTAAAGGACGGAGTGATAGAGCAGGTGACCTACATTTCTGGATAGGTCGCTGCCTGATGCAAGATGGTCGATACCGAGAGGCGGTGTCACAGCTTAAGCAGGCTGTAGCAATCGAGCGGCAACCACTCGCAGAGGATCACCCTAGTCGGCTCGCCTCACAGCATGAACTTGGCCGCGCATATCTCCGGAATGGCCAGATTGGCGATGCGATCCAGCTCCTTAAGCAGGTTGTAGCAATCAAGCAGAAAACCCTTACAGAGGATCACCCTAGCCGGCTCACCTCACAGCATGAACTTGGCCGCGCATATATAGAGAATGGCCAGATCAGCGATGCGATCCAGCTCCTTAAGCAGGCTGTAGCAATCGAGCGGCAAACCCTTGCAGAGGATCACCCTAGCCGGCTCGCCTCACAGCAGGTCCTTGGCGGCGCATATCTCGAGAATGGCCAGATCGGCGATGCGATCCAGCTCCTTGAGCAGGTTGTAGCAATCGAGCGGCAAACACTCGCAGAGGATCACCCCAGCCGGCTCGCCTCACAGCATGAACTTGGCGGCGCATATCTACAGAATGGCCAGATCGGCGATGCCATCCAGCTCCTTAAGCAGGTTGTAGCAATCAAGCAGCAAACCCTTACAGAGGATCACCCTAGCCGGCTCACCTCACAGCATGAACTTGGCCGCGCATATCTCCGGAATGGCCAGATTGGCGATGCGATCCAGCTCCTTAAGCAGGTTGTAGCAATCAAGCAGCAAACCCTTACAGAGGATCACCCTAGCCGGCTCACCTCACAGCATGAACTTGGCCGCGCATATCTACAGAATGGCCAGATCGGCGATGCCATACAGCTCCTTGAGAAGGTTGTAGCAATCAAGCAGCAAACACTTGCAGAGGATCACCCTAGCCGGCTCGCCTCACAGCATGAACTTGGCCGCGCATATCTTCAGAATGGCCAGATCGGCGATGCGATCCAGCTCCTTGAGAAGGGTGTAGCAATCGAGCGGCAAACACTCGCAGAGGGCCACCCTGACCGACTCACCTCGCAGCATGAACTTAGCCGCGCATATCTACAGAATGGCCAGATCGGCGATGCGATCCAGCTCCTTAAGAAGGTTGTAGCAATCCGGCAAACACTTGCGGAGAATCACCCTGACCGGCTCGCCTCACAGCATGACCTTGGCCGCGCATCTCTACAAAGTGGCCAGGTCGGTAGCTAACGGCCACACTAACTGCCGCTAGATCGTCTTACAGTATGCGCATCCCCGCCTGTAGCTATCGGGGAGTAGGAACTAAGCGATGTATAATAATCCAGTTCTAGGTTCTTGATTAGCTGCATAGATAAGCTATATATTAAGGTAATAAAGATAGAAGTTCTGCTTAGTTCATATTGTAAACTTAGTATTGTGTGCACTTCTTGTTTCTCTATATCTTTGTAAAAACAGAGGTTTGAGGAACAAAGTTATTATATACATGGCCACTGGTGTAGCTGTTCTCGATGACTCGGTTTATTTCAATGGGCATCAAACTCCACTAGCTCAATCAAGGATTCGCCATTTCAGCGTGACTCTTGCTTTGACTAGTTTCAAGTTCCTCCTCCAGTATATCAACTCCACTTCCTGCTCATTTTGCTACCTGGTCCGACTATAGGTAGGCCCACCTTGGTCTGAAGAGACACAAACAGATAAACCCCGCCAACCTAAACACTAAACCTGGTCCCTCAGGAGGTTTTCGTACGAGACACATCCATATTCTCGTGGTGTTTGGCATTCAGTCGCCCCGGCAGCCATAGGTCGTAGAATGCTATTAACAATTCTCTAACTGGGCATGTGAGCCGCTGAAGGTTCATGCCCTTCTGATACTCTCATTTCCATCATCGGTGCTAACTTAACAGGGGCAAGATTCCCGTCGTAAGTGCTGCCAATACCAGTAGCCCATCGCAGCGCCAGGATGGTTGGTCTTGCTGCTCCATCCGCTCGCCGCCGTCTTTGTCATTGAATGGCGCTCGCAGAAGGCCATCCCCGTCAAAGAGAGCTACGGCCCTCAGTCTGTCACTGTCTAGGCCGCGGCTGAAAACATCATGCAAGCTACCAATGGGCCAAGGTCTTTAGGAGCACTTTTTGGCGTCGTTGAATGTGTACACTATGTTGTCCTCGGTTATACCAGGTTCTAATCTTTAAGATGAACCTAACATCGACCATACCATCGAGGGTATTGGCGGCTACCGTTGAGCTATAGAAGAACCCGCAGCCTGATCGCTAATTCACTCGCGAGATGCCTAGGAAATGCCCGGTGGCGACAGCAAGTGGATATTGCTGGCCAAGTCCATGCCAAAGGGCGGGGAGGGCGGCGGCGAGGCCAAGTCACGATCAGCCGTTGTGCTCTGTCCATAGTACACCTACTGCCGTGTATTCGGTCTACGGACTCGTTTGGGATTCACCTCGGGCCTGCAGTGAATGGGCAGAACATCCTTTAGGCCGTCCCTGTAAACAGTAGGCGGATGAGCCTGATGACAGCGGGTCGCCTAGGAAATTCCCGTTGATCTCTAGTGCATCCAAACGTATATGTAGAGATGTGATGGCTTACGTGGTGTAACTCAGGCAAACTCGAGCAGCGATGATGAAAATGGAGCCGTGCTGCTAGCAAACGATGGTCCCATCCAGCATAATCCGTGTCTCTTGTGGCATATTTATGCATGCGAAAAGGAGAGACGTCAGCTAGACTCCACCAAGTCCACGAGAATAGGGAGAACAGGAGGATACATTGCGTTGATCGAATAGTTGTGTGTTTATCTCGCTTGCGGTACGGCGGTAGCTCGATGACGAAAAGAAGAAGTGGGTCGTATGATGGAAAGAAAGGATGCGCGCGGAAATAAACTTGATGAATACCTTAATGCGACTACAGAAGTGACTATGTGTGAAAGCGTTTAGACCAGTCTTGTCTTTCTAGGTCGTCGACACAGCGGGGAACCAACACCTTTGCAGCGCTATGGGCAGGAAAGCTACAGCAAATGCATATTGGGATCAAAGTATTTCAGGAAGTCGAGATCCCCAGGCACCATAAGATCCGACATGTCCATCCCAATGGGTGTTTGTTCTTGGCTGAACAGGTCAGCCATGGCGTCCATTGCAGCGACGCTGGTGCCAGCAGCTTGGCCAATTGGCTTTGTACCGACGGCCGTGGACGTGGCATCACTTCCCCGCCCGTCGTTAAATCTAATAGTTAGCAAAGGTTAGCATCCGATAGCGATTAAACCTAAACTAATGTTGTGACCATTGTTGTAGTATGCACACTTACTTAGCGCTTCTAGGGCTCGCTCTAGTTTGAGAATGTATCTGGCGCATTTCTCTGCTCTGAGATTGCCGATGTCGAGGGTCGCTAGGCTTTCTACTGCCTGAAGAAGCAAGCCACGACGGATTTCAATGTTTCCGAGGGCCAAGCCGTCATCTTGAGCGTCTGTATATGCTTTGATTAGAAGCACGGAGTAGATGACAAGTGCCGCATTGAAAGCTATTAGGTTGCGTCAGCATCTTGATCTAGAACGGAAGAGTTGCGTAGAGGAGCAGCAGGATAAGAAGGAGCAAGCATACTATAATAAAGGGAAAACCACCAAGCGCCGAGCAGGCCCCGGTCCTCGGGAGAGGACGTGGTCAGGAAAGCCATGAGTTCCACGATACTCGTCGCGGCCTGCACGCAGATGCGCAAGCTGTTCCCGCCAATCTGGTGGAGGGAGCTCAGGTGGTGGACGTCGCTAGACTGGTTGCCGAGGATCTCGAGGTACCTCTGCAGCAGCGGGCGGTGGGCGAGGATGCGGAGGTTGTTGTAGCGCAGGGAGAAGACGACGCGGAACTTGGTGGCTTGGAAGGACTGCCTGGGCTCGTGCAGGAGCTCGGCGGCCTCGATGAGGCGGAGGGTGGAGGGGATCCCGCGCTGGGCTTCCGACATTTGGTGCTCGATCTGGAACACTTTGCTGGCGATTTTGAAGATGTCCTGGGAGGTGTCGCAGTCGAGGTTGCTGCCGTAGAGCTCGTCGAGGACGCGGCCTACGATCATGTAAAGCGACCTGGGAGTTTTTTCAAGTTGTTAGCGCGCGTACCCAGCGCCTCTTAGGATGGTGTGGGGGGGTTCAACTCACAATGTCGCGTTGTAAAAATCGAGGCCGGCGTTTGCCAGCCAGAGGTCGGATGGGTCCTCTTGCAGGGATGAAGTTGGGGGTATGGCTTCGGCATGCTGAGCCTCACGTGGGTTTCAGGAATCGCTAGTGGTCGCCCGAGAGTCATACTGAGAATCCTGTGCGTGGGTGAGATACGAAGGTTAGTTCTTGTTCTTTCCGTTCTAAACCATAATCTACATGACACGAGGGATGTGTGGGAGGGAGGGAGAGAGAATGAGGGGGTTGGTACCGGTCTAGAAGAACGCATGTGTACCAAGTTCGTACTCGCATCTCGCGTTCGAGAGGGGAGTATCGATCTAATGCGTGCTTGGAGTGTAGCCCGAGCTGGTAGGATGCCTTGACCGCGAGGCCATGCACGTTCCACGTCTGTACGGAGCTCTCCGTCCCCTGCAAGTAATGGCTGACGAGTAAGAGATATTGTACTAGGATGTAGGCTCATGTTAGCTTTCAACGGCATGTGGCGGCCCTAGAGTAGCGGCGGGAGGGGAAAGGGGCGGGCGTACCAATTTCCAAGCTCGCACCAAACTTGATTTGCTTCTCGCACAGAACCGTGGCTCGGAGATAGAACACGTTGGACTCGGTCCTGCGCTGCTGCTGCGTGAGATCGCTTGGATACCGCGTGTTGGTAGAAAGGGCCATGATCATGTTGAGCATCCCCAGCCACGATCTCCGCACGTTTTTAAAGTTCCTCGCCGATAGCTCGTGGTAGGTCTTGAGAAAGGTGTCGCGGTGGATGTAGGGAAGAGAAGGCCGGTGTTGGAGAAGTACTGCCGGACGAGGCGCAAGGTCTCGTCGGGTGGGGGCAGGTCGAAGGGGTTGAGGGAGGGCCCGTATACGCCGCTGGAGCGTAGCTGGCCGGCGATGGGGGTTGGAGGTCGGGAGACGGGCAGTACGTGGCTGTGTACGAAGCCGCCGGAGCTGTCCTGGTAGTCTGGGACGGATTCTGCGCCTGAGCGCTTAAGGACGGTCATGGTTGCGCCGATGATGTCGCGCGTGAAGGCGATGTTGGATGATGGACCTGGGGTTTGGGTTTAGCTTGGTAAGGACTTGCTTTGAGCATGGGGAGAAAGTGTGGAAAAGGGAGGGGAACAATGGGGAGGGGGAAGGTTTGGGTTACCGTAGAAGCCAGTGTGTTCCTCCTTGGTGAAGATGACAGATCCTACGCCGTCAGTGGCATCGATTGCCTCGACGTTGGCGTGAGGTTCCGCCTCATCAATGGCGGCATCCGCGATGCGGTGCTCTGGCACACTCGAGGCATGGGCTGACTGCGGGGAGGGATCCCCGTCACGGTGTTCTATCCTGTCAACTCGGCTATCGAGGCCGCGCAACTGGCGCTCAAGAGTCTCGAGGCGTTCCTCTAATGAACCAAGGTGTCTAAGTTGCGGTGTCAGCGTGAACGACGATGCAGCAAAGGAAGTCAAGGAGGATGGGAGGAGGGCATGGGACCCACTCTTTCGAGGCCGTAGCGGTGTTTAAGGGGCCGGTATGCGAGTAGACGCAGTCTAGGCCTTGGGAGGTGCATGATGAGCATTTAGGTCTCACTCCATCGCACTAGAGTGGTGGCTCGTGTAAGTAATGGCTATAGATCCTGGCTGTACCCCGAGTTCTAGTGCGGGGAGGGGACTTAAACAAACGGGAAGAAGGGCTAGGGGTAGGGGTTGGCGGTGGTGGAAGGAATGGTAGGTACATGCAGAGCGGGAAGTGGGGGTTGATTGTGTGTGCCAATGGATCTTTGCACTTGTCTTTTTTTCCCCTTCATGCTCCTGTTGGTTGCTTACCCTTGATTTACGATTCCTGCAGTTGGAGCACGCAACCGTGATTCTCCGACGCTTGGCCCGCCGGGTCGAATCTAGTTCGGGGCTCCGATTACTGCGGTCTGAGCCGGCGGGCTCGAGGAAGCACGACCTGTCGGGGCCTCGGCTGGCCGGCCGGGACGGATGTTGAGAAACTCCCCGCCAGTCATGGCCCCCGAAGAAAAGGCGAGTCGACGAGCGTCTGTTCGCGAAAAACAAAGAAACCATTTACACCCTCCTGGCGAGGCTGGAAAACGGTCAAATTCCTCACCTTGGCAAAATCAAGGGCGGCGGGACAATGGGCAGACAGACGGGGATTTTGGATGGGGGAATTATTCGCGGAGAAAGGAAAGAGGCATTGAAGATGAACGATTGGGTGGTTCTTGAGAAGGCGGGTCATTGGATCGAGGAATCGTGGGGTCGTGGAGCCGAGGGTAACATGGAGATCTACGTTAACTCCCCGGTCATCTCTGACGTTATGTGGCTTTGTCATGCGATGCTGCTGTGACGTGTGGTGTCTGAGTGTTATGTGATCGTGTGGCTTGCGGGGGCCTGGATAGCTAAGCCACTGTTTTGCCACGATTCTCTGGGGAAGCTCAGCACGATCAATCAATGCCAGCATGTGGCGTGTGCAGCACGACGACGCCCGCAAACCATCTAATCTTATTGCTACCTTGTACCCTTGAACTAGCGAGTTGGAGGCAACCCTTGGTGCTTGGTGCTCCCTCCCCGATGTAGACTGGGGAGGAGGGCTGATCAATCCATCTCGAGGGTGGATCTTTACTCAATTGATAGATATCTGATTCAGTCGCACAGAGCAGACAGAATCTCGGGGTTCTCGGTATCCCTCATGGCCTCGTCTAGATTCTAGATTCGAACTCAGCTTGGATTTAATCTAAGACTCGCCACGTGATACCTCGGTTTGTCCACGGTCCATCGCTATTATTCTTTCCCCTTTCACTTTACTTTTGTACCAATGAAAAACTCGTCGCTGCGGGCGAGGTTCCATTGCAACGGCAAAAGGTCCTCCGGGGGTATTCCAGCCCCGTCTCCGGCCGAAGCTGACTCTTGTCGGTGGATAGGATGCGAGCCCCAAAGACACCGGACCATCGAGCACCGATGTGAGGAACGGACCACCAGCTTTTCCGCTTGCTCCCTTTTCTGTTCTTTTTCTTTTTTTTTCCATAGCATTTCCATTTAAAGATCCATGGATCCATCAATTCATGTATACAATCGCGGAGAGCAACAGTGCTTCTAGCATTCCGAGGTAGAGCACATAGCCAATTGACATATAAAACCAAAAAAAAAAAAAAAAAACTTGCCCGCACGGCAGTCTTCTTCAGTCGCGCAACTCTGCGGTTTTTCCCAGATCCCCTCGTCTAGGCGTAGGAAACACTACTAGACCATCGATGGATCACTACTCTCCCCACAGAGGATGCCACGTCCAGGCCCAATCTCGGTAGGATGGATATTAATAACCATTCAAGTGGATAAAGTGGGTCACGATGCGAAATGGATCAATGGATTTATGGATGGATCAGTTTAAACGTTGGAAGAGCAAAGGGGCCGCCATTATGCCTCTAATAAACTCGGCCGTCAAATCACAAGGAAGCACGAGGCACTCTCGCTCGCCATGTCTACCCCTGAAATCGAGCTGCAGGACCCTCTCTCTTCCTGCAACCGTCGCAAGCCTTGCATACACAGATGGAGATCTGCAACGTAACCTTTTGCGCACCTCAAAACTTGAGATTACTAAACCGGTTTTGGTAGAGGGAAGGCGGGGGGGCTGAAGAACTGTATGTAATAGTCAGTGATGGAGGGAGGGTCTCGCCAAAGTTGTACCTCGCGGTTCAGCTCCTCGCCTGATCTCATATTTCCCGGGCGTGTATCTTTGCTCGATTAGGTTACCGCCAGCGAGCGCTCTTCAGTCGATCCCGGGGCTTGTCCTCCCCAGCTTACGGGCGCGATTGGCCTATCGCAACGCTTTGTCTCGCCTTCAGCCGCTGAGGGGGAAGAAAAAAAGAACACGCGTGTTGCGCCTCCTCCATTGGCGGCATTCCTACCTCGAGCTAAATGTGACGTCGGTCCGAAGAGGTACCTCGATCTGCGTGCTACGACCTTCCAGAACCGTGGCTCCACCAGATCCAAGATATTTCGGGAACACAGAAGAAGGGCCAAAAAGGAAAAAGGAGTAGAAAAAGAAAAAGAAAATTAAAAGAGAGGAGAGCTTATGCTGAGCTTCGGATGGATTAATGATCCGGGTGAGAAGCGCTGTTGGCGTGTAACAAAAGCTCCTGGTCTCTGCCAAGACCTGCAGGAACCACCATCGCCCCCTCGCGAGCATGATGAACGGGATACCGAGACGCACAGGACGGGCCAACGCTTACTTTCGGGCTTCACTTCTAAACGACGAGAGGAGGCTGGAGCTTCGTAGACACGGAGGAATTCTCACGATCGTCTCTTGCAGAAACCCTGCTTGCTGACGGCCAAGCGAGATGTCTTGAGATTGCAGTCGAGCCTCTCTTCGATTGCAAAGGACCTTTTCGAGGGCTCGAGATTGTTATAAATATTGGCTTCGTTTACATTCTTCGATAGAGTTTCTTGGAGAATAGACATCCATCAAACACTTCTTTTCTAATCCTCATCACTTCTTCACATCCACATACCTTCTTCTCGTCCGCATTCCGCACCATTCGCCAATATGAAGCTCGGTTACGTTCTCGCCATCTTCGCCATCGGCGGCGCCTCTGCTGCTGAGATGCGCGCCTGCTCCAAGACCAGCATGAACGGGTCTTGCAAGGTTGCCGTAAGTTGTTTGATCCACCCCATCCTAAGCCCTACAGCACAAACCGTCGCACATTTCGGGAATCACCTCACTAACTCTTTGATCTTTTGTTGCAGACCGGAATGTAAGTCATATGACATTTCACTGACGCTCAGTTGCCAACCTCGGCGAGGTGAGTAGTCTGGACTAACATAGACCTGTAGGGGTAAAACCACCGGCACCTTCAAGTCGTACAACTGGCGATCCTCCGCCAACCGTTGCGTCAGGGTTTGCAACGGATGCAAGGTAAGATGGATCCCCCTCCCCACAAAGTCTTTTCTAGACCCCCACAATAGTAGCTAACCCGGGATACCTTTCCTCCTTTTCCGTCGAGCAGAGTCTTGGATACCGCTGCAAGTCCTACTCCAACAACAACATCAGCTTCAACAAGTTCATCGTCTTCGACTGGGACAACGGTGAGGGCCCCGAGAGCTCCACCTGCTGCTAAGCGTCTTGTTTCCTTCGCCTTGAAAAGGAAACCACCGAATATCGGTGATGGACGCCGTGGGTAATGGTGACGGACCGCGTTTACAGCTCGAGTAATATTCGCCATGGGGGCCAGTGTAATTGGGGTGGTGGGGGACGTGCTTTCAGTTCAGTGTTAGACCAGTTTTGACAAGATATCAGACCCTTAGGTTTTGAATTCATTCCATAATTGTGAGAGTACTAGAGTATATTCCTTTGCCTTGTGAATGCCAAGCTTGCACCGTCCTCTCAAGTCTTTGTCCGTTATTGACCATACCCTCCATCATTCTGAGTTCTTGCCAAATTCTCGGATATCCTCTTATCAACATAATTCATCTCCACACAACCTATGTGGCAGTTAGTATTAAGACGCACATGGAATCTTTATAAAATCAAGTTATTGACACTTACTGGCAAGTTTCCCAATCCTTGTTCCATCTCTCATCGGACACCGCGAGAACAATCTGGTCAAAAATGAAGAATTCCCCATCAGCCACATTGTCCCCAAAGCTCGCCTCGAGCTTAATGGTATACGTCCCGACAACTTCCGCGTCCTTGTTATTCGCCCACGTAGCCTGCGAGAAGACTAGAGTGGGTGCAGTGGACTCGGTGTCCCCGGACGGCGTGTTCAGATCCACCGTATAGTCCGTCCCGTGGCCGTTGGATATATCCTGCTCGATCGACACGGACGCCGTTGCGCCGGTGGACATGAGGTGCGTAAAGGACATGGCGAAGAGGGCATGCGTGCAGCCGCGCGGATAGATGAGTTCCACGGAGATGGTGCAGTCGCCGCGGTCGGGCGATACCATGTAGGCCGAGTCGAGCGCGAACGCGACGTTGTCGGAACGCGGGGTTTGCGGGTCAAAAGTGGACTGGAGGTACCGCACGTTTTGCGCCCCTGGGCAAAGGCTCCCGTCGGCGGAGAACGCGCCGAATCGGATCCTGTTTAGGGAGTAGGGAGGAAGCAGTCTTTGAGAGGAAGCGGATGCTGCCGCGAGAGCGAGCATGAGAAAAGTGCGTGCATGGGCCATATTGGTTTCGTGGAGCGCTTTCGGCCAAGGGCTTGTAGATGGGATTAGCTATGATACACAGGCAGTCCGCATTTGAAAAAAGGGTTTACGTTAGCTATATATCCTTACGACTCTCTCTAGCCTTGCGGCCGCGTGTAATATAGACGTGATGGGAGGATCTTGCACAAACGCACACTCATCCTGCCTCGCGCATGGCGGCCGCCAAACCCCAAAAGACGAAGAGCCTATAAGAAGCGACGCAATATATTCCTCGATCAAGTGATATGCTGCCAGTCATGTTACCTATCCTTCATTCTCTGCTGCCCCTCCCCTCCGAGCCCTACAGGATGCGTTCTTCCCCGGTTTGACGGCTAAAAAGGATGGAAAACATATTCTATCATATTAGATCATCGCCAAAGTTGATGCTGACCATAGCCTGCCGCCCAATTCGCTTCCTACATGTATAAGAGGATTGAGATCCTACTATAAATCTGCATGTGTAGCTAGCCATGCTAAAAAGCTTATTGAGCGACAAAGGAAGGTTATCATGTGCCCCGGTTTTGGCGAGTAAATATAACGGTTGCGAGAGCAAACCTGCCCCCGCCTCTACCCCGCCAGGATCTTCGCCCCTCAGGAAGCCGAAGCTCTCATCGCCGTCACGACTTACGCGATGGCCACCACAGGTTGAGTCCCACTTGACGGATCCTCATAATAAAGACGCCGCTGTCTGAAACTACGGAAACCCGTGACACTCTCAAGTAATCACCGTGCGTTCACTGGTTTCCGCCTATCACTCAGAGACCGGACGGAGCAAGAGCCAAAATGGATTGCCCGTCGAAGAACGAATGGGCTGGCCAAGATAGTTAAAGGCCAAAAAATTCAAAGCTGGACACACCCGGAATCGAACCGGGGACCGCCTCTATGCTAAAGAGGAATTATACCACTAAACCATGCGCCCGTTTTGATTGGACAGCGTAAGTCAATCAACTACTATCAATCGCAACCTTGCCCAGAACCCCCTTTCCTTTTCTTTCTGACCTGGTAGCCCTGTTCACTTATAGATGGAGAATGGTGGGTATGGCTAGGACATGCTAAGTCTATCATTAGTTGATCTCCTTACTTGATCAACTCGAACTTCCTCGTCTAGTCTGCGTTGCTTGAGATGCTCAAAGAGTTCCTGAAGAAAGACGGCTGATCTCTTGGGATATCGCGTTCTCTCTGGGTCGTTAAAATCGACCCAAGTGACGCCAAATCTCGCCGTATACCCAATCGCCCATTCCCAGTTATCGAGAAACGACCAGGCAAAGTACGACTTGATCACCACCTCTTCCTGGACGGCTTTCGCAACTTCCGTGATGTACGAGCGGTAGTATTCAACCCGAAACGTATCCTCGAGGATGTCGGCCCGTGTCTGGGGACGGAAACCGTGCTCCCCTTGGCTGTCGTACCGTTCTCCGTTATGTAGATGGGAACATGATACCGGTTCCAAATCCACCGCAGCAGCTTGGCCCAACCCCACGGTGACGCGCGCAACCAGGACGTATCGCTTTCGGCGCCGCGTTCAAGCCTCCCTTGTTGTAATCCATCTTAACAACGTTCCCGCGAAAGTCCCCCTTACAGGCTGCTCGACTCGATTCTTAATAAAGTAGCACGTGTATGAATTCATCCCGTAGGCCTCGGAACTACCCTTGACCAACTTTTGCTCCTCGGGCGTGAACCGGGGCAAAAGGTCGCCAAGCTGGGCGCGCATCGACGGCGGGTAATCCCCGTACCATAGAGCGGGTCAGCAAACCAAGCAATCTCGAACTCGATAGCCCTCTGCGCAGCCTCGACGTCGGCGGGATCCTCCGCATCCCACGGCTCGGACCAGTTCCCGTCCAGCGTCATCATGATGAGCCCCTTTTGGGTAGGTTGATATTCCCGCTTATACACGTCGCAAACGTAGCCGTGCGAAACGAGCTGCGTATGCGCGACGACAAAGGGCTCGGACGCGCTCACGTGTCCCGGTGCGTGCCTACCCTCGCCGTAGCCGGCGCGCGCCACCACGCCGGGCTCGTTGTACGTGACCCACCACTTGACCCTATCCCCGAAACGATCGAAGCAGAGGCGGGCGTAGCGCACGAAGTCGGCGGTGTAGCGCGCCTTGTCGAGCATGCCGCCGTAGCGCCGGTAGAGCGATTCGGGCAGGTCCCAGTGGAAGAGGGTGACGAAGGGCGTGATGCCGTTCTCCAGGAGTAAATCGATCAGGAGTTGTAGTACGCGATGCCTTCCTCGTTGACGGGTCGTCTGCGCCGCCGAGGGGGATGATGCGGGGCCACGAGAGGGAGAAGCGGTACGCGGTGGCGCCGTACTGTTTGAGAAGCTCGACGTCTTGCTTGGAGCGGGCGTAGGATGCGCATGCGTCGTCTGCCGTGCTGCTATCGCGGATGCGGCCGGGCGTGTGGCCAAAGGTGTCCCATATCGAATGTCCTTTGCCGTGGGTGTCCCAGGCCCCTTCAATTTGGGCGGCGGACGTGGCGTAGCCCCAGTGGAAATCGGAGGGGAGGCTTCCCTTGGTCGCCGCGTCTAGGCTGGAGAGGGTGTTAGTGGTGTTTTCGGCCATTGTCTTTTGTTGGCGTTGTATCACGATGAGAACTTCGGTGATAGGTGGGGTAATAAATGTTTCCCACCGTCTAACCCCCTTCATTAATGCCCAAGGACTTGTCTAACGGTCACGCGGTCTGGGCTCGGTTTTGGGCTTTGAGCCTCCATGTCTTCACCAATGGGCATGCTTTAATGCTACGGCCACCCTGCAAGGAGGCTATAATACGGATGAAGGAATCTTAACACACGTACATTTCAACGAGGGTAGTAGTTCACGGCCTACGCGCAAAGATGCAAGAAGAGGAACATTTACAAATGATGGCAGTAGCAGGTTGTGAATAGAATAAGAATGTATAAATGAAGTGAAAAGATATAAACTATGTCCTCGCAAGGTGCTTAAAATGTATGTACATTTTCAAGAAAGAAAAAACGTCCTCGCCGTCCCCGTTCCGTCAATTACACCCGCAATGTATCGACGGAATAAACAATTATTTCCCCCAATGGAGAAGAAAGGGAAACCCCTTTTCCAGCGGCTGAGAGTTGCCGCAAAGGCTAGATGGGCGGTGCCATTTAGAAGCTGAGGAGCTGACCGGCCTCGGCGGGGATCTTGCTCTTGACGTTGTTCTTGCCGTAGAGGGTGAAGCTATAGGGGATCTTGCTCGAGCTGAAGTCGCCGAGAGGGGCGGCGTTGGCACCGCCGCCGTAGTTGACGTCGCTGATGGTGATGTAGCCAACCTCCTTGGAGTCCTCGGAGATGATGGGCTTCTTGGAGTCCTCCCAGGTGGAAGACTCGACGCGGACCTGGGCACCCATGCGGGTGTTGATGCCGGAGAGGAGGATGCCGGAGAAGAAGTTGTTGTACATGTGGACGGTACCGAAGCGGACGAGGGCGTTTCGGGAGCTGGTGTTCTTCCAGTAGCAGTTGGCGTAGGTGACGTGGAGCTTGCCCTTGTCGTCGGTCTGGGAGTCGCTGTGGCCGACGAGCGAGGTCTTGTACTGTTCGCGGGTTTGTTAGCGTCGTGGTCAAGTTACAACTGCCTTTTGGGAATAGGGAAAGGAAGGGGAAGACAGGTTCCTCTTCGCGTAGTGGGGTGCTATAGCGGAACACTTACGTGATCATGGAGGTAAGTGTTGGAGACGGTGATCCAGTCGGCACCGTGCTTGATGTCGAGGAGACCATCATAGTAGTCCTTGCCGTTGTTCAGATCCGAGGAAAGATCGCAGTGGTCGATCCAGACGTTGGTGGAGGCATCGATGCCGATGGCGTCACCGCTGTCGGCCTTGACCTTGAGATCTTAAGGTTACGGACGATGACGTTCTTCTGGTCCTTGATGTAGAGACCGACGCCCTGGAGCTGCGAGCCCGAGGCACCGACAACGGTCTTGTCCGAGGTGATGCGGACGGTGTCGGCGCCGGAGATGGTGCCCTTGACGACGATGTTGAGCTTGCCGCTGACCTTGGCGGCGGCGGTGAACTGGGCAAAAGTGGAGACGGTGGTGGTGGAGCCGCCCTTGCCACCGGTGGTGCCGCCGTTGGTGCTGGCGTAGCCAATGTTGCAGGACTCGGTGATGGAGGCGGCGCGCTTCTGGAGGCCGCTGGCTTCCTCGTCCACGGTGGGGGTGGGGGCGGCGGCGGCCAGGCCCACGAGGGCGAAGTTGAAGATGCTGGAGAACTTCATGATGGTTGCGGGTTACGGGAAGGGAAAGGGGAGGTGGAGAGACTGCTTTTTTGCTTCTTGTGGGAGAGACGTTTGTTTAAGTGAAATTGTTGTCTGTCACAGAAACCAGCCTGCCGGGTCAACAAGGTGAAGGTTGGAAAGGAGAAGAGAAGAAAAAGGGAAGAGGGGAGGAAAGAATGGATGTTCCGATGAGGATGGGGAGGAAAGAGGAAAATTGGAAGACTGGAAAGAGGAGAGAGGTGTGCCTTATTATACTATCTTGACATCCCATGCCAGAGCATCACATTCCCATCCCACCCAGCCCTGGCTCATGAACGATATCAGGACGCGGTAATGGCAGTTTCCAGAAGCATGAGCTCCCTTCCCTATCAAAGCGGGGACTTCCAAGATCCTGAATACGATGTAGCAAGATCTCCAGTACCCTTTTTTTGGTGCAAGGGTCACCCCTTGCTTGCTCGTCGGCCTCCGTGAGCTGACGACGACGTCGTCCAATGACACCGTGGGGCCACTTGCTAGGTCCTACCCGGCCAGCGGAGACAAGTGGATCGGGGTCTTCGCCTCGATTTTGAAATGGGTGCCGCTGGGTCCGCGAGTCGGGCGTCGGGTATGAATTCGGACGATATTCGAAGGGGGGTCTTTGGTCTCTGGTGCGGCGCTGGACGCTAACGTTCTTCGCTGCTTGTAGCCGGTAGGACACGCTATTGGCGGAAATTCACTGGCCTGGCAGGGATGGACGTGATGCGAAGTGAGAAGCCTCCACCACCCCTGGGAACTCATACGCTCCACTGACAGCTTAACAATGTGGTGTTTCACGTTTCATCTCGTCGTGTGTGATTTTGGGTCTAACGATTAAAGGAAAAACATATCCGACTTGATGAAGGGGGATCAACGCAGCGGATGGCGCATGCTCGCTCTTAAGAAACTGTGCACGGATCCATGTATGGTATACCTAAGCTACTGCCGTTAAGAATCACTAGCATCGTTCGAGAGGATGCTGGCAGGGGAGCAAGCCAAGAAAAACGGCTCCTTCGTGACGGCTCTGGCTGGTGTAAAGGAGCAGGAGTCGGCAGAAATGCCGGTCTGTGGTCGCGAGCCTGTCATGGCCCGTTGGCTAATTAATCCCGAGTGTAGGTAACCAATGGCATTTTCCTTGCCTGTTCCATAAAGTGATTGTCTCTGGGAAAAATCGCCAAAGCCAACCCGTCTCGGTTGGCACCCTCGTCGAAAAAATGGAACCATGGGACACGTCTGGTTTTGGCAGCGGCTGGATCCGCCCCAGTAAAACCCAAAGGGCTAAACCGTTAGTCCCCCTTCAGCTTGGCAGCGATCAACTTTCCGCCCTTCAAACAGGAATGGATATGGAGGCTCGCATATTACATTGTATTAGATTGACGAAGGGCAGAGAGGGGGAGGGAAAAGAAAATCCTTTTGGATGGAGGCAGATCAGATAAAGTGTCATGCTGGGCCCCGTCGTCTCCACACGAGGCCCCCTTTCATTTAGCTGTGCTCTTAGGGCTACATCGGATGCCAAGGGGAGATCCACGGAGGGGCAAAGGCGTTCGCCGGGGCCATGACCACTTTTAGCGCTGGGGCCGGCAGCGACGATGGTGCAACTGCTGCTAATCCCCCTTTTGCCTTTTGCCTGGCTTGGTGGGGGCCATGAAGCCGGCGTGCTTGCAGGGATCCCCATCACGAAAGCTGGTGGCGAAAGATATGCCCTCTTCTTTCAAAGTATTTCCTTTTTCTCGATGTGGCCAAGTTCCGTCCCCTCGCGATGTGGGATAGAGAGAGTGAGAGAAGGAAAAAAAAAGGTGTAGGGATCCATGGCCATGGGTTTCCGAAAGGGAATAAAAAACAATGATCCACGAATGACAAGTGGCGGATCAGCGATGAGAGGGCATGAGTTGCGAAACTGCGGCGGGGAATTTTTATGCAAGCCACGGCCATGCAGATGCGGCTCTTTTCTCGCCAGATTACGCGTGGGAAAACATTACTCTCGCCTCTTGGTTCCCATCCAACGCGCTCTCTCTCTCTCTGGTGATCTCGGCTCCGGGGAAGGGAGGGGGTTGCACGCGATCAGCGTTCGTGGCAAACGCGAGCATGCGGGCCAAGGTAGTTGGAACGCAAGGCTTAATCTATTTTACCCCAGAGTATCAAGGCATTAGCTCGAAATTGCTAGGCTGGGCTAGCAAAAGGCGGCCCGGATTGGAACTCGACGACGAAGACGTGTACGATCATCACCACGGCAGGCGCTTGGTCGGTGGTGCAAAGGCCCGATGTGCGAGCGCGTGAGAGCTGGAGCCGAAGGCAACATTGTTTGGAAAGGTGTATCATCTATCCACGAATCTCTCTCGAGGGTTATGATGCGCGCGTATATCCGCTCGGCACTGGAAATCTATTGATTTGGTTTTTTTCTTTTCTATTCTCCCGCTACGACGATGGACACGGAGCCACGTCCCCCGCTAGGTGCTGATGTGGCCCACAGACAGCCGAGCCTGACTCGTGACCCATCTTCTACCGCTCATCCCAACTCATAGCAAACAAAGAGACAAAAAGGGTTACGCGTCCAACAGAGGCGGCACCTTCTCGATGAGGTAGTTGACGATGGCGTCGGGCCCATCCTTGACCTGGAGGCCAGTGGGGATGGCGTGCGTCTTGATGTCCGGGACAACGGAGCGTGCCAAGGCCTGGATCTTTTCCGCCTCCTCCGGTGTCCACATGGATGCGCAGAACTAAAAGAGATGTAAGCCCGTGACCTCCGCGACGACCACCTTTTGCGCACATGTCTAGCGTAGCTGCGGCAGGGGGATGAAGAGGAGGGAGACATACCAAAACGTTGGGCTTGTGCTGAGTCACCTTGGGAACCACTTCGTCGATATCTACAAGAACCCAGTCAGTACGTCACGACTCTCGCCGCCGAACTCGGGGAATGGTTAAGAGGCCCGGAACCGGATCAACTCACTCTCGCAGTTGTCAACGTGCTCGATATCGTAGTCTTCTTTGAGAGCCTCGATGAGGCGGCCGATCAGCTTCTTCGCACGCTCCGGTGCGGTATTTACCGTGACCAGTCTAAAGGGACCCTTGCGTTGCGACATGGTGAAGAGTATGCTAGGGGAGTATCGGTCAGAACGAATTTCCTATTTCTCTTTGAAAGTAAAGTCGTTTCTGTTTTTCTCTCGTTGATGCTCGTCGTGCAAGTTTTGGTTTAAAAAAGCGGGAGTGAAAAATCTCCGTTTGGGGCTCCGCGATGCGATAGCGGGCGTTTATCAACAGAAAATCGCGGGCGGGTTTTCCGAGTTTCCACCCCCTCAATCCTCCCCGCTGTGGCGCGTGGCGATGTCGGCAAATGGCGCTTGGCCCGCCTTTTGCGCTGGTTACGTCTTTTTTGTTCGGAAATGCCCTGCGGACGTGCCCCCACCATGGCACCACTCGACGCTTTGCCGAACATGCCGTTTTTGGTTCCGATTTCTTCTTATGGATCCCCCTCCTTTTTTGCCACGTGAAAGGGGATAGAAGCGCCGCAGGTCCTGGATTCTATGCAGCGCTAAATGATTCTTTTGCTAAATCCAGGTAATTTGGAACCTAGGAACTTTGGCGTTCGAGACTAAAATAACCTGTCTAAGGAGCTTCCCGAAGAAAGAAAATAAAGGGACCACAGCTCTCGTGTGTAGATACCGCCAAAAAGAGGTTGAAGTCGAGGTGTCGTCTTGAATACAACAAACTATCGTGCACCCATCTCTCGCCAGAAAGTGGTCAATGTCATCTGCATCAAGTGAATCCTTCGGCTTCAACGTCTGCAAAAGCATCGGGAAGTGATAGTCCCGGGATAGGTCGTAGTCTAGTTGTCCAGGTGGTAGTTTGAGCGAAAGCAGTACGTGGGACGAATATAGAACTCCCCGAATGGATGGTCTCATCTATTTCATGTGCTGTGACCTACGACTGTCTTTTTCAACAAGACCTGCCGCCCATTGTCTCAAATCAACCGGGTTTCTCTTAGAAGCTTGAAGGAAAGGATCCCCATCCTAGCTTCATGTTAGCACTATCTATGAAAAGGGCTGGCGAGGCTCGGGACAGAAGTCTTACAAAGAGCTCCTGTGGGGTTGGTCTCTCTTCAGAAACCTTGCATAGACACTTTTCCACCAAGTCTTCGAGGATCAAGGGAAAGGCGTCGCTTTTGGGGAGGCGCGGAGCAGGTCCGTGAACAATGCGCCGGGCGAGGTCAAGAGGACCGGCTAAAGCATCGTCAACGTCCCGTTGCTCCGCATCTAAGTGAAACGGAGGTATTCCGGTAGCAAGTTCCAGCAGAGAGATGCCAAAACTCCACACGTCCGACTTGACTGTAGCCGATTCTCCCAGGATTCGCTCTGGTGCCATATATGGTGATGTTTCACCTGGAACAGCGTCCGATACGGGGCTGATAAATTCCCTCGGTATACCAAAGTCACTCAGTTTGAAATGGCCCTTGGAGTTGACGAAAATGTTGGAGGGTTTAACATCTTGGTGCAAGATGCGATGATTTACGTAGAGGTACGTCAAACCGCCAAGAATGGCCTCTGCAATCTTCCCAATAACGTCGACCCTTATAGATCCGCATAGCTTGGATACCTTATCGAGCGAACTGTACCAGAGAAGTTGGAATCAGCTCAGCAATTTCAAGCGCCGTGAGGACACTACGGAGGAGAAAGAAGTCATGTGCATACCCAACATCCATATATTCCATGCACATCACCACGTTACTGCTCTCGTCAAAGCAAGCGCCGTAGAACCGAACGAGCCAGTCGGAGTGACAATCGTGTAATCTCTCCAGTTCACGGAGAGCTCGCTCACGTAACTCTTCATTGGGCTGGGATCGGAAAACCTAAGTCCAACCGGCAAGTAGACGGTGATGACCCCTATGGTTAGTCAAGATCAGATACAAGCCATTAGGGAGCATAACACAAAAGGCGAGATGCATATACGCTACCCGGGCCCTAAAGTTACGGACACACCTTACGGGCTATCAAGACGCCGGTAGCGAGGTTCTTGACTTTACTGACAGCAGCACCATCTCCTGAGCCAAGCTCCTGTATGAGTTGGAGGTCTGCAGAGATTAAATCGAGCTGGTACTCGCGCCCGATCTCGGGCTCCGGAATTTCTTCATCTTGAGGAATCACTTTGGGGGATAGGACGGGCCGCGTGCTGATATTTCTACGCTTCATAGAGCGAGGTGCGAACGGCTCCGCCATATCTAGAGCAGCGGGCGGCGACCGTCTACCATAGCACTCTAAGGGCAGAAACCGCTGAAGCGGTAGGTAGTGTGGCTGGGAAATACCCGCGAAACCGAGTCAGTAAGCGGCGGTACTCTGCGATGCCGGGCAGGGAGAAAGTGGTGGGTGTGAGATCCACGACTTGTGCCGTGGTTGCAGGTGAAGACTCAAGGGCAGATAACGGTCAGGTCTGCTGACGTGCGGCGACATTTGCAATTAAGACTTTGCTGACGAACATTGGAAGGATCCCGCTCGCGTAGGGTGGACGGGTGAAAACTGACGTCGCACAAGCTTACCATGTGTGGAAGAGTGGTGTGTAATGCTGTTGGTCCGTATATACCCTAACTAGCCATTATATTTTCCCGTGGTTCCTACGGTTGACTTTACTTTAGGCATGACTATAGGCGTGGCTGTTCCAGATCTATACCGGATAGGCTCTCCCTAGTCTTTGCGCGCCTCTCTACTTGTCTAATCTGCAACGCTGGACTGAAATCACAAATCCCTTCTGATCATATGCGGATTTAGACGAAAAGTGCATAATAAACACGGTAGATGCTAGGAAGCATTTTTTGGGTGTAAGCACAACCCGCCTAGTGTCGATAGTGTGAGCTTGAGGACAATAATTCTTACTCAGAGAGGTTTAATAGAAGTTGAGTCGGTTCTAGCCCTTCATTACAACCCGTCTCCCGTTAGGGTGGTCAGCAACAAGAGATCTAGACATCCTTGCCGCAGGCTACCGCTAGTCCATAACGACGACAAGTGCAACAAGTCGCCATGCACATACACCTATGCTTCAGACAATCAAAACTCATTTCAGATATCCTTCCTGTTGCCGTATACCGAACTCGGCGAAATCTAGTGGTTCCCGAGAAGTGGATCCCCTCGGACAAGAAAATGACCAAAAAAGAAATTAAAGCTCCCATACCAGGAATCGAACCAGGGTCTACGCTGCGCTCATCGATGAGAGAGCGTTATGCTAACCACTACACCATATGGGATTTGATGATTATCCAGCCTCCAAGATGGATTGTACAGCCTCCAGCCGTCTCGCGAATGGTCATCCCGAAGAGTATCTGGTTCAAATCGATTCGTTACCGAGGGGAACATTATAAGAAGCATCGAGATGGTCATTATTATCGTCTGATGATTTCTTCTCATCCCTTTCCGTTGCTTTTGGGGTCTATTTGAACTGGCAGGGCTTCTGCTCACTGGATAGACAAACTTGGCGATGGTAACACGATGGGCGCTCGAGATAGGCATAGACTTCAATGAAGATAGTAGTCATTAACAGTGGACAGTTTCGCAAATAGGTGTTCAAGTTACAAGACATCCAAAAGCCAATATCCTTTATTGAACATGGTCAGACTATTAATTTCCTCCCTATATTTCCCCAAGCTCGGGCTTCTTGCTCAAACCAATCGACGCAAGCCCGCCTCCAACTAACGGACGCCGACCACCGACCTAAGCCTTTTGTTCAGGTGCAGCGGCTACTTCCACCTCATGAACCGAGGCCTTTTCCTGCTCGGTTTCGGCAAGGCGTGTGCTGCACTTGTAGCCCTCGAACTTCCGGGCGGGGAGCTTCGCCAAGAACTGGAAACACCACGACATCAGTACATTGTGAGTCTACAAACATGGGGCTGAATGGAGCTTGTTGTTTTTGGTTTTGTTTCAGAGAAAGGCTTACCATTTCGTCAATCTCCTCGAGAGTGCGGCCCTTGGTCTCAGGCAGACAGAGGAAGACCCAGACGGCCCCAATCGTGGCCGAAGGGAACCAAATGTATCCGTAACGCGGACCCCAGTCGAGGAGTCGGGGTTGAGGAAGTAAGGCGCGGTAAATGTGGTCAACCAAGCAAAGAAGAAGCCAACTGCCGCCGCGGCACCAAACGTGTAGCTCCTAAGACGCTGGGAAGGCACTTCGCCACCAACGACCCAAGCGTACGGAGCGACCATACCTAGCCAAAAGAATCCATGTTAGTTCATCTCGACCTTGACAGGTTTCCCCGGGGTGGGCATGGAGAGGTGGATTCAGCTCAAAAGTATCACTTACGCAATACACCATCATGTACAGGCACGTCATGGCAATGAGAACCTGGCCGGTAATCTTTTCGCCGGGTTTCTTGTCGTATACAATCGCGACGATTAACTGCAAAACTCCGCAGATGATGAGGCCGTTGACGAGAAGCACTCGTCGCTTTCCGTACTTGACGACGATAAGACTGTTGGCGATGATGGCGATGAGACCCATGGCGTTGACGATGCAGGACATGCCAAAGGCATCCGGAGTTCGGGCCATGGTGAAAAAGTAGGTCTTGAAAGCTATTTTTCTCCCAACAAAATTGGGCACTGTTAGGAAGACACGCTCACGCGGGGAAAGGAGCCATCTTTTCAAAGCCACAAGATTCAACTCACCAATAATGAACATAGAGCCTGTAGCGGCCTGGAGCGTGACACCCGCTACCGCAATCATGGTCCTCCGCCTGTCAACGGGGTTGCTGAACATGTCGAGGATGCCTACTCCTTTGTGAGCTCGCTCTCCTTGCGGATGGCGGTCTGAATATCTTCGATCTCAGGGTGACATCCGCGTTGTCTGGCCTCAGCCAGGTCAACGACTTGCGGCTGTCGTCCACGCGATCCTGGAGCATGAGCCAGCGGGGGATTCCGGAATGAAGAAGAGGGCGACGGCCAGAACGCAGGGGAATACGTAAATCAGGCCGAGAGGAATGAGGTAGGCTGAGCGATCGGGGCGCTTGCTCGTTCCAAAATCAATAATGTTGCCGATGAGCGAACCCTTGAAATTGGCAGAAAACACAGATATTAGCACAACGCAATTGATTTGCCATCACTTGACGTTACTCCAACCTGACACAGAAGGGGAGGCGGTGGCACTCACGAAAGATGTCGCGAACTGGAACCATGTGATAAAGAGACCACGGTACTTGGCCGGGCTGCACTCTTGGATATAGAGCTGGGCAAAGGTCATGAAGTAGCCATTGGCCAAGCCGATGAGAAACCTTCCCACGTAAAGAGCGCCAATGCTGGTTGTGGCCATCATGATGATGTTGGAGATGGCGCAGAGAACGCAGGCGGCCCACAGGCACTGCCTCCTACCGAACCAAGTGGCAGTGACACCGGCGGTACCGGAGCTGATGAAAGCTCCAAGCGTCATGAGGGACGCGATGAGCTGCTGGCGAGTCGTTGAAATATTCCAGCCATTGGGTAGGTGCGGGGCCGGATGTCCAAAGACCTACAATCGCCGGTTGACACTGATTAGCTGCCTGTTCAAACCGCGCGGAAATCTCAAGCTCTCCTCACCTGGAGGAAGCCCTTCATGGCCTGCAAGCCTCCAATCAAGCCAAAGTCGAGGCCGTACTGGAAGGGAAACGAGCATGACACCGCAGGCGAGGAAACAGCGCCAGTTTGCGCGGATATCATCCATGTTTTGCCCCGAGGCGCCCCCGCCTTTCTTGAAGAGTCCGAGGACCATCTTTGCAATCGTTGACACAAGCTAGAGAATGGCGGAGAATTCTCAATTCGGGAGCCGCGAATGCTACGCGTTGGACAACTCGGTTTTTCTTCGTACGCGATGAGCCGCAAGGAATGAGGACCCTGATTGCAGACCTCGAGGTATCAATCCTATCGATCGAAAAGGGGGTGGAAGGGGAGGGGATGAAGAGAGACGCAGATGCCCAGGAGCTTTGTAATTGATCTCCTTTGCTCGGGGACGTGAAGAGGCCCATGGGTGAGCTCCGGCCACGCTACGTTGATCAACTTGCATGCATCCACGGATGTATGTATCCTTTTATTGGTAGAGCTCGCTAGTTGTTTGGATATTACTCCAAGATGCAGAAGCCTATATGTGGAGGGTATATCTGAGGCGGCCGTCCAGCCAAACATCAATAATCCACACGGACACGCTCCCCCTGGCAGCCAAAAGAACGGTCCTCAATCACAGCGCAGGTATATCACAGTTCTTTTGGGGGAGGGAGCATCGCTTCTAGACCCCATATCAATTAGATTGTAGCAGGCGCCAATGACAAGGCCGGATTAATATCCCTGCCGCCGCTGGTTGGGCACCACACCCCGGGCCGTGTTTGGCTAAGATTTCCGTTGCGGAGAAATGGGGCGGGGTATCGGAAACCCGGGAGAACGTAAAGAGGTCGTTTCTTGCCAAACGGGGACTTTTTGTAGAAAAGTTCCATGGAGAAAAAGAGAAGGCGAGTTGAACAAATTGAAGGCGAGGAAATGCTGAGCTTGTAATCTTTTCGGGAATTGGCCTTGGAGCGGAGAAGTCACCCTGGGCCGCTGCGGTACAGCGAGTGCGGTACTCTCTGACTGTACTGTACTTTGCGACTCGGATTCACCTGTCCTCGGTGGGATATGTAGGGGAGGGGAAGGGGACAAGGAAACGTAGCAGCCGTGGAACGTGGAGAGAGCCATAGATGGGTACTCGAGTCGTTCTCATAACTACCGTTGTAAGAGATCCCGAGTGTGCTTGACTTGTATACCCGGAAGACCGAGACTTCTGGCGACGAGGTGCCGTTGGTCGGCAGATATGCAATGGTTTGCTGTGATCACGGTGTCTGCACGCAGCAAGGGAGACAACAGTGCTAGCTCATAGCCAGAACCCCATTTGGTCGTGTGCATCGCATCAATGATTGATCCTTCCCTTGCCTACACGGGTCACACGGATGCCCTATCTTCTCGTATTAGCATTGGGGTCAAGGTGAATCCGATGCTAGTCCGATAATTACGCCTCTGATCTGATGTGGTAAGGAATTGCTGCACGTCAACTCTACAGTTTTGGTCCTCTCAAATAGCCCAAGCCAACGTTTATGTAAAGAATCTTTTCTATTTGTATTGTACTAGGGAGTGAAGTTACAATGTTTTGTCCTCCTAAGCCATTCACTAGTGTTCCCCAGGCATGTCTATAGTCTCGCATAAAAGGAAAAAAAAATAGAAAAAGAAAAAGCCCTCCAGAAATTGGGTTGTCCCTTGCGCCTCATAATCATTTTCTTACCCTTAACCGAGGGAAACAAGTCACTTGAGCCGCATAGTAAGAGTACAAGGAAAATAAGCACTCAAGCATAGGAAAGGAACAGAGGGGAAAAAAAACACCAAACAAAGGAGAGGATACCAAACTGCTACCGTGCACTACCCCGACCACGCGGTCTTGCTGGGAAAGCCATTCCTTGTCGGCACATCAGGCATGGTATCTAAAACGCCGCTCACAAACTTGAGATGCTCGTTCATGCTCGCAATCAAACGGTGGAATTCGGCCTTGAGCTCGTCCTTTTCGTCGAGGCCCCCATGACCATGATAGAGGGCGGGAGAGGCATCATGGGCATATCCGGAACGGGGCGCGCAGGTAGCTCCTTGAGTAAAGACACTGCCAGAGGGTAGACGGCGTGACTGGTTCGGTGGCGCGGCGCGGCAGCTTGGGCGGGGGTGTAGGCCGGCGTGGTGGCTGGCGGAACTGTAGTTCGGGCATGGGCTTCTCCGGGAGGGAACGGGCCATGTTGGTTGGGATGTGGCCCGCGCTGCTCGGTTTGAGGCTACTATTGTTGTTGCTGTTGTTGCTATTGTTGTCGAATGAGACATAGATGGACGGCTCACGGTTCGACGCGGGGATAAATATGGAGTGCCGCTCGAGGTCAAAGGGCGTAGTGGCCGGGTCTGAGGATATCGACAGCTTGTCCGAATCCGAGGTAGACGGCCGAGGAGGGTCAAAGTCGGTCGCGAAGCTCGCGTCGAGATCGATCAGGCTGACGGTCGACACGCGGTTAGCCTGCACGGCCGCCCCGAGCAAGCTCTTGTTTTGTCGCGGAGTGGGCTGGCCTCCGTCGTAGACGTTTGCGATGGACACCTCCTCCTCGGGCCGAAACCGGGCACGGTCGAAGCCCGGCGTGACGGGCGACATGACGGGAAGATCCAATCCTGCGTCCGCCGATTATTGGCGTCCTTGGGCGTGGGAGCGCCGCCGGGCGGCGCCGGCTGCTTGTTGCCTCCGGGCCGGATGGTCTCGAGGTCATCGAGCTGGGGGCCTTGACGTTTCGCTGGAGGGAGGCGTCGACGTCGATGAGGGACTCGCGCAGCTTGGACTGCTGGGTGTCGTCGCGGAGGGGAGGTCGGAGGAGGATTTCCGCATCTGCTTGTGGTAAAAGTCCTTGACGTTTTCTTCGTAGTTGGAAATGGTGTTTGGGTCGAAGATTCGTTCGAGCGGCGCTTTGACGACGCGGAGATTGGGCGGGGGCTTCCTGCGCCGGCGGTTGTTTCCGTTGTTTCCGTTGTTGTTGTTGTTGCCGAGGGCTTGCGGGGGTGGCTGGGCGGTGAAATCGATGCTGCTGCCGTAGGCGTCGTATACGGCTTGCGTGTCGGAGTCGTCGAGCGTGAGGGCGCCCATGTCTTCGGCGATGGCGAAATCCCACTCCTCGTTCTCGTAGGCAGTGGGCAGGAGAATTCGCCGAGGGTACCCTGGGCGCCTCCGGCCGCGAACAAGGATTGGCGGTTTCCGCCTTGCGACTCCCATAGCCGGTACGCGTTGACGAGCTTGGATAGGGAGGCGGTGGGGTATTCGAGTTCGCTGCTGTAGATGTAAGGGTGGCGCTGAACGAGGTCGATGGCGGGACGCTGCTTGGGGTCGTCAACCATGCAGAAGGCGACAATGTCTTTGAGGGGCTGGGAGTAGCGGTCGCCCTCGAGACGGGGGCAGTGCTGCTTAAGATAGCTTCCGAACTGGGAGGGGTCGATGGCCGTGGTGGCGTTGGGCGGCAGACCCGTGGCAACCTCGAACGCCATGGAGCCAAAGGCCCAAACGTCCACCTCGGTGCCGTAGGCGACGCTGGTCTCGAAGAGCTCGGGCGCCATCCACTGCAACGTGCCGGTGACGGTGCTGCGCTTGTCGAACTTGGTCTCCATGATGCCGGCGACGCCGAAATCGCACAGCTGGACCTCGCCGGTGGCGGCGATGAGGACGTTGGCGCACTTGATATCGCGGTGGATGATGCCGTGCTTGTGCACCCAGTAGATGGCGACGGAGACCTCGCGCAGGATGGGGATGATCCACTTCTCGGGCAGGCCGCCGGTGGGACGCATGAGCGTGGCGACGCTACCGCCGGCGCAGTGCTCCGTGATCATCCATATGCTCTGGCCGAAGAGCAGGGCGTCGAGGACGAGGTTGACGTTGCGGGCGCCGCTGGTGCTCAGGAGCTTCAGGGTGTTGACCTCCTTGAGGATGTCGCCAAAGGTGTCGGCCCGCTTGGGGTTGAAGAAGTCGCCCTCCTCGATGCTGATGATCTTGACGGCCACGGCTTGGCCGGACCGGCTGGTGGCCTTGTACACGCGGCCAAAGGTGCCCTTGCCGATGAGCTCGAGCAAGGTGTACGGGGGCTCTCCCCGAGACGAGGCATTCATCTTGGACCGAGGTCTGCACCTTGCGCGCGTCCTCGATGGCCTTTTGGCGGGTGGTGGGAAATCGAGCGGACCGGCTTGGGAGTAGGCCGCCATCGTGGGTGTGCGTGCTTAGCATGCGGGGCAAGCGCTGCCACGTCGGGGGGTTTCTCTGCGCGCAGCTTGATTTTTGGGGGAGGATTGGGTTGCGCAAGGCGAAACGCTCGTGAGCGTTGGAGAGAAAGAGAGAGAGTCTGCTTCCGGGGAGGAAAAAAAAAAAGAAAGAACCCGCCAGAGAGAACTAGAGCATTGTTGCGGCGATCCGGAAGGTGTGGTTGTGTTCCTTTCCTTTCCCCTCACACTTTTTTTCTTCCTTTTTCTTCTCTCCTTCTTTATCCCCACGCTTCTTTCAATCAGCAGATGACTTCTTCTGTTTTTCCCCAGCCGGGGCGTTGGATGATCGCCGGAGCCAACGTTACAGAAAGTTGCGATGTACGATCTACGTGGAACTTGGGGTTTGATGCGACGGCAAGAAACGGAAGAACCTCACGCGGGATGAAAGACGACATAAAAATTCACGTGACGACGGAAGAGAAATACAAAAAGGACAGGAGCGAGTCTGGACAAAGCTGTTGTACTGTTTGGGACGAAAGAGACGAGCTGTTCGATTCGATGCGGAAAGGGGAGGTTAATTAGGCTAATTGGTCGAAATCCCGTCTCTTCCTGTTTCTTACAGGCTGCGATGATGTTGATTTGGAGATGCAATCTTGCGCTTCGGAGATTTGAGACTTGGTTCCGCGCTTTCGTTGGTGGGAAGAACTGGTTACATAAGCGTGTGGTGGCGTGGTGGAAATGGGCGAGTGGGAAAGAGCAAAGGATACGTTGCCTGGTTCTTCGATCTCGTCTATCGTAGACGTGGGTTTTATTGGGTAAGATAGGGAGGGTGAGCTGAGAGAAATTGCAACTTTCTAGTTTTGTATTACGGGGATAGATATATGCCCGATCTAGGCGTAGCATTTGGTGGCTTACCTCGCTCCCAGCTTTCAGTTTGATGATAGATGCGCAACACGGGGCGGGAAGCTGTGCTGCGCTACCTCCAACCGCAAGGCCGTGGAAAGTTACGTTGTCCATGGAGTAGCTCGATGAGGTCAAATGTGGAGCTTGAGCTATTAGCTTGAGCTATTATCAAACCCGCCGCAACCCCAAAATCGCGTCAGAGTCTCCAGTGCGTTCCTTTTGAAAATTCTCAGACAGCTCCAACCCCGCCATCGCACCCCTCCCCTCTATCGGCTCGTGTCTCTCCCCCCGCACGCACGCCCTTGTAATTGCGCTTATTCCTCACACCCCGGAGAAAAGAAAGGAAAACAAAAAGCAAAGGCTCTCTTGCATGCGTCCCGGATCTGGTTAGCTTTTGTATTGCACAAACTCTACCCTCTTTGACGAACTCATAGAACCCCAATCGCCCCGACTTCCTCATTACACAAGAGACCATGGCCCCGGGTCCGCTAAAGATTGGCTTCGTGCCGGAGCACTTCTCCACGCCTCTGTACTTCGCCAAGACCTATTTCGGCCTCGATGCCGAGCTGATCCCTTTCCCCTCGGGCACCGGCCACATGGTCACTGCCATCCGAGCCGGCGAGATCGACGTCGGCATCGGCTTGACCGAGGGCTGGATTGCCGGGCTGGGCAAGGAAGATGCGCCCGGCGACGGCGGCTATCGGCTCGTGGGCACCTATGTGCAAAGCCCTCTATGTGAGTAGCTAGCCCATTCTCGTCGTACCCTCGTCGGGTTTTCAAAAGAAATTTACTTCGTTGTGACCTCTGACTGCTTTTCCGGTACCAAAAAGGCTGGGCCATCTCCACCGGCGCGGCTCGCCCAGAGATATCGTCAGTCCAATCCCTGCAGAGCAAAAAGATTGGCGTCTCGCGGATAGGCTCGGGAAGCTACGTCATGGGGTACGTGCTCGCCGACCAGCAAGGCTGGCTGACCCCCGCCAACCCCGAGCCCTGGGCCGACACCGTCGTGCTCAACACGTTTGAGAACCTGCGCAACGCCGTGAATTCCGGCGACGCCGACTTCTTCATGTGGGAGCACTTTACCTCCAAGCGCTACTACGACTCGGGCGAGATTCGCCGCGTCGGCGAGATCTACACCCCCTGGAGCAGCTGGAAGATTGTCGCCTCCACCGCCCTCGTGGGTGATGGTGGTAGTGGTTTCGATGGCAGGGTGGCGGACTTGTTCGGCAAGCTGGACCAGGGCATCGCGCATTTTCTCGCGAACCAGGAGGAGGCGGTCAAGTATATCAGCACGAACTTGGATTATTCCGAGGAAGACGCACGAGAGTGGCTCAAGACTGTTACTTTTGTCGAGAAGACGGAAGGGGTTGATGCCAAGGTGGTGCAGAGCTGCGTGTCCATCCTACAAAAAGCTGGTGTGCTGAAGGAAGGAAAGGGGCGCGAGCCGGCCTCCATGGTTGTTACCCGCGAAGGGTCGTCCTAATCGACACTCTCACTGATGTGTTTACGGTGGAAACGTCGCGCATCCCCCAGTGGACAGACTTTGTAGATTCAAGGCAAGATGCAACTACATACATCGAAGCTGCAAACGTTGGCTCACTCCAGCTCTCGTTATTCGATGATTTGCGAAGGCCCGGCTCCTTCCTTTGGCATCGCAAGTTCCTATCTCCTCTCTCCTCTCTTCTTGAACAGTGGTCCACAAACAAGCGTGCACAAGTTCCTTGACACGACCTCGGGCCATGCCCAGAACCCGACGCACTCGTCACAGTCCTCGGGCACCTCGCGCACTTCCGCGTCTTCGGGAAATCCCCTTGGTCATCTCTCTTCTCTTCTTGAACATTGGTCCAAAAACAAGCGTGCACAAGTTCCTTGACACGACCTCGGGCCATGCCCAGAACCCGACGCACTCGTCACAGTCCTCGGGCACCTCGCACATTTCCGCGTCTTTGGGAAATCCCCTTGGCCTCTTTGCGGGCTGCCCCTTGTCCAGACTGTATACTGCAAAACGGCTCACGTCCTCTTCATCCTTTTGAGAGGTGGAGGACAATGATGGTGGCCACGATTGGTTTGAAACTTTGCCAGCGCATTAGTGAAACCAAAAGCACCCTGGCCCAGCATTTTTAAAGCGAAATGGACGACAAATTCAAGTAGGGTCGGCATGTAAGGGGTTGGTTGTAGTGTATGGATGGCTTTGCTTACCTGTGCGGTGTATGCGTCTAGTTCCGTCATACCGTAATCGGGATTATATCCAAACTTGGACAGCTCGTGGGTGGCAAGTTGGGTAACATATTCGCCTTTCTCTAGGTTGATAGCAAAGATCGGCCGCGACACTCACCAACCGTCTTGGTGACCCCGCCCTCGTAGTCGCACTGGATGCCGCCAATGGCGTTAAGTGGATCTTCTTTGAGATACAACGTGATTGCCCGAATGCGCACTGCCTGGCCCAAGTCGCCAGTTTCCTCCCAGAAGAACCTTTGCACTTCCCGGTAGTAGCCACCGCCCAATTGGAAACGGAAGTGGAGGTAGATAGGTGAGGGAGCATGCTGAGGGAGTAGCAAGTCCCAAAGGGAACTGTAACTCCAATGTAGTCCGACCTAGATTGATGTGAAGCCATAAGTTCCATGCACAGCACTACGCTGAAACGCCAAGGAGGGGAATAAAAACTCACAGTTTTATAGTATGGGCTCGTTCTCCAGGTGAAAACCCGAACCTCCTTGTCCGGCCCATCATGTGCGTGAAGAACCGCCTTGGATCGTCCCAGCGAGGTCGAGACACCGAATCCCCGAAGCCGACCCATCTCTGGACGCGAGGGATCCCGGGCCGCGAAGTACACCTTGAGCTCCAAGATGGACTCTCCCGGCGCCACGTCGATGGCGCCGCACTCCTCAATCCAGTGCCCCAGGACCGTATCTTCGCCTGATCCGTGGAACTCGAACCACAGCCCGGACAAGTCGCGTGGCCCGCGTACGCCTCCTACCACACCCCTCGAGAACCGGATGCGCTTGACATTGTCGAGCCGTACCATGCTCTCCAATATGCCTGCCTCCGCTGCCGGCCGTAATGAAGGGGTAACAGCCTCCGAAGCAATTTTGCCTCGTGCACCGGCTCTTCTACGCCGGCGTTGGCTGGGGAAGGAGGTCTGAGTACGGCAAACTCTGGGGCGGGGTCCAGGGTGGCGCGAGTCGAGAGGATGCTGAGGCGGCTAATGACCCCCGGGTTTGCCTGTTTTTGAAGAAATTAGGTTACTCGTCTGCTTTAGAACATGGCTTGTTTGTTGTCACTTACGGACATCTCTGCCACAACGCCGTTGATGATATTTCCCCTCGGTGCTTGGAGGATGGCGGGTGTGCCGCTGGGAAGCTTCATATCTCGTCCGTACGGCTGGAGCAGGGCCTTGCGATCAAAACTGGTAACAATCTTGTAGTAGTATGCGTCAGCACTAGGAAAAAATACCGCTTCGTTCCTCCTCGCCGCAAAACATTGGCCTCACAATTGAAAGGGTGGTGACTTTGTGTGTGCAACCATCTCACCTTTAATCCACGAATGGGCTTGAGAACGCTATCCGAGGGCACGAAATCGGACAAGGCCCGAAACTCCGTGATGCGCTCTCCGCTCTTCCCATCTATGACGAAAGACAGTTCGGGGCACGGCCTGTCGCTCAGGGTACGCAGGCAATCGGGTTTCCAAAAGGACCTGTCGCCGAGCTGCGAGCCGTCATTGTAGTGGAAGCAAAGACCGGCGATGTGGTTCGTGGACGGGTCCATGAGGACGGAGACTCGGTTGAGCGAGGAGAGGCGCGATCCGTCGGGACCGCCGAATTCGAGACATTTCAAGAAGGAGGACGTGATCCCGCCTTTGGGCACTTGGTCTTTCGCCCACGTCCTACGAGAACTGGGCGACGGTGGGCACGGGCTCCACAAGGGGTATACGTTGTTCGGTGGTCGGGAGGTGAAGCGCGGAGGGGCTGGGGTAGCAAGGGAAAGCTGGGATTCGATAATTCGAACGGATATGCAGCGGCAAACCTAGCAAAACTGGTCAGAGGGCGGGACGTAGAGGGAATCGATCTACTACAGGGAATGTGTCCCAGACGGGAAGAAAGGCCTTACGTCGAATGCTAATCCGAGCCCGCACACCTTGTTTCCCGGGATAGGCTTGAGGCGTGCTACGCCTACTTCCGGTTGCGAGAGGTCGCGAATGCCGACCGACCTGGGTTCCGAATTGGCGAGAATGAAATCGAGGCCCACGACTCCATCGACTTTGCTGTAAACGCGCACCTCTACTACGTGCTCTTCCGCATCTAGGGAAAAGCTCTCCCGTGCGTCGGTGGCGGTCAACCCGCTCGTCTGAACGTGGCCATCGCCGCCACCAGTAGTTTGATGCTCGACCACCAGCCCCGAGATGTAAGTGTAACCGTTAAACCTGACAAAAGACACTGTAAACCTAGCTTCGACATCCTCTGGAATGGTAAGCAGTCCCCATTCATAGACGTCAAACTGGTACTCCGGAATGTCCCCTCCCACCTCTATCCTCCTCGTCCAATGGATTCGCGCCACGGGCCCCATGCCGTGACTTTCGGGGTCGTTGCCCGGCTCGTGGTCGGCCTGCTTATCGCACCAAGAAGCCCGGCCCGCCTTGATCAGACACGTCAGGGGCTCCGCCACATCCCGCAGCGAGCGCCAAATACTGCGCTTATGCTTGAGGTTCGGCGAGGTGTCGTTGGAAAGGATGTTTCGCAGAATGGCGTAGAGCAGCCGCCAGTCTCTCGTCTTGTCCATGGCCCAGTCCTCCGGGGAGGCGGCGGCGTAGAATGCCATGTCGTACTGGAAGCCTGGGTAAAACCGGCTCGCCCAGTACTCTTGCGGTAACTCCGAGGGGTGGATTCGGGAGGCGATGCTTCTCGACGCTAGACGAAGGGCTGAGAGACCTTCCGTCGAAAGGTGCATCAGTACATTGTACACGACATCCTGGGGTAAGTCCTCGAAGCAGTCGGTTGCGCCGGCGCGACTGTCGGTGTAGTTTCGGGCGATGGCACCGCGGGGCTTTCGTAAAAGAGATCCGGCGGGCCCGTCTCCCCGCCCCGGCCTCGAGGAGCGCATCCGGGCCCTCGATCCGGAGCGGGTCGGTAGAGAAATACGTGAGCTCGGGAGGGTGCCACGGCGTGCCCCAGGTAAACTGCGTCCACGCGCGCCGCTGGAGGAGCCAACGAGCCTCGCCGTAGCCGTGGCTCGGCAGAGGCTGCCGCAGGTGGTCGGCGGGGAGGCAGTGGAGTACGTGGAAGAGGAGGACCGATGCCCGCTCGGGATGCACGGGCGGCAGGTGCGCGGAGAGGATGGCCCAGCACGCCTCGTGGTCTACGAAAATGGGCCTGCTTAGGGGTCTTCGCCGGCGAGGACGAGCGATGCGGAGGCGGGCCAGTTGAGCGTGAAGACGGTATCGCGAATTTCGGAACTCCAGCATGCTGGTAATGTTGTTAGAAATGTCAACAGTTTTTCGAACAAGAGAGCGATGAAATGAATGGACTAGACGAAGAGGACGGGGTTCGTTTGCGTACTTGCGCGAAGCTTGGCATTCCACGGCACTTCGTCCGCGGGGGTTACGGATTGATCTTGGACGATTGGCCCGCCGCAAAGGTAGCAGAGGCGCACCATGGTGACGGTCTGCAAATTAACGACTCTCGCGCTCACATGTATATCACGTACATGTATGGGAAGCGATGTGGAATTTCGGCCTCATCCTGTCGAAAAGAGAAAGAGGGTTAGGCAACCGTTATTGTCGCAGGGGTATGTCCGGCATCACTATTGGCTAAGCCCATCCCTGCCGATCTTCGCGGCGCGAGATGGTGGCTGGCTACAGGGAAGTTGAGCGAAGACACACCTCACCCGATTATCACACCTTTACATTCTTTGACAACATCAACAAGAACATGTCCTTGTGCACGGTAAAGCCAAGTAGGCCATTTCGTCAGTGGAGATGGAAAGAACCTTTGAGACGTCGACATGAAACTACCAGACGTCTCCGACTCCCGCACAACGAAAAGAGAATTATGACAAGGGTCTCGTCGCATCGCAACCGGTTGCTTTCGACCTTCATGGATGAGCTGGTAAACGACCAGCGAATAGTCTTGAGCCGGAAAAGACGCCGAGCGATCTCGATCCAAGCCCAAGGGTCAGAGGGCATCTTGCCTTGATTCCTTACAAACTACAACTAGACACATAGCCCAACACCCATTAAGCCACGTCACTCCGTTTCATGCGCATACCCATCTAACGGCACAGGTAAAAGGTCACTCCGATCTTCTCAAACGCCTCGGCCCAGCGCAGCGCAGAGGCGAAGGCTCTTGTCTGGTGTCCTCGACCATCGTTGGCCGGAATAAATGACGGGGAGCACACCTGGATCTGTCGAAGTTGCAGCAGGATCGTGCGGCACCACTCGAGAATGTCGGGAAAGAGCTGCTCATATAGCCCCTCTTGGGTGTTATAGCCCTGCCGAGGGTGTGGCACACCATCATGTTCAACAAGATGTAGAGATTCAATCCGAGGTGGGAGCCCGGGAGGATGTCGCTCTGTGGCAAACCGCTTTCCTATCAGCTGGAGGGTTTCGAGGTAGCCGCAGATCCAAGCCACATCGATGGTCAAGTGCCGGAGACACTCCATTTGGCCCATGGCAAGGCTGCGCGGCATACGTATGAGCCACCTGTTCTTCCGGTCCTCGGTCAAGCAAAGATCGGTGGCGGTTCTCCAAGGGGTGAGCGCGGGGTCATCGACGGGTTTCCGGGCCCCTTTGCTGGCAAATCCATCCTTTGCGTACAAGTATAGCACGCACCGCTCGCTTTCCCACGACCCTTGCGCTTCGGGTGTCTCGTCGTCTTCGTCTGCGGAGCCATAGGGGTTGTCGACCAGCTCCCACGCCGTTGCCTCAGCGGCTTCGTCGTTTTCGTACATCACAGGCGCCTGTCCCTGCGGACTGGGACTCATCCTACGGAGCAGGATCTTCCAATATCTCTGCAGAAAGGATACATCCAAGCGCAGCCGGATAGCGGAAAGTTCTGGGCATAGCCAAAGTAAGCAGCGGATTGTAGATTCGAAGGCAGCGGTGGCGGCGGCGGGCCTCGCGCTGAGTCGAGGTTCCATCATGATGGTGTTAAGCTTGGGAAACAAGGTGGGAAGACGTCGTGACTCGTCGGGGGAGAGGCCTCGGAGGGTAGCAACAATGGACTCGAGCAGCTCGACCTCCCACATACCCTCTACCGGCGATCCAACGGGGAAATTTCCCAGGCACGATTGCCAAGCGATTGCCGAGTTAAAAGATAGGAAGAGGCGCCGGGGCATGTGTGAGCCGAAACAGGATGCAGCCGAGGATGGCAGGGGCTCCAAAGCTATTTAGATCCTCCTCAATTTTCAGCACATTTCGAATGACCACGTCGTCCGCGGACCTCGTCGAAGACACCACGCCAAAGACTTCCCTCCACAAGTCGCCGAAATTTTCAAACACCTTGGGCGGGATATCGCCCCGGTCGCTCTCCCTTTTCTTGCCGAACCAGCCGAACTCTTGGATGAGAAACCCCGGCGCGGGCGTCCCCGGCGCGGGTGAGGACCAGAGCGTGCGCAGGAGGAGGAGGAGCTCCCGGCAATCCTGAGCGACGACGGCGGCGTAGAGAGGCGGCCTGGCAAAGGCCGACAGGTCCCTCGAGACGAGGGAGCAGGCGTAAAAGATTTGGCGGTTCCGAATGTATCGCTCCCTGGTCGCCCGCTGGTCCCACACCTGTGAGGGTGGCTGTAGGAGGAGATGCGGCCGGGGTCGAAGATTTGGAGAAGGAGCTCGTGCGGGAGAGACAGCAGGTTGGTCTGTGGGGACCGTGGGGATGTGATGGAGCTGGGTGGATTCGTTTCTTCCATGATTTTGGTTTAGTGAGCGGGTTCGTGTTGCCGCCGCGCGACGAATATCTTCCGAGCGGGGGCGGAGTGTGGCGATGCGGTAGACGGTCCCCGGACGTCGAAGAGTCGGGGTCACCCGCGTTTGAGGGGAGTTGGGGCCGTTCCAATATTTCACCGTAGCTCTTCTGTGTGGGGTCGCCTTTGGCGGAAAACGTTCGTACGGTATCGTGTTACCTGTTTTGAGTAGTACATCTATGTCGTGGTACGGTGTAGCAAAACTCTTTGATTCGCGGAAAGCGAGTTGAGGGGATTGCCTGGGTTGGAGGTCCGTTGAAGTGCACTGAAACGGTAGGTCGATGTGTAACCAAGCCAATGGATGCGCCGAATCGCTTTTGGCCAAACCTCGAAACTTATATCAGGTCGTTCAACGACGATTGGCACAATGGAGAAGATGGTCGTATAACCGATATAGCTCGGGGGACTTTCTACATCTGGCTGGCTAAACATTCTTGCATGTTGCAAAGTCTTGGAAGAAAGACACTCGTGCCGACGGAAGGGCCTAGGCTTGTAGCACAATGCACTTGAATCTCTTTGCTTTTTGGACATGTGGACGGCGCAGGGAGATCCACGTTTGCATACCTCGGTAGAAGCGCCAATGATCAGCCGCACTTTGCGTCACGCATCATAAAAGTAGGGAGCCTATCTTAGGAAAATAAGTATATAAACTCCGCTAGCTTACCGACATGCCCTCGCCAGCCTTTCTAGTCTCGGCTATCCATCCGCGTCCAGATTACACGCCTCATGGCACGGATTCGATGTCTATTCCCTGCATTGACTTATCGGGTCAGTACTATCCCTCGAGTCCGGCAGCAATCGTGATACTTTGTTGCTGACATAGCATAGCTGATGGTGGCACCGATGCTGCGGCAAAACAACATCTTCTCGAACGACTCCGGGTCGCGTGTGAGACGAATGGCTTCTTTCAGCTAACCGGGCACGGCGTCCCGCAGTCCCTCCTGGATGAGGTCATGGAACAAACCCAGGCTCTCTTTGCGCTTCCGCAGGAAATCAAGGATAAATACGACCAAGGTTAGTTTAGTTCTTCTATTATGTACCGCATGTATTGCGTGGTTAACGGATATAGCACTGAGCGGATACAACCGGGGCTACGAGCGTCTCAGGTCGCAAAATTTCGAAAAGAGAGGCGAGGAGACCTCAAAGAAGGCTACTTCCTCGGGCTTGACCTGCCAGCAGACCACCCGCTTGCCGTCGCCAAAAGTTCAACTCAGGTCCCAATATATACCCTCGAGACGTGCCGGATCCCGCCAAGTTCAAGCGCGTAGTAGACGAATACTACAACGCACTCAAGAACCTCGCCGAGCGCATCTTCCGCCTCCTGTGCGAAACGCTCGGCGTCGCCGACGACGATGGGTGGATCGCCAACTTCGTCGACACCCCAATCGCGATCCTCCGACTACTGCACTACCCGCCTCAGCCTATAGACGCTTCGGACGAAGAGCGGGGCATAGGCGCGCACACCGACTTTGGCGCCGTCACCATTCTCCTGCAGGACATGGTGGGCGGCTTGCAGGTGTGGGACCGCGCGGAGCTCCGGTGGGCCGACGTGGTGCCCGCGCGGGGTGCCTTTGTGGTGAATCTGGGCAACTTGATGATGCGTTGGACCAACGATCGCTACCTGTCGAACTTGCACAGGGTGATTAACGTGTCGGGGAGGGACCGGTATAGCGTGCCCTTCTTTTTCGACGGGAATCCGGATTTCGTGGTCGAGTGTTTTGCTGGCCGGGAGCAGGGCCGCGAAGGGGCAAAGTATCCGCCTATTACGGTGGGGAGTGGATGCAGGCGCGGTATGCGGATACGTACGGCGCGGTGGGGGATGAAGGGGCAGGGGAGCTCTCGGCGGAAGCGGCTGTTGCTTTGTAGTTGGCGGGCAATACCCGCAGTTGTAGAGGCAAGAGAGGCTTTCTTTTCATTCTAGATTGCTCGTTGCAAGCTCTCCGATGCAAATTATAGGAATTCGTTCCAGATCGATATGTGTGTTTCCTGTTGAACAGCATCACACTCTCATGCAGCTATGGAGTCCCCTTGACCAGTCAACTCATGGCATGCACATGCCCAACTTGTGGTGTAGTCCGAGTCGAGTAATCTCTTTCCCTTGCTATCGCCACAAGTTTCCCGGGTTTGTAGTCCTGTTACGGTACCCTCTACGTTGACGCCGCTGCGACCTAGGATGCGATGTTAAGCGAAGGCTGCTTGCTTTCCTCGTCTTTCCTTCTTGATTCCGTCCATTCACGTTGGCCTCAAGGGTCAATGTAACCCAGGACAAAAGACCGCCCCCAGAGTAAGCTGCCCTATTAGGCGAATGGGACGGCCTCAACGAATCGCTTTCCTTTTTCCATTTTCATCACATCTTGTCTTGAATCTGAAGTGTGCACCGCCATGGTTTCCCGGTTTGCAGTGTACGTTTTCAGCTCCTCGGCTGTGCCACCAACAAGATAAGTCGTGCATGGGCAGAATGTCTTGAGTGTCTAGGTTCGGGCCGGTGGCACACACGCCAAGCCCCGAAATGGGTGGGGCTGCATCTCCGCGAATCCTGCTGCCCGCACCACCTATTGCTTTATTAACAAGAGGAAGAGATAGGGGGCTAGCAAGGACGCTTCCGCATGGGAAAGAATCGCGGATAAGGACGAAGGAAGGCAGAGGATGGAAGTTCCAAGACCTAAAAATCGAAATAAAAATCAAGGGCGAAAAGAAAAGTCGCTTTCCTGGTATAGTCGCCATTGCAGAGTTAATGAGTAAGAGAGCATAGAACGGCGGCTGTCAGACTCGTCTTCACTCTTCGCCATTTGGTCGATGGAGCGTAGGGTTCGTTGGTCCCTGCATTTGTGCTTTCCTGGTTTGGGGGACCCGAGGAAATGGAGACGGAGCTCATCAAGAAACACTCAAGCCATAAAGACAAGTTGATCAACTGCTCCGGATCGTCTTCATTGTCGGCCGAGTCTTGACCACGTATCCAACTCGGCCGACGCCCTTTCCGAACAAAAATCTGTGGTCCGTGAGTAATAAGTCTGTCAACCACAGAAACGCTGAGGCATTGATTACCGATCCCCCACGGTACCCACGGATCAGTGCGGCAGCCCAATCAACACTTGAGAGGTGCACCAACCCTTGACATCTCCGCCCCCTTTCATAAACAGTAGGAGTAGCCATCCCATGCCCCCAACAGCCCCCGAAAACCAGCCTCAGGCAAGAGAGACTTAAAAAACACAGGGTACCAGGCCAGCGGCACTATAGTTCGGCAGGAGAAGCCCCCTCATCGCCGTCGACGCCCGCAAAACTCGGCATGCCACGACAGGGGTGAGGCACACGATGTTGGGGTTGAGTGCTAAACCCTGCAACATGATAGGGTTAGCCTCGAGCATCATCGCCACAACGGGCTCGCATGCATGGAGCCCCCGGTTCCACTTGTAGAATAGAGTTGTGGCGAAGAAGAAACGCGGGAGGAATAAGCAGCACTGCAACCCCATCCTGCCGACCTGCTCCAATATTAAAAATGTGATGGAACATCAACTCTGAATGTGCGCTGCCCTCTTGTAAGGATGAGGCTGCCGTCTCGTGGACTGCATCTGGGGGTATGCCAGTCATATCTTCATCAGCGGGCAGGGTTTGCGAAGATCAGTCACATTGGTCCCATCAGCCCTTGTCAAGACATCAGTCATGGGGAATATAAGATACTCATAATCATTTGTCAAGAAAAAGAAGAATACAACGGGGAAAGGAAACGAGAGGGTGCGTGAAACATCTTTTATGGCAGTTGCTCTGGATCAACGATCGCCGATCGAATAATCAATTGGGATTCATCATATCCCGCAAGGGAGAGAACTTTGAAGAGAAAACAAGAAAAAAAGAAAAAAGGAGGAGCAAAGCCCATCAACGCAACCCCCTTGATGCGATAGGATTTGTCAAGCGGGCTTTCTCCGCCCCCACACTTCTCATCCTAGCTGCTATCAAAAGGGAGATGGACGGTGGTGGCGCTGCATCCATCACCAGCCATCGTATCCAATGGATTGGCCCTCGCAGAGGCGCTTCTTCGGTCGTGTCGAAGGGCTGCAAGCGAACCAGTCCAGTCGGCCTCGCGGCCATAACCAAGACTTCGTCCCGACCAGCCCTCCAACTACCCCTGCGCTGACCGCATTCCCCAATTGACCCTTGATCGCGGCTGCTTCACGAGATCCGCCAACCCTAGCAGCGAGGTGGTAGCGGATTCACCCGCAGGTTGCCCGTGGCGCCCCTCCCCCGTTCCCCCTTTTATGTTGTCACGAGCGTGATGTCGGCGCTTGTCGCTGATGGTCTCGGCTACACGGAAGGGAAGTCATGAGACTTGAGAGGGCCTCGCTGCGATGGCACCCGGGGACATTCGCAGGAAAGTGCATATATATAGTAGCCGCCTCCCCCTCAAACTTAGACGGAATTATACATGTATACTGTAGCCAAAAGAAGACTTCTCTTCTCCAGTCCCGTGCCGCAACGTCCACTGCCCAGAAACTTTGAACCCCGTCATCGCAATGGCTCCCATCCTCAACCTTCTCACGGTCGTGTCCGCTCTCGTCGGCACCTCCTTTGGCTTGGCCAACGTAAGGATATGTGACCAGCCCTTTGGCTCGCCCGCGGCCAACTGCCGTCAACAGGACGCCGGCAACGGCGTGTGCTGTGAGTATTAGATCTGGGACACCCTTTTTCCCCGTCGCGTGGTGCTGAGCAAGGAACTAATGGGTTGGTCTAGATAACGTCACGCCCGAGTTCAATGACAGAGTGGTATCCGCATTAATCACGGGCGGAAGCTGCGTGTTTTGGCAGTGAGTCTATTATCCTTTCCTCCGCTCTTCATGGCCCAAAGGACACGCTGACGCCCTTCTTCTTTTCTTCTTCTTTTCTTCTTGTTGCGCAGAGATTACAATTGCAACGGAGCCCATACCGACATGCAAGTAGGCAATATTCTGTACATGTCAAACGTGTGCCTTCCCAAGGACTGGTCCGTTCGAATCTCGTCTTTCAAGTGCTGTGCCTCGACCACTTCCTGGTGCGCTGGCAGCACGCCCAAGTGCACTTGATTGGTGAAGAAAAAGGTGAAATGGATGGATGGCGAGATTGTTGACATTGTTTCCTTGGTTTACTTGATCGACTATGCATATAAGTTGTATTCTAGCAATTGAGCCTTGTGTGGATCAGCGGGGTATGCGCTTTTGCACAACGAGCAGATGTATCTACATCCAGTGATATTGACCATGGAGAGTTGGGTCGGCAGTGGACGACGACCTCCCAGGTCTCCTTTGTTGCGTTGGCTTTCTTTTTATGAGGTTGGCCTGGTATATAAAATCGATGGAGCAGAGGATAGATCGATCCATGTCAATGAAGAGTCTGATTCTCGCGAAAGATCTACCCGGCCACCAACGTAAACTTGCGCCCTACTGCCAACGGATCGCGGAGGCAGCGCCGTGGGACCGATACGTTAAGCCACCGGAATGTTGATCTGAGCCCAGCTTTTGAACTGTTTCATCGATGAGGGCGTAGACGAATGTCCTCATCGTTACGTTTAGCATGTACAAGAGTGAGCCAGGCTTGCGACTCGGTTTCTTTTAAAGAAAACTGGGGAAAAAGAAAAGTGCACTTTACACCAGTTTGAAGTTCATTTGACAATATTAATATTAAGTGTAATTAGCGGATGATGCCGTCTAAGCTATAGAAGATGAAAGAAAACCAAACTCCACCCAATGCATTCATTTTTGTCGTGGGCTCATATCCGCTCGTTTGCTAGCTACACGCTTCGTCTAATGGTTTTTCTATCCATCTATGATGAAAAGATAAGAAAGGTAAAAAGAATCCAAAAGAGTGAAAAAAAAAAAAAAAAAAGGAAGGAAAAAGATCAAAACTGAGCAGTCTAAGCGCCTCTGGTTAGAGCGCGTGCTTCATGCCGGTAGAGTCTATCACGACGGCATGTTCTTCGTCAACTAGCCCAAGCTTGTGTAGGTGCCTGTAGAGCGCGGCGCTTCCGTCTTTACATGTGGTGTGTCCCTGACTAATAATGGCCATGCTGTCGCGGAGCACGAACTCGTAGAAAGCGGTAGCCAAGAGAGTGGCGGGAATGTTGACGAGTATGGCGATGGGGGCGTAGCTCTGGTAGGTAAAGGCCTCGCGTCCCCAGAAGATGGCGGCGACGAGACGGGTACCGAGGTCCCTGGCCAGGTTGGTGCTGAGGCCCATGCTGCCGAACCCCAGATGATGACGGCGTAGGCGGCGCCGATGACGAAGGGGATACCCGCAGGCTTGACGAAGGGGTTGGCCGGGTCGAGGGCGGCCCAGATGGCGATGCCGATGAAGGCGTCGGCGAAGAACTCAATCATGAAGAGGTAGGCGATGTTGGCCTGGCCGTGGGCGTCGGGAAAGGAGCACAGGATGGAGGCGGGGCGCCGGCGGCGACGAGGGCTGGCCGGCGGCGAGGAGGGCGAGGTCGAGCTCGCGGATCTGGGGCCAGAAGACGCCGACGATGAGCAGGCCGGTGAAGAAGGCGCCGGCGATTTGGCTGAAGATGTACAGGGGTGCCTTCCACCAGGGAAATCCTGCCAAAAGGCCATGGCGAGGGTGATGGCCGGGTTGAAGTGGCCGCCGGAGGTCGGGGCGCAGGTGATGATGGCGGCGGCGACGCCGACGGCGAAGGCGCAGCCGGTCTGGAAGTGGGAGCCGAAGGCGGAGACGCCGAGCTCGCTGTCGGCGTGTAGGATGTAGGTGGCGACGGAGGCGAGGGCGGGAAAGACGAAGAAGCAGACGCCGGTGAACTCGGCGAGGCACTGGCGGAGGAGGCGGGGCCGGCGGCTCTCGAGCTCGAGGCGGCGGTGGGAGACGGGGCGGTAGGGGACCTCGATGCGGTCGAGGTAGCGGTGCAGGCCGGTGGAGATGTCGTGCTCCATGGCGTGCTGGAGGCGTGGGGTGGTGGCGCCGGAGGTGTAGGGGAGAAAGTGGGGAGGTGGAGGGTGCTGTCGGTGTGGTTGGGTAGCCACTTCATGGACAGGAGGTCGTGGGTCTTCATGGTTATGGGAACTGGGAGATTTTTGGGGGATCTCTTGTTCTCTCTTGTGGGTGTTGATGGGATTGTTTTGGAAGAGAGTGAAGAAGTGGTGTCTTGGTGGATGTTGTTTGGTTACAAGGACGTGGTTTGAAGAATGGTCTTTGTAAGACTTGGTATGTCAAGTAGTTGGGAGGGGTTGCGAAGTGTGTTAATCGCAATTAATGTGAGGAATGAAGAATGTATGTCGCTTATAAAAGCTGATGGACTATATAATATCTATGAAGAAGGGAAGCTATTGCCAGCGATAGCTCCAGCGACTTATATACTATTGTGAAATCGAGACTCGAAAAAGGCACGAGCCCGACATCGTGTTCCTCCCTAGCAAGCGAGATAGCTTCCAGCGCCAATAGTGGCCAATGGGTCAACCACCTGCAGCTCCATTACGAGCGTTGGTGGTCTGCTTTGGCGTGGCAGTGAGCGGGAGGTGCAATCAGAGGGGCGGGACGGCGTGAGCGATTGATACCACCTGCAAGGGGAAGGGAAAATGGCGAGCCAAGACAGACTGAAGCGACCGAGTGCCTGGCAAGAAAGCTACTGTTTGGGCAGGCTCAGGGACGGCGAGTCTGTCCAACGAAAAGTTTTGCTTTTAGTGGGCCCTCGCACTGACAGGGCGGTAAGGAGAATCAATGCTGGCTAGCGATCGATGATTGATTGAGCGGGATGAACGAGTTCGAATGGATGGTTGCAGCGGGAGGAGAGGTGTGGCGTGTTCGAAAAAGCGCCCGCCGTTATCAGAAATGTTCGTCTCGGTTGGGACAGGACTTTGTCAAGTTTTTTCGATTTTTGCTGGGCTCGCCACAGGTGCCCGCCGGTTTTCGGCACCCAAAACGAGGCAAAGACCAAACGGGATGGGCCGCTTGCAGGGGTTATCGCTGAGGGCTCGTCGGAACGACGGCACCGTTCGGCGGCCACCGATGAGCTCAAGCACTCCTGGCTGACCAGGCAAACCAGGTCAACCAGGTTCAGTGGCTATGAATAGCCCAGACAGAGCGGATTGGGCGAGTCGGTCTGCGAGTGTTCCTGTCCGCTCTCACCTTGTCGCATCGGACCACCCCGATGGCCACACTTGGCCGCCCATCGAATGGGTGACCTCGGAAATTTTTCAAGGTCCCAACACTATGAGTATTTGCATCCTTTGATTGAGGCTCTGCGCGGAAATGCTGGAGATGCAATCGTAGACAATTGATAATTGTTTCGTTGATTCCGGATTTGCAATTTCTGAATTATTTTCCAACCTCCGATCATCGCCCAGCGAAGAAAGCGATGGAAGCCTGTCATGAATTATCATCTAGCTGAACACTAGATTGAGGCTTGCTCTTTGGTATTGTCTGGAGTCCCTCGCCTGTCGGCCCCCGGCGACATTCCTCTGTGTTCCTTGCGTGGCACGTTAACCCACATCGACAGGTGTTCGCTTGTTCACGGAGGGGAGGCGTCGCTTTCGCCATCTGCAACCAAGCTGTGATCTAGCCACATTTTTTGCTCCTTTGAATTGAAGGGATTGATATAGTCGTCATCATCATAGAAACCTTCCGAACTTGTCATGACAAGAGGAAGGAACTCAATCCCTCCACCGCGATTCGAGACGTGTTTGTGAGCGTCTGAAGCTGGAAGGAGCAACTTGCACGGTTAACGCTCGCTTTTTAGCGTGCTAGCACTAACACCAGTGAAGCGGGTTGGCTCTCTGCTAGTGCTATTTAGTGGCGTGGTGGAAGCAGATGAGGGGCACAACCACTTCCTATATCTGCCAGACTTCAACCGCGTTATCGGCTTCACCCCACCAAGTTCCTTCCTGATTCGGCACGATAGAAGCGAGGGGAAAACCATGCACTGTTCAACGTGCTCTATCGCCGCCTCCACGTGACTCCCCACGTCACTGTGAGGGAGTCACAGTGGACGGCGCATCCTTTATCGATAAGAGGAAATGCGGCCAATTCTCTCGCTGGTGGGGGAGTGGACGGCCGTTCTGTTTGAGAATCCCGCCTACGTCAAACACTCTTCACCGTTCTCTACTACTTGGAAAAGGTTGGGAAAAAGCCAATTGGACTTTTCAACCTTGAATTACCAGAGACAAAGACCCTACCCGTATTTGTGAACTTATTTCGTTGAGAATATGGCCCTGGTCACTGTCGCCGCGGCCACACTGCCGAGTGTGCCCCTCGATTTCCTCGGGAACCGTGATCGCATCTTGGAGTCCATCCGCCTAGCCAAGAAGCATGGAGCCACCCTGAGAACCGGCCCGGAGCTGGAAATCCCCGGGTACTCGTGCCTCGATCACCACTTGGAAGGTAAGACAATCCCTATCTCTAGAGCAAGAGGGAAGTTATGAAGGAGGAGATCGGCCTCTCACACGACACGCACACTACATAAACGTTGGGCAAGGTTCAGCGTATCCGGCGCTAACATGGGAGGTTTCCCTCAAAAAAGGCGACACCTTCCTCCACTCGTGGGAGGTCTTGGCCGAGATCATCTCCGACGAGGCCTGCAAGGACATGCTCATCGACCTCGGCATGGGCGTGCGCCACCGCAACGTGCGCTACAACGCCCGCGTGCTGTGCACCTACCGCAAGATCTTTTGCATTCGCCCCAAGATGGCCCTGGCCAACGACGGTCTCTACCGCGAGGCCAGGCACTTTACCGCCTGGACCAAGCAGCGCCAGATCGAGACCTACTACCTCGAAGGCGTTGTGCAAAAGGTCACCGGCCAGCGCTCCGTCCCCATCGGCGACATGATCTTGTCGACGCCTGATACGGCCGTGGCTTGCGAGTCGTGCGAGGAGATGTTTGTGCCGTTGAACCCGTCAATTTTTACCGGCCTCAATGGTGTAAGATTCGAATCCCCTGCTCGTTGGAGACTTTGGTATTGGTTTGTTTGCGATTCTAACGCGGCATGGCCCTCTTTGTAGGCTGAAATCATTCTCAACTCGAGTGCTTCCCATGGTAAGAATGCGACTTGGAAGGAAATCCCCTGATAGCTTGTATTATATCCAAGAAATTTCTGACGTTTTCCAATAGCCGAGCTCCGAAAGCTACGAACGAGGCTAGAGCTCATTGCCAACTCCACGAGGAAGCTTGGCGGCATCTACGTGTATGCCAACGCAAGTACGTCGCATTCCACACTATTGTATCCTTTCTTTTCCCCTGGTTCCCTACGGCGAGGCTAACGCGCATCCTCTCTACCCCGCAGCCGGCGTGGACGGCGAAGCCCGCATGATGCACGACGGCAGCAGCATGGTCATCCAAAACGGCGAGGTCCTGGCCCAGGGCAGCCAATTCTCCCTCGCGCCCGTGGAAATCACCGTCGCCACGGTCGACATTGAAAAGGTGCGCAGCTACCGCAGCAGCATCAGCCGCAACGTCCAGGCCGCCGCCCAGCCCGACTTCCCCGCGTCGAGTGCGACATCGTGCTGTCCCACCCGTCCGAGGAGATTTGGCTGCGCGACTCGCCCGAGATCTCCCAGCCGCGCGAGCTGCGCATCATGGATCCCATGGAGGAGATCCACCTCTCCACCACCGTGTACTTGTGGCAGTACCTCACGCGCACCAACTCGGCGGGGTTTTTCTCGCGCTGTCCGGTGGGTTGGATAGCTCGACCGTCGCGCTCTTCGTGTACGGCATGGCGCGTATCGTGCTCGACTCCATCGCTGCCGGGGAAACCACGACGCTCGCGGACCTGCGGAGGGTCACGGGCGATAAGAGCTTCTCGCCCAAGACGCCCGAGGAGATTGTCAACCGTCTGCTGCACACGTGCTACATGGGTACCGTCAACTCGTCGGGCGAGACCGAGGGCCGCGCTAAGAAGTTGGCGGAGAAGCTGGGCGCGTTCCACTCCAATATCACCATTGACGAGACCGTGGCTGCCAACGAGATCATGATCCAAAAGGCGCTCAACTTTAAGCCCAAGTACGAAGTGGAGGGCGGCTCGCGCGCCGAGAACTTGGCGAAGCAGAACATTCAGGCGCGCAGCCGCATGGTAATTGCCTATTCGCTCGCCCAGCTTTCCACCACGGCTAGGAACTCCCCAGGGCCGGGACCCCGCTGCTCGTTTTGGGCTCGGGTAACGTCGATGAGGTAAGTGTATCATAATCCTTGGTTGTTAGGCAATAGTGAAATAGCTAGATATAGGCTTAGGATATCGGCAATGGACGTGCTGACAAGAGACGGATAGAACCTCCGCGGCTACTTTACCAAGTACGACGCCAGCTCTGCCGACATCGCGCCCCTTGGCAGCATCTCCAAGAACGACGCCAAAGCCTTCCAGCGCTGGGCTAGGCACCATTGGGACCTGCCCATCCTGACCGAGTTCATCGAGGCAACCCCGACGGCCGAACTTCTGCCCCTCTCGGCCGGCGTCCAGGACGACGAGTCTGAGAGTGAGATGGGCATGTCGTACGACGAGCTCTCCGTCTTTGGTGTATGTAATCCATCTTCCTATCCCCTTCTTTGTAGCCCTCTTTTTTCTTCGACTAACGATATCCTGCCTCTTAGATCCTCCGCAAGGTCGACAAGCTCGGCCCCTGGTCCGCCTACCTCCGCCTCCTCAGCGACTGGCGCGACCGCCCGGGCTACGGCCCCCGCCAGATCGCGGAAAAGGTCTTCCGCTTCTACCGCTACTACGCCATCAACCGCCACAAGGCCACCATCAACACCCCGAGCATCCACCTCTGCCCCTACAACCCGGACGACAACAGGCACGACCTCCGGCCCTTCTTGTACGTGGTCGACTGGCCCTGGCAGTTTAGGAAGATTCGGGCCCATGTGGAGAAATTGGAGCAGGGCCTCGCTACTAGGAAGTAATTCGCAGAGGAAAAAAAGAAAAGGAGAATCAATGAAGAAAGGGAAGTTTGCATTGTTTCTCTCTTGCAGTGTCGTGACAAGGTGTCCGTATTCAATCTGTTCTTTTCCCCTTAGCATTTAGAAATAGAGGTCGTTCAGAGGCATCAATGCTCAGCTCGATGACACGTCTATCCAGCCACACCTTCGTCTCTTCGCCATAAGCCACTCACTTTTCACCTTGACCCACGAATACACCGGACCAAAAGACATAAGCCACTTTTTTCTTTTGGGCCTATTGAAGTCTTTTACAACAATTCCCTCGGGGTACGGCTGCGCTCTAGCAATTCCCTCATCTCTTGGCTCAGTGGATCCATAAAATCATCAGGCTCGCGATCAAGAAGCTCCCCTGGATTAGCGCCGTATCTCAGCAGCAGGGCGGTCACGCCCATGTCATCGCGCTCCACCGCGAGCCTCAAGGGGGTTTTCTTCCCGAAACCGAAGGATGCCCAGTCGACTGGCACGCCAGCATCTAGCTCCATCTGCACGGCCTCCACGTCGCCCGCCAAGATGGCGACGTGAATGGGGGCATTACCGTGGTTGTCTGGGGCCACTAGGAGCCTCTCGTACCCCTGGGCGCCAAGCAATACCTCGATGTCCTCTCCTTCCCACAGGTACTCCCCTCTTCCCGTGAGGACTCCTTTCTTTCCCAGGAAGACTCCTCTCCTTCCTGGGACCACTTCTCTCCTTCCTGGGACCAATTCTCTCCTTCCTGAGAGGACTCCTCTTCTTCCTGGAAGGGCTCCTCTCTTTCCTGAGAGGACTCCTCTTCTTCCTGGGAAGACTCATCTCCTTCCTGGGAGGGCTCCTGTCTTTCCCAGGGGTCCCCTCTTTTCCCACTGCTTCTCGTTTCGGGACCCCACCCAGCGTAAGTAGACTGCAGTCCACCCCGGGGGAAGGGACCCCTAAAGATGGGTGCGCCATATTTCGTTAGGACGCGGACGATGTGTTTCGACTCGGCGGGACAACTAGAGCCATCCCCTCGTCCGTCGTCCGGGAGCAACATCTTGGGCGCGGGCACCGAGTCGCGAAAAACATGGTGGGCCTTGGCGCCGTGCCGAAGCAGCATCTCGACACACTCTGGCCCGCCGTGCTTGACGGCCGCGAGAATGGGACGGCGGTCGCGAGGCCAGTTCACGTCGGCCCCGCACCGCACGAGAAACGTCGCCACGCCCCAGTCGCCGGCCTCCAGGGCCACCAGCAGGGGCGAGGCTTCTCTATCGAGCCCGTCCTCGGGCTCATGGTGTCGAGGCGCGCCCCGGCTCGCACGAGCGCGGTGACGCACGTCATCGCGGAGCCGCCGTTGATCGTGGCGTTGCCGACGAGGAGCAGCTGCGCTAGTCCGTGAGCGTGCATCCCCGCGTGGGCGAGGCAGAACGGAGGCAGCCGCTCGAGCAGCATCGGGAAGAGATCTGGCGCCGTACATTTACTCGTGGCTAACACGCCCACTATACTGAGGATGTCGCGCGGGGCTAGTTTTGTTTCGGGGCACAGGATTTGGAGGACATCCCAGCGGCGCGCTTCGGCGGCCCTGAAGGCGGGAACCCGGCCGAAACGGTCCCTCTGAGCCAGCTCCCCCGCGCCTCGCTAATCTCGTCGATATCCGCGAGCGTGACCTGGCCGTCCCGCGCCCTACAGTGCCACTCGTTCCAGCCCATGGCCTCGGCAATCTCGAACGATTGATCGCCGGCGCGTGTTTTACGAATGCCTCGATAACGCCGGCCGTCCCACGAGCCAGGGCGACGTCAAACGCCGTCTCGTCTTGATACCGCGGGTGTCCGTGGGGGCGCCGGCGGACACTAGTGTTTCAATGACGTCGGGAGACTGCCCCAAGGCCGCGTAGTGGAGGGCCGTCCAGCCGCGGTCGTCCTGCGCGCCGAGCAGGGCGCGAAACTCCTTCTCTTCTATGGCCAACGAGTTCAGCATCGCTGACATTAAGTCGTCCTCTTGCATGATGATGCTGTGGTGCAAGATCGTCCGGCCGCTCGAGTCCGTGGCTAGGGGTGAATGTCCCCGTCCTCGACCCCTTGCCGGGCATCCTCGATCTCTCTTCAATCCTCCGCAAAAGTCCGCGTGGTCCTCGTACTCGTCCTGGACCTCGCCCGCGGCGGCCTTGGCGCTCCCCGGAACCTTGAACATGCGGAGTTTTAAGTTCCAGGCCCTCTCCATCCCGAGCGCCCGCCTTTGCCCGTTGATAGTGGATTCGTAACGGCCGAGAAGCCGGTCTAGTGCCGATCGCTCCGCCAGCGCTGCGGCCGCTCGAGTACAGCCTCCCTCGGTGGCCCTATGATATGCGTTCTTGCCCGCGGCGTCCTGGATGGCCCCGTCGGCTCCGAGCAGCTGGAGATGCCTAACCATCACCTCCCAATCATGACAGGCCGCTAGGTGGAGGGCCGTCTGGCCCGCGTTGTCCACCCGGTCGACTATTGGCAACCTGTTTGAGTCGCAGTTCCCCACCTGGATCAGGTCCGATAGCGTGCCGCTGCGTCCTCTGTGGAGGGCGGCCAGGTGCACTACCGTGCGGCCGCGGTCTGTGCGATCATTACGAATGTCATCCCACGCGCGGGGCGGGTCTACCGTCATTTGCGCCTGGGGAGGCTCCCAGATGTCGGCGAAACTACTGCGGTGCCCCGCCGCCACGGCGCTGTGCATCAGGGTCCACCCGTGGGCATCAGCCCGAAGATCCTCCCCGGCCTCCCCTCTTGCTAACAGTGCGCGAACAATGTCGGGTCTGTTTTCTGCCGCGGCCCGGTGGGCGGGGTGATGCCGTACGCGTCCGGCTGCTGCGGGTCGGCGCCGTGCTCCAGGAGCTGCTCAACGAACTGGTCGCGGCCTAGGGACGCCGCCCACCACACAACGGACGCGCCGTTGGAGTCGACCGACGTAGCGGGAACGTCGGGAAGAAGATGGAGGAACAAGGCGTACAAGTCAAAATACGTCGTCACGTGGAGGCTGGAGAATCCCCTGGGTAGTTGCGCGCCCGGGTGGATGCCGCCGTGGGCAAACCAGTACACTCGCCAGCTCAGCTCCATATTGGGTCGGCCTCCATCGAGAAACCTTGCGCCGATCCGGAGGGTCGTTGCGTCCATGTCCCCGGCCTTCCGCGCGTGCAAGAACCAGTGCCCGGCTGCGTACACGAGCGCACCGAGAACACCGCTCGCCGGAGAGGATAGGCGTACGACATCGGTCAATTCCAGGCCGGATCCGGTCGGTGACGCCTCGGTAGCGAGGATATTCAAGGAAAGGTAACGCATGCAAACGGCCGTGGCGATGGAATCGTGAGGGAACAGAGGCGGGGCTTCATGGTACTCTGCTGCCATGGACAGCACCCGCTGCTTGTTCAACCGCTCCGCGGCCGTGGAGTGGGTGAAGCAAACGGCTTGTCTTTGGTCGCCACATACAACCAACCCTCCCGTGATTGATTCGATAAGCTCTTGCGGATTTTCGGAGTGTATAGGCACGTAGTACGCGCTTTCGTCGTTGTCCTCGTCCTCACCAGCGGAGCCTGATAGTCTAACGGCGAGGAGACTGAGAAGTTCATCGAGTGTGAGCAAGCGACGGGCCGAGAGTATCCAGAAGAAAACAGCATAAGCCATCTGTTGGGCACCGTGTGGGGAGGCGTCAACTTCAGCAAGTATTTCATCGTATATATCATTGACGTCATCCGAGAGGTTTTTGACCATTTCGACGACGGTATCTTCCTCAGCATTGGACCGTCTCAGCCGCTGCATCGCGAGACGCACCCCAAGAAACGTTGCATGGGGGCCTTCCAAACAGCCTTGAATACACCCTAGCTGCTCGGCGGAACGATCCCCGGGAAGGTCATTGAGCTGATCCCGGATGTAGCGCCCCAGACTTTTGCCAAAGAGGTCCGGCGTCATGGTGAGAGACGCCGCTTCGTCAAACGTCCATCGCTGCGTATAATTCACGAGATCCGGTAGTCCCCTCCCCACGAGCAAGATCTTGAACTGGCGGGGATGATGTCCAGGATCTTACGTAGCTCAACTCGGTCGGCACACTCGTCGATGCCGTCGGCCGTGAAGCAGCACACTACCACCACTTTTAGTAGCGAGGTGAACAAGTCCCGCACCTGCTCTTTGGTGGCGACCCGCGTTGCCCCGATACGCTGGCGTGCCCAGGCGAGGCGCATGGCCTGGGAAGAGTGGGAACAGGACATGGCAACCAGTTGGTAGATCCAGGTACGGAGAAGGGCATCGGTGAGGGTGCGCGAGTTGTCGCTGCGGTCGAAGAAGAAGCGCATGGCGTCCTCGCCGTCGCCGCTCATGTTCCGCAGCAACTTGACGTACGCGTGCGTTTTCCCGCAGCCGGGAGGCCCGCTGATCCACAGCAGTTGGGTCTTTCGCTCCCTCTTCCACCGCACGACCTCGGGATGTTGAAGGACCCAGTCGGTCGTGTGGGGCTGGAGGCGGAAACGGTCAATGTCGGTATCGCAGTCCTGGACGCCTAGCCAGTTCCCGATGTGCCGGAGGGCCAGGTCGTGTCGCTGCTGAAAGGGGGCCATTGTGTTGTTCATTTTCCCTGCCGTATTCAGGTATTCCTCCGACACGCGCCGCTCCCAGCTTGCCTCCGGATTTGGATCCTCCGACTCGATCATGTTTGCCAGTCTCGCTTCTCTCTCTACAAAGTCAGCCGGAATACAGATGCGCTTCAACGATTGTTTTAGCCTGCCCTCTGATAGCGGGCGGCTCTCGGTGGCCCAGTTTCGGGGTTTCAACAAAAGTCCACAACTCGCAGATACACCACAGAGAGAGCGTAAAGCAAATCCGAGGACCTGCTATAGAGCTTTCTATACCCTCTAAACCTCGGCAACACATCTGTGAGCCGTCCCAGTACACGCACAAACTTATTCGCCGATCTCCGGGAGCTCCCGCAGTCTAACATCCATCACGCGCGCGTTAGCTCGTGCACCTCTGGAGGGAATGATGGAGTTTTGCACTTACATCCAAGGCGAGTCGAACGAGGCCCCAGATTGGCGAAGAGGATTTCACCGTTCGCGGAGACAGGCCTTGAGAGGAGAACCACTCTACCGGTTCGGTGACGAGTTGTACTCTTCGTATGAAGCAGATTAATTCCTCGGTCTGATGGTAAGTACCCTTCATTCTCTCCATGTCGTAGATTATATCTTCTGGCTCCGAGTTTCTGAATTTCAGCCATACCTCCTCAGGAAGGCTGGCGGCGCACTTCTCGGCCGCTTCCGTCGATGCACCCGAAACCGCGAACGGGGATGTACGGCTCTCGGAAGACGACATGGAGCCTATCGTGGGACACAGAGTATATTCTCTTTTGATTTTTTTCGTCTCTTCTTTCAACCGGATTATGTGCAAGGAACTCTAGTTGACATGGATCGGCTACCATCAACCAAGTCCAGGGCGAGAAGCACACCGGTGCTAGCTGCCTGGAGTGCACATTCAAGTCGATTCCCAGCCCAACCATGCACGGCAGGGCGGAAAGAGCGTGAATACCGCGACGATGCACGTGACATTCTCCTCTCCCGAGTCATTGTTGAAGGACGTTCACATATTCCGGCCAAGAAACAGCCCTTGGCCGTTACACAAAGGACAGGCAGGAGCATGAGGGTGAGAGGGGTGCCTCCTCTTGCCCTTGACCGTGCAACGGCCAGCAGGGACAACTCGTAGAATCTTTGTGCGCTAGAAAATAAACAACCGCTTGTTCTACCCGACTCGATGTGTGTAGCTGCCATGATGGTGAATAATCTCTTCCCATCTCTCGTTCCCTTACCACTCTTGTACAAGTCTAAATGTGGAGTTTTCCGAGTCAGGTTGCTGCTCCCATACAAATTAACCTTGCGCAAGAAAGTTCGCCGTCCCAACTTTGAACCCTTGTACACGCTAGCAACCCACGAATCTGGTCTAAGCTCGATATACGATAGCCCAGGCCCCGCAGCGCTCCTGCTTCATTGGTCCAATGTGGCTGCTATACTCGAACCTCGCCGGATGCACGCAGTTTGTCCTCCACCTTTTTTTTGCCGCCTCGTGGAGAAGAGAGAGAGAGAGAGTTTTGATCTAGCGAAACGCCATTCCTCCCTTGGCTGAAGCTATGGTTCTTGGAAGAGGTTGGCTACCGGAGGCAATCCGCCGACCTATTGTAACGAAATACATTCGCTGATCGGCGAGACTTGAGTTTACATTTAAAGAGGTTCGCGCGCGCCAGTGGGAGACCAGTGTACCGGTGCGGCGGTCCCTTGAATTCGTTCTCGCTAGTTCAGTCATTCCTTGGTCATTTATAGCACGCGGTGTAGGACGACCCATGTTTCGGTGATCTTCTCCAACCAGCTTGATCGCGCTGTCCTTGTAAGAACAAAGGAGCTTGATTGTCCTGATGGAGCCTCCCTCCAACGGGGAGTTTTCGGAGAAGACGGAAAAGGCCGGTATGTTACATTTGTCCCCGGCCCGCGGCCCCGTGAGCCAGCTCCCGACGTCTTTGCAAGCGCGAGTCTCAACTTCTGACTTATCGCAACAATGGTTTAATTCAACGCGATAGACCCCTTTCCATCAGACTCAAGGACCCAGATCGAGAGAACTCAGTCACCAGACGCCGCCGTTGACAATGCGGACCCCGTCTCGCCCTGTTCCAGCAACCTCTCCCCGAGCCCAGCCGGCCCAAGGGGTTGGCCGCGCACCCGACGCAAAACCACCACGTTCTTCTTCGAGCGGTGGTCAGGATGGTCATCACCTTGGCGCTCGTCGCCGGCATGTACGCCATGCTTATCGTGTACCAGAATAAACGCACCATCACCGTCAAAGGCAGGCGTATATTTAACGCGGTGACCACGGCCATACTGATTCTACTGGTGATCAACGTGTTTTCGTCCCTTGGCGAGGCTACGTTGAATATTCGCTGGTACATCTTGAGCCGGCGGTATCGGCCGGTTAAACAGGTGCGTCCCAGATTGCTCTTGCTTGCTTTATCGGAGCTCGTCTCGCGCCCCGTCTATAGGGGTACTGACGAAGACTGGTATCTGTTTTAAAGAAACGAGCGTCTGCTAACTTTGGGCAATGAAACTTGGGGAGGTTTCTACAGGTCGAGCAGATTCTTCGTAGCGATGACGTGATCCATCTTCTCAAGCTCGCGACAGGGAGCAAAAGGCCATAACCATGGTAGTTGTAGCCTTCTGGCTCGTTTGCAACTTGGTATCCTACGCCCTGTCCAACCTCGGCGCCAGCGGAGCTATTAGCTAACCAAGTCAACACAAAAGGCCGTGCAGATCGCGTACGCGTCCATGACCCTAACGTACGGGATGTCGAGCAACTGGGACATGGCGCTGTTGAAGCCAGGCAAAATCTCGATCCCCGAGCTCAGCAACATCAGCACGCTGAACCTCGTGGCGCCCAGCAATATTCTACATCAAGGCCAGCAATACCTCGCCAACAGGTAAGCCGTTTCCCTCCCAGTCCCGCCTCATTTCCCTCCCCTTCTAGCCTCCTGAGTACAGCCACAAAGACCTCAGCATAGTCTACGGCGCTCCAAGACTCGTCGCTAACAACCCCCTTCCATTTTTTAGGTACGGCTTGATATCACTAACGTACGGAACGGCGTTTATGGAGGACCAGCCCGTCCCGAGACAGCTCTGGTACTCGAGCGACCCCGCCGTGTTCTGCCAGGGAGACAACAGCGTGTGCACCTACTTTTTCACGAAACGTCCACCAAGTCCTTCGACGACCCCAACTACGGCCTCATCAGCGCCGTCTCGAACCGCAGCATCAACGCCAGCACCAACTGCGACGCCTGGCCCATCGTCTGGGGCGGCGACGGCGGCAATGGCAACATCACGTTCCGGACGGACGACGGGGACCTGGAATTCTCCGTGCCCTGGCAGGGGTTTCAAAATCGCGCCACGTTCCTGCTGGACACGGAGCGCGACTGTGGGCCCCGGTGCAGCGTCATCAACGTGTTCGAGTCCTCGTTCACGTCACCTTGGTTCTACGAGTGCAACGTCACCATCGGCGCCGTCGCCAACGTGACGCGGGAGATTGAGCAAGTCGGCCCCGCGCTCGCGCAGCTGGCGTCGCAGAGCATCGCCCTGCGCGGCTATACGTACACTTTTACATCCACCAACGCGACAACCGCCGACGATGGCGACAGCGACGACGAACTCCAGTACGCCGTGTACCCGGCTGAGACGTACATAGGGCAGCCCCAGAACGGATCGACCGAGACCATGGGCCTCATCATCTCGCGCTTCAGCGTCGGCGTCATCGCCGTGGCGGCCCGGGACAATGACAAAATCTCCGTGGACGGGCACGAGCCCTTTGTCGGGGCCGAGCTTACCGTGTCGCACTGGGACTGGGCCAACGCCATCCTCATCCTCACCGCCATCGCTCAGGTCGCCATGGCCCTCGTCAACTTTTGGGTCACGCGCAAGGTGATCCTGCCTTCCAACGGCATCGTCGACGAGGCGCGGATCTTGCGGCCGATGATGGTGGAGGAGGGCCTGTTGCGGACGTCGCGCGCGCGGGTCTTGCCCAAGGTGAAGTCGACGAAGCCCCCGTCGGAGTGGATATATAGGAACGTGCCAATGGGAGATGGGTTGTTCGACTTGTTCTTGGAAATGAAGGTTCCCTAGGCAAAGTCCGATGTATGTAATTCTATTTTTATTCCTCTTTACAACAAGCCCGCCGGTTGGTCGTGCAAGATGCGCGCTGTCATGTTGAGCCACTTAAGTCTCCTCGCCGTGCCTCAATCCCTCCTTCACTCTTGGCCCCTTTGCCCAGCAACGGCGCGTAATGAGTGTCACCACATCGTGTTCGGCTTACTCCTCTTAGCGAGAAAAGCCTGCATCACCGCTAGAGAGTATATATATATATTGACGGAGCTCAAGACACAGCACAAGGTATCAAATTGACGCTGTGGACCTATCCTCACGTGGCAAGACCACACATTGCCTTTGTCCTTGCCAAGGCCAAGCCAGGCGAGCGGTCGAAAGACAAAGCCGCCATCGAGTCCTGATAGGTCCCCGAATGTCGTCTTACGATCGTTGTAGCAGAGTCTCTAGAAAATCATAGCACCACTCCTGCGGTGTCCCCTACCACCGCGTGAGAGAGGAGGGGGTCTCACTTTTCGCCCACCGTCGCGCTCTCGGCTAACTAGGCCATCTCGGGTGCTGGCCACCCTAGTTGCGAGAATCATTCCCTCGGCCATGACATATCGCTCGAAACCGATTGGCGAGCCTGGGTTGGAAACGTCGGACAGCTTCTGGAGAGGAAGCTAGCGGAGTCCGGGCGCGGAGCGGAGCTAGGGCCGAAGAAGCAGCGGGTCAACAGACGAAATATCGCTAAACTCTGCCGGTTTTCCGTGCCTGTACGTATCCTTTCTCGCATATATCTACGTAAACCCTTGAACGAAGCCTCTTTTTGGTTCAAAATATCCCGTTCCAGGAGTGAGATATTGACAGCAACATAAATAGGTAGTGCGGCTGAAAAGTGGTTTTTTTGGGGGACTGGAATCGTTAAGAAAAAAGAACAACAGTCAATACAACACAAGCGTGACATCGCTAGGAGGGTTCGTTTTTTTGTCTCGGACACCGTCAGCTCTGCGCCAGGTACTTGGAGCACCTCTCACCGCCGGACTTCCCCACGGACATGAACAGCGACAGTGGCGCCCTCGTTCGTCCACCACGCGTTGCCTCCCTGCAAGTTGGGACATTGACGGGCGAGCTAAACAAAGAGCAGCTTGATCGTTCCCGTATTCGATCGAGGCGCCATCGGAGGCGTCTAATTCGGCCCCCATATCTCGTCCCACAAGCGATGGTAATTGCTATTCTTCTTTCATCCCGTTTATAGTGGTGTTATTTTAGCCCTATGAGCCCCTCCGAGCAGAAAGGAAACAGCAAGCAGATGAGATGAGTGCCATGAAAAAGCAAGTTTGAACGAGCATAAAATTAGCTGTCTCGCAATACTAGAAACTCGACACACCAAGACGCGGGAAGAGAATCAAAACATCTTCATACACCAGGTACCCTTGGTTCCACGCTCCGTAAAAGAGGGATACTACACTACAGGCAAAGAAAAAGACGGGAAAAGAATAGAGGGAAAGGGCCCACGAGGGGGATGACTCTGGTATCTAGACTCTATCACAGATCAGCTCCCACGATGTGACATTTGGACCCAAAGCATTGGTTCCCGGCGTTCCTCAAGGACGGGCCCTGTTGCATGCTGCAATTCCGACAGGAACGTTTGCATCCTCTTGGCGGACGACCATCGCCATAATCTGTACAACGTTTCATATTCTTGGCCCTACGTGTTGTTCGTCGGGAAGCGAAACCTCCCCTCCTCTCTTCCCATCCTAGTGTCACGGAACGATTCTCGTCCCATCGCGGTCTCGCACCCATCGACATACTGCCGTGGCCTGCTTCTCTCTACCTAAAACACAATCTCGCCAGGCAACCTCATTCCCTCACCGTGCCTAATAGACAAGAAACACCCACCACGGCTTGTTGAGTAGTGGGCGAGCGTCTCGCCACACAGAACCGGCAAGAAAGAAAATAAAAGCCCATCGCTGACTAGAATGGGGAGGAGACGCCCCGAAACCAGCGTGAGTGATCGGCAAACACAAAGTCTCGAAAAAGCAATGAGGCTGACAACCCGCCTCGCACCATCCAAGAGAGACGTAGCTCTCCGTCCCTCGCCAATCCGCCGTTCCGAGGAGATAGGGACCTGGCCGCATATCCCTGCCTGAGTTTGCCCGGGGATGGATAAGCCATTGGGGACCTCCGCCTTGAGCCCTACGCCCATCCAGCCCAATCTTTCTTCGATCTCTCTTCTTCTTTTTGGCTTATCTACTCCTTCGGGGACTGGCAAACGAGAGGCGCCGACCGTATAATGATGCCTTAGAGCTCTCTTTCAAGCCCTAGCTAGATGATCCCCGGAGAACGACGGGCCTTCGGTCACCTCGCTCACTTCGCCCTTCAACCTCTCCGCCCCCTCCCATCCCCCTCCTACGTAACTCACGATGCGCACTCAGCCGGGAGAAGGGTTTCCCCACCCACGCTAAAGAAAGAAACAGATTTACGGTGCATGGCAGAGCAGAGCGCTGCTGCTCCCACCGCTGTGTAATCATGTCTCCAGCGCACCAGGTCTAAGTCTGGGATGTATGGTGTCTCAGGAATTCCCTGCGGGCGGAACGCCTCGAACAGAGAAAAACCCACATGTACGTACGGTGTACCCCAAACCCCTAATAACATAACCTCCACACATATCTCCTCTTCCCTCTCCCTCCTCTCCCCCTCCACCCCCTAGAGAACCCACATGTCTCCTGCCTTTCCTTTGTTTTTCTTTGTTCTCTTTTCCCCATTCCCTTACGCTCGAGAGGCCATCTCTCGGTATCTGAAGAAATCCACACATCACTAACCTCGCCCACCTCGAGAAGCGGCCAGGACTAGATAGAGAAAGCAAGGCGAGCTTTCTTATTTTTTGTTCTACACGGCCCGAGTAACTCTCCCATCAGCTCCTCGCCTCTGAGGCTTCCCGCCCAAGATGGAGGCCATCACGCAGCAGCACTCTCCCATCCTCCACCCGCAGAACAACACATCAGAGGAGGCCGTCGACTCCCAGGGCCTCCCCTGATCCTCATCTACCTCGGCCTCCTCGTCGTCCCGGGCCTCGTCTTTGGCGCGCTCAAGCGCTTCTCCAGCCTCCAGCCCGAGTCGAAGCCCTGCCGCGAGATCAAGGACGGCAAGTTCCCCGGGCCCAAGCAGTACCCCATCATCGGGCGCATCCACGATCTCCCCGCTTCGGGCTATGGCTCAAGTTCAAGGAGTGGGCCGACGAGTTCGGCCCCATCTACCAGACGAGCATGCTGGGCCAAAAGTTTGTCATCATCTCGGACGAGAAGCTGGCGCAGGAGCTCCTCGTCAAGAAGGGCAACAGCTTCGCGGGACGACCCCAGATCCGTGCCCTAATCAACCACAAGGCCGGACCCGTCTACTCGGCCCTCATGGACAGACATGGTACGTGAGAATATAAGATTTTCTTTTGTCAGTGAATGGCTCAGCTCTTCTGTTCGAGATATAATGAACAGTTAGCTAACTAGAATCGTGTCTCCCCCTCGCCTCAGAAATGTGGACATACCAGCGCAAATGGGTCCACTCCGCCATGGCCAACGCCCACAGCAACCACTTCTACGGCCACATCGAGAGCGAAGTCAAGCGCTTCATGGCCACCCTCGTGCTCGACCCGGACAAGTTCCACAGCAACATCCGCGAGCTCACCGGCCGCATCATGTCCCGCCTCGCCTGGGACGACGCCACCCAGGGCAAGATGAACGGCGACCAGGCCATCGAGACCCTCACCCGCATGTCCGTGTCCGGGCCCATCGTCAACACCGTCACCCCGCTCTGGCACATTGGCGATTTTCTCCGCTTCAACCCCTGGCGCCGCTACGAGATCCGCCGCGAGCGCAACCTCAAGGCCTGGTGGGTCACCCTCGTCCGCAGCGCCCGCGCCCGCTACATGCGCGGCGAGCTCCCCGAGGATACCTGGACCTACCGCTACTTTGAGCAGGTCAAGGCCTCCGGAAACACGGATGTCAACCTCAGCCCCACCGACGAGGAGACCACCGGCTGCATGCTCGGTTTTCAGTGCCTGGTCGGCGTCGTCACGCTCTCCGGCCCTACGCAGTTCTTCTTCATGTGCATGGCCCTGCACCCCGAGTGGCTCAAGAAGTGCCAGGAGGAGGTCGATCGCGTCTGCGGGGACCGATTGCCTACCGTTGCCGATTCTCCTAACCTTCCTACTGTCCGCGCTTGTTTGAAGGAGACCCTCCGTTGGCGCTCTGGCGTCCCTCTCGGTGCGTTGACATCACCCCCGCTTGCTTACCTTCCCATTTTTCAAGTCAAATACTCCGCATGCACCGTATACTAACCACCAATCTATCCCTAGGCGTCCCCCACCAATGCGAAAAGGATTCCGAATTCAAGGGCGTCAAGATTGAAAAGGGCACCATCGTCCTCGCCTGCGAATGGTAAGAAATCCCTCATCCCTCTCTCTCTCTCTCTTCCTTGCTTCCGTTCATCTCCTCATCCTCCCTCCCAGGAACATGAACCGCGTCGAATCCGAATACCCCGACCCCGAAAACTACCACCCCGAGCGCTACCTCGACCCTTCCTTCCCCTCCTACCAGGAACCCCTCACCAAGTACCCCAACTTCCGCGACGGCAAGGGCATGCACACGTTCGGCTGGGGCCGCCGCACCTGCCTCGGCCAAACCATTGTCGACGACGAGCTCGTCGTCACCGGCGCCTCCCTCGCCTGGGGCTTCGACGTGTCCCGCAAGGTCTGCCCCGCCACCGGTCGCCCCATCGACTTCGACACCCAGGCCACCAACTCCAACGTCATCCTCGAGCCCTTGCCCTTCCCCATCGATATCCGGCCCCGCAGCGACGCCAAGGCGAGGGAGATCCTCGCCCAGTACGCCGAGATTAGGCCCTTCCTCAAAGTCTAACTCAGGCCTAGCTAGCCTCGTGCGGCAAATCGTCTGTGCCAATGGGCTTCCAAGCGGCTAGGCAGAGACTTGAGAGAGTCGAAGAGGAAACGCGTAGAGGGGAGAGAGTAGGGCACGGCGGGGGCTAGGAGAGGGAGCTGGATGTAGAGGCGCGGCAGCCAAGGAGGGCTATATTAGATTGATACTGCGTGCATCATCTCGCCTTGTTAGATTTGCACGCATCTTCCATTTTTCCCACACCTTTTCTTTTCCCCTTCACTTCCACCACTCAAAGAAACAAGTTTAATCAGGATAAGGAGTCTGGAGTTTGGAGGGTTTTGAGTAGACCCCTTTGGCGCCTGAAGAGGCTCACAAATATCCTCACATAGATATATATTCTCAGACGGACCAAATTCCCCATATTTTCTTCTGGATTCTAGTCTTAAATAAACTGTGGAAATTCATGGCATTATCCTCTCAAATTGATCCCTGCCTTACCTTCCTACATTAGAAGCCCCCAAGTTGTGGCTAGCCGACACTGCATCCATGTAGTCAACAGCTGGTGCATCTTACCTCGATTCAAAACCTCACTGAAAGCCAAGCTTATTGGCGACATCTAGAGTCACGACAAGGTATTGGAACCCAATAAATGCTTCATTAACACTATTCTATCAAGTCACTCCACCTGGAAGTGGTCGCGCCAGGGCCCGGTAGAGACCCCCGTTCTAAGTTTCGTCGTCAGCCATCATAAGAAAACATAAGAAAATGCACCCCCAACGCCATAACCATATAATCTTGTCCAACCCCCAGACCCACTGACACCGTACTAAGGGAATGGATGCTTATGCACAGAATACAAATCAAAACGTCTACTCCCAAGCTCCTCTTCTACACAATCTCCGAGGCAGGTACCATAGGAGGAGGCGCCCTAGACCCTTGTCGTTTTCGACCCCAAATCCGTCGTCCATTACTCAACGTGCTTTGAGCCGTACCTGTCCGGTCCAACGTCGGGCTAGCAATCGAGATATCGTTACTGCGTCTCTCATGGATGCTGTCGCGAACCGAACGGTTCCGGTTAACGTTGAGCTCTCGGCGGGTGGAATAGACATCTTGAAATCCGCAAACGACTCCTCGGCAAGCTCCGAAACGCGGGGCTCGGTTCGAAGTCGGGATAGACCTGTCGTCGTTGTTGAACTATTCCTCCCAAGTTCATCCATCCCGTGATGGTCCGTGTGAGCGTGCGAGTGCATATGGTCCTTCCGGCTCTCGTGATTGCCATAGGCCGGAGGAGCTGTGCCATGCCAATACAGAGGGAACTCGCGGCTACCGCCAGGCTCGTTCCTGTACGGTCCTTGGATACCAAGGTCCATCATCTGCCCCATCAATTCCGTCGCAAAACGGTTGTGTCGTGACAGACGCAGCAACTCGTTTTGATAGCTGCTCTTGTGGAAAAAGATGAAGTTCATCGTCGCCGAGCGCAACTCGTCGAGTGTTCTAACCTCGGTCAAGATTCTGGCGTGGTAATCGCGCTTGTTGGCCAAGCAAAACTGCACCATTCTCGCCTTGAGCTCATTCACCTGCTCCTCCGTCGTGCCAAAGCGGATCTTGAGCTCGATCGGATCCGCCAGGGCGTTGCTACGGCGGTGGTTGAGAATGAACAGCGTATTGAGCGTCGAGTTGGGCGCCTGCACAATATGGCCCTCCATCTTCTTGAATTCAGTGTAGAGAAGCGAGATAGTTGTCACGTAGTAATCGTCGCCACGACCCAACGCACCCGTGTTGCCATAAATCGTCACACGGTCGCCGACATCGAAAGGGTGCTTGACAAAGACGAAGATGATGGACTGCAAAAACTCCTGAGCGGTGGCTTGGAGCATCCACGCCAGGCCGAGAACAGTAGTCCCGGCCGAGGCCAATGCGGAGGCTGCCGAACCTGAGATGATGGAGATAAGAATGATGATGGCGACCACGATAATGACAAAGACAAAGACGTTGTCCAGCTTCTTAATCACGGAGTCGAGATCCTTCATCGAGGCCGCGATCGCTTTCCGCTCCAGATGAATTTCGTTGCACACACACTCAAACTCCTCCATTGAGATATCCCCATTAAGGTCCCTGTCGAAGATGCCAAAGGCTTCTTCAGCCTCGTCCGCGTCAGGGAAGACGACTTGCATGTCTTCCACCAACACATTGTCCCTTCCTTCAACACGGAGAGCTCGGTAGATAATACGAGCAAGCACGTGGGCTGACTTGGATTCGCGAAGAAGTTCCGTCACAACCTTTCTGGGATGGTTGACTGGAACTTTCCGGCCAATAAAATCGTTTCCGAGCTTGTTGGCAAGCATACCGACTTTAGACCAGGCCTGGCGTGCGTTTTCCGAAAAAGCCTGCATCGGGGTTCGCGTGCCACTCGGTCCATCCGTGTCGTCGAGGTCGGGGATTTTGTTCTTGGAGTACTCGTACAATCGAGCCAATATCTGGATGGCACCCTTGTTGTTGCTTTGTCGAAGGGCATACGTACGTTGGTGGAAAGATGTTGCGATCCACTGGATAAGGACCTTTTCGACGAAATTGAGGGTCGATAGGACAAAAAGAGAGATGATTACCTTGTAAACAATCGGGATCCAATTAACGTCAGGCTCGTTATCGCCATCTTTGATGGGAACCCGATGGTTATTCAGCGTGGGAAGGTACGAAACAAGGACGGCCAGCATCCATAAAAACAAGCCAAAGGGCAGTTCAAGCCGATGGCCAACATCCTTCCACTTCTTAGGAGTGTTGGACGCGACGAGGATGGCAACGCCCTTGAAGATCCAAGGCACGACGCTTGTGATCATGCGAGAGACCCAGAGGCTGCACCAGACGATCTCTAGCCAGATGCCAAACCACATGACGTCTACGCCACCGTCTCCGCCAACAGGGTTGATGCCGGAAGTGTCAACGAAGTACCCTATCAGTACAGGGATCAGAAGCAACAGAGCACCTGGGATGAGATAGAGGAAGTAGCGGATAAATCGAGGGAATTTCTTGACACGGAGCCAGAAACGGTAAATGGGGGTGTCGGGCTGTTGAGGATCTTGTGCCCGCGTTCGCGTCTCTGGAGGGGCGAAATCATCGTCACTATCCTCGTGCACCACCTGCTGTGTCCGAAGCTTGGTGCCTTTGGCCGTCAGCTCATGCTCACGCGTGGACACAAGCCTTTCTGCTCGCTGCAGCTCGACTTCATCGAAAAGAAGCGTGTCCTGGTCTCGGGTACCAGTGATAGAGATGGCGGAATGGTCTTGGGGTGGGCGGTATAGAGTGTTGCTCGTGTTGGCAGACAGCTTTTCGTCGAAAGGATCTTGCGGCGACGCTGCCTCCGTCGGGGGCGGGGCCGGCGGAGGAGGCATATCGAAGGATGTGGTGGTCTAGCCCAGAAACACCGGATCTAACCCGGTAGGTAGGTAGGTTAGCAAAAAAGAACCAAACAAAGAAATCCATATGGACATGATAGACAACGACGAACCTGTTTGCGCACGTGTGGAAAGCGCCTAGATAATTTAGAAGAAAGATAAGTCGCGGTCACCGCGGCCGGTAATACTGCGTGGTTGGATATTACAAGGCCAAGCGATTCGGAAGAATGGCTGTAAGTACGTGGGATAAAACAGGACAGAAGGGATAGAGATGAGGAAAAATTGGTGTTATGCGGAAGGCGTTATTTGTTGTTTGGGAGAGTAATCGTTTATTAAACAGCAAGACAAAGAAGACAAAAGGGGGAAACACGAGAGAAAAATTGGGTCGAGATAAGACCAGCCAAGGGAAAGGCCAAGTTCTTGGACGAAAACTGGTGGGTAATGCTGCAGCTCGATGGATGCTGTGGCGATGCCGTTGAGAGTTTTTCTGGCGTAGACGGGGTGCTCCTGATGTACAGCTGTAGAATCTGAGCTTGGCCGGACCCTTTCCGGCTCGGGCTAGGTCAGGAGCAAGTGAGACGCACGCACCACGGCTGAGAGACGGGGAAACACCTAAGCTGTCGAATATATCCGGCTTGGAACCGCAGGAAGGAACAATGGAAAGGTAAAGATCTCAACAAGCGGTAGGCAAGAGCGACTATGTTGTCTATAACCCGGGAACAGAATCTGGGAGCTGGAGGAGGGTACGACCTGGTACGGATGGGATGGGAGGGTATGGGTACCCCTTAGATATAAACTTTTTGGTTCTATTCGGTAGGAGGTACACCTTCCCATCTCCTCGCAAAAGGTATTTCAAAAGTAACGATGAATCGCCAGTTCAGTTTTGGATAAGAGACAGATGACGAACACTTCATCTTGAAGAAGGGGCTGCCAACTGGAGACTCAATGGGGCCGCCAAGAAAGTAGCGCATCGATTTGAACACAGAGGTCCTGGGGGCCCGGGACCTTGGGCAGGACCAGTGACAAGACTACAGAAGGCGAGAAGTTTGGGAGGGAAAAATAAAAAATAAAAATAAATCTCCGGGCGCCGCGGTGGTTGTGCGGCCCGGGAGGGAGGAGGGGTGATGGAGACACTCCTCATGAATTTACAGAAGCCGTTGTTGCAAATCCCATGTTGGCGTGCGCGCCAGGGATCCAGCGATGGACGCCGAGAGTACCTCTTACGTCGATGCGATGCGACGCTATCCAAGCATCCAACTTGGCAAGAGCCCGCACGAGAATTCCACGTCTTTCCTAGTAGCGCATGCTTGGGTTTTCATTGGGCCAACGGAAGGGAAGGAGCTAACGAAAACCTAGTAGTTGGCGGTTGGGTGATGGGAACATCATTGATACAGGTAACGTTATAAAGGATGCGCCGGACGCAGAGGACGGAAGCTCAAGTGTGGGAAGTGGAACGGCAATAGGTACGGCTGAGGGTGAGCAAAGAAGAGTTCTCTGTGGACACGCCCTTGGAACATCAATCCACCTCTCTTGGTCCTTCTCCACTAGTTATTCGCCGAGTACAATGCAATAGCAGAGAAAGACAGGCAAGACAGGCTCAGCAACTGTCACATTGAGACGGCGATGGAGAACAACAATAGGGGATCAAGAAGGAAGGGAGGGAGGGAGGGACCCACAGGCGGAATTCCATTATTCAACCGGTATTGCCCAAGTACTGATAGCGCCATTTTGGCTATAGTTTGCGAGGTAGAAGCTCGGAAAGAACAAAGTGATGACGGGTGAGGGAGTAAAAGGGTTCAAGCATGGACAGTGGCGATGTAAAATTTTCATGCTCGAGCGCTCAGCTCTATTGATCCATTCATTAATTCTTTTTCTTTTTCTTACCGTCCAAGAGGGCGGCTAAGCTTGTCCGCGGGAACTACCTTGAGAAAATGTTTATGAAACGACCGATAAGAAGAAAAAGTCTTCGCTGGTTGATGATATCAGGCAAAATTAACGCACCGCCCATTCGTCAGGGAGGCAGGCACAACCTCGCCGCATGGCTCGCTCATTCTTAGAGCACCGGCTTTGAAAGAGAAGAAGGGCTCAATGGCTGGACCTTCCCTCTTTCTCAAGGACTAGGACTTGCGCCAGGTCGCCCAAGGAAAGATCGGATGGAGAAGGAACATTGAAAGCAAGCAAATCCGCAAAGAGACTTGGAAGACATTGACGTCACGAGTCATTGGCATCTCCAGTGCTTACGTGTGCCCCTGTATCCAGTCTAGGCCTTTCCATCATTGCGCAGTGGTTCCCCAGGATGCCAATTCGCTCAGATTGATCAATTGACCAAGTGATTCACTTGAGTCCTCGGGCTTTAGGCCTCTGACTCAAAATCTGAACGAAACCTTGAAGGTTGAAGTTTTTCTCCAGGTCGTCTGAAAAATGTTGTGCATCGAGGGCTTGAGATGGCGGCTGTGCAAACAGGTGCCTGCGTGGGGGAACCCTTTCTCCCCCTGCAGGTCATCTATTTTCCCGAGTCATCGGTAGTGCCGTGCCGCAAGCGCCATTGTTGTCCAGTCCAGGGAGAAGAAGCAGAAGAAGGGAAAAAATAAATAAAGGTTCGATTGAACTACATACCCTCCACTACGAGGTACATAACCGGGTGGCTAAGACAGGTGGAGCGGGTTGAGCGAAATCAAAGGACCAGAACTCGAAGAAAACTGACTCATGCACAGCCAATCTGCCACCACAAAAGCGCCAACGTGCAAGACGAAGGATGAGTTGGGTTCACTGCACTGTCGGGAACGAGAAAGAGAGGCGAGTTATTTTCTTCCTCGTCCAACTCTCTCACGTTCCGCACGCGCCCGCGCTGGATGGAAGAGGAGAGGGTGATATTGATGCATAAAGGTGGACCAAGGCGGGCCCTTGGCCCCTCGAGTGGTGCTTTCAGGAGTTGAACTTGAGCTAGCTGGCGTCTCACCACAACGCTGTTATCTCGACGCAAATGTGGATCCAGCACCAAGCAAAACTGGAGACGGGTGGCGAGAGAGTCGAGGCCAGTGACGGGCAAGTCGAAGAATGACACGCCCGAGCTCGAAACGCCGAGGGCCGGTGTTATAATTAGAAGTCGCCTGCCACATTCTTCTCTCCATACTTTGATCCATATTGCTTCTCTCCGAGATCGAGACGGCACCAGCCACGGCTCTCGCCTGCGGTTGGAATATTTCCACGTCCGGCGGCCGGTTGCGCCCTGGCGATTACTTGTTACCCTCTTTTTGCGCGAACCCATCTTCGCTAGTTTGGTCTCGAATATTAATTTTCCCGACTGGGCAATGACTCGACGAGTGTCAGCCCTACAGAAACGAAACACCGCTGTCCCTAGTGGTTGGTCATGTGGTGGTGTGGTGTGGTGCGAGCCGCTCCAACGGTGACGGTGACGATCTTTCGCGTCCGGGCCAGGAACGGGAACGGGTGGCTGGCCAGACAGCTCAAGCAAGGGTGGTCGTTCTTCGGTTTCCTCTAGTCACATTCATTTTTTTTTCTGGTCTCCTTTTTTCTGCACTAGATCAAGACTCGAATCGCGCCTTCGAAATTGCTTAATGTGGAATGTCTCTCATTCAACATGATGCCAACTCCCAGCTTCGACCCTCGCCACGCTCCACCGCCTTCTGGGGTGAGCGTCAATTCGTCGTCATCTCCGCAATGTCTTAGTAGCTTGGCCAAATGAACCGCCGTGGAGATCGTAGGAGATCGGCCGGATTCATCTTATACCAGAGCTGCCAAGTGTACCATTTGCTCTTAATACCTTGCTCCCACAGTAAGCCGCAGGCCTGCGAGCCAGACGGTGCACTCACAATTGGTGTTAAGATCAGTTGTGAGCGAAACCCTCACCCAGCAGGGCCATTTCCTCTCCGAGTTCCCCCAGCCGGGATGTGGCTAAGACTCTAGATCTGATCCTCTTTCTCCCCCAGAGAATCACGCATCACGGGGAAGAGCTGCCAGTGCGTGTTGATCCCTTGTCGTAGACAAAACTGTCTTTTATTTTTATTTTTCTCCGATAGCTCCAGGCTAAGAAGAAATAAGCTATGAGCTTCTTCCCCTAGAGCCACACTCATCCTTCCCGGGCTCCCGCCACCAAAGGTCTGTGAGTCTCGACGATCGTCGTCAAGGCCTCGCACTGTAGTCGTTGGCCGGCCCAGGTGTGTGGCCTTGGTTGCCACCCCCGATGGAAGCACGGGCACGGGCACGGGACACGCAGCTGGTCGAGATGGAGCCGATCCAGGCCACCACCACCAGCCCCATTGCCTCTCCACAACACCGCATCTGAGAAGTTTCGCCCAGCTTGCGACAATCTCGTGTTTGGAGAGTCCATCGTACCCCCGGAATTGCTTTCCGAGTGACACAGTCAGTGACCGTTGAACCTCATCGCCAGCCCCTTGAAATCCTTCTTCGGCTTTGCTCAACTTTTGAGACCTCGAAATTCTCGTCCTCCGCGCGCTCCACAACTTTTCCATCACGCTTGATAGCCCCAGAGCCAAGCTGTCAACTTCGAGCCGCACAGTGCAAATTGAAGGACACCGACCAACCCCCAAGCCATCTGTGGCGCGACCCATCTCGAATTGTGAGCTCACAAGCCACACTTGCTCAGGGCAGCCCAAAGTTGACAAGAGCTTGCTCTCAGGAACAAAGGTGGTTCACGAGCCGCGAGCCATTGGGCCTTTGTGCAGGAGGGGAAAAGTCGGCAAAGGGAAAGGATAGGACGGATCAACAAAAACATCAAATGGCTCTCGGCCAGTCAAACCCCGAGAAGGAGCCCATGCTCGCGCAGCAGGACGGCGACCAGCAGCAGGCCGCTACAGTCCAGAAGTCGAACCCCGCGGTTGACACCGATGGCAGCAGTCCTCAGGGTGCGCCAGTCAGGGGACGAAAACAGCAGCAGCAGCAGCCCCTCCTCCACTCCGCGCTTGAAAATTTACCCCCGCCGAATTTTGTGCTCTCGGCAGCCGCAATTTTCTCTCTCCTCCTCGGCCTCTTCCTCGTTTTTGCCCCTCCTTTTTTCCTCGACCCTCCAGCTCCTGCACATACCGTCTTTTCCACAGTCACCGAAACAGTCACCTCCCTCCAAACCCCAACTTATATCCCAGATCAATCCGCCAGCATGTCTTCCGAGCAGACGTAAGTCGAGACACGACGCATGTTTTACTATTTTCATCATTTCACGAGCTTGATGCTTGGAAAGGTGGCTGCAATGATGCCGATGGCATGATCTCTAACCCTGCTTTTTTCGTACAGCTTCATTGCCATCAAGCCCGATGGTGTCCAGGTATGGGCCTCTCCCCAATCATCAAACTTTCTTTCGGCTTCTTTTTCGGGGTGCTAACTCGTCTTCGTACAGCGTGGACTCGTCGGCCCCATCGTCTCTCGCTTCGAGAGCCGTGGGTAAGCATTTTCCGCCCCTTGGTTGAAGATGGCCCGTCCCTAACGATTTTTGTCCCTACCCATAGCTTCAAGCTCGTCGCCATCAAGCTCGTGAGCCCCTCCAAGGACCACCTCGAGACCCACTGTAAGTTGACTCGAATCAAACACTATGAGAATAATTCTCGCGGTGCGTTTTATCTATTTTGCGTTGCTAACGATGTTAAACCCTTTCTTTTAGACGCCGATCTCAAGGAGAAGCCTTTCTTCCCCGGTCTCGTCCAGTGTATGCAAGCCAACCTAGCTACCCAACCCCATGTTCTCGATGCCCGACATCACACATGGCACCACCCCGAGACATCCTACTTTCAATATCACGTTGCTGACCTAACATACAATAGACATGCTCAGCGGTCCCATCTGCGCCATGGTCTGGGAGGGCCGTGACGCCGTCAAGACCGGCCGCAGTAAGTTACCACACCGCCATACCCCGCACATAAAACAGACTCCCCGTCCAGCCCCATCACTTCCTATTCTTCCGCCTGCCTGCATGGAAACGTGCAAAACACTCCAACCGAACGAATGCTAACCATTTCCTTCTTTTTCTTTCCCTCCGTTATAGCCATCCTCGGTGCCACCAACCCCCTCGCCTCCGCCCCTGGCACCATCCGTGGCGACTTCGCCATCGATGTCGGCCGCAACGTCTGCCACGGCTCCGACAGCGTCGAGAACGCCAAGAAGGAGATTGCCCTTTGGTTCAAGGACGAGGAGCTCATCTCCTGGAAGAGCGCCCAGTTCGACTGGATCTACGAGAAGGCCTAAGTGCACTTTTCACCATTCACCCGCACGTCGTAGCACTTTGAGAGCGTGCTAAGCGCATCAAGGTTCACAACTCCGTGCTGGAAGTGAGAAGAGTGAAGACCAGATAGGATACAAAAGCAAAAAGCCCAAGCAAAACGCGCAGGTAGACATGAAACAATAAAAGTCTTTTTTGCGGCGTAATGAACACAGCTTATCGTACAAGGCCAATTGACCTCCTTCTTACTTCCTTACGAAGAATCTCCGGCCACGCACTAAAACACCCGCAAACCAGGGTGTGCCCCACGCACTTGCCAGTATTCGAACTGGAAGCAGTGCCTTGGTGATGGCCCACGCCAGGGCGACGTCCGCCAAGAGCTTATATCTCCCCTCCGCGTTTTCCCAACTCAAGATAAGAGCTTTGGTGTCCGCCTTGTCCTCCGTCGACGTGGCATCCCCATTCGTAGCTCCCCTGAGTGACTGTCCGCAGGCGAGGTGGCCTCGTCGCCGAAACCAAACCAGCCCTTCCTCTTAAAGTATCGCTCGAACCGGGCGACCCCATCGCTCACGTACGAACCCCAATGATCCGTGATGTAGGCGGCGGGGGCATATTGCGTATAGTGGAAGAGCCCGAAAAGGCCGAGCAGCGGCACGATGGCGGTGATTTCGTGGAGGACGAGGAAGGCGACGACATGGGAGACGGGCGCGCCGCGGAGACCGGTGGCGTATTTTTGGAGAAAGGGCGGGAGCTTGTCGATGATCTTGGAGGCGCGGGTGGAAGAGGAGGGGGAGGTTTCGTGGAGGAAAAGCGCGCGGTTCGGAGGAGGGGCGTTGGGAGGTGTGGGCGGAAGAGGGCGCGGGGGGAACGGCGCGGCGAGTGGCCATGGCGGGGGTGGAGGACGAGGCCTGGAGGGATGCTCTTCGAGAATTGCTGCAATTACAGCTCGGCTACGGCGATATCATGACGAGAAAAATCAAGTTCAGAGAAGAAGGCGTACCGGGCTGAGAAATCGGATTGCGAGAAGCTTGGAAGTTGGGGAAACGATGGGGAGGTAAAGATTTGGGGAGCTACGTCCTGACGGCCGTCCGGCATTCACGGCCGGCGAATCCTCGGGCGATCTTGAGAGGGGTGATGAACAACCACAAACCAAGGATCGAGAGCGAAATCCTTCACATGAGAAATATGAAAGCGTGTTTTACCATCTAATATGGACTGGGTTAAAAACTATGAATACGACGGTTGATCAGGTAGATGCATCTCTCCAGACGACAAACCGGGGAGGGCCTCGTGAAGTGAAACGAAAAAGAAAGAAAAAAGGAGAAAAAAGAAAAAAACATACAACACCGGGGATTCGCTGGTCGTCACCGACCCAACTACTAGTCCGGCGCTTCGCAGCTTGTGTACAGGGGAGCGGACGGGACCCTCAATATTCTACGAGCTATGGTCGTATGTACCAACGATGCGTTCAAAATTGACTGATAATGGTTCCCTTGTCCAGACCATAGACGTGGCTGCCCAAGAGAGGACCGAAGGGCCCTGATATAAGAGCCAAGTTAGTTGCTACGCTTTATAAAACTAGCCCGTATGTAAAAGAAATGGCTTTAGTCTCTCATCCTCCGGGATGCGAACGTACCATAAATCTACAGAAAGCCCAAGGTGCGAGATTAGCGGTGACAAAGGGATTGTACGATTGGGAGTGAGAGCCTAGGACCTTTTAATCATTGCTCTTCTAGGTCTTATAGCCTCAGAAAGACAAGGAAGGGCCAATGATTGTAAACAACCGATAATCACATGCATAAACTGATTCCCATGTTGGCAAGTTCCGCACATCGTTGGCGATATCAAGTCTTGGTGGAGCTGTGGGAACACCCGATGCCTCAAGCCATCGAAAAATGAAGCGCTCTGAGAAATGTGCCCTTTAATATCCCGTGTCTCACATTCTTGACGTCTTCCTGACTTCCTTGGATAGGGAAGGCGAGCCCTGCAAGGTGGTGGGTTCCTGAGAACGACGAGGAAGAAGGTCTTAGGCGAAACAGGTAAACTCCGGTAACCGGGAGAGATCGAGGTGAGGGTGTCGACTCCGTACAGACCGATTTTCCATCAGCTTCGAGAACGTTCCTTATCCGAATCTCTCTCATCTCCGGAATCATTGCATATCGACGGAAGGAACAGCCTAGATCTCCGCTCCTTCCCCGTCTACCACCGCGCCTTCCCGCCCGCACCAACACAAAGAGTGAGGCTGAGATACTTCAAAAAAAAAAAAAAGAAAAGAAAAGAAAAAGACCGCAACTTCCATCTGAGTAGCCTAAGCCCTAGCACTGCGATCAATGATAGCTAGGTTTTTAATCGTTCGAACCTCTCGAAAGGATAGAAAACTCGTGGCCAGCCATGGAATTTTAGGGACATCACCCGGCCTTGATCTGGCAAAGTTCGAGACGCCTTGGTGATGTCTTCAAAGAGTTTTCGTCCATTACTTTTCGGTTCTGCTCGTTCAATTATCCCACAAGTTTCATTGATAGAGGTTGGGAGAGTGTGCTCGATAACCGATCCCGAATGAAACGAAATTTTCCCCATGGGTATTCCTGACGTCTATATTCGAACTATTTGTCCAAACGTGCTGAACCACCAAGGCGGCAACGGATACAGCCTCAGATACAACTTTAGTCTCTGGCCATGAATGTTTATGTCCGTCCTACGGAAAGTCAAGAGCATCAGACTTACCCCAAGGTTGCGGTATACACGAGCTGGGGCTTCCTCGACGTATATCTGGCATCGCTAGGCTATTTGGCCAGGGATGATCCTAGCTATCTAGGAAGCTAGCCGACTGCTGTTTGCAAACCTACTAATACTTCTCTACCTATCTTCGATGTTTCGTAACCGCGGGCATACATCTTAGTCTGAGGTGCACGACTCCTGCTTGGCGAGGACGTGAGTAATATTCCGCTGCTTATCGTTTGCAGATTTCATGTCAATATTGACTCCCTACTTTTACAGCTCCTTGCAAAACCCAGCTAGCAACTGCATAGCTACGGCGATAGATCAAAGGATGGCGGCCGCCCTATCGTCATAGTCTGCGCTTCCCGCCGACACCCTCAAGGTCTCTTACGCATGACAAGAGTATTAGATGCCGTATCTATTACTCGTCATCGGGGAGTATGGCGAGTGAACTAGGGCGCCAATTCTCCGCTCTGGACCCTACATATTTGTGTCAACACAGAAAAGGGTACCCTCCAAATCCTAGCCCGGAAAGAATGGCTTGATGCGGCCCCACTCGTGCCGCGTAGCTTTGACGCCAAGGGAGAGCAATCTTGGGACTAAAACTACACTTTGACAAGTACGGTCCGTCCGTCTGACGAAATAGAGCCCGTCTGGGATTGAGAGTGGTACGCCGCAATCACCAATTTCGACCCCAATGAGCTTCAATGTTTTCGAGGTAAAATGGCTGTTACAGTAAGCTTATTCACCATGCGGTCCTGTGCAGCTCGGGGTTGGTCGCAAATTCGGCGCATCGCGGATTCTTAATCCGCCGCACCGGCAGAAGAAGCAGGCGATGGGAAAACTCTCATTCTAATGGCGAGATCCTAAACTAGTCGGGGAAGGACGCTTTCGTGGTAAAGGTACGCAATTCTTGCGTTGGCTATCGCTGATATTAGACTTTTCCTTTTCTACAAGCGAAAAAAATTGAGAGAAAGTTCCCATCCCTGTCCTATTGTCGGGTCTAGCGGGTACCTGTACCGCCACCAACAACAGTCATGATCATACGGCCTGATCATGACACTGACGTTTCTACTTTTTTGTCTCCCCACGTGGGCAGAGAAAGCAAGCGGATGGGTTTTGCAGCACTTTCCCAGGTTAGAACGGGCCCTTGCCTTGGGAAGAGAGGACGTGCAGAAACAACCCATCTAGCTAACGGTCCGTTCATGTTCAACATGGTGAAACCGACCCTAGCCAGAGATAGGTTTGATCAATTCTATCATTGCTGCGCATGCGCGATGGATTCTCAAGGATTCCTAGCTTGATAACTGTGCCGTCGCTTTGGGTCAGCGCTTCTTCAGAACGGCATCTCCGGCAAACCTACACGTTCTCGAGCCGCATTGCGGAAAAGCCATGGCCCGTCCCTACACTCTAACCTGCCTTTCGCGGTCTAGGGTTAGGGCAGAAAGCAATGATAAGTATGAACGCGATGATAAGACTGCCATTTTAAATTTCTCCTTCGCCGGCCGGACGATGCGGCTGAACACCGACGGCTTCAAGTCGGTTCTCTAGTGATAGTGGGCTCGAGATCGCTTCCCGCCCAGGTCCGTCCTTTAGATGTTGAAGGCACTTACGCCTCCAGGATACAGTTTCGCGATGCCATTACCTCACATCAACGTGCTTGCGTTCTTGGTAAGCGCCGGGATCGGCACTCTGGGCAATCTTTGTTCATCACGAGGATACAATGTGATTGTTTTCGCAATTATAGATATGTCCCCCTGTGCGAATTCCCGTGTGCGTTGCACTGTACTTTACCGCTGGTGGCCCTTCTTGCTGGGCCACCAGCGGTAGTGGTTTGGTCTACCCTCGATGTCGGGCATCGAGAGCCTTGACCCCATGCCTCGGCGGAGAGCCCCGGGTCAGTCATGGCTCCTCGACAACGAGCTCGTCACCGGGCCTAGACTTCTAGGCCCGGTTGTCTTGGGGTGGGACCAACCAAGGGGGGCGACCCGTCAATCTGCGACATGACACAATACGGCGCATACCCTGACATCTACACGGGACATATCTCCACCATGCGTACATGTATGCTAGAATCTCTTTCCCATACAACATATTGTCCTATAGAGCTTATGATGGGGTGCATAAGCCGGGTGTGACGGAAGGTGTACGCTAACGCTTAGGAGCAAAAGGGCTAAACTTTCTTTTAATGGGTCCGCCGATACCTTCTCTTGTCGCTAAGCGTCCCGCGTCCCATGCCGGCTGGTTCGCCCAGCGCCGTCGAACCCGGCTCGTTTTTGTTCGCGCTTGTCTCGTGCCCACGCTCTCTCTCTCTCTTTCTCTCTCTGATAGCGGCCGTCTTCTATTAGCGATTCGATTAAGAGTACACTAAGTGGGAAGGTGTACTATTCACGGGATAAACAATCATAGTCACCCCAGATACTCGGTTCTTATCGGATAGCGTGGATATTAACTTTCTTTCCTTTTTTTCTTTTTCTGTTTGGTTCCCACGCCGCCGCCCGCGCCTAAGAAAGGCAATGGAGATGTGTGGCCATCAAAGAGAAAAGGGACTAAGCAAGCCACACCCTTTCCCTCCTCCCTTACCGCACATAGTTCGGCATACTCTCGACGTCATTGATCAGAGACGAGGCAGGATAAGCAAATCCAATGGGAAGAAAAGAAAGAGGGCCAGCCAAACGGGTCATGAACTTTTGATTCTCTCGGCCCCCAATCCGTCTACGATGGTGAAGTGCTTAGTGATGCCATGTGGCGTTGTCGTGCTATGCTGAGCTTGCTTTGCTAACCAACCCCCTTTCCCCACCCATCAAGGTGATGAAATCATGGTGAGCTCGGGAGCTTGCAAAGCTTGGTAGGAAGAGCTGCCATGTTGGTAGGAGAGAAGAGTGGGAACATGAAGAAGCTGCTGATGTTTATAAATGTTTGGTCTCGGCCTCGAGAGTTGACGTTTCTTCCCCCTTTCTCCTCTCTCTTTACCTTCTTCCTCTACATATATAGTCTTCACACCGAAGTATCCAAGCTCGAGGGAGAAATCACTTAAGCTTAGCGAAGAAGAACCCGCCAAGTTTAGTCACAGCATCAACCATCCTATCGCAGTACCAACCCATTACCGCCCAACATGAATCTCGGAGGCAGCGGTATCTCGCGTGTCCTTTCGCCGTTAAGCCGGCTGGGAGCCTTTATCTCGTCCATCATCGTGGCGGGCATCGGCGGTTCCTTCCTCCACAAGCTTAACAATCTTGATTTCCACTATGGCAGCAAGTTCACCTACCTCATCACCCTGGCCGGTCTCAGCATCGTCTTCTCCCTCGTCCTGATTGCGCCTTTCAAGTTCACCTTCTGGGCCTTCCCTCTCGATTTCATCATGTTTGTCATGTGGATGGTTGCCTTTGGACTTATGGCCAATGTGAGTTTTGAAGAGTTCCGAGGTGGTGTCTCGACATGTCGACTCGTTTACTAACGCGTTTTTTCCCCTTCTTTAGCTGAGCGGCAACTGCGGTGGCGCTTGGTACCGCTGGATCTGGACGTTTGCCTGGCGCCGCAACCGTTGCGGTACCTGGCGCGCTCTGCTCGCTTTCTGCTTCCTCGCTAGCATGTTCTGGCTCTTCAACTGTCTTCTCGGCCTGTACAAGTCATTCTTCGGCAAGAAGACTGACGCCGATTATGACCGTGAACATGGTGTTGGGTGAGTGCTTCCTTATCTACCGCCGGGCCCGGCGTTGGCTTTATCCTGTCTCTAACCGTTTTGAGCAGCCACAGGCACAAGCGCTTCAGCCACGGCTCGTCCGTCACCGACCCGCCCATGAGCCAGCCTCGCACGTCGCAACCTACTAGTGCTGCCTATGCCACCACCAACAACCCCACCACCACCACCACCACCACCGGCGTCACCGGCCCGACTACCGGCGTCACTGGCCCGACCACGGGCACCACAGGTGTTGCTGTCCCAACCCACACCTATGATGCTAGCCGTGACCGGTCCGCTCACGTCGGCAACCCCGTCAACACCCACGTCGGAAACCCCGTCAACACCTCGTCGAACCCGGGCGCCTACCCGACTGACACGACGACTCATCATACTGGATATCAGGCCCAGGAGTCGCCGGCACTGATCCTTACTCAGCCAATACGGTGGCCAATACTGCGGCTAACACGGGCTACCAGCCCGAGGGGAACACCATCTACCCCATTGATAGCTCTGGCGGTGTTCCTCACACTGGCATCCATACGAGCGGTGTCCATGGACAGCCAGTTAGGGACCCAAGGCTGGCCTAACCGGCTTGACATGACATGGTTAATTCCATATCATCTAGTTTGGCCAGACGAGGCTTGCACGTTTGGTTGTTGAGAGAAGTACTGGAGCTAATGAAGGGGAAGCGCTGGGGTGACGGGGTTGGGATGGATCCATGATGTTTGTGAATAGGACTCGTACCTAATGGGGATGAAGACAGGATGATGTAATTGATTTGAAGCTTAGAGGAGGTAATACGGAGTGAAGAACAGAGTTCGAGACAGGATAGGTCTGAATTAATAAGAGAGGTAATTTGTCGAGTATTCAATTACATTCAATTACACAGGAGCTCGTTCGAATGGATGTCCAGCCGGAGGTAAGCTTGGCAGCTATAGTCGCCCGTCGTTGGAAATAGCCACGGCAATCTCCACATTGAACACCCGCAGCGGAAAGCGCGCGGAATGGAGTCGCATTGATCTACTCGCAATCCATACACATCCCCTGTCCTCGTTCACTCGGGCGCGGTGCCAAGGTTGTATGACTTTTTCCAGTTCTGGCTGGACCCCTGTCATGCAGCGAAACCAGAGCACCGCCACCACACACCTTTCAATGTTGTGAGTGGAAAGGTCACACTAATAGCCCAGCAAGAGCAATGGAGAGGAGCTGAATTATTCGCATCGCTCCCAGTCACAACAACAACGACAAATGGTTGGGAACAATAAAAAAACAGGATGCAATGGTCAAGTCTCCGAGCAGTACTGTTGGTGCCTTCGCTGAACCTGATACCCCAGAACCCAAAGCTTTAGACGCGGATATCAAGGGGAAGAAGAACGCGATGATGACTGGAAGCATTTGCCGGTTGAGAAGGGCACGGAAATCTCATTAAAGTCGACCAAGCGCAAGACACCCCCGTTTCCGCCGACAGCAAAGACGACAACGAGGAAGACAGCGAAGCCGTTCCGGTCCGCCGCTTCCAATGGCCCACGGCATCCCACCCCGACCTCTGCGCGCGGTGCCAGTCGGTCGACTGGGCCGTCATGATCCACATGCCGCCGACGTCCATCGTGGGCCGGCACCCGTTCAGCGACACCGCCGAGACGATGAGACTCGACGAGCTGCGGCAGTCGAGCTGCCCCGTGTGCCGGGCGCTCGCGGTCATCACGCCCGAGAAGCTGGACGGCGAAATGTGCCGCTTCAAGGCGTTTGCCTCGACGCATTCCCTCGCGTGGAGGTATCGGCGCCTCGCTGATCCCAAGCCCCATACGGACTGCAGCGTCATCTTCCCCGTTCACGCAAATACGTGGAATGATAAGTCCGTCGCCAAGACCGTGTGGCTGGAAGGCGGCTGTTTAGCGCTGGTGCCCGTGGCCCCGGATGGAGAACTGAACGTCCCCGAGATTGGGCCTAGGGTGGCCGAGCTCGACCGCATCGACTATTCCGTCCTTCGAGGGTGGATACACTCTTGCTCCATCTACCACGAGAGCGCGTGCCAGGTGAACTACTTTACGCGGGTGCCGGGTATGCGCGTGATAGACTGTCGCACTCGCGCCATTATCCCCGCCCAGGACGGGTGTAGATACGTTGCGCTCTCCTACGTGTGGGGGTCTCCTCCATCCACTGCCACCGCTGCGCCGGCCAACGACGCGAGTAGCGGGACTCCGCCGGCTTCTTCGCAAAGCGTGGGATATTCGGCGGTAGTGGAAGATGCCATCGCAGTCAGCCTAGAACTTGGGTACAAATACATCTGGGTGGATCAATATGTGAGTTGAAGCCCGGGTATTGAATTGCCGCGCCACTCCCACCCGAATCATCGCCCTTCAGAAAAGCCTCAAAATACTAATTCTGAGTTCCTGCGCGCGCAATTTTCAGTGCATAGACCAGAAAGACGAAGTATCCAAGGCACAGCAGATTGCGCAAATGGACAACATCTACTCCCTCGCCCAGCTCACCATTGTCGCCGCCGCCGGAGAGGACGCGTCGTACGGGCTACCCGGAGTTGGGCCAACGCGAGCGCGCAGTCAGCGCCAGAGCGTCGTCAAGCTCGGCGACGTGGCCCTCGTCCAAATCTTCCCCACGTCCTCCACGACCTCGAGAGCTCGCGGTGGGCCACGCGCGGTTGGACGTACCAGGAAGGCTACCTCACGCGCAGACGGCTCATCTTCATGGACCGGCAGGTAGCCTACGTGTGCAACACGATGCACTGCTCCGAGACCATCACGCGGCCGATGAACCTCACCAAGACGGAGAAGCTCTCGGCGAACGAGGCGTTTTTCCGCTTCATCCCTTCTCATCAGAGCTTCAGTTCCAGGCGGAACCAGATGCACCGGTGGGAGCTGCTGAAGCAGCAGCACTTGCCGGGGTTCACGGACAGGAACCTGACGCACGGGTCCGATTCCCTCAACGCCATCCTGGGCATCTTCCGCTCCATGGAGAAGAGCGGCATCTACCACCTCCACGGCGTGCCCCTCTCCAACAACGCCTCCCGAGGGTCGCAGGCCCTCGTCCTCGCCCTCGGTTGGCACCACGAACAAGTCAGCGATGTCAGGCGCGCAGAATTCCCCAGCTGGAGCTGGGCCGGCTGGCAGGGATGCGCCAAGGTGGACGAGCCCGACGTCCGCATCCCCGAAGACTGCCTCGTTTCCTTGTTCGACGACGAGACGGGGCAGTCGATCTCGGTCGAAGAATGGCACCGCGGCATGACTGCGCGCCCTTCCCGTGCCGCCATGGCCGCCGTGGCGCCGCCCTCGCCCATTTTGCGCATTACGGGCCCCGTGTTTCCAGCCTGTTTCCGGCCCTTCAGCCCCCTCGTGGCGAACCAGTCTCTTAGCCAAATGAGCCAGCGGGCGGGTATGAGCTTCCGCGAGGCCCCGCATGTCGTCTTCCCCATCACGGCCGACGTTACCCTCCTCGTCCTCGCGCACCTGGACGAGAGCATCGCATCCCCGCCCGAGAACGAGACTGACGTCGTAGTGCTCCTAATGCGGCCCAAGTTTCCGATGGGGGCCACCTCCATGACGGGGCTACTCCTCAAGCCGGTCCCGCAAGGAAGGACAATGACCCAACGGTATCGGCGGATAGGCATCTTGCGTATCAGACACCGCAACCGGTCTTTACCGACGGGGCCCATGTCGCCGCAGACTGTGTATGTCGATGGAGAGGGAAATTTGATCGATGAGGTTGATGTAGCTGGAGAGGTCCCGATATGGATACGAGACGTCGCGGTGAAGACGGTAGACATCGTATGAATCTATCCAATCTGTACATATACGTATCACACACAGCAGTCATGAAGGAATGGATTCAAAGGCGGGCTATGGCGTTCAAAGGGGGAAAAAGGGTATATGGTATATTGCAGCAAATTAATAAAAGCTATTCATCAAATCTCCACGGAAAGTCTCCAGTAGAGTCATGTCTGTGGGAAAGAAAAGGGAAAAAGGGAAAGAAACCCAAAAATACCAGTTTCAACCGAAGAAAATTTGGACAAACACCGATTTAGCGCGTATGATCAAGGCATCTAAACATCAAGCCGCGTCTCTCTCGCCTCTATTTCCTCTACTCGCCGTCGTCTCCCCAACCCCCTCCCGAGTAATCCGCCATAGGCTTCCTCGCCATCTTCGCCTTGAACTCCGCATTCCTTTGCGTCGCCACTCCCGCAGGACCGGGACCCGCCACCATCGGGCCCGACGCCACAGACATCACGCTGACCCGTCGGCTGTCCGCCGAATCCGCGGAGCTAATCTCCGACACCATGCTCTCCCGCACCGACGGCGACGGCTGCGCACTCACCACCGGGCTGTCGTGGCTCGGCACGCGAATATGCGACATGAAGGGCGCCGAGGGTTGAAGGCCGTGGTATCCGTTGGCGGGCACGCCCGGTTGGCCCGGCATCGTAGGGGAGGAAGGGGATGCTGCTGGGGCCGGGATAATGGGGACCGCGGCTGCGATGATCTGCGCGGGGATCGGGGCCTGCAGAGGCGTCAAGTCCTGTCCTGCTACCCTTTGGTTTTGCATGCTGAGGGGCCGCGAGACCTGTATGACCTGCGGCTTGAGTACCGGCTGCGCCTGGGCTTCAGCGACGTCCATCGTCGAAATGGAGCCGCGGTCCGATTCGACAGACTCGGCGATCGGGTGCTTCGCCGACACCATTTGCGTCTTCGAAGAGCCAATTGAAGTCGCGGCTGAGTTGGCCCTCTGCCTCACAGACTCTGGCGATGGAGGCTCGACTTGGCTCCTCCGCCGGCCCTGTTGCTGAACGGAGACCACCGGCGACGTGGGAGTACCAGGAGCAGGTTGTCCGGGGCCAGCGGCCTGCGGCACCTGTATCCCCTGCGCTCCGGGCTGGCCCTGAGGCGGGCCTTGAAGCGGCGCACCCGGAGCCCCCGGCTGCATCATCCCGACAGGCATCTGCATCATCTGGGGATGGCCGTAGAATTGCATGCCTTGCATCTGCTGGAAGCCCGGCGGAACAGGTTGGGGCATGCCTTGGACCATGACAAATTGCTGAGGGGCACCCTGGGGCTGGTACGCGAAGCTCTGAGGCGCCATGCCGCTGCCTTGCTGCATCCATCCCATCGGCTGTTGTTGCTGTTGCTGTTGAGGAGGCGGCACCTGGAACTGGTTTTGTGGCGGCGGCGACTTTTGCAGCGTCTTGGACGGCTTTATAAACTTGCTATACCACCTGCCCTTGTCCTTACCCTGCGACGCCGGGGATTGCGGGTCAACGTTCCGCGCTTGCATGCCCTGGGGCTGCATTAGCGGTTGCGCAGGCATACCCGGGTATTGTCCGGCCGGGAATTGCTGGAACTGCTGGAATTGTCCTTGGCCAGGCCCCATCATCATCGGCGGCTGCCCCTGGACCGCCCCTACCGGCATAAACCCGGGCGGTGGTGTCTGCTGCGGCTGGTTCTGAGGTATCACGTAGCCCTGAGGCAGTCCCTGAGGAGCGGTATGCGGCTGCGCTGGTTGCGGACCCGGGGGCTGCGTTGCTGCGGGCAGTGGTCCCTGAGCCTGGCCCTGAGCCGTCGTAGGAGCGGCGGTGGGCGCGCGAGGAGGTTGGGGCTGAGATGGCCCCTGAGTATTTGCCTGGGGCGATCCCTGAGCTACAGCGCCCTGGATCGGTCCTTGCGGTGCTCCCGCCCGGGTCTCTCCTTGGGCAGAGACGCCAGGCTGTCCCACAGTAGGAACTTGCTGGGGGACTGCGTTGACATGAGGCGCAGGCGGCCTACCCTGAACCGGGCCCGCGGATGCCTGATTTTGTCCCTGTCCGACCATCACCCTCCCCTGCGCTCCCACTCCAGAAAACTGGGACGCGTTCGATGCCGCCCTGGGCTTCCCAGCAACTTCCTGCTCCGGTTGCTCTCTGATAGCGTGGAGCCCTGGGCCGACAATCGCCTTTGGTTCGGACGGCGGATCGAAGAGCGCCGCGGGAGCAGCAGCAGCAGCGGCAGCGGCAGCCACTTGCACCTGCGGCGATGGGGCTGCATGGTGCTGAGTCTGCTGCGCGCTTCCGCTCTGAGGGGTAGGTGAGGGGACGGAGACGGGAGCTATAGACGCGGAGCTTCCCTCAACGGACGGGGCAGCGGGTTCGGAGGGCCTGGTAACCGCTGGCTGAGCGACTGTTGGTTGAGGGATCGAAGGCTGCGGCGGTGGCAGAGGCTGCGCGGCTCCTTGCCCCTGCCGCACCGCTACCGACTGTGACCGCCGAGGGCTCCCCTGCGCCGATTCGACGGGGCCCAAGATGTGCGTGGGCGCAAGGTTGTGGGGCACGGTGGACGGTGGCGGCTGGGCCTGCTGCCCTTGGCCCCTGAGCAACCGCATCATTTGCTCCGGCGGTAGTGAGCGTCTTCGATCCGTAAGATCTTCGCCGGGTGGTGTTTGTTGCGGGTGCGGTACCCTAGGTCCTCCACCGGGCCCTAATGGCTGCGGGGCCGGCTGAGGGGCCGGCTGAGACTGGAGAGGGAAGTACGAATCCGCGGGCCGGGGCGCCGTTCGTGAAGGAATGGTAGAATCTACGATTGACCTCATCGTCGCGGGAGGATTTGTCACGCCCTGATACGCGTGCGTGGCGATCTGGCCCGTCGGAGGCATGGACTGTGCGGATACCGAACGGGAGTGGGGCTGAGGTGAGGGAGATGCATTGCCAATAGCCAAAGGATTCGGTAGGAGGGTCTGTCGGTTAGACAACGGCGATCCGCCAGCAGAGGGAGGCGAGGGCCTGTGCATCTCGAACGGGGAGGGCGTCGGGAGAGGATGCTCGGGGTATGACCGGCCCGAGGGCGGGACGGGCGGGTCACCGCTGCCGGGCGTCATGAGAGTCGGTGGGATGTGTTGCCCCGCGTGTTGAGTTTGCGGGCCTGGAGGTACTCCACCGGCCGCGGGGAAACATGGCCGCGACCATCGGGAAATGAAGGGGCGCGTACGGGGGTCTGGCTAGGATCAAAACTCTGCTGCTGAGGCTGGCCGACGCCGGGCTGGGCACTACTACCACTACTAGCCTGGGAGACCGGCGTTTGCACAGGCTGGATTGGGGGCTTGGGGGCCATGTGCGGAGGCAAGCCCCGTCCCTTTGGCGCAAGCGGACGAGGAACCATGGCCTGGGCGGGGTGTCCCCGACGAACTGCGGCGGGGACCAGCTTGTCCGAGCGCCTGGGCCTGCACATGGCCCTGAATGGTAGGGGATGCGAACTCGGCAGCGAGTTGGCGTGCGGCCGCGGCTGGAGCCGCTGCGCGTGCGTAATCGGGGCCGCAGGCTGCTGCTGCTGCTGCTGCTGCTGCTGCAAGACAGGCGCCGCACCACCCGCGATGGGTGGTCTTTGGTTATGGGCAGTTCCCAGGGCGGGAGGCATCTCCGAAGTCGGCGTGTTTTTGGGCGGCGTAAACGCCTGAAACTGGCCGGGCGGTCCGGGCTGCTGGACTTGGGCCGGCATCGTCTCGGCTCGGTGGATACCTGGACGAGGATCGGCGCCTGGGGGAAGAATTCCGCGACCGAACCCGTGGGGCGGCTGCTGCATCGCACCGCCGGGCTGCAATGCGTGGGGCGGAAGAGGCTGGCCACGCCCAAGCTGAGCATGGTGCATCTGTTGTTGTTGTTGTTGTTGCAGTTGTAGTTGTTGGTGATGTTGCATCTGCTGCTGTTGCAGTATTTGTTGTTGCTGTTGCTGTTGCTGTTGAAACTGGTGCATCATCGCCATTTGTTGCGCCTCGTGAAAGGAGACCGGGCGTCGAGCACCTTGCGCAGAAGCCCGGCTGGTCCGGATGGGCAGGGGTTCGGCCTTTCCCGGCTGTAGAGCCAAGGGCAGGCCCGGCATAGAAACCAGGGGGTCCTTGGGCGGGACGGGCGGGGGACTTGGCCCTCTGGCGGTGATGAGCTGGCGACCCGCGCAGCCGGCCCGGGCTGCTGTAGAGGGTGTTGTAGATGGGCGTGTTCCGGCTGCTGATGGTAGGGTAATTGGCCCTCTCGCGGCCCCAACGACACCTGCTGAACGGGCCCGGAGGGTGGCGTTAAGATAGCGGGCGGAGCAGCCTGGGGGTTGGAAAGAGGGGCCTGCGAAGGCTGCGAGGTGGACATGATGGAGACGGCGTCATCCTGGGGCACGCTTCCTATCCGATCCCCGCGTGTTTCCGAGCCGCTCCATGTCGCCGTCCTACTCACCGGACCAGGCGGCGCGGCGTCGGGTGTGGTGCCGGGGGTCCAAGGTCTGAACCCCGGAGGCTTCGTGCCTGCATTGGTAGGTTTCCGCGTAATTTTGAAATTCTGAGGAGGTACCGCTGCCGGCGGGCCAGCCGTGGCGACGGGCGCGCCGCCCGCGGGACCTGGACCGAGCGGAGCGGGAGCTTGCTGCTGCGCGGCATTAGCTGAAGGATGAAAAGCCGTGAATCCTGCCGGCCCGTTGCCCTCTTGCGTAGCGGAGGGCGGGCCTCCAGCCATCGTCGCTTGGCTGGTTGCCGGAGGACCTAGCGGCGTGGGCGGCTGGTTCGGATCCTCGTCGTCCTTTGGCTGGAAGGGATAGACCCTGGGCCCGGTATCCACTCGTCGCGGGCGCGGCGGCTCCTCCACCTCCATCGCCTTATTATCCGTCGGGCTTCGATGTGTAGGGAGCTCCGCCAAGCCGGCCTCCATCATAAACGTCTCGATCGGGGCGAGCACGGTATTATCGCCCATCTCCACCGGATCCGGGTGGAGCTCGATGTGGGCCATGGCCGTGGTTTCGGTCGGCATTTCCGCAATGACGCCCACGGGGTTAAACGACGTCGTCTCGGGCAGCTCGTACGGAAGGTCGCGGCTATCGAGCATGGGCACGTCGGGGGAGGCAGGTCCCGGCGCTGGCGCCGCTTCCTCCTCCTTCTTGTTTGGTGGCTCGGGAGAAGGGTCGGAGGCGGGGCTCGGATCATTGGGGGAACAATGATGACGTCGGCGTCGACGGTGAAGACGGCATGCGAACTCGGCGGTACGGGCTGCTGGGGCGGGGACGGGGCGACGATATCGGGGGTCGCGATGACGGGGGTGCTCTGCATTATAGAGGGCGTAGGGACGGAGCTCTCGGGCGGGGAAAGGGTCTCTGTCGTGGTTCCTCCAGATCTACCGGGCACCGGGCCGCGCAGAATAGCAGTCTCATCCTCCTCTTCGACCAGGGGACTTATGTCGTTGTATACGCCAGGTCCCAAGTACATGAAACTCTCCGGCTGAAAAAGCTCGGTTCCGTCGTCGTCGTCGCCACCAGCACCACCACCGAACCCACCGTCCCAGGTGGAACTCAAGGACCTCCGGTGGCGCTCATCACAGGGCCCCGCGACCGAGCAGAAGTAGTAGGCGCGGCGACCGAGGAACCCGCGCCTCTTCTCCGCATTTGCTGCTGGCTCTCCAGCCGTTCCTCGGGGGCGAGGGTAGGGATGGGGGTGGAGGCATCGACATATTCGGGAAATTCGTCGCCTTCCTTGGGGAAGGTGTACTGGATCAGGCCGGTAGATTTGTAGCGGTAGAACCAACGATTCCCGTCATAGTCGATGTCCCAGCCTACCGGGAGGTCGGGCATGGCCGAGATTTTGAGCAGGAGCTCAATCGAGGTTGAGCGGGGGTTCGCGAGGCTTTTGGTCGGGACAGGCCGAGATCCCAGGCATGGACGATGGCATACGAACAGGGAGCGAGGGAGATCGAGGGAACGCACGCACTCGGGGCGCGAATTGACACGAGACGGGGAATGCAAAGAGGCTAACCGAACTGCGACGAAAGTGCACATGCAGCTCTAAAAAGGAGAAAAGGAAGAAATACAGGGCGAAGAGCTACTATAGAAGAAGCAGGAAGAACAAAAAGAACAGAATGAGAAAAGAACATGAGTTGGTTTGCGGAAACCGGAGAAACAAGGCAGGTTGGCGCAGCCCCTGCAAGACTTTGGACATGTCGCCCAGGGCGAGCTAAACTACAAAGGGTGTTGGACGGGTACAAGCCAGCTCGCAGATTTCGCTATTATTCAGGCGATGAGTGGAGGTGCAGCCTCGCCGTGTCTCAAAAAAGCCCAACCCCAAATCCCGCCAAAATTGTGCGGTTCCGCACTGGAAGGGGTAAGTAGCTCAATACTCCGCCTAGCCAAGAATCTTGGAACGAACGTGGCTTGGTGGGTTTGGGACCGTTAGTTTCTAAGGACACCATATGAACGAACCACCCTTGCCGCAGATGGCAATTGGAACAAGGGAAGGGGGCAAGGGATAGGATCATCAATATGCTTGAGGACAAATAAGACAACCGCCAGAACGGACATATATGTAGCCGACGCGCCGGAAAAGGATTGCTACCATTATGTCGCGGATTTCTCTATTTCTTCTCCTTTGATACTCCCTGCTCGACAAACAAAAGGTGGCCGACCCGCCTAAACCAGTTGTGATCTGTCCATACATGTAGTGATCTGTTCTTGTCACGAGAAGTCGGAGACAGAACAAGAGTGGATGGGGACCGGCACCAGCTTTTCGGGGTGGAACGATCCACGCTTCAGGTCTCGAGCAAGAAGCGCACTGGGCAGCATGACAGAGCGCATCAAATTGATGGATATACTTCGTACATTGCTTGGACACAGGGACAAAGAGGGGAGTTGGACTAGACACACCTCGTCCGATATTGGCTTGGTTTCATTGGCTTCCAGACTTCAAAGTATTTTTAGACGAGAATAGGCTCCGCCGCTGTCAGATACAACCTCAACCAGTGGGGTTTTGGCGGAATCGGGGATGAACAGTGGAGTTTTCACCAACACTCACATATTATCAATCAATCCTCTGACCCCGTGGAGAGAACTTGGCTCTCTAGGCCATGCGAGGAGATGCCCTCAAGAGGCGCAGCAGCGATGAATGCAGTGGGTAAAGGGCGAGGATCCGTCATGTTGTGGACAAATAGCGCGCGGAGCGGGAAATTAGGTTGTGGAGTTTTGTTGAAGATCCGTTAGAGCCGCCTTGAAGAGGGTTGGTGGTCGATTTGGTTTCACAGGTCGCGAGAAGATGGGCCACTCGGATGCGAATGTGTTCCTCCCGTTATGCCTCCTCGAGGATGAAAAGGTAATACATAGTTGAAGACTCAAGGGATCCAGACGAGCGGCCGAGTCTAGCTTCAACAACTGTTCCCGGAGCCGTTCCTAGAACACAGCAGACTTCCAGACATACTTCGTATGTGATGATGGTTGCCAGCAGCGGGTAGAAACACCTCAAAGCCAGTGCCCCGTTTGGGGTTAGCCTAATCACACAAAGCGTCCAACCCCAGTCAGGCTGAGATGTACCGTCGGCTTGTACACTGGGCTCCCTGTCAGTTTGATGCAGTCGCAGGCGAGATATTGGTGCCCCGCCCTCCTAAAGCCCGTGAGGAGCTGTAGGAATCTGTCATAGGCCACATTTGAGTGGTGAACACGACGAGCTCCCCTTGAGCGTTTGGTATCGACATCTCAATGACGCCTGGTATTGCTTCGCGAAACTGGCATTAGAGACGATTCCGTATCCCGGGCCCGGGATTGTTCCACGCCGTGCTTCGAGTATGTAGAGACTTTTTTCGCGGCTTCTAAAAACTATTATTTCAGACAGCTCGACTGTTGAGTTCGGATGCTCGGTCTGGGGTTAGCAAGCTACGTAAGACGGGCCAACATTGCATCCATAGCTGCCTCCACTGATGCCCATGCGAAGTGCGTGTGGGCCAGCAGGAGGCTAGAGAAATCGTTCACCATTGTTCTTCGAGACACAAAAGCCAATCGACTGCCAAGGCAAAACGAAGCACGAGGCCAGAAAAAAACCATTCAAAGCCAAGAATAAAAGAGAGAAAGATTGCCCGATCCATCCGGCTGCAATTTGAAATCCTTGACTGTGGCTTCCGCGGCCAGTCCCCTCGTAGCTTCCTCATCTCAGCCTCTTCACAGTGGCCATGCATGAGAACGATAATGCAAGTACCCATAGCACATATAAGCGAATATATTTCATAGGACGCGGCGATGCATCAATTGGGGTGTCCCCCTCTCCCCAGCTTGTCGCGGACTTTATCCGAGACGACGAACCATGTGTCCCGAGGCGCTAAATCCAATGGGGAGCTCTTCCAAGGGAAGGGGCCAGCTCAGCCTTTCCCAGGACCATCTCGCATCCCCAGTGAACCACCAAACAAACCACAAAGACAGCCAGCCTCGATCTTGAACACATCGAACATCGGTTGGCACTTGGTTGTTCCCCGCAAGACCTTTTTCTCGTCAGCCAGAGATCGACGACGTTCACTTCGTTTTCATTTCTCTTGTATCCTTTTTTCTCTCCCCTGCATTGGCGAATTTTCCGAGAAAGCTGGGCTAGTTGAAAAAACGCCCTTCGATGTCTACTGCATCCTGGTGATTGTGTTTGTTTCTTTTTCCTCCTTGCCTTTTTGCTGGCCTGTTGCATCTTTCTCTCGCTCTTCGTGCCAGCGTATCCTTGCTGTGCTACCCTCGTGCGCCGCGTCCCACCGCGACCATGTGGTCCTCACCTCGTGCCATGCCATCGTCATGGTCGAACCTCGTCTGCCTTTTGGTAGCGTTTAGCTATCTCTTCACACCCATCCGTAAGTTTCTCTTGCCCCCTTAGTCCTGCTCTCTCCCCTCTCCTCCTCTCCCGGCGTCTGCCTCGATGCACGCCGCAGAGGGCCAGATACGAAGATCCCTCTGATCCTAACCACACGGATTATCACTGCGTAGTTGCTGTCAAGGAAAATGACTTCAAGAAGTGCCATCAATCTGGCTTCTGTAAGCGAAATCGAGACTACGCCGACTCCGTCTCCGCCGCCGGACCCACCTGGGCCGCCCGTACGCCCTCCATGCCGACACCATCTCCTTCAAGGACGGCCAGCTCCAGGGCACCATCCTCAAATCGCTCGACGACGGCGCCGAGTCCGTCCGCCTGCCCCTGACCGTGTCCTTCCTCGCCTCCGGCGCCGCCCGCGTGACCGTCGACGAGGAAAGGCGCCAGAAGAAGGACATTGTCCTCCGCCACGAGGGCAACGTGCGCAGGAGCGATACAACGAGGTGGAGAAGCTGGCCATCGTCGGCGGCACGACACTCGACAAGGAAGCCAAGGTCACCTCGCAGGACGCCCACGGGCTCGTTGTTCAGTACGGCGCGACGCAGTACGAGGCTCACGTCAAGTTCGACCCCTTTTCCGTCGACTTTAAGCGCGACGGCGTCTCCCAGGTCAAGTTCAACGATAAGGGCTGGCTCAACGTGGAGCACTGGCGGGCCAAGGTCGACAAGCCCGAGCCCGAGAAGAAGGAGGGCGAGGAGAATAACGAGAGCGCGGCACCGCCCGAGGGGGACAAGGGCGTGGACGAAAGCACGTGGTGGGATGAGACGTTTGGCGGCAATACCGACTCCAAGACGAGAGGTCCCGAGAGCGTAGCGCTCGATATCACGTTTTCGGGCTACAGCCACGTCTTTGGCATCCCCTCGCACGCCACCTCGCTCTCGCTCAAGGAGACGCGTGGCCGCGAGGAGGGTCACTACTCGGAGCCCTACCGGATGTACAACCTCGACGTGTTCGAGTACATCCTCGACAGCCCCATGACGCTCTACGGGTCCATCCCGCTGATGCACGCGCACCGCAAGGACTCGACCGTCGCCGTCTTCTGGCTCAACGCGGCCGAGACGTGGGTGGACGTGACCAAGCACAAGAACGCGGCAAACCCCAACGCGCTCGGCGCCCACGACAGGACCAGCACCAGCACCCACTGGATCTCCGAGAGCGGGCTCTTGGACGTCTTTGTCCTGCTCGGCCCCACCCCCGCGGACATTACCAAGATCTACTCGGGCCTGACGGGCACGACGGCCATGCCCCAGAGTTTGCCCTCGGCTACCACCAGTGCCGCTGGAACTACGTGTCGGACGACGACGTCAAGGACGTCAACCGCAAGATGGACAAGGCCGGCATGCCCTACGACGTCATCTGGCTCGATATCGAGTACACGGAGGAGAAGAAGTACTTCACCTTTGACAAGGACATGTTTGTGGACCCCATCGGCATGGGCGAGACGCTGGACAAGGAGGGCCGCAAGCTCGTCACCATCATCGACCCGCACATCAAGAACACCAACGACTACCCCGTCGTGGCGGAGCTCAAGGACAAGGACCTGGCGGTCAAGAACAAGGAGGCCAAGATCTTTGACGGCTGGTGCTGGCCCGGCTCGTCGCACTGGATCGACAGCTTCAACCCGGCGGCGATCGACTGGTGGAAGAGCCTGTTCAAGTACAGCAGCTTCCTGGGCACGCGCGAGAACACGTTTGTGTGGAACGACATGAACGAGCCCTCCGTCTTCAACGGGCCCGAGACCACCATGCCCAAGGACAACCTCCACCACGGCGACTGGGAGCACCGCGACGTGCACAACCTCATGGGCATGACCTTCCACAACGCCACCTACCAGGCGCTGCTGTCCCGCAAGTCGGGCGAGCTCCGCCGGCCCTTTGTCCTCACCCGCGCCTTCTACGCCGGCTCCCAGCGCTTCGGCGCCATGTGGACGGGCGACAACCAGGCCTCGTGGGAGCACCTCGGCGCCGCCGTGCCCATGATCCTGAGCCAGGGCATCGCCGGTTTCCCCTTTGCGGGCGCCGACGTGGGCGGCTTCTTCGGCAACCCGGACATCGATCTCCAGACCCGCTGGTATCAGTCGGGCGCCTTCTACCCCTTCTTCCGCGGCCACGCCCACATCGACGCCCGGCGCCGCGAGCCCTACCTCGCCCCGGAGCCGCACAAGACGATTATCGCGTCGGCGCTGCGCCTGCGCTACAGCCTGCTCCCGGCCTGGTACACGGCCTTCTTCCACGCCCACCGCGACGGCAGCCCCATCGTGCGGCCCATGTACTGGACGCACCCGTCCGAGGAGGCGGGCTTCGCCGTCGACGACCAGCTCTTCGTGGGCAGCACCGGCCTGCTCGTCAAGCCCGTGGTGGAAAAGGACAAGGTCACGGCCGACATCTACATTCCCGACGACGAGGTGTATTATGATTACTTCACCTACGACACCCTCCCGACCAAGAAGGCGCAGACGCTCACCGTCGACGCGCCCCTCGAGCACATCCCCATCCTCATGCGCGGCGGCCACATCTTCCCGCGCCGCGACACGCCGCGCCGCTCCAGCGCGCTGCAGCGCTTCGACGACTATACCCTCGTGATCTCGGTGTCCAAGGCCGGGACCGCCGAGGGCGAGCTCTACGTCGACGACGGCGACTCGTTCGACTACGAAAGGGCCAGTACATTTACCGGCGGTTCGCCCTCGAGGGCGACGCCATCACGTCGGTGGACGCCGAGGGCCGCGCGGCCAAGTCGGTCCGCCCGGGCGCGTGGATGAAGCAGATGAAGGACGTGGCCGTGGACAAGATTGTGATTGTGGGCGCGCCGGCGTCGTGGGATACGAAGGAGGTGGAGGTGACTTCGGCGGGCAAGACGTGGACGGCGCCCGTCAAGTACGTCAAGGGCAAGGGGAGCAAGACGTCGTTTGCCGTTGTGGGGCGAGTGGGTGCCGCGATTGGCGAGGACTTTACCGTCAAGGTTTTGTAAACAACAATGAATACGTGGAGAGGTTAAGAGGGACGGTGCCAGTTTAGCTGCTGAGAACAACTATCAATGGACATTATGATTCACTCAACAAGTGCTGTTTTCGTTTTCTTCGCCCTTGTGAGTGAGAGAGAGGCGCCGGGCCTATGAGTACGCCTATACACATGAGCAAGGCCATGGTTGCCCTGATAAAATTGAACAAATAGAACACTTTTTCCGTTGTCAAACTATAAGTCCGCTCTCAACGTATCCACGTCCGTGGAATTTTTCGATAATCAGAACAAAACCCCCTTCTCTCCAGTTAAGGCCGCCGGTCCCAACCTTGACACTATCAATCGCGGGGAATGATGGATGCCATTTTGGCGTAGGGTGATGCTTGATGAAGGTTCCATCAGTGATTCTGAACGTGCCCCGTTCCTATTCCAACACTCGCTTCTTTCTCCGTTTTCTCACGAGACCTCTTTCTTTTCCCGGTGGATAGAAGTGTCTTTCCCTATGGGATTGACTTTCTCCAGTTTCAAACTCTCTTCGAGGCAGAGGGTGGCCGACCAACACAGAATCGATTGTTATGCAAGTAGCGAGTGTTTCTAATAATAGGAAGATGCCCCTCCTTGGTCCCTCACCACAGGAACAGCCACCCCACCCTTCCCGAGCAGATGACGCAGTGCGTTGGTGGGACCGTCAAGCCCAGAGCTCGAAAGTCCTTGCGAGAGAAGCCAGCACAGGCCTTGTTCTTTTTTCTCCCATCGGCAGTCTACCCTACTAGCGGGTAATAGTTGAAAGCTCAAGCGCTAGAGAAAGAAACGACTTCTCTCCCCAAGACAGTTACAAGCTCCTGCTGTTTAGCACCCCACCTTCAGACAGCTCAAGGTCCCTTTTGTTTTTTTCCCCCTCTAATCAAGAACAGAACCACTCCGCGGAACGACTCAAATTCACCATGACGCAGACAGCTTTTGTCACCGGCGCTACGGGTCTGCTGGGCAGGCAGATCGTAAAGCGGTTCCAGGATCCGGGAAGGGACTGGACCGTCAAGGGATCGGGGCTAAGCAGGGCGGATGGGGCGACTGTCCTCCGCGTTGACTTGGGCAAGGAAGCAGAGGTGGAAGCCTCACTGGACAGCGTGAAGTAGGTCCTTGTTCGTCCCTTACACCTCTCCATCTTCGAGACAAGCTCCTCTTTAGCCTTTTCGACAAAGTATTGGCCGTTCCTGTCCCCCTCTAGCGTTTACCACCCCTTCGGATCCTCCCAAGAAAAAAAGAGGCCCTGCTCTCCTTCAAGCAAACCACGCTAATCAGTGACGTTGGAAACGAAACAAAAAGACCCCAAGTCGTGGTACACAGTAAGCCTATTCCTGAGAATCGCCCAACTCCCACATCGTTTCGAGAGCAAAAGCACGACTAACCCCCTCCGTACCACACCCAGGCGCAGCCAATCGCTTCCCCGACAAGGTCGACAAGGACCCCGAGGGCACGCGCGCGCTCAACATCGCCGCCACGCGCACCCTCGCCCGGCTCTGCGCCGCCCGGTCCATCCTGCTCATCTACATCTCGACAGACTACGTGTTCGCGGGCCGCGAAGGCGAGGCCCCTACGAGGCCGACGCCGTGCCCTCGCCCACGAACCTGTACGGGAGACGAAGCTCGAGGGGAAAAGGCGGCGCTGGAAGAGTTTAAGGCGGCGGGGAAGCAAGGGTGGGGCGTGGTGCTGCGCGTCCCCGTGCTGTATGGCGCGGCCGAGGTGCCTGAGGAGAGCGCCGTCAATGTGCTCCTCAACGCCGTGTGGGCGGGCCAGCAGGGGAAGCAGACGAAGATGGATAATTGGTCTGTGAGGTATCCGACCAACACGGAGGATGTGGCGAGGGTTGTGGCTGGTACGTAGCGTTCACGATGACACTCCAAGATGCTATCCCCCGTCCTTGCTCGCTAGCTACGCGGCTACCGCGATCCGAGCAATTAACCACCCCCTTGTTCTTGTTTATGTCCATATCGTCACATGTCGACCGACATATGTACCACCCCTAGCTCTCTTCTTGCTAACCCTTGGTTTCTTTTAGACGTCGCGACAAAGTATCTCGCGACCGAGGACAAGTCGGCGCTTCCCCGGATCCTCCAGTTCTCAAGCGAGGAGCGCACGACCAAGTACCAGATCTGCGAGCTCTTTGCGCGCATCATGGGCCTGCCCACGGACAACATAGTGCGGGCTGACGAGGGCAATGATCCCAACGCGAGCGTCCAGAGGCCGTATGACTGCCACTTGAGCACCAAGGCCCTCAAGGACTTGGGTATCAAGGTCGACGCCGTCCCGTTTGAGGAGTGGTGGAGAAGTGAGCTTCGATTTAGGAAGTGATAGGACTACAAGAAGGATCAGGGGGAGGATTATAAAAATCAAAAGTAAAAAGAATTCGAGGCAGGACGCAGGAAAGAAATTCATAAAAGATTGAACGGGACAAATGGGCGCGACGGTAGCTTACGCCAAGTGCCCACGAGGGCCGTGTAAGCGAAAGGAAATGAGCGTGTCTGAGACGGGCGACGATGCTGACGACTGGAATGTTTCGCTCTCCCTCACGTCGTCGCCGAGATGGATGGACCCTTGTGGGGTTCTTTTCATCGTCTAATACTTCAATAGTAGTCGCTGTCTTCATATTCCATGCTCGCAATGATACAAAGGAGAGATTCATGTCGCGGGAATACCTGTTCACACGCGGTGACGAGGGCCCCAGGCGAAATTGCGTCTCGAGATCCAAACCACCGACTCCCACAGCCTCCCTGTCCAGCCCGGGCCGAAGGCGGATCTCGGTACGCTTTTGAAAATAGCTCGCTCGCTCGTCTGTTCGAGTGTCGGGCGCGTGCGAGGACAATAAGGAACATGTCATGCAACGGGAAAAAGAAAAACCTGAAAAAAAAATAGCGATCGGGCAGCTAGTCAGAGCCAAAAAAAAAAAAAAAAAAAAAAGAGGCCGAGATCACTTTGCTGTTTCTTCAACGGCTAGAAGCTTCTCTTGCAGCTGCCATTTGATCTAATCTAACCCTTGTAATTGATTGACGTAGGTACTAATGAAGATGAGATGGAGATGGGATGCACAGCGTCAATCCGACTCACATGCGTGAGACAAAAGCATCCAAAGATGCAACCTTTTGCGAACTCATCTGCCAGAGTGGGCATTTGTGGGGAGGGTTGTGCCAAATATCTGATACCCAGCTTGCCAGGACAAATCCATCATGGATCTCGCGCGCACCGTTCACTTTTTGCACCAGGCGTCTGGGAATCAAGCCATCCATGTACTGTAGCGTATTAATTGACTATTGCCCATCACCTCGGTAGTAGCGGCGGTTATCGCGAGGTGTGTCCTGGTGTCGCCTATTACAACTTTCGATACATTGGATGGTCCGATGATACGATGTGTTTGCCCGCGGTACGCACCTTCAACTAGCGACAGGCTGGGCCGATCTGAAAGCCGAGAATTGCATGAGGACGTCAAATTAATCGCACTTGGTACAAGGGTCGATGGATGGTGAAAATGGGGGACTATGCGATGTGAAGAGCGTAAAGCTCAAGGAGCCAAGGAGCCAAGGAGCGGGTGAAAGAGGCCATGAGGAACCCCCAACGCCGACCCCACGCACACATCACATCACCTCACGACACGACACGACTCGACACGAAACAGTCACTTAGTATTACGATCATGACGCCTATATCGCCAAGACAGAGCCCACCAATGTCGATAGATCGCAGTACCCAGAAACACTGTACGTCAAACCTCTTGGGTGGTGGGCAGGTGTCTAGCAAAATCAAAATGGGGTAGTAACACAGTCCCAGATCCTCGTACACAGGCAAGGAATCGTCACTACATACCCCATGAAATCGGACGCCCTTGGCTAGGTTTTTTTCTTCTGTCCTGACACGCACCCTTTCAACCCTTTGGCCCTCTTGAAACCTTGGTGAAAAAAGAGCTGAAGCGAGCGGGTTGGTGCCCACGCTGTCTCGTCCCCCTTTTCGCCATCTGTGTAGTGACATGTCTCATGAAGATGTGGGAGGCGCGGACGGGACAGGCCACCGCACGCTCACATCGGTCGCGGATTTGCGGGACGTATCCAGGTCACAGAAATAGCGAGGGGGCGGCCGAGTGTGCTTCGCGGATCGTTGGAGGAGCGAGCGAGTGAGCCAGCGAGCGGAGCGTGTGTATGTGTGATGGGTAATATCCCGTCTTAGATTATCCCTTTAGCCAGCTCTTCATCGACCCTCTCTGGGCGCACCCTTCTCTCTCCTAGCTTTCCTGAGGTTGATTACCTCGCTAAGCCTCTGAGGCGACGGGTGACCCCGTTTCCCTGCGTCGTTTAGATGTCGCTTCCTATAGTACCTGTGTTAGAGGAAAGCTTCTGGTGATGAACCCTTTGGCCATATTGTCTTGTCCTTGTGACGTGGTCTTGATGCATCGAGACTTTCAAATCCCTCTTGCCCCCAATTGCCCCCTTCGGCTTTCCTTCCAGGTTGTAGATTTTTCTTCATGCCTTTGATACATTAAGTGTATTCTTCTTCGTCACACCTCCTTGGGGTTGGTTGACCTGGACAAAAGTCGAGTGTCGAGCTTCCGTTTTCCGTCACATTGCTTTTGGGTACTTTTCGTCGCCACCCTCTTCCTCTTCTCTAATATCTCGATTTGCTTTTCGCCGAGCCTCACTTGCTTCTATCGAACGCGTGGACCAACGAGCCAACATCCCAAAATCACGTACTTTGCTTTTTCGCTTTTCTTTTTCTACCTACCGCGACGGCTCGCTGCAAAGGACCTCCCCGCTTCTTCATCCCCATTTTGGATCGCCGTCATTTCAGTCCAAGACACGTTCATCTTCCCGACCGAGATCCTATTGAAATGTCTTGAGTAGCGAACGAGGATCATCACAAAGGGTAAAGAAAGAGACCACAAGGGTATAGGAGCAAGGGCTGAAGAGAAGGAGCGAAAAAAGAAAAGGGTTTAGAAAACCAGAAGGATATATCGTCGACGTGTGCGCGCACTCTCAATCCCACTGCCACCGACGCCAGCCCGGACTCGAAAGTCGACGTTGACCACTCCCTCCCTCTCGTTACTGTGTTAAAATCGCCTCTCTCAGCCCTCTGTTCGTGGCGCAACCCTCTCCCAGTCATAGGGCATACAGGGCTGCAAGCGACAAGGAAGGCTTCATCGTCAGATTAGGGTGGACACTAGTCACGGCACCGACGAGCAAGGGATGAGATAAAAACAGAACACCGACGAGACGACGGGGGAGAAAGAAAGAAAAAACGCCATCTAGACTCGCAGTCCATTCCCGATCTCGAAAAAGTTGTATTACGAAGTATTAATTACACTTCGGGCTTCTGGTACTACTAGTTCCGCTTACCCGACTCGATTTTAGCGCAAGCCTCGAACCCGAGCAAGAGGATCCAACGGGAGCGAAAATCACCTCCAACAGGGGAGGACACTGAACGACGTTGCTCATCCCAAGATTCGTCCGAAAGAACAAGGGGCTCCTTTGTGAAGCAGGCCAATGGTGGCGCCGTAAGGTGTGCAGGGAGATTTCGCAAGACCCGTCAAGGACCCTGCTTTAATTTCGACAGCGTCACATCGTGGAACGTGACATTCCAAGACGAAACCCGGGGAACAACTGCAAAGGGAACCCCAGAGGTGAAGAAGAAGAAGAAGAAGAGAGAGAAAAAAATATTCTCAGCGCGCAACTAAATTTGCCCAAATGATTGAGCTAAACTTGACGGAGCGTGGAGGCGAGCATTCTTGGAATGCGCGACCGAGGAAAATGGCAAGCGTGGGGAGGATACCAAGCAAAATGGAAATAGAAGCGGAAGCGGAAGTGGAAGGCGCCAACCCCAACACTTACGGCAGCACCAACAGCCCCAGCACCAGCCCCAGCTACACCAATGAGGGGCTGGCGCCCTTGCTCCTTGCGGGGACCTGCAGCGGCGACGAGCCCACAGACCGAAATAGGCGTCGCTGTCAGTGGCCCAAATTGGCAGGATCGGGCTGATGCCACCCTTCAAGTTCCTGATGGTGGGGTCCGAAGCCCTGACGGATTCCCGCAGACAATCAGTCTCAGTGCTGACGACGGTACTTACGGGGCACGACGACGCCCCGCGACTCGTGGTGAAACCAACCTCGAGCTGGAATGGGACGAAGACAACATTTTTTCAGCACTCAAACCAGCGAAGCAGCAACACCAGCAGTTTTCGCAGTTTTCGCAGCAGCAGCAGCAGCAGCAGCACAACAACATCGTCACCTCCCGCGCCAACTCCCACGCCAATTCGCCCTCGTCCACGCCCTTCATCACGCCCTTGCCCTCGCCCTCCCTCAGCTCCCGCTTCGCTTTCCCGGTACAAGAATCATCGATCGGGGCGCCACCCGACGCATACGCACATCCCAGCCGCCCCATCCACGCCGCCAGCCGACCAGCAGAGCCCGGCAGAGGCAGACCAGCAGCACCCACAGCAGCAGCAGGAGCAGCAGCAGCAGCAGCGCTTTGAAGGACGCCAGAGGAACAATTACCGAGCCGATCCTCCCACTCCTCCCAGCCCCAGTGCCAATGCCAAGGCAAATAGCAATGGAAATGCCCTAATACCCGCTAGCGCTCTCTCCTCCCTCTCCGCCTCAACCTCAACCTCACCCTCGCCGTCGGTCTCACCCTCGCCCTCACCGACGCCGGCCGACTTTCCCTTTCCCTCCACCCTCACCGCCGCCCGATTCAAAATCCCAACCGCCCTTAGCTCGTACAGTGCCGCAGACCTTCCGTCTCCCCACGCCGCCTCAACAATTGATGGTGCCGCGTCCTCGGCGACCGTCTTGAAAACCCTGCGCAAGAAGCCCTCGCGGTACAGGCAGCGCTCTCCCCGATTGAGATTTCGAGCACTGGTACTATTATTACCGGTACTGGTACCGCAGCCTGTGGCCCAGAGGCTCCCCCAAGAACTTTTCCCTAATACTATTAATTACAAGTCCACCAACCAACGCACCCGCCACCACGCCGGCCTCGACCAATACAACCCTCCATCGCCCTCCTCGCTCCCACCAGTCCCACCCCTGCCACTTCCGCGCCGCGCCGTGGTAGGCGGCGGGCCCTTATTACCCTGACCAGTGGCCAAATGCCAATTTAAACTCCATCGTCACGCGATCCGCAGATCCTCTTGTCCCGCGACAGAAAAGCGACCGAGGCGCACCCGTCGTGAATTCTGCACGAGGCCTGAAATCTTTCCCCCACCACCTCGACCTTGTTCACAGCCCGGCGCCTTTCCGTGGCGGCGACGAAAACAGTTCAGACGTCGTCTGCCACTCACCCATCTCTAGCGTCAACCACGACGCCATCGCCGCCGCCGTCGCAGCCGCCAACCAGGACGACGACGATCTCGATCTCTCCCTGCGCAAGGCCCTTACCCTGCGCACCCTCGACTCGGCAAAGTCGTTCGCCGAACGCACCACGGGAGCCGCCGCGACAGCGACAACGACAACGCCAACGACGACGACGGCGACAAGGGCCACGATTGTCACTGCCCCCGCCTCTTATTCTACCGATAACCTCCTCTCCAACTATCAGCCCTACTCTCGCCCCAAAAACATGACCACTTCCACCACACGCTGGGTCGATGCCCCGACCAGCTTTGGCGGGACGCATCGCGACGCCGATCACCAACACCACGATGACGCCGCACCAATGTCGCCCAAGTCCAAGATCAAGAGTCCCATCTTTGCCTTCCTCTCTAGGAGTCGAAAGGGCGACCTAGTCTCCGCCGCGCCCGCCTCTCCAGGGCGCGCCCCCGAAACTCCGCAACTGGGTCGCCCCGCCGCTTCCCGCGCTTTATCGAGGCGGGTGGCAGGGGTGTGGTACCCCAGATTGATGCGCCTGTGAGCGCCAGCAATTCTGCCGAACGAGTGCGTGCAAGATTACCTGAACCCCCTTACCCCTCCCCTCCTCCCTGTCCTTGCGTACATTTGACTGTTAGGCTAACCTGCATATTTTGTCTCTTCTTCTACAGCGCGTTGTTGTCCGGTGCATGAATTCCTCCATTACCCTCCCTATTACGCCCACGACGACGCCCGTCGATATCCTACACTCCGCCGCAAACCTTATCACCCATCGCATACGACCCGAGTCCTCCATAGTCGTCGAGTCCTATCTCCAATATGGACTTGAGCGCCGCCTACGCCGTTATGAGCTCGTACGCGACGTCATGAACTCGTGGGACCGCGATAGTCTGAATGCGCTCGTCGTCCTACCCGCCGGAATCACCAGCACCCCGACGGGGCCGACCCCGTCCCCGACAACCCGGAGCTGCTCGAATCCGTTTCCGTGCCCCGCACCTACGAGCCCCCTTACGCTTTCACCCTGCAAATGTACCACTGTGCGCGCGTGGGCAAGTGGACCAAGCGCGTCATCACCCTGCTCGACACGGGCCAGATCTTTGCCGCCAAGAAGCCCGGCGCCCAGCCCTCGGACAAGGACTCGGTTTCCCTGTGCCACTTGTCCGACTTTGACCTGTACACGCCCACCGAGCACCAGGTCAAAAAGGTGCTGAAGCCCCGCGCAAGTACTGCTACGCCGTCAAGAGCCAGCAAAAGTCCCACGTCTTCCCCAACGGCGAGAACTTTGTGCACTTCTTCTGCACCGACGACTCGCGCATGGCCCGCCTGTTCCGCGAGCAGGTGCACGGGTGGAGAAGCTGGTACCTCGTCAACCGCAAGCTGGAGGCCGATCCGCCCAGCGTCGGGCGCAAGGCCTCGCAGCGATCCGTCGGCCGCAACGGCGCGCGGCAGTCGGTAGACACGCCTTACGCCATCGGCACGTTCAAGCCCCTGATGGACATGGACATTTTCGAAAAGTCGTACGACGACCCTACGGCGTCAGACCCCGCTGCCGCGGCCGCGGCTGCGGCTGATTCCCCCTCACGGCTCGACGCCTCGCAAGCGCCTCTCCAAGGGAAGCCTGCGCCAGACCACGAGCAGGGTCGAGCCGCCTCCATGCGCGGCGGACCCCGGGAACCCTCGTAGACCTCACGCCCACGCCCGACTTTGACGCCAAAGGCCTCCTCGGCCAAGGGTACGAGGAACGCAAGCAGGAACAGCTACGACGCACAGGCACGCAGCGCCGCCGCGCCTCCATCGACGAAGACGGACCTTTACCGAGGGACCCAGCCTGGTCAACAGCATTCCCTCGGCCGCGCACGAGCAGTCGCATCCCCTCTCCCCGCGCCCGTGGACTCCACGGCCCTCCGCCGCGGAGAATCACGCTACCGGCCCACCACGGCAGACGCGAGCCGCCAGCGCAGCCAGCGTCGCCCCGCGGCCCGGGCGAGCAGTCCTCGGCATCGGTGCGGACGACGCGCACGGTTTCGGGCGCGCGCAGGACCGCGCCGCACGACGTGTCGCCGCCCCCGGGCATGCCTAAGCCTCTGCTCGATTTCCACGATAACCCCGAGGAACCCGCCCCTCGTGGAGGAACCAAGTGCGCGTGGGCAACGCCGTGCGCGCGCCCGTGGGAGTACCCTCGTGGATCTCGCCACGGGTGGTCGCCCGCCGGAAAAGTACGGCCCGTCTCCGTCGTCGACATCCCGCTCGTCTAGCACGGCGCGGGCGAGAGCCCCTCGGCGGCGTCGTCCTCGGCCCGCAACCACTACGCGCCCCAGCACCAGCACCAGCACCAGCAACAGAGCAGGGAGGGCCCGTTTGTAAGGCACCCGCAGGGCGAGACGCTCTTGGGCCAGCTGGAGCGCAGCCAATCGGTCGCGTCCAGCTCGTCGCGGTATCGGGCGGCGAGGAGGGCGCGCGGGGATGAAGAGCCGATGCCGCCGCTGCCTCCGCAGGGGACTACGCTGCTGGGTCAACTAGAGGCTAGGCAGGTGGCGGCAGCGGGGTCGAGGAGCCGGAGCGGGACGGTGAGGTGAAAGAGGGGGGATATTATATGTTTACTGAGGAAAAAGAAAATTGGGGTTGTGTGGTGATTGGAATGGAAATAGAATGGCGGGGATCTTGCTTTTTTTTTTTTCTTTTTCTTCTGTTGTTTATATTGATCTATCGTCAGAGATAGGCAGGATAGAACCGGATGGCTTTTTGTTGCTGGTTTTTTTGGCGGGGATACACAGCATCCATCACTCACGTACGGGCGAGCCCCGTTGGGAAATATCAATTCACTTTGTCTCACTATATGCTTTTCTTGCGATTCGTCCTCTCCTCCCCTCGATGGGTTGGCCAGAATAGAAGCAACACCTTGGTGAGGGTACGGTACTACATTGTTTCAAACAATCGATTAACGAGAAAACAACTTTGCGAATCAAGAAGTGTTGTTCTACGCTGTCTTTACCGCACTGCATACAGGCTTCGTTCACGCTTTGCTCGACCTCGGCTCTCTATGGCTCTGATATTGTAGGTATAAAATCAGAGTGGCCAAAATTCTTCCCCCTTTCCCTCTATGTTACTTTTATTTTTTTATCTCGTCCACTTCATTACTCTGTTTTGTTTCTCCCGCTTTCGATTCTCCTCAGTTCATCACCCTTCCATCCTTACTTGGATCGCTTGTAGATCTTGTCAAGGAAGGCGGTGAAGACAGTCTTCTTGAGGCCCTCGCTCTCATCAACATTGTCAATCATGGCGCGGATCTCGGCGGCCCTCTTCTCCTCAAACTCCTCGTACCTCTGCTTGAGCTTGAGGTCGTCGTAGAGCTTCTTGACGACAGCCTCCTTGGCGGGGTCCTTGCTGCCGTAGTTGGCCTCGAGGAGGCGCGCTGCTCGGGGGTGGCGGTCTCGAGGGCGACGTTGACGAGCCAGGAGCACTTGTTGTCCATGATGTCGGTGCCAATCTTGCCAATGTGCTCGGGGAGGCCAAAGTTGTCGAGGTAGTCGTCCTGGACCTGGAAGTACTCGCCGAGGGGGATCAAGATGTCCTCGGCCTGCTTGAGGTTGGCGGGGGTGGCGATGTCGAGGAGGTAGAGGGCGAGGGCGACGGGCAGGTAAAAGGAGTACCAGGCGGTCTTGTAGATGACGATGAAGGAGTGCTTGTCGAGGGAGAAGTTGTCGAGGTTGACGTTGTCCTCGGGGGCGGTCAGCAGGTCGGCGAGCTGGCCCATTTCCGTCTTGAAGGTGATGTCGTGGAAGAGCTCGACGAGCTCAATGTAGCGGGGGTGCTCGCGGAAGTACTTCTTCAAGAGGGTGTAGATGGCGGTCTCGAGCATGAAGGCGTCGTTGATGGCGACGAGGCCGACGCCCTCGTGGCGGTACCAACAGGGCTTGCCGCGGCGCGTGATGGAGCTGTCCATGATGTCGTCGGACACGAGGAAGAAGGCCTGCAGCAGCTCCGTCATCCAGCCGAGGGTGGCGGACTGGAAGTACTGCTCTTCCGTCAGGGGCTTCTCGAGGAGGAGGGAGGTGGAGTCGGGCACCGACATGCCGCGGTTGCATTTGCCGCCGACGGTGTTGGTTTGCAGGGACTAAGGTTTTGTGTGCGCGCGGCGAGCGGGGCGCTTTCTGTTAGTTACTTTGTTTTCTTTGCTTCTTGGGTTGTAGCAGGTGTTGGGTGGACTTTGGGCGTTGGATAGAGATGCTACTGTCCTAGCCAGCATATCCTATTCCCCGCGAAGAGGAATTAGGTGCCGTCATCGAGGCATGAAGGAGCAAGGGAAACGGGCGAGGGAGAGTGATTCAAGGTGAAGAGTGATTCAAGGAGGAGAGGAAGCCGTGGTTGGCAAGCTTACCCGTTGATACCATTCCAAAAGGCCTGGGAGCTTGAAGCTCGCGGCCTGCTCGAGGAGGACGGCCTCGAGCTTGGGGAACACGGACTCGAACTCCTTGAGGTTGGTCTTTTGCGCCATTTTTGCGGGCTTGATGTTTGTTTCTGGGAAAGAAGAATAGGGAATCAAGATAGCAGAAACTGCGACGCGGAGAGATGCGGGTGGACTCGGCAGATTTAAAGAAAAGATCCGAAAAAGGGGGAGCAGAGCAGAGGAGGAGGAGCGGAGGTGTGGAATTGGACCCCTTTGGTTTGCGTTATCGAATATCTATCGGGGAGCGCGGGGTCCGATTTTCGAAAATTGAAGCGGGGCACACAAACAAACCAACGACGGGACCTTAAATCGGTGGCACATCATCCCCCTCCATCCCATCCCACTTCGACACACATGGAGAAAAAGGGATTTGGGCTTGCGATGCAAGGGTAGGCGATGTGGGGCGCTTGTACCTTCCCCGAAAGGGAGCTGGGGCTTTTTTCCCCTTTCATTGATCCATCCAGGATGTTCTTTCCCTTTTATGTCAATCAGTCAATCAGGGGTCCTGACACTGACAGACGCCTAATATCGCCAACGACACACTGAAGAGGCATGTATAATCCATATATAAGGTCCGTACATCTACGCAGTAGAGAGGCAGGTACAGAGTCGCGGGCAGGAAAACCCCTACTTTTTTCAACGGAAAGACAATACCCTCACATTCAACTCCGAGGGCGGGAAAGAGGGAGAATCGGCATGTGACGAAAATTGGGCTGCCAGCTTCACCGAGAACCCGCTGCGAGCTTGCTGATAAGAAGCACACTACTGGGTAGACATCTATGTAGGTTAGGTTAGTTGAGGCCACCAGGTCCTTTTAGAGCTCATCAGTTGGGTTACTAAAACCGTCCAATTCGCCGTGCACATGTTTAAATAAAACTATCAAATCAATACATCTTCTTTGCCTACGATATTTTGCTTGCCTCTAGTAGCTTCTCCAGCTCTCGCACGAAAAGTTCTTGGCCTTCTTCGATCGAGGTACTACCATCAACCTGCGGGGCATCATCGTGTTAGTAAAGTACTCTTCCAAGGAGCTAGGGGAGGGCGGGTGAAAAGTAGAAATGGAGGGGGAAGGGGGTTCGCCATACATCCGCCATGGTGTTCCCACTACTCGAGCGCAGCCGCTCAAGCACCTTGGCATGGCTTTCCTCAAAAGCCTCAACTCTTTCCTAATAGCATCAGGAGCGTCATCCTCTCGTCCCGACGTTTCTGCGCGACCAAGCAGCCTTTCCGTCAAGACCTGGCTGGGGCATTCGAAGGAGATGGTCGAGTAGGTTCGGGTAATCTGTAGACGTAGACACGGTGAGTTTGGTTGGACCGAGTCGAGCTTGGTAGCGGGCCCATTCCCTTTTTCTTCTTCTTCTTCTTCCTTTCTTCATCGGGCAGGCTTACCTGTTCTTCGAAAGCGTCCAGCTGCTCAACGCTTCGCGGGAACCCATCCAAGATGATGCCACGCTTTCCCGAGTCCCGCACGGCCTCCATCTTGGCCGAAAGAAGTTCCATGGCCAAGAAGGAAGGCACCGGGACAGAATACTCGAAGCTGTCGGTGATGAAGCCGGAAAACTGCGACCCGGCCCTCTTCTGCTCCTCCCGCAACAGCTCCCCCATGGAAATATGCGCCATGTTCATCTTGTCCGCCGCCAACGCGCACTGCGTCCCCTTGCCCACGCCGGGCCCCCACGACCAGGACCCAGGCGAAACCGGATGTCGCCCGTGCCTCCAGGTCGTCCCAGGCGCGCAGGGTGTCGTCGGCGATTCGGGACAGCCAGGGATCCTTGACCTGCGCCCGGAGGCCCCTAAACTCGCCGAGGTCGAGGTTGGGATGGCGCATGGAGTAGATGTAGGCCTGGTTCAGCGCTTCCAGCTTGTCGACCTGGTGCACGATGCGGGATACGTGGGTCTGGTCGGAGTCGTAGGCTTCCCAGTGGTCCATGAGATCTACTGCGAAGGCTGGGTTGGTGGGCCGGGCGAGGCAGGCGAGGAATTTGGCGCCAAGCTCCTCGCGCTGGCGTTTGGTTTCTGTACCCGACGTTGAAAGCCCCTGCGTTAGAAAAAGGACGGGTGGATGCAACAAAAAGAAAAGAGGGAGAAAGGGTAGAAACATAAAAAAGAGAGGAGGAGGTGAGAAGGCGGGGCTTGATGCGCGGAACTAACCTCGACTGACGCCGTCACTCGGCGTGACGTCGCCGCAGATGGCTTCCGGGGCATCGTGGAAGAGTGCCATGTTCACAGCATCGATCCTATCCGTAGGGCTATCCTACACGCACTCGCATTAAACCGTCAGTTCCAGTGGCGCCCACATACGTAGATAGAAAAATGAACGTGGAAGGCGGGTGGCGAAGTCTTATACCCAAGGGTACGCGTGAAGAATCACGGCCATCCGGTACATGTGATCGCCCACGCTCTCGGGGTTCGGCACGTCCTTCTTCACCCAGCCGGCCCGAGGCGTGGTCTTGAGCCTTTCAATCGCGGATAGGAAGGGCAGCATTGTCGGCGATTTCGTGGACGATGTGTAAGTTCGGCTGCTCAGCGCGACTCTGACGAGGTGGTGCGGGGTTATCAGCCAACGGCGCGCCTTGTGCAGTTGTGAGGTTGGTCGATGCATTGGATGACTGTGGTGGAGGTGACCCCCAGACGTTAAATATTCACACACGCACACACACACACACACACACACACACCTTGAAGGATGCTTACGGTGATAACTGGAAGGCTGACTATGGCGATAGTGGGTAGCTTGGACTGCCTGGTTGACCTAGGCTCTCTTCATCATAAATGATTGGCACATATAGGCCTAAAACCAGAAATGATCATTATTAGTGCGGGTTATGGCGCTGTGCTAGTCGATATCTCCGGACACACTATCAACCAAGGACACCTCTCCCCACAGATACGTGATGTCAAAAGCCCTTGGCAAGAAGACCTCGACAGAATCACGCACATAGAATGGCATACGGTATTTGGATAAATTCTATTGAAGATGGCCTATGACTTGCAGTGATGCTAGCTAAGCGGCCGTGGTAAGGGATTGCTCTTTAGTCTACCTTAGAAACGCCCCCTCAGCTTCCTCCTTCCGACGCTATTCTTTACTACATCCCGAAGCCAGTTCAGTACTCGCCCCAGTCTATTTGATCAGGGTCAAACCTCCACCCAGCAAGCACCTAAAGCAGCATTATTACCGAGTTTATTTTCCCAAGGCAGCTAAGTGAATATGACTTACCTAGAGCTTGTCAAACGCCTTTGATTGCAATGCAGAGAACGTTAGACTCGAGAGGTCTACTAAATGGATATGTAAACGCCCCTTAGACCCGGAGTTCAACCTCGTCTCGTAGCTGCGTGATATGCCGTATCTCCTCCTCTATTGAAACCTGCGTGCTATTAGGTTTGCTGGTTAATGAATAATAATTAATACTCGCATTTGCCATACACCTCTAGAAGGTGACAAGGCCGCACAACGATTTGACTCGCTGTCTTTTGGCGGCAAGTGAGGCTTGCCCCATGTCGTGACCTAGATGGCGGAGGATGGTGTTTGCTTCGTGATCTACCAGCCAATCTGTCAGATCCAGATATGATGAACGTCCGAGCAGAGATGCCTATTCTTACGATTCAAGCGTAGGACATCATCTAGAGTTCGAGGAAAATCGGGAATCCCATCTCCTGTTGTGATTGAGCAGAGAGGCTCAAGAGGCTGGTCTCTTTTATTTACGACTATACTGTTCTCAAGTCGGGCAAAATTGTTTGCATCCCTGTGGAAGAGTAGATGTGAGTTAGGGTTGTGCCGAGACGTCTAAACCAGGACCACCCTGTTCTACTCACCTTGCTCGTAATTCCCTGGTTAAATCGATAATGTTGTCCTGCATCCCCTGGAGGTTCTGCTGCATCTCCCGGTGGTTCTGCTGCATCTCCCGGTGGTTCTGCTGTATCTGCATGGTGAGTGCGTTGATGCTATCGAGGATCCCTTGCCCCTCTCGCACAGATGGCATGTTAGCACAGAGCGCTAGTTCTTGGCCGGCCTCCGTCAGCCTTGTGGAAACCAGCGCAAAATTGGGTTGTTGGAGAGCCATTATGATGGATTTGTTGATGGAATCGATGCTCTGTGTAGACGATGGGACGCGAGTGGTGTGGTGGGGTGAAGGAACGCGGATCTGCGTGTGGTGAGGTAAACCCCGCTCTAGATAAATGAAGGAAAGAAGCCTGTGTTAGAGTGTTCTATCACTTGCTCTCAGGTGGCGCGCCGACTAGTCTCTTGACGCGGAGAAACTTTGGCTTTGGGGCTTGGAGAAGATAAAGTATAGGGTCCCACCACCCCACCTTGCCCACCATCAACCACCAAGCTAACGGTGCAGAGCACCACCAGAGTTCAAATCGTCAAGCAATTGATCAAGATTCAACCGCGTCGACGCGCCAAGTTGGAGCTTCTGATCACGAAACCTCACCTCTCGGCCCGAACCTCCGCCCGCACCTTCTACTCTTCTCTTTGGCAGCTCTGAATCGCCGGCAAATTTCGTAAGCCTTGACTGGTATTTTTCTTTCTTTTTCGGGCAACTTTTCACCTCGCAGGAGATAACGCCCGCTCGTGAAGCATCAGCGAAAAGAAAAGAAAAGGCATCCACCCCTGCCCCCGCGCCTTCGCCATGTCTCTGAGCGACAGCGAAATCTTCCAGCTACGGGCGGCCCTGCAGGATGCCGTGGTTAAATGCTCGGAGCGGTGCCTCTACCAATCCGCAAAGTGGTACGTCTTCTCTCCCTCTTTTCAGCATGCATGTCGGGGCCCCCTCCCCTCCCCTTCGGCTCGTCTTGAGCTTGCCTAGCTCCTCTACACCCCGCTAACCCGACCAACTTCTCTCCATTTCTATAGGGCCGCCGAGCTTCTCAACTCTATCCACGAGCCCGAGATCCAAGCTTCCTCACAGGACACCATCACAGCCGGGCCCCCACCCGCCGCCTTCTCTCCCTCAAACCCGGACCCCGAGGAGGCGCGCCTCGAGGCGCAAGAGTTCACCAAGTACCTTCTCGCCAAGTCCCTCTTCGACTGCCGCGAGTACGACCGATGCGCCGCCGTCTTCCTCCCCGAGTCGATGCTGTCGGGCGTTGTCGAATCTAGGACCGCCGAACCGCTGACGGGCACGCCCAAGGGCAAAGGGAAATCGAGGGCGAGCACGGGCGCGGCCGAGCCCGCGTCTGGTGGTGCGACTGCTGCGCCCGCTACGGCGCTGCCCAAGATTAGCCAAAAGAGTCTGTTCCTGGCCCTCTACGCCAAAGTGATATCAGGGGAGAAGAGGAAAGACGAGGACGCCGAGATGGTCATGGGCCCGCACGACGCTGGGTCGGTGGGGAATAAGCAGCTGGTTCTCGTGAGCAGGTACCTCAATGCGTGGTTCGACGAGAGGTCTGTTGGGGATGACGAGGCGCAGGAAGCCAGGGATGGCTCGAGTATCTGTGCGTGCGCCCTTTTTCCTTGACCACCCCCCTCCTTCGTCCCCTTTCTTCTGCGTTTTCTGTAGACTGCCTTACATGCTTCTTGCTTCTTGTCTTTCTGGGAGTGGCTGCCGTGGCTAATCTCCCTTGTCTGTCCTAGGTATGGCATGGTTTTGGCCAAAGAAAAGAACAATGACAGGGCGATAGAGTACTTGGTGCGAAGCGTTCACCTATTCCCCATGAACTGGGGCTGCTGGCTAGAGATGGCTTCCCTCATCTCTCGAGTGGAAGACGTGAGTGGTCCCCTTCTTCCTACCCGAGACTCCGAGCTCTTTGACAGAGATTGGCTAACACGATATTATCCCAATCAACAGCTCAACCGCATCGCCAAGCACCTTCCGCACAACATCGTCTCCTTCATGTTCCACCTCCACACCTCCCTCGAACTCTTCCAACAGGGACCCTCGCTCGCCAACTCCCTCGACCAGCTCCTTGACATATTCCCCACCTCGTCCTTCCTCCTCACCTGCAACGCCCTCCTCTCCTACCACGCCAAGGACTTTGTCGCCGCCGAGCAGCACTTTAGCCGCCTCCTCGCCCACCACCCGTACCGCCTCGACTCCCTCGACCACTACTCCAATATCCTGTACGTGATGAACATGCGGCCCAAGCTCGCCTTCCTCGCCCACTTATGCTCCAACGTCGACAAGTTCCGCCCCGAGTCGTGCGTCGTCGTCGGCAACTACTACAGCTTGCTGTCCATGCACGAAAAGGCGGTGCAGTACTTTCGCCGCGCCCTCACCCTCGACCGCACCTGCCTGTCCGCCTGGACCCTCATGGGCCACGAGTACGTCGAGCTCAAAAACACCCACGCCGCCATCGAGTCGTACCGGCGCGCCGTCGACGTCAACCGCCGGGACTATCGGGCCTGGTACGGCCTCGGCCAAACGTACGAGATGCTCGAGATGCACACTTACGCCCTGTGGTACTACAAAAAGGCCGCCGGCCTCCGGCCCTGGGACGGCAAGATGTGGCTCGCCGTCGGCTCCTGCCTCGAGAAGATGGACCGCGACCGCGACGGCATCAAGGCCCTCAAGCGCGCCTTGCTCGCCGACGCCTACTACGACGCTGGGAGCAGCAGCTTCGGCGGGGCGGCGGCGACGGTGATGGCCTAGGCGGGGGCGGGGCGGTCGCGGACACACGGGCCACATGGACCCGGAAACCCTCCTGCAGATCGCCAACATGTACAATCGCCTGGGCGAGCTGGACGAGGCCAAATCGTACATGGAGCTCTGCCTGGCCCAGGAAGACGGGGTAGCCGGCGGCGGCGCCGATGCGGAAGGCGGCCGTTTCAACGAGTCTATTAACATTCACAACGACTCGCCCCCGCGTCCGACGACGGTAGGGGACACCCCGGGACCGGAGGAGGCGGGGGCCGCGCAGGGGTGGACACGAAGGCGGCGGCGGCGGCGGCACGGGTGTCACGGCGGCGACGAGCAAGGCCCGGATGTGGCTCGCGCGGTACGCGCTCGAAACGGAGGACTACACGGCGGCTAGTCGGTTGGCGACGGAACTATGCGAGGACGGCGTCGAGGTGGAAGAGGCCAAGGCGCTGTTGAGGGAAGCGAGGGCGAGGATGGATGTGGACGACGCGTGATTCGACGTTTTTTGCGAACACGCGCGCGGTTTTACGTTTTGTGGGATTTGGGGAAGGGTGGACATGGAGAGAAGCAAGGTGTCGAGTGTATGATTAGGAGTAGAGTACTACGAGACACGGATATGACGTGACGACCTCTTTTTTGGCATCTCTATTTTCTTTCTGCCCTTTATGCTTCGCATCTCTGGTGATAATTGATCTAGTATGTTTGATGTTCTAACGCGGAATAGGCCACTTGTTCCACAGGGGACACACGGAATTTGCCCCGAAGTTGTGGGACTGGACATGGGCATGGTGGGACTTGACCTGGTGCCGTTGTGTTGGTAAATGGGCCCTTGCCGAATCGCGGACCCGCGGATTCCTGCCGGCGCGGAGAACATTCGAAAGCCGGAACCCGGCGATGGTTCCGATCCGACCCCGACTACGAAGCTGACACCGCTTGGGAGCAAAAAAGATGTATGATTATCTGGTCCCGAGTGACTCCAATCGTACCAGTCACGACATGGGTAAAGAAGGAGAAAAAAAAAAGCCAGGGAGATTAGAGGTGACACGTATTACTGCCAAGCGGGTTCACGCCATCTTTGTTCGCTGTTCATCCTGCCACTTTCTTTGTTGTCGCTGTCGATCTGCATGGCTCAAATAAGATGGTTTGCATCAATTGATCGCCAGCCAACCTCCGTCTACGATCTGCCTGATTTTGACAGCGGCGATCTTGGTGCCTGGCGCCAGAATGGAGATCAGTAGCTGCCCTATATAGAAGCTACAAAGAATAGTACGGGTATCTATCATAACTCAGCAAAATGATTCCCGCACCGAAGCCAGCAGCACCTCTGCACCTCTCTCATCCCTTTGCTTGATCGTCAAGAGCTGGGCCCTGCTTGCATTTTTATCCCGCTGTGGCGTCGCGATCCCCGATACCGCCTGCACCACGGGCGGACGCCGAGCACATTGACAAGAAAAAGAAAAAGAAGAAGTCGAGGCAGGATCGGCGCTGGGCCAGCGCCTAGCCCCTCGTCCCTTGCGCGATGGCGGCGGTCTCTCCTGGCAGCGGTGGCGCTCTTGACCCGGAGAGGTACGACGATGCGGTGCGGCGCCGATCACGTCAAATTCGGACTCGGTGCAAGGGAGGAGTGCTGTGATTGGATGCGTGCAGGTGACCCTGCTTTCTCATGGATGCGGCTCATGTTGACAAATTTGAATTTCTTCTCTCCTCGACGCCATGGGGAGGGAAACTGGCGGAGTATTCCCCGCAAAGACGGGAGTCTGGATGGGAAGGACCACAAAAAAAAAAAGCAAGAGGAATAAGGGGCTCTAGAGAATAGGCCGGAGCTGCCTTTCTGTAGGCTCTGAGAAGAATTCATTACAGGCGGAGCTAGTTCCCCAGCAAGAAGGAGCTTACCATGGCAGACGATTTTGAGACACCGGTCCAAAGAGCTGGAGACATTAGCCAAACAATCGACAGAATCAGCTGAATGGTAAACTGATGTAGCTTCACTAAACCGTCCTTAACCTCAATAGTCCATGTCCCTGGCTTGGCTAAGACTCTAAGCGTAAGAAAGAGTGCATTCCGCTCTCGTAAGCTCATATGGAGCTCGGGTGCTGCCTTCACCTCGTTGGTCGTTGCTTCCGAGCTCTAGAAACCTAATGAAGTAGAGGGAAGCAAGAGCTCCTGCTTCAAGCAGGCTGAGAAAAAGGTCATCACCAACACACCATCTCCGCATGCCATGCCATGCGCCGAGAAAAGAAGCAAAAGTTGCCAAAGCTAGCCGTCATCGCAGCAAACCCGTCATCCCAGGTTCCACGACTCCGGGGGTCCTGGGGCCACAAACATGAAAATAACTCGAGGTCAGCCAATCCTGTTGTATGTGCTAGCCAACTTGCCTTTGCTTCCAGGTAACGTGCCACCAGAACCGGACTCGACCAGACCAAGGCAGGCCAGACCAGATCAGACCGCCCCCGTTCTCCCCAAAGCAGATACGAGCTTTGACGTCCCCCCATTGGCCCTAAGACCCAACCGAGTACTTTCTCGGCCGAATCGGCCACTGACAAGGCGTGCTATATCTCTTGGCCCCACGTCTTTTCAGCCCAGGTCTCCATCATATCATTGATCATTGTCGGTGGGTGGTTGACCAGGGACAGGGGGAGGGGTGCAAGAAAGATCAAAGTGCAGGGAAAACAGTGATGATCACCGACCAACCCAGTGCAAAGAGTGCAAAGCCCCAAAAGATTGATCCATCCTGTGTTTCCCCACGCACGACAAGGCTCAATGTATTGTTGTCGTGGCTCTCTAAATCCATCTCCTGCACCTTTCGATGATTCGCTTGTTTGCACTCTCCTCGCATCCGCAGCTGTCTTGATTGGGGCCTTCTGATGACCATAGCCCAGCACCCTGTTCGACGAGCAAATGGCAGCACTTTTCCTGGCACACTCACTTTCCAATATTGAAACCTCATCCATCTGACTGCTTATACCCGATGGTGCCTTGCGAAAGGGGACGAAGAGGCAAAGGGTGAAAATTACTGCTAGTTGGTTTTCGATGAGGCCTTGACTCACAAGCGCGAGGAGCGGGTGGAGCGGAAGTTGTCGTTCGTCTAACAAACAATGACTATTTCCGCTCCCTCTCGTAGATTCGCGCTGTGTCTCGGAACCAGTGCTTTTTGGCGACCCCATCAACCATCTCGCTCGATGACCTAATCCCTTGGCGCATCGACGGCAACCAGATCGCAACAACAAGTTGTTCGATCCCGGTTTCTCGCAGCATCGGCGAATCAGAGCAAGCACTATCGGATGACCTGACTGCTGCTGACCCAACCTTGCCAACCACCGGAAAACTTCGTAGTGGTGTGTGTACTTGTAGTAGTATCAACGTGCATGGCATGGGCGAGAGAGAGAGAGAGAGAAAGGGCCCTATCAAAGGTGATCAATTCCTAATTCCGGGCCAAGTGCCGCATCATAGGTCCTGCTGGGAAAAGCTTAGCACTGCGACCCTGCGGTAACACGGGAGACAGCAATACGAAGGTCTCCTCCAAATCCACAGCTCTCCCACCGCCGGTCGCCCTGCAGCGTAAATCCATCGCCTAAACCGGGTTGGCTCGAGGGAACGATCCACCGAGCAACCAAAAAGGTGAGCCAGCCAGTCCTGTCCTCGATGCCTGCCAACCCAGCAGCAGCCCGCTGCTCCCGCCCCGCTGGCTCCGATTTCCCTGATATGGCTGGCATTTTTGCCCCTCCCTTCCCTCGAACCCCTGTCCTGTTCTTCTACCCTCCACAGATCTTATCAGCCAAAGAGGATCACCAGAAAAGAAAAGGAAGGAGGGGAAGACGAGGTTGGTTGCTGCGAAGTAGATTCCCGAACCCAGCCAGAACCTACTAGGCATCGGTCTGGATTCCGCGAGCCCTTCCGTCATGATGTTGCCACGGAGCCCACACCCGTTACCACCGTACTATGTAGCCCCCTGCTAGTAACCAAAAGAAAAAAAAAAAAGCCCGAATAAACCAAAATAAAATCGCTATCGCAGCAATGGACACAGACCAGACACACTCGAGTATCGGTAGTCAGCCAAGGCTCTGACGTCGACAGATTTCTGTGCCCAACCTTCTTTTTCCCGCATGACGGCTTCCGCCGACCACCCCACGACGAGAATACGAGCGGTGTCCCATGCAGCAGTCTGCTCTAGTGCGCCCTTTTCGGCTACCCTCGTTCTCTTTTGGATTCCTTCTCTTTTTGTTTTCTTGGGTCTTGCAGCTTGCGCACATTGGTAGCATGTAAACAGCGAGGCAGTCGGGACGAATGGTTCAACGTCCAAAGTACAATAATTGAGAGTCGCTAAGCTTGAACGTCGCGACGGTATCTACATCCATGGATGAAGTTGATTTTAATACTCAAGACCTGTAGAGCCCTCTATTATTCCCTTGAGAGAAATCAAAAATCACACTGGCTGATTGGACCCCTCAGCAGTACGCTCCGTAACTTTGTTTTTCTTTCTTTTCTTTTTCCGAATCCTAGGCTCCCCTCCTTTGGTGAAGGGCTAATGCAGGCCTAAGAGGGGGCAAAGGGTCTAAAAGAAGCAAGGGGGTTAAGATACGAGTAAGACTCTCCTAAAGTTATCTGACAAAGACGGGACAAGCCCAATCAGTAAACCGCTTATTCGATGACATTTTACAGATAGCATGCAAAGCAAGAGCGTGGGCACACGACACACGACACCCTTGACAAGCTGGAAAGAGATGCAGAAAAGAGAATGTGCAGTAGTAGACTGAAAAGCATGTACAGGGGAGAAGACGAGAAGACGAAGAAGACGAAGAAAAGAGGATTTCAGTGAACGCGGATTTCAGTGAACGCAGTATAATATTAAAACCGAACTATTACTCTATTCCTATCAATCCATCCCCAATAATAAAGCTGATTGGCCTCCAAGCGTGCTCGTCCCCGTCGAAAGAGAAGTAAGTATGAAAAAAGGTTGAACAGACGGGCGTGTCTAAAGGAATGATGCGAAGATGTAAAACAAGTTTTCCCGGTCCCAAGCATCCCAAAATCCGGGGTATTAACCAAGTCCCAAAACCAAACAAAAGACCATATCTCTAACTATTCGGTCCGACCAAAACACTAGTAATAAAAGCGTGATAAATAAAAAGAAGTTGTCAAATAAAAGCCCGTTCTGAACACCTAGAAAGTCCGCGCGGAGAGGGCGAGGAACATGTTGCCGAAGTCCGGAGAGCCCTGATCGTTTTTCCGCGAGGCGCGTTTGCTGCTAGTTATTCGTTTAGATGACGAAGAGAGCGGCAAGGGCGGCGACGGCGGCGAGGAGACCGCTGGCGGCGTTGGCAGCACCGGCCGAGGGGGATGGGAGTAGGCTCGGGCTCGGGAGTGGGCTCAGGCTCGGGAGAAGGCTCAGGAGTGGGCTCCGGCTCGGGCTTGGTGGTGGGGATGAGAGTGGTCTCGGGGGAGGAGGAGGAGGGGCAACAGTGGTCTCCGGGGGAGGAGGGGCAACTGTGGTCTCGGGAGGAGGAGGAGGAGGGGGACGTCAGTCTCACAAGGCTCAGTAGTCTCGGGAGGAGGAGGAGGAGGAGGGACGTCAGTCTCGCAAGGCTCAGTGGTCTCAGGAGGAGGAGGAGGAGGAGGGACGTCAGTCTCGCAAGGCTCAGTAGTCTCGGGAGGAGGAGGAGGAGGAGGGACGTCAGTCTCGCAGGGCTCCGTGGTCTCCGGGGGAGGAGGAGGAGGAGGGACGTCGGTCTCGCAAGGCTCAGTGGTCTCCGGGGGAGGAGGAGGAGGGGGAACCTCGGTAGTCTCGCAAGGCTCGGTGGTCTCAGGAGGAGGAGGGGGCACCTCGGTAGTCTCGCAAGGCTCAGTGGTCTCCGGGGGAGGAGGAGGAGGAGGAACCTCAGTAGTCTCGCAAGGCTCAGTGGTCTCCGGGGGAGGAGGAGGAGGAGGAACCTCGGTAGTCTCGCAAGGCTCAGTGGTCTCCGGGGGAGGAGGAGGAGGAGGAACCTCAGTAGTCTCGCAAGGCTCAGTGGTCTCCGGGGGAGGAGGGGGACCTCGGTGGTCTCGCAGGGCTCGGTGGTCTCCGGGGAGGAGGAGGAGGGGGCACCTCGGTGGTCTCGCAAGGCTCGGTGGTAGCGGGAGGAGGAGGAGGGACTTCGGTAGTCTCGCAAGGCTCCTCGGGCTCGGGCTCCTCCCAGTGGCCACCTCCGTGGCCTCCCTTTCCACCGTGGCCACCGTTGTTGCCGTGGTTGTCGTCCCAGTTGCCGTTGCCGTGGCCGCCATAGCCACCGGGGCCGCCACCGTATCCGCCGCGGGCGCGGACACCCTTGGCACCGGCGGGAGCGTCGGCAGCAATGCCGGCGGCGACGAGGCCGACGATGGGAAGAACGTGAGTGATCCTCATCTTGGCTGAGAGAGTGTTATGTGTGTTGTGTGTGGGTGGTTGTTTTACTGCTGAAGCGAAGGTGTGCAAACAAGTTGTTGCAAGTCGAAAGCGAGAGACTCAGGAGAGGAAGAGCGAAAGTGGGAGAGGGAAGACTTTTGGGGTTAGTCTTGGAGAGTCGGAGAGAGGAGAGAAAGAGAGATGAGGATGTTGTGATTGTTGATGATGAGAGGAGAAGAAGAATAGGATAGGGTTTAGAGAGAATCACCGGGTCTTTATATAATAGGAAGTGGCCAGCAACGAGGCGAGCGAGCATGGGGTGCGGACGGGGGCATTGGGGGTGGGAAGGGAAACGGCACGCACGCACGCAGAGGTAGGGGACCCAACGGCCGGCTGGTACCTTCCGACCGAGCGAGGCTCCGTTGCAGCGGATGGACCATGGTGCTGGGCATTAGTTCGCTTCGTTTTCCCAACTACTTGCTCCCCACTCCGCAAAGCACAGGAATAAGTGAACGACCCAAAAAAAATGGGTGTGTTCAGTGATCAGCGGAGAGGAGCGATGGTCGTTGTCCGTGATCGTTGCAAGGGGGCGTGTAAAAGAACGGAGAGTCGGCGGTGCGGGGGGGCGTGTCCAAGTGTGTAAAGTACAAGCAGTAGAGCTCAGGAAGAGAGAGAGAGTTGATGTCTCTGGTGCGCTGGCATCACTTGGCTTGGGCCAGGCCAGGCCATGGGTGCAAAATCGGCCATACGATGTCAGTCTGTTAGCGTACGGAACCGGTATGCCCACTGTGCACCCCCTCCCCCACCCAACCCATTTCCCCACACCACCACCCCGTGGCCTGCTTTTGGACCAGCGCACATGGAAGGATTGTATTCATGACGCTGGGCCTGATTGAGCACGCCTGATCCGTCACCTTGTTTTCCAAGGTCCAAGAGAGCAAAGGTCCTTTGTTCAGTGATGCATCAATACGTATCTGTGATCCAGCGATGGGGACCCTCTCGGCAGGCGGCAGTACACGGAGGGTTAGAAAGAGAAAAGAAAGAAAAAAAAAGACGAAGAAAAGAAAGGAAAGACAGGAATAAAGCGGGGCCGGATCAACACTCAAGCGTGTAAATCGGGGGAGCCCGAAAGGATTCCAGGTCAAGGAAAGAGCAAACCGGAAAAGAGAAGAAGAAGACCAAAAGAAGACCAAAAAGAAAACCCCAACACGAGGAAGGAAGCAGGCGTTCATCATGCTTTCTTGCTTGGCCTTGGTACGAGGCCTCCCTTCCCTTTTCTTGCCGAGAGCCGTTAGACTCAACTGTGCCCTACTGCTGCCAGCTCTCCGTACTTCGTTTTTGGAAAGCAAAAAACGTGATGCGAACTCGAGTTTCCAGTTCAAAGTTCTCTGCCAGCCATGTCGTTCCCTCCTGTGCCCCAGAGCGGCCCTAACCCAGGGCCTGCAGGAGGTGGCGCATTACCCTGGAGGGGGCAGCACCTCGGTCGATGTTAGGTGATCAAAGTTTTGTTGATAGACAGGAACAGGCATTGATGCATCAAGGCCATCTATCTTGCAATCTAGCCTCTCCTGCCGATGCATGCCACACGCACTCGTTGTTGGTCATGCTGTGTTTTTTTGACATCACTGGTCTCTCTTTTTCTTGTCTTTTCTTTTCCTCACTATTCTATCTCTCTTTATTCCCGTGCTTTCAGTAGTTGTTGAATCTTCAAGACAACGTACACCGACTACTCCCTTCTTCGTTGTCTCAGAGAATTCTTCAGATCCTTTCACGCGTAGGAGCATCACTTTCTAGGCGGAACGGACGGGAACTAGAAAGGAGACCCCAGAGACATCGTGACCAAGCCAGGCTCGACTGCAGTGGGTGGGTGGCGTTATGCAGATGCCAGCAATGGGACGGTGAGACCTGCAGACCTGTTCTGCTCTTCTGCTGGTCCTGTGCTGGCGGTCGAGCCTGGCACTATTCGCCTCAGGGCCGAGTTGATCAAAATAGATGGGGTTAAAAATGGGACGAGAGGCTATTAGTGGTACCTGGTGTGTGCCAAACCTTCCATGCTGGTGAGCAGCCACAGAGCGAGGCGATACAATTGCGGAATACGAGAAGATCTTTGAAGCTTATTCCTTTGCGGGTGACCCCCTCTCATCGCTCCTAGTATACATGTAGAGTGGAAAGATAAGTGGGACAGGGACACGGGGGTGGATACGGAGAGAGACACACGACACTTGCACTCATGCACACACACACGCAAACCAAACAGTGGACGCATCCATACATCTAGGATAGTAGAGAAAGGGAGAGACAGGTACGGAGAGGGCGATAAGACGAAGGAAGGGAGCAGGAACAGGTCAGCACCAATTGAGTTGTGGAGCCTTTGGATGGGGTCCATGATGGAGTTCGGAGCAGACCAAGCAGTAAAGTGCACCATTAGTAGCGGGGATCAATCAACTTGATCTCGAGTCCGTACCTGTTGGTTGAATTGTTGATCTCCAAAACAACTTGAACTTCCCATGTCCAACGGCGGCATTCTCGATCTTTTTCTTTTTTCTTTTCGGTTTTGGCTTGTGGTGCTCTGGAGCTAATCTATTTGATTGATCAAGTGTAAAACCTGCCCAGCTTTCGGACATCCACGGGCCCATCAATCGAGTGTTAGTTAGCCCTTGTCGTAGTGTGGGCGGGTGTGTCGGGCTTGGTCTGGAACAGTGCGGTGTCAAGCAGCGGAGAATGGTCGCATCCGCCGGAGAGGATCAAAATTGAATTGACCTCAACATTGATGATGCGTGTGAACCAAAACATCCCACGTAATAACTGGCCCCCAAAAATCAAATCACTGAGCAGTGCCCATGTTCATCCTTCCCGATGTTCTCGGCAGGGCCGGCCCCGGAAGGGAACCCTTCATCGTTCTCTTTGCTCGAGACGAAACTGGGCGAGAAACAACAAAAATCCCCACCAAGGGTTTCTTTTTCTTACGATCTTTCTTTTTTCCTGTTCTTGGTGTGCGCGGGTCTCCACGGATAGTCATCCCAAGTGTAGTTGGTCCCCTCCATGAAGTGGGGCATAATTATCATTGATCACCTATTCTTATGCCCCGTCGCGCGGCGAAGACAAGACCCGTGATGTCATTCTCCGGGTGGCATCTTGGCGATTGGCCGCTTCCGAGGCCCCAAGCGAGGTCTGCATGGGAAAATCCAGGGAATCGCGGCTCCGATCAGCAGCACTTGCTATCCGGGTTCGACAAGCTTTCCTTCCCCAACGCGAGCTGCAGCATGTCAATGATGCTTAGATTCAATGGCCTGAGGTCGCCCCTTCCTTGTCTGCCCTCCCCCATCTCCTTCCTCATGGTAACATCGAAATTGATGAAGCTGTTGCCATTGCAATGTTTTGTGCTTTTGGCTCCCTGCACCGTTAGACGTGTGATGGCATATGGCATATTCCATCGCTTGCTCTCCATATCTCGGTCGATTATGATGCATCGAGATGCATCGAGATGTATGTAGAGCAAAAACGTAGAATCTTAGACAGGCTCCAGACCCTCCTCCTCCCAACTCAATTGCGTGAGTACGGCTACCAAGGCGGAGGAGGCCGAAATCCTTCAGAAACGGCCAAAATTCTTGATTTTCAGGGCCTGGTGTCAACTTCAACACGGATTACGATAGCAGCAAAATTCTTTTTTTTTCTTTTTTTTTTTTTTTCTTTTTCTTTCTTTTCGAATTGCCTCGAATTGCCTCGGATGGGAGAACCGACAACAGGGAGGCCATGGCTAGCAACGCGACCCCCAAAAGTCCCCATGTCGTATCTAATTTGGTAACAAACTAAAAATTTCTCGTCGTATCGAGCCGGCAAGGCTTGACCGACCACCGACTATTTTGAATTCTAAGGCGTAATACTCGCCCAAGCCAACGAACATGGGGGAGCAGCAGGCAAAGAGCCGCATATGCGCGATTGCCGACCACCTCCCTTCCTGACCGAAAGCAGGGTGCAGCAATAAGGCCAATATTGATCCCTTTTGCTGCTGATGACGGCCTCGTGCTACCCACACATGTCCAAAGGTGAACCCACCCCCATTGATCAATTGATGTCATTTTACGAGGAAGGATCAAGCACTTGGTGGTTGGAAGCGACCGAATTACACTAGTATTCGGTCAAACTGCTGAAGGAGCCTGCCATCACAGCTCGACGCTCTGCCCATCTCGCGTTCTATCTATGGTCTCGTATCTTTCCACATATCGTCTTAATGCTTAAGTGAGTGCTTTCTGGTTCGCCCAGTTCAAGGATAATACGTGCACCCAGAGACAGGCCAATTCCCCACCCTTCACACGCACACTGCTAGTTTAGCTTGCAACCATCCGTTCTGCGCCCAAAGCAACGTTTTTTCTCGTCCTCTCTCTTGTTCCCCTTCATCTCTGACCTCGGAGAATACATGTAAAGAGGGCGTATGGGAATCTGACAAAAGTGCTTGGCTACTGGGTCGCTAATCCGGTGGAGGCCCGGATGTGATCGGACTTGAGCTGGACTCTAGCTCGTGGCTAGCTCGACAAGAAACTTCACATACACATGCACTCACTCTCAATTCTCTCTATTTCCATTTCTCCCCACAGGGCGTGCCCATCGGTGCCCTCCTCCCCGGTTTCCGAGGCAATCTTCCGTTCATCATATGAGATCACTTCGTCGCCAAAGGATCTTCATCCCTGCTCTTTTTCCTTTGCCCTTCCAAAAAGAACACTCGCGTGAGTGGGGAGAGAAGAACGAATGCGGAAGTGGGTTGGTTGCATCGGTGGAGGCAAAATCCAGCGAGGTAACCAAGCCGATCTCTCCATCATGAGCAAGAAGCTTGGGCTCCTCATCTAGCCTCTTGTCATGTCCCGACCTCGCGTGCTTGCTTTTCCAGTGCCGCACTGGGGCGTTAGGACCTACCCTTTTCTTGGCAATGCTTGAATGCCTGAACTTCTGGAAGAAAGGCACAGCAAAACAAGACCCCGCACCGATCACAACTGGTCCTGGACGCTGTTGACCCCTCCTCCTTC